GGGAGAGAGATCGAGAGCGGGAGAGAGATCGAGAGCGGGAGAGAGATCGAGAGCGGGAGAGAGATCGAGAGCGGGAGAGAGATCGAGAGCGAGATCTGATTCGACAGAATCAAGACAGAGCGCGAGAAAGGGACAGAGACACAGGCAGGATCAGGGTTAGAACTGCCAGAGATCCGACCGAAGATCGTGACCGAGGTCGGGATCTGGTTCAGGGCAGAGAGCGAGAGAGAGGAAGGAACGGAGGCCAAGGCAATGCTGGAAACGGCAACAGAAACGGTGCTGGAGGCCCAGGACGCCGCAGGGTCATAATCAACAACTATATCCCTGGGTATAACTATAACCCCTTCTAGGACAGTCAATCACAAAATCATCGTCTGGCCCGAGAAACACAGACACACACGATCACCACTAGTATGGTGTCGATACTAAGATACTATCAAATCCGGACCTACTGGTAGAACCTTCGGACTTCGTTCTCAACCCACCACAACCTTATTCTCAACCGGAACCACTTCCTCATCCCCCTTCACCTGCCGTCGATGCCCTAACATCCATCGATATACCTCTGGATTATTATACGCGGCGGTCCAACTGTCATGTTTGAGATCTGGGTACCTAGTAAAATTGACGTCGGGGGCGCCGGCCTTTTGGAGAGCCGTGACCATTTTCTGAGAGGCGCGGAGGGGAATTATGTCGTCGAGGTCGCCGTGGTGGATCCTAAAACAAATACGAACAGTTAGGAAACAGACAAAAGAGACTTCCAGTTCCAACTAGAACCTAGCTAGCAACTTACCAATGAGGCAAATGCTTGATATGGCTCACTCTCAAATCATCTCCTCCGCCACAGATGGGCATGACAGTCGCAAACCGATGCGGAGTATGTAATGCCAATTCCCACGTTCCGTAGCCGCCCATGCTGAATCCAGTGACGTGGATTCTGTCCAGATCAACATTGTATCGTTGAACGATTTCATCCAGTAAAGCCGACAGGATCGATGCGTTCCAGCCGTATCCCCAGTCCATGTTTAGCGAGGGGGTCACCGTGATGAAATTCTCTGCGACCAGCTCACAAACTTCGATGGGGACAGGGTCGTATGATTTGTCGCCTTGTTTGGTCTGTTTGGATCGTTTGAACCGTTCTGCTACGGGGATGTTTATTGATGGCGGCGGCGGCGATGACGAAGTTGTCGAAACGTTCTCGGTGAGGCCCCCTGAGTCTGTTCGCGCCTTGTATTGATCATAGCAGAGAATCACTTTCGGAATGCCGTGGCGCAAGGAAAAATATGATTCGTTCCGTCCGCGTTGAGACTGGCCTGCCCCGTGCAGGAACAAAATCAATGGCCATTTTTTATTCACATCCTCGTCGTAATTTGGCGGGACAGACACGAAATGTTCATAGCCAAATGGTGCATTGGACGTTCGTTGGTTGAAAAAGTCGTACTTGATGTGTTTTGTCTCGGCGTATGGGTGGCCTGGGTGTTTGGGCACACTGGCGGCGACGGCGGCGGCTTGTTGCCCTTCAAGCTGTTCGTTCGATGTGGCCATGACGGGTATGACTTTGTCTGGGACGTTCTTGGGCCTTCGTCTTGCCATGTGGAAGTCATGGAACGAGTTTGGATTGATTTCGGGATCGTCGCGGGCCTTGCCAGTGGCGGATCCTGGCGAGGGGCGCGTCATATTGACGTGGAACTGGATCTGGGGCAAACTTGCAGAGATGTGGTTTCGCTTCCGTGACAAATAAGATGCCTGTAGGCTCAAGCTGCAGAGGACAGTGAAATTTTTTGTATCTGTAGAATGTCGAGGTGAGGCGACCTTTGAGGTGTGAGATCTCTGGCTGGTGACGAAGTGACATTCGAGAGCAGAGACGATCAATGATACCTGTCGTCAGGGTCCTTCGAGCCATAGATACATCATCTTGGTAGACTCTTCATCCACAGATTCATCCTGGCCATATGCGGATACGTGGATGTCTTCCAGTGAAGTATATAGATATAGAGGGCCAATCAAGACGCCGTCATGCGTCAAGCCATATAGGTACTGTATCGTAGGCTGTTGGGGATGATATGGTAACCTCATGGCTCAGCGGTTGTGTAATGGATCGGCACAACTGGACGTGCTTCATTCAACCCAATTCATTGCAACGTTTTCCTCGCCAGCTGTGCCTTCAGCATCATTACCTTTGACCAGAAGTATGTTTGCCGCCCGCGGCCATGTACAGGATAAATGTAGCGATATATATTTTCGTAGTAGGTGCTGGTGTGGAAGCCTGATGGGGAGATTATGGCGAACCACGCGGCGATAAGCGACAACGCATCGATTACGTCGGATTGTACACAGAAGATACTACGCGGATACACCCTACATCCTCAGCGCATCTACTACACACACTACTTCGTCTCCATCTGTTCTAGCGACGAGATCCTTGCCAGAATCTAGCGGTGGTGAACCAGCCATGCGGCAGAAATGGGCAACTCCCAGAGCGCGCACAAGATCTCTGCGCAGGACAAGTGAGTCCCACCCACGGCCTGCCTCTCCGACCCGGCGACACTCATGTCCGCCGCACAACCCTGGCATACCTGGTATGTATGTTCGGCTCTAACATTTTCTAGGGCAATTCTGGACATGAAAAACCAGCGCGACAAACTACGTCAATACCAGAAACGAATCACCGTCATAACCACACGCGAGACCGAGATCGCCCGCGAATGTCTCGCAAAAGGTGACAAGGCCAAAGCCCTCCTGGCGCTACGAAGGAAGAAATACCAAGAATCCCTCCTAGCCAAGACCGACGCGCAATTGGAACAGCTTGAGAAACTAACAAACAGCGTCGAATTTGCCCTGGTGCAGAAGGACGTGCTCTTCGGACTCCAGCAAGGCACGCAGGTATTGAACATGATCCACAAGGAGATGGGCGGCCTAGAAGGGGTCGAGAAGATGATGGCAGACACTGAGGAGGCTAGACGGTACCAACAGGAGATCAGCGAGGCTTTGGCGGGTCAAATGTCCAACGAAGACGAGGATGAGGTCGAGGATGAACTCGAGGCTATGGAACGAGAGGTTTCGGGTGTTGCGGCACTGCCTGATGCGCCGAAAAAGACTGTGGTGGGTGAAGGCACGTTGCCGGATGCTCCTAAGACGGAGTTGGAGCTGGAACAGCAGAAGATACAGAAACAGAAAGAGAGGGCCCGGCAGAGAAAGATGGCGTTGGAAGCAGCTTAACGCGAGAGCCGTTTTGTCTTGTTATTGGGTGTAATTGTGATACTGTACATTGGTGTATGATGCATTTGCATTTGCGATCCGCTGCAGCATGATGATGATATTGTGTCAGGAGTTGCGGTTTGGACAAGATGAATGCTTTACTAGATTCTTTTGTTTCGATACCCCTACTGCCTTTACTGTCCAGGCGTGGAGTGACCGACGTTGGTTAGACCTTGGATCAATTTATGGTCCTGAGGATTCGCCGCGGCTTCATACAACACACTGACTGGTTCTCGGTTGAGTGCCATAAAATCGCCCTTGAAGCCCAAATACCCTATCCGAGTGACATCTTCTTCGCCGCCAGAATGATTGTCTTCGAAAAACAAGTTGATCGAGGTGGTGCCGTTCCACAACGCACGGTTCAAGGGGATTTCCATCACGTCGTTACTTTTGGGAAGATTGAGTGTCTGAGTCGGTTGCAGTTCGCTAGCCAGGCCAAAGTCCATGTCATCTCTGTTGCGAAAGAGCTTGAGCGTCGATGGCGCCGAGTCGGACTCTGAAGTGCGGATGAGGATCGAGTACAGCTTGCATGATCCGCCAAAGGGGACATGCATCAGGAGTTGCTCGTCTGCGTCGCTTTCGAGAACGGGTCGCTCATTGAGACGTTCATCCCATGTTTTCTGAACAATAGCCGCTCCTGACCGGGGCTCAGCCTCGTTAAGAGTAATGATGCCTTCGAAGTTGATTTGCTTGTAGAGGTTTGACTGTAGCGCCGGCTCGAGGTCATGGGAATGGTCATGTCCGTCTCCACATCCACATCCATGTCCATGTCCATGTCCATGGTCATCTCCGTGCCCATGCCCATGCCCGTGATGGTGGTGATGGTGATGAGAAGCCATTATCTGGGGGCTGTGTGTCACTGGTGGCTCAATACTTGGAATATATTGTGATATCGGGTGAACTCAGACTTCGACATCCGCAATCACACCGCCTTTGAATGGCCACAGCGCTTCTATCAGGCAAGGCCTACGAGAACATGGCAGGTGCACTCACATGGACGAGTCAGTCACGACAGGCGTCCACTGGCAGTGTTGAGAGTGGTGGACATTCTTGCTTGTTCTACAGTGGTATTTCTGCTGTCATCTTCTGCCGTTGTACGAGTAGTTGTGAAGAGGCAGTCGTCAGCTGAGTCATCCAACAGTTGTCATGCCGCTTTATCAGATGATGCCCTCTAGCTGCTTTTGTCTGTGCCCCTCGCTGCTCGTTCTTTCCGAGGTTCTCGAATTTCTACAATATGTCACTCTCATCAGTACAGGCGACGGAGATACGACATTGTGCCTGGCATATGACGCCCAGATGCTCGGCTTCCCTGATGAGCAAACAGAGACTGTCACTTTCAGAGTCAAGAAGATGAGCTATTTTACTAAATTCAACTCGCAGCATTATCAGGCACGCAGGACCCTTGTACCAAGAGGCAGAAGTGATCACTCCACCTTGCAGGTATAGTTCCGCACCGCCACGGCCGAGGAGCACAACCGTCTGCGGCTACTGTGGTGTACCCCGATGTACTCTGTACTCTGTACTATGTACTATGCATCCAGAGAAGCCCGGAAATCGCGAGCGCTACTGCCGCCGATCGTCTGGGGAAGGCAAAATGGTCACTAGACTTGCCAAAATAATGAACGCTTTCCACTTGTCTCCAACCCGGCTGACTTCGGATCGACATGACGCTCGACCCTCGATCTACCGCTATTGCCAACCATAATATTCTATGAAGTCCAAGAACAGCGGAAAGTTTTCTCGTCGGCTGAGTGGCTGACGCGTGCTCGCTATGCGTGATGATACGACAGAGAGTGGGCAATGTCTCGTTCGCTCCACCAGTGGTAAAGCCGAAGTTGTTCGGAACATTGCTGTATCGCACAAAACACCGTGCTTTGCCTGGCTGATATCATACCGAGGGAAGACGGGAGAAGATATGCAAAAGATTGGCTGTGCAGACCATCCGGAATTTCGGATGCATTCGCCTCAAGCTTGGGCAGCACGAATCGCAATTTGCTCTGACTGTATGGGATTCTTGCCGATGTCCTTTTTGGCCTCGAGAGTCGAACGATAGCATGGGAAGAATCACGAGCAAAATCCCCGACGTCTGCTACCGGCAAGGGCGGCCATCAATCCCATTGGACGAGACCCGACCGCCACATCCGGATGGCGCCGCGCTTCGGCAGGTTGACGTTTTGCGGAGAGAGGAACGTCTGTCTTGCATGCCGTGCTGCAAGTCCCAGGCACTTGTACTGTCCACCAGTGCTCCGGGCTGTTCCTCGATCCCAATCATCAGCGCCCGAGATATGCGATATGCGAGTGTTCCACTAGCGGTGCAACAATGCATCCTCATTTCCTGAAAGTCGTGGTCGAGCACCGTCCGCCCCGATTGTACTGGTAAACAAGTCGTAGCTGCTGTGGGATTCTCTGCCGACCCCGCTCGTCTAGACTACTTTACAGCCTCGACCCCGCGGTTGTACGAACATGGTGTTCCGTGGCGTGAGCGCAATACTCAATCCGTGTGACCACAGGTAAGTCGTCTTCAACAGTGCTAGCCTCCAATGTATTTTACAGACTGTGAGGTGCGAACCTTCACATCACACCATACACTTTCATTGAGCCAGATGCTTCGATGGCGGTCCGTTTCAATACCGATTCGATGGCATTATTGCCGTTGTATCCTCCATCCCGTGACCATGAGGATATGGCGGCGACTGTTGGGCTTGGGTTTCACCATATGTATACCATGAGAGAAGCACACGAGCACCTGTTTTGGGGTCTCAAAAATGATATCTTACTTGAAACACAATAACCAACGATCCAGTATCACTCATGTCGAAAACATCTCTTCATCCCACAATTCCTTATCACATACCAACTAACATTACGATGCCAAATACTACTCCGACTTCAAAGGCATCGGCGGAACAAGACCCACCGCGGTCGCAACTCCCCGAATTCGCGCTGCAACTTGGAAAGAACCTGTATCCCGAGCCTCTACACTTCAAGACAATGGAGCGCTTACAGGAGTTTCGAAGAACGGCCGATTATATCTCTGCAGGTTGGCGCCATTTGCTATAACCATGTTGCCAAGCTGATATTCTCGCAGCTATGATCTTTCTCCGGGACAATGTCCTGCTCGAGCGCGATCTCAGCCATGATGATATAAAACATACTATAGGTGGGTAGTCGAATGGGCCTTACATCTGTCGGGGACGATGTTGACCAAACCAGGCTGCTGGGGAATATCCCCCGGTATTACTTTGCTTTATGCGCACCTCAATCTAGCCATCCAGAAGTACGATCAACACATGATCTGCCTCATCGGCCCCAATGAAGGCGTGCCTGCAATTTTGTCCTGTTTGTGGTTGGAAGGTTCATTGGAACGGTTCTATCCGCAGTACAGCAGAGACAGAAAGGGCCTTTACAACCTTATCACGGGATTTGGTGTTGCAGGAGGATTTCCAAGGTTCGAAACCCTACCACCAGGGTGTTGACCTCTCTTATGATCTTTCTTAGGCATCTCAATGCGAAAATTCCCGGCTCTATCCATCAAAACGAAGAGCTCGGTCATGTTCTGTCAACGGCATACGGTACCGTCATGAACAATCCGGATTTGGTCACTGTTGCCGTTGTCGGGGACGGTGAAGCCGAAACAGGCGCAACCGCGACGTAAGTCGATTGACACCAAAACAGCTAAGTGGGCTATGATACTGACAATATGCAGTGCATGGCATATGTGCAGATACATTGATCCCGGGACATCTGGGGCAGTATTGCCGATACTTTACCTCAATTGTTACAATAACTGTGGCAAAACGATCTTCGAAACTATGGAAAATTCGGAGCTTTGTTGCTTGTTCTCCGGTTATGGCTATCAGCCATGTCTCGTCGATGATATCCAGGATATTGACAGAGAACTCAGCATGGCATTATCCTGGGCCTTGGAGACGATCCGAGAAATCCAACTGGCTGCCAGGTCTGGAGACAAAAGCTTCAAACCCAGGTGGCCAATGATCATCCTACGGATCCCCAGATCCTGGGGTTATCCTGAATTAAATGGCCAACAAGGCATCCCCGGTCGTTTCCATGGACAAGAAGTCCTTCTACCTCATGCAAAATTCAACGGGGACCAGCTGCGGCAGCTCCAGAAGTGGCTCGCCTCATACAAGCCGGCTGAACTGCTACCTGGCGGTGGCGTACCCGAATCCATTGAGCCTATCTTTCCTGCAAGCGAAAAGCTGAGATTAGGACAGAATAAAGTCACTTGGGATTCCCGGCATCATCTCGATGTTCCCGAATGGAGGCATTTTGCTGTCGCCAGAGGCAATTCTAACAGCTGCCTGGCCGTCGGCGCATCATTCCTGGAGGAAGCATTGACCCGCAACAAGGGTTTGCTGCGGATCTTCTCCCCAGATGGCGTGGCAAGCTGTAGGCTTCCACACCAGCTTCCAAACCGTACTTTCCAAGCCCTTCAACGGGACGATGACAGCGCCCCGGTGCGCGGTCAAGTGGTCGAGTTCATGTCTGAGCATACTTGTCAAGGTAAGTTAAAGTCTCCCTCCGAGGATCCTGTCTCTTCACGAGGGTTGCTAACGGCGAATCTGCAGGCTTACTTCAAGGCTACACAATGACTGGCCGCACCGGCATACTTGCTGCCGATGAAAGCCTGTTTCCAGTCATTGCGACCATGGTGACACAGTATAGCAGGTTCCTTAGAATTCTCAAGGACACGCCATGGCGCAAAGATGTGAGCAGCTTGAATTACATTACAACAGGCACCTGGACACGGCCGGAGACAAACGGACTCTCTCACCCAAACCCTAGCTTCATCGGCTCTATTCTCAATCTCAAACCAGCAATTGGGAGAGTCTACCTACCACCAGATGCCAATACATTCTTGTCTACCATGGCACACTGTCTAAGGTCCAAGAACTATGTCAACTTGATTGTCTCCTCGAGTCATCCCGAACCTACCTGGCTCACACCGGATCAAGCAGACATGCACGCGCGGGCCGGGGGCAGTGTGTGGAAATTCGCCAGCACCAACGATGGTATCAACCCAGACGTCGTGCTTGTCGGCATTGGCGCAGACATGACGTTTGAAGTGATTGCCGCAGCCGCCTACTTGCGGAAACTGGCGCCGTCGCTTGCCGTGCGTGTGGTTAACGTTACCGACCTCATGATTTTAGGTCGCGAAGGCTCGCATCCTCATGCACTCAGTCACACCGACTTCGACACGCTGTTCACTCCGGACAGGAACATCCACTTCAACTATCACGGCTATGCGAACGAGCTTCAAGGACTATTGTTCGGCAGACCGAGGCTTGACCGCATCACGATTTCCAGCTTCCAGAACGAATGGACCGCCACAACGACGTTCGGAATGCTCCTCAAGAACGGATGTGATCGATACCATGTCGCCGAGGCTGCAGTCCGTGGCGCAGCGATATGTAACCCGCACGTGGCCGTCGATATGCAGAAGCTCGTGGCGCACATTCAGCACGAAAGAGTCAAAGTGGAACAATTTATTCATAAGAATGGTGTCGATCCCGAGGGTACGTTCAGCATTCCCAAGTTCCCAAAGGGTCATCATAATGGGCACCATAACATCGAAACTGCTGGAGGGAGTGATTGGGAGTCCCACGATCGAATATTGCATGTTCCTAATGGCGACACTTTGTAATCCTGCATTTGGCAGAGAATGGCGTTTCTGGAGAGGCGAATTGTTTGGATGCCTTCCGGACTACGAGTCGAAGGTATGGTGCGGATATGCACAGTGACATTCGTCGGGATTATCAGAGTCCTGGCTTTACAAAAACACCTGGTGGCAACCTATGCGGAAACCAGCAGTGCAAAAATAGGCGGAACTCAAACATGCAGTGTTCGGACATCGTCTTTGCGTCAGATCACTTGACGTGGGTTCGTCGAGCCGTTCTTTTGACAGCGTCGAGGACAAATTGGCAAATCTTCTCTGGGAAGTCACTATGACAGAATGATGAATGATGAGAATGATGGTACCAAATGTATGGATTCATGGATGTACCTGGTTGGCAATCTTTATTGTTCAGTTGGATGTACAACTTGAATGAATGGGCAATTATAGCGAACTTAATCAGCAGCACCAGCAGGCTGAGTATGCTTATCATATAGAGCCATCCGCTCTTGTAAGGACAGTAAACTGGGATGTACAGGTCCAGTGGCAGGTGCATTTAGTTTCCCTGAAGAACAGTACATGCTTCCTCCTGCCTGAAAGTGGTCTTTCTGCCCCGTTTGTCCAGCGCGCCAGGTCCACAGAGCTCCCATGCGCGCCGTAGGTGGATAACGACCATGACTGAGACCAACGCCTGCTATTATCAACCTTGTGACTCGGTTTTCTTGTTCCGCTTGCTCGTAGACCACGTTCAAGGGGCTAATAAAAGGGGGATTCAGCCCTGCCAACAGTGGGTTGTGGTGTCATTGGCCAGCGCAACGTCATGGAATGCCCCCATCCAGTTGTGGATTAGACTCCCTTGGCACTGATAAGCATAATCGTAGCTCAACGTCCTTCCACCCTGAACTTCTTATTCTTTTCCACTTCCCCTGCAACTCCGATATCATTGGCGATGACGCGAAGCAGCTTGAAGAAACTCCTTTCGTCATGGCTGCTTCTGCAGAGAGGGCGGCGTTGTGGCGATATCCGATCCCATTCCACCACGGCCAGCTATCAGTTGTCGTGGCAGAAGATGGCCTGGTGCTGGGGAACCACACCCAAACCGCTGCAACAACGACGTCTCGTGAAAGAACTAAGCCCATAATGTCCTTGGAGAGAGAATCATTCAGCATGATAACCAGGAGCAGTTTCAAAGGTGGCAATACCGGGCGACGCCTGAGCGGTGTTCCCCCGAAGCTGTTATCGGCCATTGTCCTCCCCCAAGAAGTATAACTGGTTACTGGCAGATCATCCAATCCTCCTGGCCTGACCGCCAATAGCCATCTGTAATGGTAAGGACTCGTCCTGTTTTGATACCCTTGAAATGTCGTCTTTTGGACGGGACCATTCCTGGGAAAATACTCCGTCTCCCACAGCGCTGCCACTCGGTACAAGGAGGAGCTTGTTAAACGAGGCATATGACGAGGTCGATGGAGGTCATCGATCGAAATGACTTTGCGAATAAAGGAAATGTACCTGGGAACTCCATACCTCGTTCACGAATTATGAAACCTTCCATTCTTCATCTGATTTTGAACCTGTGACGATAATGGCGCAGACAACTTTCGAGATTACAGTAGGATCCATATGGGGCTTGAGTCGGTGTTGCAGCATTCGGAGAACATGGTCTTCAGGTTTGTACCTCAGCCTTGCACTGTGTGGCATCTCCGGTGCCCTCCAACAACACACCTCATCTCCCCTAATTTTCAACCTCACGCAAAGCGACAAAGCGATGCACCTCCGGCGGCCGCCATTCCCATCGTGATATTTTGAACACAGGATCACTGTTAACCTGTGCTCTACGCGCCAAGGCCGATATCTGGTGCTTCCGTGAACGCCTCAGGGTATTTAGATCTCTCACTTTTGGCTGCGCCTCATTCTCTTCTTCTTCCTTCACCACCTTTCACTCTTCTCTCCATCCCTTCCATTCATCCATCCCATTCACACCCTTTACCGTTCATTCAAAGCCCTTGAACAATCGTTCTAACACCTCTTCCCCTCTCACATTCATTGTGACCGGGCTTCAACATCATGTTGCAGGTCGCACTCCTCATCCACTTGGTGGTGGTCCTTTTGGGCCTCACGCCTAAGTTCGCAGGCGCCACTGATCTGGCAACCTTTACGGTTACAGAGACAGCTAGTCAGGTCCTCTCCATTGTCCATCCGGTTACTGTCACTGCGACAGCGATTACCTCCAATGTCAGCTTGGTTGAATCGGTTGTCAACTCATCTGTTACCGCGACTCTCAGTTCAACTGTCTCTACCGGTTTGACCTCTAACGCGACAGTGACTGTTGGTACTACCACTTCCACTACAGCACAAGCTTCAGGTATGTGAAATTTGTTTACCTGAGTCAAAGTGAGATCGGCTGAATCTGACCCAACCGCAGTTGCAATTTCTACCGGAACCACCACTGTGACTCGTACCCAGTCCCTGACTTCCACTATTGGTAAGCATTGACCAAATCCTGCCAAAGAGTTCTCAAACTAACCACATCGCAGTTCTGGCTTCAAATTCCTCAACTGCGGCTTCTGCCAATTTGTCAACTGCGACTTTTGCCAATGCCTCAGTTTCAGATCACCCTACTGGTACGTCATTGTCTAGCGCAGCGCAGGCTGGGCTGCACAATCGCGTGTTTATAATGAAGGATAACAAAGCTGACAATATGCCTTTTACAGGTTCAGTCCTCCCACTTGCATCATTAGCTCCATATCACAATGTGACCGCCACAGTCACTGTGACTGCGAACTGCACTGACAAGAATGGTACTGCTGCTGGTCATACAGTGACCTTGACATCTTATGTCAGTGGTGGTCTGGTCTCACATACGAGCTTGACTTCTGTGTCTTCGGTCTCTGGTCACAATGTGTCAACTATGTTTGACCATACCACCTTGCCAGCTGTTGGCAGCATTCGTCCACTCAATGCGACTACTGCGACACAAGTGTTGACTGTGACTGTGAGCCCAGTGCCAGTCATGACATCTACTTCAGTCTCTGGTTCTGTCTCTACGTCCAGCACAGTTGAAACTCGTACTGTCTTGACTAGCAGTACTTCAACCATGACTGCCATCACCACCATGACTGCTACGCATGCAGCATTGACTGGCATGTCAACTCTGACATCGCCTCTGATGGTGACCTCTGCGGCCTTGCCCTCTTCGATGCTTTCTCTGGTCTCATCATCCATTGAATCTGTGTCCACATCAGCTGTTACTGCTACGACCGTGGTGACTAGCAGCATTACGAGCACCAAGACTGTGACCTCTTTGGCCAGCACCTCGAATGCTGTTCCCCCACCACCTTCTATGTCAACTGGTGCAGATGTGACCGTCACTCTCACCCTTACGAGCCTTGTTACAGTGGTCCCTCAGTCTCTTGTGACCTTAACTAGCACTATCGCGTCTTTTGTCACATCATCAAGCATTGTCTCACCTTCTTTCGCGACATCTACTCAGGAGGACACCTCGACTACTGTCACTAAAACTCTGACTGTCGTGGCATCCACCCCTGTCACAACCAAGACTTTAACTGTTGTTGCAAACGCCACCACCACTGCGGTCAACTCTACTCAGTCCTTGTCTACGATTACAGCGCTTACCACTGTCACTGAATCCCAGTCCATCTCTGTCATTGGCGAGAACCAGACGGTCACTGTCACTGAGGCTGCTACCACCATTGTCTTTACGACTTTGAGCACTGCTTTGACTGTGTCTGGAAATGCATCTTCTGCAGCTTTCGGAACTGGCAATCGTACTGCTATGGGTGGTCCTACAGGGTCTGCTTTTAGCACTGGTTTTCCGACTGTTGTCCAGGATGGCAGCATGAGCTCGCGTGTTATGCCTGGCCCTGTTCCTGAGTCTGCCTCACCATCAGTCTTTCCACCCATTACTCCAGCCACAGGTGGTTCCAACCGCGCCATGACACCCAATAGTGTCTTTAAGGTTCTCAGCCGTTTTGCCGCGTTGGTTCAGGGTATCAAGTTTGTGCAGTCTGCCAATATCGCGAGCAATAGCAGTGGTATTGTTATTATCCACGGCAATGGTACTTCCAGCACCTCAACATGTACCGACATCACCACTTCTGCTATTCGCGGTACTATTGAGAGCATGGCGCCTGCGATTACTTCCACCGTGCCTGGTGCTGGACCTGGTGCACCCACTACTACCATTCATCCGGTTGAAGGTGATGGTCATGGCCAACCGCTGTCCCTAGGCACCGTTGTTATTGTTGGCACTCTAGCTCCGGCTCAGACTACTTCTTCTCTCAACTCAACCTTCACTCTTCCCTCTACTTCTTCTTTGGTCACCAACAACAACAACCATTCAACCACCACTGTTACAGCGGTTGTTACTGCAAAGACCACTGTTCCAGTTCTTCTCAATACCACTGTTCCTTCGATTTCATCCTCCGGCACCGCCGCAGTTTCGAACTCCTCGTCCCTCTCATCTCTGACCACCTCTGCTCAAGATGGACCCTCTTCGAGTTCGCATTCTAGTGGATCTGATCGCGTCAGCACTGATCTTCCTAGCAGTGTCGCGCGCTCTAGCCTCTCTTCCATGGGTACGAATTCCAGCCCAGTTTCTACTGTTGATTCACCTGTTCCTTCTATGCATCGAACTCTCAATGGATCCACAGATGCTGCGTCTAGCACAATGGCGATGGGACCGAGCTCGAGCTCGTCGTCGCAATCAGGAGGACGAAATGAGACGTCGGGCTTTCAACTTGGACAACTTGCGGGCGGATTGGGAGGCTCTGGCACCTCTGGCGCAGGCGCAGGCACCCAACAACAACCTACGCCGACTGTGACTACTCCCTCAAGCGGTCCAGATCCATTCAACTTTTCCACGATGATCACTCACTCGAACTCGGCTTCTTTTTCTCTTCAGATTCAGACAATCTTTATCAACTCCAGCTTGTCGGTTCTGACGTCCACTCTCACTCTTTCGCCGTCTATTAGCAGCACCTCTGTGACTGCGCCCTCTGCGACCGTCCCCTCTACGGTTATTTCTCCTTCGGTTTCTTCTTCTTCAAGCGAACCCCTTCCAACTCTGCCCTCCAGCATGAGCACGATCGTCGAGTCGACTTCAACTCCTCACTCTCATTCAATGACCTCCACCGTCATGATCACCTCCACGAGCACTACTTACACTAGTGGACAAGCTCCTGTGGCGACGATTACCTCAAGCACCAATGAGACACCCTCGGCCTACGCTACTCGTCTGGCCAAATCGTCAATCATGTGGATGGCCATTGTTGCCGCTGGAGTCTGGATCGGGTTGTGATTTCGGATCTCTGATCTGTGTCTGGTCTTTGCTGGTTTCTTGCAAACACACTTTCAACTTCTACCTGCACTTTTTACTGCATTGAATTTGCATTGCATTGCCACCAAACAACCTTCCACCTCACGGCATACCTCACTTGACTTTCACCTTGTGTCTGTTGTGTGTGGATGGGTGGACGAACAACTATCGGCAATGGCACTCACTACTGCAGTCTACTTACTGGTCTTCTGTGTGTTTCGATGCAAGGCGGCAGAAAACAGAACAGAAGAGGGACGGATCCAGCATCGATCCTGCATATGGCTTGCTTGTTCTTGCCTTTTTTCATATGTCTTGTTCTGCTTTCAACTTTTCGGCCATCCTCTGTCGGAGCCCCTGCGGGAGGGTAAACCGATATGATTCGCCTTGTTTTGCTTTTTCTCAGTTAGTATCCAGGCCATCCTCTGTCGGAGCCCCTTCGGGTGGGTAACCGGTATGATGGTCTTGCAAATGTGGCTTGTTCTGCTTTTCTCAGTTAGTACTCAGACCATCCTCTGTCGGAGCCCCTCCGGGTGGGTAACCGATAAGATGGTCTTGCAAATAGTCTTCCGAGACAGAAAATTCATTATGGTTTGTCCATAAAAGTAGTTCCGCTCTGTTCCTCCTCTCTATTCGTACTAGAGTTCCTAATCTTCCTCCTCCTCCTGTGCGTCTGCGATTCCTGTTGCTGTTCCTGCCTGGCCTCGTCGTCTTCCATTTCTATTCATCGACTCCTACTACAATTCAACACCTGCTTACTTGCGTCCTGATCGTCTGCCTTGCTAAGATACGGTGCTAATCATTGACTACTACTACTACTTCTTGCCTGCTATTTGCCTCTCGATCGCCACATACGCCCGTGAGTCGTGACCCAACTAATCCTGCTTAACATGCTTGCCCTGTTTCGACTTCGCCAGTATACCATCTGAGCTTTCCCTGCCCATGTCCTCAATCTTACGAATCAATCCTTCCCTTACCGAATCGTGTTGTCGGCCCAGCTGGACCTCAAAATCCACCGTGCTGCTCCGTAGGTCGGCGCTTTGCGTTCCGCCAATGCTTTGTTTGTCGTGGCCCTGATGCTCCCCATCGATGTGCTTGAGTTGCTGCAGGTCGACGTCACTCTTCAGTGCGGAAAGACTGCCAACACAATCCCGATACATGTTCGTCCAAGCACCTGTGTTTTCCCTTGGCTCGTCTCCGCGGGTACCGGTGAAAGACTGCTTGCCTACAAGACGACCATGTTGCAATTCCCGGGTCGCAGCTTGGTTTCCTTGCAAGCCTGATCGAAGAGGTCGAGAGTCACGACTGCCGTCATGTCCCGGTATGATTTCCAGTTCTGGATATTCAACGCTGCCACTCATGCTGATGCTGCTCCTATGTCCATAGGTCTGCATATACGCCCTCAACTCGGAGCTGCTGCTCCGATATATCTTTTTCCATCTTCCAACAAACCCTTTACCACCCTTCCTGGTGCCATGGCTTAGAAATTGAGGCTCGTTCACGCTACTCCGCAGCAGATCCAGACTCTTGCTTTTCCCTTTGTCGATGCGACCCTTCCTCCCAAAGGGCAGTCGCCTCCAAGATGGTGGGGCAGGTAAGCTCAGTGTCAGGGTTGACCGGTTCCAGATCGCCTGCGCTGCATTTTCGTCAACGCACTCCAAAGCAAAATCACGGACTGCAACACCATCTCTTTCGCCAGCAGAACCACTCCTCACATCTCGCGAGTGGCTAGGAAATCGACCCCATAAACCCAGCAGATCTCGAAATTGAGTACCGGCTCCGTGACGTCTCTCGTCTTGCCTCGTCCCGCTGACGATTGTGAACCTCTTGCCGAGGTCCAATATGCTCCTCTTCTTGAGAACAGCTTTCTCCGAAGACTTCTTTTTGACCGGTCGCCCAACGGTCAACTTGGGAATACTTCGCTTCAACCCTACGCCACGTGGTTGGCCGGACGAGTCTTCGGTCTTCTCCTCGCCCGCAGAAGCTGGGTACTTGCGGTCCACATGCAGGATTCTGGTGTCTGGAACATCCATCTGCTCTGCCGTTGTGGTGTCTCTATCACATGCGGTTGCGCTGTGATGGCTAGATGTTGAACTTCTCCGCCGGCCCTCACGATCAAATTTTGGTGCCGTAAGAAACCCACCCAACGATGTCTCGTTGGGCTCTTCCATTGCACGTTTCAACGTCCGCCGCCACATGTCGGTGGTGGTCTCTTGGGATAAAATCTCGCTGCCCTTGAGCGGAGTCCTCCCAGAGCCAGATATTGTCCTTCGACGTCCATTATTTGGGAATGGATCAGAACTGGTACGAGGCCGTCTCTCTGTGGACCAAAAGGGATCCAACTCTAGCCAGGCAGGTTTTTCATTCCCCTTAGAGGATAGTATGGCAGGGCCCACGTCGCTCATCCTTTCATTGTACGAGTCATGAACTGCTTGGACACTGAGCTCTGTAAGCCGCTCTCTCCTAGCATCTTGTAACTGCTCTGCGCTAATCTCACTTAAGGCCTCATCGTCCTCTGTCGAGTGGAGCTGCAACTTCCTTCGGATAGGTATCGATGTTGAAGGACGTGGCCTGTCACCGGTGGGCATGCTTGCACTTCGATGCCTCTGCGTAGAGGCCTGTAAACGATCGTTGCCTTCGCCCTGACGTTGCAGTTGCGAAGAGTTCCGTCCAAACCACGCATTCTCTGCGGCAACCGAGGCATGCGCTATGCTGCCACCGGATGACCTCGCAGGCAGACTCATGGAATCTGATCTTCCGGCCACTGCGATGCTGTTTGGGTTCCGTCTTGGATTGGATGGTGTTCTCCTATTGCCGCTACTCACTTCGCCATCACTCCAGTAGAAGGAAGAGGCGTCATCACGGGTGACCGCTCCTTTTACGGGTTCATAACAAGCGGACGCACCAGCAGAGAGCACACTCTTCAATTGGGAACTGGCCTTTTCCGTGGAGATGCCATTTTCGAAAAGTCGCCGAGTACGGGGATCCGACGGTCGTCGATTGTGCTCAGTTGCGATCCAGCTAGGATGTCGTTCGCTCAACGATAGCCGACTAATAGCTGGTCCTGCATCAGCAGACTGAATCTTGTATTGCTCAATGCTTGTGCGGCTTGTTTCTGGTCTGGAGCCGTCTGCTGTGATGGAAGGACTCGCAAGTTGCTGGGATATCCTCATATTGTAGAGATGCACCGAGCTTCGGTCAGAGTCTGCAAGTGATGGCATGTCCCTCTTCAGACCACCTTGATCAGGGGCGATCGATGCGTTCGCCGAGCCTTGTTCAGCTTTTCCAACTTGTCGTGGCACTCGATCTTGGCCAACGCTGCCTTCTTTGCAAGACGTTCTCTCAATGGAGTCCTCCAGGTCATGTTCGCCGAATTTTGAGATGAAGCAGATTAGGCTGCGATCCAGATTCGGGAGCAGGCCGTCACAGAAGTTCCCATCATGCGTAGTAAGGCTTTCTGCCTTTCTAACAGTGGCAGCCAGCCTTCTCAGCGCTTTTCTGAATTCCGTATCATACTGTTGACTATCTCGCTTAGGCAAATCATCCATCTTCTCCTCTGCACATTTCTGGGAGCCGTCCAGTAAGTCAGGTGCATCGGGTAATTTGATAGTTCCAGTTGCAAGTCCTTCGCTGAGCCGCTGCAGGGCCTTGGTTGGCGATCGTTTGTATTCCTCCATCACAATTCCGACGAATGACGGCTTCGAGGAGCTGGGGTCTGTGGTGCGGTTCGTGTCGGCCGGGTCTGTGGCCAGCTCTTCGCCTTGCTCTCCTTGGGCCACCGCTGCTGCAATTCCAGCAGCCAATCCTGAATCGTCACAGGATATCTCGATTTTAGCTGGCGACTGGGAGCTGGGTTTTACTGCGGCGTCACCATCCGTGAGCATAGCCGTGTGTATACTTCTGGCATCACTATCATACCCGGCCTCACTTCCTGCGCGGGACATCAAGAGTTCAAGCAGACCGGTAGACCGTTGGCTTACACCAGCTTCCGGAATGTCCATTCCCAGTGGTTGCAGGGACATGCCAGACGATTCGCGAGCAGTTTCACCCGAGACGTGCTGTTTCAAGCTGGATTTGCTTAATTTTGACTCCGACAACTTCTGTCTGATATGGCTGCCCAGCTGTTCCAACCTTCCGGGCTGCTTCTGCTCGGGCCCTGTAGGCCCAAACTTGAAGTCGACATCAAGAGAGTATTGTCTCTTGACGGGCAAGGCTGAGGATTGGGATGCGGTGCGATATCCGCGCACGGAGGGCGAGGACCGAAAGATTTGACGCAAGGCATCCTTATCTGCGACATTCGACGGGGAAGGGCCGGGCGCATGGGGAACGGTCGTGGCAGGTAATTGTACTGACAGAACAGAGGCCGGATGCTTAAGATTGCGCAGATCGGACGCTGGGGGCTCCTCCGGGTTACGAAGGCCAAAACAGCATAGTAAGGGAGAAAAGAGCTGTTTGATGCCACGCATATCTGCGGCGTCACACGGGAAAATGGGATGAAATGAAATTGGATGAAAGGCAACAAATGTACACTGGTAAGCTCTGTGTCTGCACGAAGAATCTGCTGGAAAAAGAAGGGAGGAGGGACTTCACCCAGGGCTTTGATACATACACGCTCCGGAGACATGATGAAAAACTTGAATGGCATTGAAGCTTTCATCGTGGGAAATGGCAGTCATGGAAGGAGCATAAGGCTGCCACGACAAGAAGGAGCAAACTGCTGCTCGGCATCCACTAACGCCATGACTGGCGCTTGATTCAACCCAACGCGTTCAGGAGCTTGATTCTTCGGGTTTGACAATGCGACGCAACGAGGGGATAGCCTGGATCGTGGTTACTGGGGATTCGCGCGACACGCCAACATGATCGTCAGGTTCATCCTCGAAGGACTCTCAACAGGGAGAGCATAATTCGTGGGCAATCGCTGCCCATGATCGGAAGCCCCCTCTCCAGCCCTTATATATGAAATGTTCCGCGTCCGCAGATACAGTACTAACCTTTGGCCATCTGTCTATTCGGTTGAAAGCGTAGTCCAAAGCTTTTGTAGAGCTGACTGGCCTCCCCAGCTTCTCGTTTCGTTGGACTTTGAGCTGCCACGATTTGCGGCGTTAATGTGTTAGCGCCTGAACGTAATACTATGGCGGATTTTATGGTCTTGAAGTGCTGTTTCCCTGCCACCACGACCTTGAACTTGAACCCAGTACGCGTCTGATACACCATGGCACACCGCACTTGCTTTGAATCGAAAGACTGAATCTGTGCACTTACGCGCAGAAATCCATGGTCACGAAGTAAGTGATCTGTATCCGTTCCTCCCACGCTGACGGCAGGGAATCTCCATGGAACCCATACAAGAAGCCGGGCAGCCTATCTCTCCTAGAGCGTGATGGCCAAAATACCGCCCCAGGCCGTAATAATAGAGGAGCTGGGATCCGATGGTCGCCCAAGAGCCGTCCTTAGGTGTTCTCCTGAGACTGGAAGACTACAAACGTCTCTTCCGCCCTCGTACAGCTCTCCGAGGACAGGAACTTCAATACTGAACAAGTGCATGAGCCCCTTTCTTCCGGCAGGATATCCCTCCACTGTCACACCAGACTACACACCATATCAAATATACGATTCGCTGCAGGCATTCGCGTCCACGATTGCAGGTCTCCTTGCATCGAGAGCAGTCTTTGTCGGGATGGGCGTCGGGTCCGAAGAGGCATCAGTCCTGACCACCATGTTGTTATACATCGCTCAAGAGACCGTCGGTCGGGTTGCCACGATTTTGTTCGCTCATCAGTTCTCCCAGCGCATCGAAGCCGAGGTCAAGTTCTACCGATTCTTTGCTGATATAGTCAACGACGTTGCCTTTGTTCTCGATTGCATGAGCCCTGCGATGCCAATATTGGGCAGGGTGGTCACTTTATGTTTGAGCAACGCGTGTCGAGCAGTATGCGGGGTTGCCGGTGGGAGCAGCAAGGCCATCTTGAGCTCTCACTTTGCAAAGGCTGGCAATATAGGAGAACTGAATGCCAAAGATGGCAGTCAGGAGACCGTGATCAGTCTGCTGGGCATGTGGGTGGGCGGTGTGGTTGTCAGCAAAGTCCATGGCACTCTTGCGACGTGGTCATGGCTGGTCCCGCTCCTGGCTCTCCATCTCTGGGCCAACTGGAAAGCTGTGAGAAGCGTGCGACTCAACTCCTTCAACACCAACAGGGCTCTGGTCTTCTTTCGTGCAGCACTTGAAGGTCGAACCTTGGACATGGAGCAAGTCGCACAGGAAGAGACCGTCTTAGGCTGGCCAGCAGCCTCGCGCGGCATCTATGGTCTTGAGCCCTGCTATTTCCAGGTTGGTTCTAGTGTACAGGACCTGGTGCATAGGGTGTATGCCGGAGCGGATCAACCGTCGCAACCCGCTAGCACTGTGGGCCACTTGGTCCAACTATTCTGCGACGAGGATTACTTGCTCTGGTTTGACATCGAAACTGGCGAAGCATTGGTCCTGTTGAAGGACACAGCAACCGGAATCACACAAGCCAAAGGCTTATGTCATATGCTTCGCTGTTATGTGAAAGCGCGGACTCTCACCCAGGCTACAGGCAGAGACGTCTCAGAAAGAGTAGACGAGTGCCAAGGGACAGATAATGCTCCTGAGACAGCATCGGCGTATTTGACTACCCGCCATCGCCGCTGCTTTCGATTACTCGCCGATGCTCTTCACGAAAATCGTGAGCAGTGGAGCGTGATCCGGGAGCAAGCCGAACGAGCCGGCTGGGATCTTGGTCTTACCAACTTGACCAAGACACGAGACAGGCGTGTTCGAGCAACCGGCTTTGTAGAGGACAAGAAGGTCCGATAACACAAGCCATGGCCTGTCCCGGCCAAATACCTCGCAGTTCGACCCGTCGGGTCCATTATTGTACGTGGTCCTCATTCCTGATACATGAAATGTCGCAAAGACGATGGAGTAACTACACCATTGTTGTCGCACACGTGTCTATGGACACCACTTTTGGTCAGCGCCATGAAAATGTACAATGTTGTAGGCCCGTAGGCTGGGCCCCTGGCGAAGGAGAATATTTTCACAAGCGGACCTGGATGAACATGGCCCGAAGCCTTCCCGGGGTCCCGTGCACATCACGCTTTGCAAAAATTCCGCCGATAGTACAGCAATCGCCATCGAATGGCAAGATTGGCGTGTGGAGTGCCAATTTAGGCAACATTCCAGAAGGCCGAGGAATGTGTCTCGGATCCGTGCCTGGTCAACAGTGGGTTTTGGTGTCATGGTTTCCACTGTGGCGAGGGTATGCTGGGCACGATGCCTGAGTGATGTGCTTGACTGGCCGGCATTCAGCCAGCATAATTCAGGAAGAATAGTGATAATAATGATACTAGCACAGTAATAATACCTGCCGTTACATCAAACACAGATTAGTAGAATTCGAAAAGGCGCAGCTGTGTGCGAACACATGGACAATGTAAGCAAGAGGCGCTGGTCCACGGAGCTGACCGCCAGGGCAACAGGCTGCCACTTTTCATCTTGGAGCTGTTGTCTGGCCAGCTGAAATGCATCGTTTCGAATTGACTACGTCGCTTTTACCACAAGATGCCAGGATCATTCGCTTGCAGGGCAAACATTGCATGGGCTCGTGACGCCGAGAATACGGGTTAAACATGGTGTGCAGTCAGACAACCGCTGAGGCAGCCTGTAAAAGTAATGCCAACTGCCAGGACGGCCACGTTGCAGTTGACACGATGATACGATGAATTCTCCCTGGCCGTCAAGGATCACTGGCAAAATATTATGAGACAACGTGGCAAGCAGTGCCTCCTTTTTTGCTTTCCAGGGTGTATGAGTATTCCCTGGAACAAAGGCGGTCACAGTAGGAATCCAGCTAGACGCAGCCCAAGCGGAACTAGGATCGTGACGGTGGACCACAACACAAAGCCCAAATGAACGCGTTGGGCGGGAGCCGGATACGCATTCCTGCTCTTGTCCAGTAGGATGCTTTGGCCCAGGCAGGATGCAGAGTTTCAGAATTCCACCAGCGGCAGAGGATGGGTGCAGACGCTTTTGTGGGCATTGGTGGCGAGCATCTCGCATTCCCATTGAGCGAGGGTTGAGGAAGGGCGTGCTAGCTAGGCCTCATGTCAGCGCCGTGGTTTTCCAGCGGATACATCACTGGGACGAAGCGGAGGATGGTCAGCTTCAGCATAGGTGTGCTCGTCATTGTCGACGAGATGGGTCATAGATGGCTGTTCAAAATTGGTAGCTTTGCGGACATAGTAGTACTGCTCAGACATTTGGCAAGACCATACAATGGTAGGCTGGATCACGGGAAAACGCCGGTGATCTTCTGGAAAACTGGTAGAAGACTGAGGTGAGGACCAGCTGCACCTGCTACTAGAAGTGGCAGCAGCCTAGAAGGCGTGGAACGGCGTCTTAGGCTGTTGGAAGCTTTGGAGAAGTAATAGAAGCCCCAACGACTAGTACCTAGGTAGTGTTCTAGAGGATTATTTAGGCGGAGATCTCTGCCTGGAGCAAACAAGATTCGTCACTATTCTCGCCAGTGGCTGCAGTGACGGGGCCGGGGTGCCTGATGACATGTTGGCATCGCGCCCTCTGGCTTCGATGGCCGCAAGCAGCTGGACGCAGTCTTTTGCTTTTCTACGGCGTATACCACTACGTTCGTCTAATCTCCCATCTGGAATGGTTAGATATCACACGAGTTCAACAGCATCCGCATCCGCTCGACGGAGGAACACTAGTCTATACCAAGATATGACGCTGCAAACCTCGTCATAGGCTGAGATCTGACTTTGGCATTATTACATCCACTAGCACAATATGATCCTCTCGTTTTGGCGACCGAATCTGATCAGACATCATCGGTGGTCCCTCCATCTGCCTCGCAACCCAATCTTATCCCCAATGCCCCCATCGGACCCCAGCGAGTGCCTATTAGGCTTGCCCCTAACGATGCTTTGGGCATCGCCCTTGGGGCCTAACGACTGATGTTGCACTGCGAAGTTTGCTTGTGCGTGTACCTGTAACGAACCCATTCCTGCCCAGTGCGCATCGTGCTAGTTCATAACTTTTCCGTTGTGCCTGCGCCTGCGCTGCGACTAGGCCCTAACGACTGATGAACGTGCGCTTTTCCCCCTTCATCCTTCTATTGCACCATCATCATCTCTTCTTCGGTTTCCTGGGTTTCTGACTGTACAAGCGCCCGCAACAAGACCGAGGACGCAGAGTTCTCCGGCCCATGTTCCGACGCTCGTCTCGAGACCCTTGTAGCAACAACAAGTCTCAGCATCACACGAGTCAGCGCTTTCACCCTCCACCAGGCTTGTTTTCCACCACCTCTTTATCGATTTACCAGCCGTTGAGATCGACTCTCCACTTCTCAGGCTCCTATCATTCAGTCCACCACTGTGCGCCCGTATCCATTGGCGATGACTGTGCCGAGGCCGTGATTCACCGATCTGCCTAGAGGCCATAACCATCATTTTGAGTCCTCGAGAAGCGGTTCCTTACTACTAGTATTCGCTCCACCTCATCGTGATCACCTTAAGCCGATGTCTGTGCTGAGTTTGGCCGAAGACTTGAATCAATCGCTCCTTCATCATCGCACAGTCGCTCTCTGACACATCTCGCACTACAATCGACGAAACCATCCTCCCACCGAAGGCTCAGTTGGTGACCGCATCGACATTGGATCGTTCTGAAGTCACTACATGCCACTGACTGACTGCTGCCCTTGCCGTTGACATCGGCCACGCTTTTGACGGCTTCTAGAGCCAACATCGAATAGACGCACGACAGTTTGTCTGGAACTCATTCGCCCCGAAATCGAGCCTGTCACGCATCCGACGTGCGCTCCCGCCTCTGATTTTGCTGCAAAGCGGCTTCCCACCTGATCGCCTGTTGCACAACGTCCTTCTGTGACACAAAACGAAGCTTGCTGTACATCCAGAGTCTCGGATACCCGCAGCGGAACGAAAGCCCTCGCGCAGCTTTGCGGACGTGCGACTTTGGCTGCTGGGTCTTAAGAGAAGTGAAAGACAATCCTTAGTGACCGCAAGGGCTTCAAGCTGGATTACAAACGGTCGGCTGCCGCTGTTTCGCATCACTGTGCCAGATCAGCACGCTGGGAATACATTTCCGCACTTAGCCTTGTCGCTCTTCCAAAGTCAATTGGGGCTGCAAGTTGAGCGCAATGATTAAAAAGAGGTCCACCAAAATATCTTGGCCATATACACCGGAACCTTCACCTCGCCTAGGACCATCTTTGTATTCGTTGGAGGATATTTCGGAGGATTTTGATATGCCTGGCGACGAAGGCACCCGGGCTCGGCCCATCAGCATGGTGGGCAGGAAGGAAGGCATCCTGTCTCCGGCCCGGCCCACGCTGGAAGACGTCCTTGCCAACAAAGCACCATCGCCCTACACACTTGCAGCTTATACCGCTTTTCTGTCCCAGCAGCACTGCCTTGAGACCCTGGAGTTTACGACGGAAGCCAAGAGGTACGCTGATAAATTTGATGAAGCATCAGCCAGTTTGGCAGGAATGCCGATCACGGTGGACACGCAAGAAGGCTGGGAATTGATTCAAGATTGGATCCGTATTCTCGACATCTATGTCAAGCCCGGGGCACCTCGAGAAATCAACCTACCGGCAGAAGAGCGAGATGTCCTGATTGAGCAGCCCTACGAACTACGGCCACCGCGGCCTGAGAAGCTCGATCCCGCCGTGAAACGCATGTATGATCTGATGTCGGATTCCATATTCATCCCTTTCTGCAACAGCCTCCAACAGCTACCTTATGCTCAGACCTACGACGCCCTCTCAAATTATGGCAACCTTGGTAGTCTCGATCCACCTCGGTTAACCTACGACGAGCGTTCAATGCACCGGCAAATGGTGTCCTCGCGACGAAGGCGGTCACCGCCCAACACCTCGGCCGGCTCGCTAGAAGGTTCCCGGTCGTCTACGTCGCAATACCACCCAACTTCATCCTCGTCACTTTCATCCGCCTTCGGTCGCCAGAGTGGGGCACGGTTAACTCACCATATCTCTCCTTCGTCGGCAGTGTCAGAAAGTGCTTTGACGGACAGTAGTGGTGGACCGGAGAGTCCCCCAGCCGGAGAGCCCGAACTGGTCATGACTCCACCAACGACGCCTCCGACGAGCGACCTCGGAGTGAGTGGGACAAGCCAGTTCGGCGCGGCGACATCGGGCCATACAGCAAAAACACATCGAAGTGAGAGCGGTGGGTGGAAGAAGGCGATGAAACTGTTTGGGGGAAGCAAGAAGAAAAACGGAAGTTCGGATGGATGAGGAGACGAGGGCACGGGTTTAGCAGAGGACAGTAATCTACACAGCATAGGGCTGGCAGGCTGGAGAATCATCGCTATCTCCCCGTCTGAGGCATACTACAGGCGTTGATAAGGAAAGATAAACCGGCAGCATAACGGACAGGGAACGTCCGATCTGAATGGGTTTCATGATGCGGCTACGAGACACGATTTGGCATGCGGCGTTGGTTGGGATTTTGGGATTGTTACTATCAAGTGCATCTCTTTCTTTTTGGGGGGTCTGCCCTGCTGATGGACAGCATGGAGACCTCGCATTTGATTTGCGACAGATGAGGTTATTTGACCTGGAGGGACGGATGTGTCGATGGTCACGCAAGGGTAGAGGTGACAATGTAGGCATACGGCGCTGTCTACCACCTGTGCCGGGAATAATACCCGTAGCCAGTGACTAGCGATTACAAAATCGGGCCTCTCTGGGCCTGGATTGTCAATGTATAGTGGTAAATCCCCCGATCCTAATCTGAATCCAGTGTGATGACCCAGAAAATAGTCCTGTAATTGCCATATAATTCGTTGGACTCCTCTGCGTCCTCGACAGTCGGACGCCATCCAGATACTAGTCGCCCATTGATAGTAGTGTGTTCGATGCAGGGCGGCCGCCGTTATTGGAAGCTAAGTAGAACACACGGACTGTATAGCGGTCAGTGTTCCACCTTCTTTGATAGGGCTCTAACGGTTGCTGAACCCCTATGACGACTTGACGATTGGGAGATTCCGGGTGTCGACGATGATGCTAGTGGCGTTGCACTTGACGGCGCTATTCACCGGTTGATAGATTGATCTGCGTACCAGAGGTCGGTACAAGTAGGTATCTTGGTAAGATGGACTGCTCGAGTTACATCCCCTGAACGGATCGGAGGAGGTCGTTTTCGTAGAGGACGCAGTGTGAGGCTGGTGGTGGAAATAGTATCACGTGAGATCAAAGAAGTCACGTGAGATATTGCTGAGTCATCTCTGCTGGGGATGTGCGCCCCGCCACAACTTGTTCACTGGCAGCTTGAAGTGCGTCTCCAGCTCCCCCTCAACTTGTTGATCGTCTCACCGTATCTCTCTTCCCTGCTCTCTCATGATGATACTTGCCTAGCAGGGCCGCTTCACGTATACTTTGCTTCTGGCGGGTCTGGTTCGTCCCGGCTGATGGCATCCCAGCTCAACGTTTTGCGTGTTTTGCTTTCATGCGGCGGTGATGATGGAGGACTTGGAAGCTTCATGGCAGACCCAAGAGTTCAGTGCTGTTTCCATGCTAATAAACATACCCAGATGCACCTCCATCATCCCTACCACCAGCCTCCCATCCCTCACGTCGCGTCAGGGTGCATCCTAGCATGCATCTGGAGTCGATGATTCATCGTTGCATCGAGTACAAATGATGCCGAAAATAGAGAGCAGCGAGACACGATTGTACTCAGCTGAACGGCTTCTAGACTACCAATACTTGCCTCCTGTCAGTCATCAGCTTCGCACCATCGGACTGCACAAGACTACTAACCCCAGCTTTCTTACCATTCCCTTGCATGTATCCTCTATGGCGTCTCGGACGTCGGGTCGATTTGAGCGCCCCAAGAGACTTGATTGCCTCTCTGACAGGTGGATCTTCGATCTGAATTGCCCAGATGCGGCCCACCGATTGGTCTACATGGCAGGGGCTTGATCCCACGACAAGGGACACCAGCTACACCTTCTTTCGACCATCGACGCTCCCTTGTCGCTCAAACCCCTTCTGCCTCTGTTTTCGGCCTTCTCGGAGCCATTTCGCAAGGACAATTAAACAATTCGAAAAGCTCGCTGGTGATTGCAGGAACCCCTTTTTCGGCCCGCTTCTTGAAAACAGCCATGCGCGGATGTGGCTGCGCCAAACCAACCTCTCGGATCGTGTCATGCAGAGTTTGACATAAAGTAAACGAAGCATACTGACGTCCATATGCATGCCACCTGAATCCAGCAGTGACCCTCCTCCGTCATCGATGCTGCAAATAATATACATACTTTCCCTTCTCCTACAGGCTACCGCTTCTCCATGTTCTTTCGCACCATGATTCTACTGCCCAATGCCCCGAAAGTATTCCCATTGTGCAGTCTTAGCAGCCCATTCCAGCCATATCCCTTATCTTCCCAGTGATCAGCCTGTAGATGGTTTCTCATCCTTGACTGTTTCCCCGCCATGTCTGACGCCACAGCTTGCTGACCCGCCCTCCAATGTGAAGCGTGCGCTGCGCTCACCCACGTTACCATCTGACGAGCAAAATACACTGTCATCCTACGATCGAACTTCTGCCAGGAAAGGGCAACCACAGTCAGGCTTCGGCAATATGCCAGGACGACTACTGGATAACATTTCCAACCCACGACGACCGAGGCTGATCTTGGATTGGCACGGAGGCATCGAGGACGATGAACCTCACAGCAAGCACTCTCAGCGTTATCAATCAGTGTCGATGCAATCGCGCTCCTCGCCTGGTCTTCCTTCGTCTGCATCGTTCGAACCCTACATCGAGAAAGAGGTGTATCTTCCTCACTTAGACCTGCAGGTTTCTGAACAGAATACACCCACAGGCACAAACGCCCCAACCAGGCTCGCCCGTCCTAGACCAATGAGCAGCCAAAAATTTCAGCCCAGAAATGATGTGGAATCGTTTCAACAATTGCGCGACCAACGTGGCCTCCGCTCGCCGTCCCGTAGCCACGGGGGTGAACCACTTCTATCCGTCCAAGAATTCCTCGACTCTTCGCCTAGCCTAAAACAAAACATGTCCCCTCGATCACGCCAATCTTCCACCATGTTTCCAGCGCCGTATAAGTACCAGGAGCCCCCACAGTGTCCTCCGCTGCACAACAGGAAAAACAAGAGTGGTTATATGATGTGGGACCGACAGCCTGCGAACCACCTACGACGCCAAAGGACAGACAGCTTTGGGGACTCTTCGGGTGACGACATCGACTTTGTCCACGGCTCTCCTGTGACCACAGTGCAAGGACTTACACCAAGGGTTACGGTCTGGTCTGATGAAAAGCTCCGGCAGCGAAAGATAATGGACCTTACACGGGAACTGGAAATCCTGACAGGTCAGAAGGTTCATGATACCCGATGGGATGAAGAGTCGGCACAACCACCCCATGGGAAACAGACAGGGAAAAACAGACGGAGTTTTGGGCTCTCCGACCAAGACGACAGCGAACTCAGCGAGCTCGATGGGGTGGAAGTACGTCCTCTTCGCAGATATCGGTCGCTCTCACGAACTCGGTCGAACAACCTCCGTCGACCATCGGAGGATCGTGATTCTGTCTTCCTGGTTCCTGACGACCAACTCAGTCCTTTGACTCCACACTCGACGCGGTCTCTCGATTCCATGGTAAAAGAGAAACCCACTTTGGCAACCACACCGGACAGCCAGACTGTAACCTATTCGAAGCCCGGAGGTGGAGACTACTTCTCGTCAATGCGCCCAGGGGTTGCATATGTGTCTAAACGGTCTGCGGACCATCTCAGCAGAACCTCCGCGAAAGACTCTCCACGAGCAGTTCGAGAGGCGAACCCTGTCACTTCCAATCGTGTCGCCACGGCAATCGGCCCGGACCTCGACTCTCGGCCCCGCGTACGTCGTCACAGTGTATCTGCCGCTGATCGGTCGGAGCAAAGCTCAGAAGGCCCTGAACTGGGAGCAGCATTGCGCCATGTGTACGGCCTACAGAGGGAAAGCCGCACCCCGACCCTCAACTTTCGACCCTCATTTCCAGTGTCTGCTACTAGCAACCCTTCACAGGCCTCACCAACATCGCCATCCGTTCCGCGCCAGCAAGTCGCAAGCTCAACGATCACACACGGATCATCCACACCTCCGTTTGGCGTCCCCAGCATCGTGCGCAATCCAGAAAAGATAGCAGCCATCAATGCGGAAGCCCAGAGGCGGTCATCGGCTACACCGATCATGAGAACCACAGACATGAGGCAGGCCGTCAGCACACCGGCCAAGAAACGACAACGACATCTCCTGCACAAGCTCTCGTTTATCCGGAGTAGAAACGCAAGTGTGACAGAATTATCCTCTCCATTGCACGGCTTCAATCTTGAGAACAACCGGAGCGTGGACAGAATCGGAATGAAGCAGTCCAAAGGCCGAAGGCTGTCGATGCCAACAGAAGAGGAGGAAACGGGGCAGAATTGGCTGTCGGGATCGTCGAGCTCACCAAGAGCTGTTGCATCTCAGCGCGGAAGTCTCGATACCGGGCCCCGATGTGCTCCGAAGATGAGGGAGCAAACAGATAATGTCGAAGGGCAATTTATTCCCGATGATGACGATAAAGACCATGGCGATCTCGGTGTTCGTGCAGCGGCGGACAAGTCGACGTCACGGAATACAAGCAGGACCATGCCATCCCAAGCACCGCCACCAACCGTGAAGAGCAGATTGCGGGTCGACCTACCTCCGCCGCGACAAAGATACGGGATCAATCGGTATGACGAAGATTGGGATCATAATGATAATATTGACGAGCTGGAACATGAAAACGAAGAGAAAAGATCACACGCTGGACATGAAGATGACCCTCATGGCGGTCCCAGTTCGGCCTCGGCTCTCCCTCCGCCAGATATAGCGCGACACCGCAACCGTCTTCGTCGTCAGCCCCGATCACATTCTCGCTCCCGTTCGTTTTCTCTCTCTTCTCGATCCGGTCTCGGTTTTGGATTTGGCTCACGGTCGGAACCATACAAGACCCGCATCCGCACATCTTCGATGCCCACAAGCAGTGGTGGCGTGCCATTGACTTTCAGAAGCACTGGCACTACTGGTGGTGACGATGACCGTGATGATACCCGCGGCGGCGTTGCTATCAACGACTACGATGACGACGATGATGGCAACAGAGTAGAATCGATATTTCGGATTCTGCGCGACGGTCCTATTCTTCTTCCTCCTCCTGCTCCTACTTCTACTCCTACCCGCACTTCTGCCTCGACACCGAGACAGAAACCGGCTAACATGACGGCGACGGTAGCAGCAGCAGGGTCACCACCACCAGTTGCCGACTTAAGGTCAGACCATAATGATCCAGCAACGCAAGACAGACTAAAACTAGGATCGCCGAGGAAAATGTCATTGTCGATGTTGTCGATGAGATCGATGTCTATGCCTCATAATGATTGGGAAGGACCACCGGGGGATGGTAACGGCAACTGCAACGGCAATGGCAACAGCGGCGCCAATAGTGCCTCTGGAAGTGGAAGTGGAACTGGAAGAGGAAGAAGGAAAAGCGTGTTTGAAAGAATCATGATGGGCGGACGACGGGCCTCAGTGACTTCGACGTAGATTTATATATCAGTCTCGCTTCAAATTACTAGAACCTAACTTACAGTGCTAGTGCCCCTGATACATGTTATGACAGGACAATCCATACATCGGAGGATCAATGATGTATCTACTGTAACTGAACATCATGATGTGCTTGAACATGTCATACTGAAGTTGGTTAAGCCGAGTACTAGTAAGGATACATTCATATACGCCTCCTACATCGTTCAGACACTACCTAGGGAGTAGCTGTCACGACAGATAATCGTGGGACAGCACAAGCTGAATAATGGTAACGCAATCAGGAGGCATGTAAATATGTGCGGTACAATATGGCGTAAGATATCTTATCATATCACATCATCGACTCTATGTACAGTATGTACCAGCACGAATGTGTCGTTGAACGAGAAGGGGTGGATAGATACAGCAGTAGTACCTCCATCTCATCAAATGCCGTGGGGAGCTCGATTGTCCCCTGACTCGGTTTGACCACCTTTGAACGAAGCCGGAAGGTAAAAGTGGTCTCGTTTCTGAGCGCGTGATCGACTCTCAGCATCTGATCCTCCTCGATTGGCAACTCATTCATGTCTGTTGCCCGCATACTCAGGCCTCTTGAGATGGGTGATGATGATCCGACTTTCCGGCCTGCTATAGACGAGATGGTGAAACCCCGTACATCACCGTTGAGACACAGTTCATGCACGATGCCACGAGTTGTGCTTGCAGGTTCACATCATCGATGGTATCAGACATGTCGACGCGTCCACCAAGCTCTATGACCCAAGATGTTGAAGGGAGCAGTAGGGATTTCCGAACACCAAAAAGGTTGCAAAAAGACATCTCGCTTCACCTTTGCGCAATTTATTCCTCATACATCAATGTGATACCTGCTCCTCTTTTGAACGCCGGAATGCTTTGATGTGGTGCCAGAGCTGATACTGTTGAAGGAACTCAAACATTTGCAAGTCTTATGGTTTATATTTTTTGCTTTCTTTTCAATCATGCGAAGAGGCTAGCTCCACCACTGCTGACGGCTTCGATTTCCTCCTCGGTCCATTGCGGTCTCCAGAATCTTCGAGGAAGCTCATTTCTGTCAAAGTATTCGCCCTCCCTGGGCTCAACAGGGCCCAGCTGTCGTCCTGGCGTGCCGCCGATGCGGCCATAGGTCACGGCGCTCAAGGTTGGTGCTTGGTATGGAGAGGCATGGCCGTTGTTGCCTCCCAATGGACCGTGCTGCTGAGCCTTGGAGCGGTAGGTTATGAAACTGTCGGGAAGAGAATGAGTGGGCGAAGCGGGGTGAGGGTGAGGTGCATGGTCGATGGATTCTGCGATGGTCGTGTTAGCATATCACTGGCAGTTGCTAGAGCCGCTTTTGTTTGTGATTGTCGTAGGAGCCGAGGGTGCTTCTCGGCGGTGTCTTTGCTCGGACTCGGACTTACTTGGTGGTGTGTGCTTGCCAATGAATTTGATCATGGGTGTCCGGCCTGCCCGGAGAATGAGAGAGGGACGCATTGTTAGGTTGCTTTGGGTTGAGACGCGAGCGCCGGTAGAGGCGAGCTGTTGGCAGATAGCTAGATGGAGGGTGCGAAAGGATGCCTCAGGCTATGTACCGTCAACCTGATGTATGGGGTACAGATGAGTTCAAGTTGTGCAAGAGTCGTGACGGAGAGGTTCGTTGGAAGGAGGCACTGGCTTTATTTTTGCTGGACACTTCAAGTTGTGTGCTATATTATGTGAACTAGTTGTATCGCACCATGCGCCTGGGGGGCGGGACGGTTCGGACGAGAGCGTGAAAGGGCGTGGTGGAGCTCCGCGTCCAATCTCAATCCGGTGGTAGGAGGCCTGAGATGGTCTGGGGATACGCAAGGTACTGTCGACTGCTAGGGCGGGCGCGGATGGATGAAGAAGGATCGCGGGATAGTAGTGATATCGGAAACTTCCTTGACAGTGGTGGTGGTAGAGCTGGTGTTGGTGTCGGACTGTTCAAGCTCGCGAAGAAGCAATCCGACCGACCGACGGAAGATTCTTGGGGTATGCACTTGCTGCAGGGCACCGCAGTCAATGCCAGTGCCAGAGGTGGGATGCTTGGTTTGCCGAAGGTCCAAGCGAAGTGGCTCTCAGTAATCAATGCTTAAATAAACAGTGCTAATAATGAGCTGTAATACTTTTATTATTACAAGGCAGGAAATAATGGCCGAATTTCGTGGTTTGCAGCTGCCGGTGTCAGCTTCGGCTGACAAGCTCCGAGTCGTGGTTGCCCGAGCTCGGCGCAGCGGCAGGACTGCGACGATACTAGTACGGCGGACCATGCGGGATGGCACCATTTCACTTGCGCCTGCGAGGGTGAAAGGCTTGTCTTTTCCACCCACATCGCTTGCACGCAGACACATCTCCACCACCACTTATTTACTGCTATGTACTATACACATCGCTGTCCAATACCAGCGGTGGCCTGATAGCCTTGTCCACATCTGATTTCTGACCTTGTTTCTTGTGCTGCATTCACCGGCTGTGCCTGACACTATCGTCGCGGTCGTCTTTCGCAATTCTTACGGGTTCATACGCCATCCCTGCCTGTCTACACTGCCAGTGACTGCTATCAAACAACCCTTCAGCCCCGCGGTCTACCAGAGGCTCTTGAGTCCGGCCATCTCGCAGATTATGTGTCTCGTGATTATTGGCACTACGATCTTGATCCACTTACCCGACGTTCGGCATTTGTCCTGAACTACTACTCTCGATCAACGTACCACCCCATCTGGCCACCCAGACCACCGGGAGAGGGCTCCCTAAGACGGCCGAGATGCATGAGTTTGCTCTCTACGGGCTAGTCTCCAAAGACGACCACCATCGAATGCTCCAACAGCTAGCTGGATATACCCGTATGCAGCCACAGCACACGATAGAGATCCACCTCGTCTTCAAACCACGCACACCCGCCGGTTTAGAGCGTCTCCCTTCTGCAGGCGGGACTCAAGGGGTCCTGCAGCAGGACGTACAGAAACTGAAAAATATGCTGAATGCCGGCCTCTACTATTTGCAACTGGTTGGCGAGGTAGTGCCACCACCGAAGCTCAAAGGAACCGAGAAAGGAGACGTTGCCATGTCTGATGCCAACGGTGATGCTAACCCCACCAAGTCAACGCCGGGAACCGCCGTGGTGAATTGGCACCTGGACTTCAAAGATACTCCAGAGCCGGGGAAACAAGCGGTGAGTACCAGGTTGATCTCCCGGATACCGATCAATGACGGGGACTATATTCAATTCATGAATAACTTTGGTTATGAGTAAGTTCTCAGCACCTGTGCCCAACGGCCGTGCTGATACAAGTGACCAGGTATGTTTCTCGTTACTTAGTAGTGGGCGACAATTTCTACGATTACGACACCACACTATTTGTTCACAAGGTTCTGCGATTGCCACAGGTATCTGCGGATGGAGCCATTGCTGATACGTCCTTCCTATCCAACATCTCCGAGTTGCCAAAACTGGATGGTTCTGGCGGATATATGCTACAAGCATCCATTGATGTGGTTGATGGAAACCACCCTGAGCTTAAGGAGCGCGCTACCAGGCAGTTACTTGGTCACAAGGAAGCGTTGAAACAAGCAGTCGAGCTGACTCCGGGTGATAGACTGGCTCTGGACACCCGGCTGCCTGTGTCTTCAGGTAGAGCGTAGATGTCCAGGCACTGGGCCGTGGGCTGGGGAATCTTTGACAAGATAGTTATCAATCTTGGTATAGGCTGGCAGTACTAGCGACTGATGGTACCGACCAGGCCTCTCGTCCAACACGCAGCCTCGTGCAATGGCTGAGATGGTGAGGCTAGCAGATCAGGGGCCCTCAGGGGCAGTTTCTGCTGACTCAGCTTGTATTCACGTGACCATGAATTATCATGCATGACGAGCGTCTTCATCAACGCGTCGGCGCGTTCTCTTCACCAATTTTATATTTGCCCTGCGTATCTTTCATGCGTGCACTGACATAGAAACCCTCTTATTCCCTCGTTGGATATTTCCGGCCTCCGGGTAACAACGTGGCGTCTCGTCTATGGCTTGCTGTGCCAGGCCGCAATTGTCGAGTAGCCCATGCTATTCCTTTCCGTGCCCCTGATGCGATAGTCTTTAAGAAATCGTTCGCTATGAAACGATCGGCTCCCCCACCAGAACGTCCCATATCTCCGCCGGCAGTGAAACGAAAGTTCGAATCCACCACCACTAGTAGGACCAGGAGGAGCTCGTCGTCTCTAGTTTCACGCTGACCAGACGCAGACAAGGCTGTTGCAAGTTTCTTCAAACCTGCTTCACAAAAGGAGCCCGAGAAGTTGGTGTGGCGGACAGTCGAGAAGACCCTCATCGTAGGCCGCTATGATGCGTCCAGTGTTCCTCCTCAGACTCGTACATTGCCCGTCAAGATTGCAGCGTTCGACCTGGATGACACTTTGATTGTCCCGAACACCGGGAACAGATGGCATCGTACAGCAACGAGCTGGAGATGGTGGGATCCATCAATCCCTGGCCGATTGAGGTCGCTCTACGACGAAGGGTACCTTGTTGTCATTCTGAGCAATCAAGGAAACATCAGCTTGAAGGATAATCCAAAGACCCTTCAAAAAGACACGGCGAGCCTTGCCAACCTCAAAAACCAGGTCGGCGCCGTTCTCAGGCAACTCGACCTGCCTGTCAGCATATATGCTGCCACGGGTCAGGACCATTATCGAAAACCTCGGACCGGTATGTGGGACGAGATGCTCGAAGACTACGACCTAAAAGCCGAGGGTGCTGTCGATTATGACAAGTCCTTCTATGTTGGAGATGCTGCCGGAAGAGCAAAGACCGACAAGAGACGAAAGGACCACTCAACCTCGGATAGGTAAGCATTGTTTCGGATACCACCGTGATTTGGAGGTCTCATTGAAGGGAATGTAGGGATCTTGCTGCCAACATTGGGATCAAATTCTACACCCCGGAAGAATACTTCCTCGATGCGCCCGCGGAAGCATATGAGCACGTGTTTGAACCATCAAAACATCTTCAAAGTCCGGGTCGAGAGCAACCGTCTGTGCCCGCCCCGTTTACCAAAACAAGTCCTCAAGAGCTGGTCATTTTCTGCGGTTCACCAGGTGCAGGGAAGAGCACATTCTATTGGGACGTTCTGCAACCATTAGGATACGAGAGAGTAAATCAAGACATACTCAAAACGGTGAGTGAGTTTGTGTGTTTGACCAGACGAGACTCTGTTTTATCCATGACTACCCTACCTTCATCATGCTGTCTCACCCTCCCCGACCTCAAGTGCTTGTGTCCCATTAACCAAAGTTGCCCCTGCATACGAGAACTGTTTCAGGCTGAGACATGATTTTTGGACAAACAGCGCGACAGATGCATCAAAAAGGCAAGAGAGTTGTTGAGTGCTGGATATTCCGTGGCCATAGGTATGTACATATGGCATTTTTTACTGTTCTTGTTACATTTACCATGCAAAATGCCATCTCACATGGCTGGCTGGCCTTCTTGATGTCCCCTCCAACCCTGTTGTCCACTTCAATGTGTTCGTACGACACCCCTCATTTGACAGTCAGTCGATGGGTGGTACAGCATATGCCATTTGTGCATGCTGGCTGGTCGTCGAACAAATCGAGGATGAGGATGAGGATGAGGATGACCCCTATCTATTTCCAGTTTTTTTCCAAGCGTGTCATATGTCGCACCACATTGCACTGCATTGACTCTTGCCCTGCGTCGACTGTGTCACTTATGCATGACCCCCGCAAGCATGATCACACAGATATGACATGGCCTAATCTGCTCATGGCCTCGATTACATAGTCAGCCCTTCTTGTTTCTCGTCGGACAGATGCCTTTTTGATAGGCCTGGCTACTGCAATGGTTGACCACGACCCTGACCCTGACCCTGACCCTGACCCTGACACTGACCATGCTTTTGTGCCAGACAACACCAACGCAGACCCCGAGACCCGGTCGTACTGGATCAAACTTGCGCGCGAATTCAATGTCCCTATCCGATGTGTCCACTTTACAGCCCCGACTCGGCTGGCCGAGCATAACGATGCCGTCAGAGCATTGAATCCAAACACGGTAAGTGGAACTCCTCGACCACTTCACGCTCCCTAGTTATGCGAGGTACAATCCGTGATGGCAGAGCAAAGCAATCTGGATCTCTCCATTCGATGCTGACCTTGACATTGTTGTCTGCCTGTCTCAGATGAACCCGGAGAAAAGGACTCAGCTTCCCGGCATCGCGTTCGCGTCATTCATCAAACGGTTTCAAGAACCTAGGTTGGACGAAGGATTTCAGGATATTTACAAGGTCGATTTCGAGGCATGTCTACCCCTGATCTACTCATTTTCACCCGAAAGCTATGTCGTCTATGCAATGCCAGCCAATACTGACTTCACCCCTTTTTTTTCTATAGTTCAAAGGCACAGAAGAGCAAAAGAAACTGTGGTCACGATACTGGGTTTCGAAGTTTTCTACTTGATCTAACCCAAGAAGATGGGTGTCGTTGAGGAAAGGAAAGACCGTCGGTTCCTTCGCGCTCTCCATCTCGCCCTTACAGCAATATACAGTACGCCCTGCAACTTAGAACCCGCACAGCACCCATTTCAAAGATACCTGGTATACATTCCACACTCGTCCTTGGGATAAGCAGAGTTGACGAAACCAGTCAGCTTATCTGCCAACGCTCATACATGACGGTGCATAAGAGGCAACATGTCGCTGTCTTGACAGCGAGACCAGCAGCGAAGCATCGCCAAAATCTACGTGGATTAGGATCCGAAGAGAAGGCAATTTGTGTACCGCCACTACCACGAAGGAGAACTCTAAGAAGGGACATTGTTGCATGGCGCACTGGAGCGTTTCAAGGGTCCTCCGTCAGAAACGGTTGTCATGATTATCGACTCATCCAACGACAAGCCAATCCAGCACTCTCTACTCATGTTCCCTCCGAGTGTCGCGTGCTCGGTGGACATCGGCTCTCCTAAGCGAGCTCGAAACGTTCCCTCAGCCGGTCGACCTAATCGCGCCGAAAGATTTCACCCACTGCAGTGCAGGCTGGACTCAATACTCCGCCGGCAGACTATGATGTTCTACTACTAGGTAGACATTGTTTGTGAACCGAACCCATTATATCACTCTGCCAAGTCGGACCAGGTCCATTGGTGCGAAGCCACAACTTCACCCACTCATGATTGGAACCGCACACCTTCACCGCAAGATACAGTACTGGGCTGTGAACTCCATCGCCCACCAGAGCCATACCGAATGACCAAGAGAGGAGGGACTTGGACCCGGAATGGAATAGAATGGAGAGTGAAGTGGAGGGGAGGGACCGGGAGGAGACTCAGAGTGCCATCAAAAAAAAGTCCAAGAATCCAAAATTCAGAATCCAAATCCAGAACCTCGGGTCCCGCGCGACATTTGGGGCTAACTTGAAAGGGTCCTGGCAGGGTTCTGCAGTAGTGGGAAACATTTTAGTCGGCACGAGTTGTGCTGAGCACGCACGGTCCGGGTGTATATTCCTGTCCGTGCACTGGGAGGGCATTGGCAGGGCAGTGAGACCCGAGCGCACTGACCATGCCTCAGGTACTCACAGCCCACCGCGGCGAAGGAATCGGAGGCGAGGACAAGGGTCTGAAAACATGGACCCTAGAAATGTGAAACTTTGTGGAAAAGCCCCATTCTCATAGTATTTTACTGTAGGTAGTAAAATATAGGCTTTACTTTCCACAACGGTGGTGCATTGCAGAGAAGTGGTTGCTTGGGTCTCCCAGTATGCAGGAAGTCTCTGCCCGAGGCGGCAGCGGCACAGAATTGAGTTGGGAAGTCTGAGTTTGACGGTTTCAGCATTCAATAGGGTATACATTTCGCTTACGGTTGCCTGGTTATGCAGTCAGTTGTCATTCCGAGCCCGTTTACAAGACGCAGACGCAGATAAAATGCTCTTTCGGCGAAAGAGTCCGCTAGAATAGTAGTAGTACGTTGGTGAAAGGTGGTGAGGGTCCAATATTTCTAGTATGCAGCGGGTCTTTGGCCCGGTACCTACCGTCCTAGTATCTCCACGTGGAAGGGAAGGCTGCCAAGCTGAGGACACTCGCCTAATAATCACTATGACCGTAATCATGATGCTGACCATGGTGATAGTGTAGTAGTAGATGGCGACAATAAACTTGTGGTTGTGGTGTGTACATACTGCCAGCACGAGTACCGGTGCGAATCGTGGGAAGCCAGTCACGTCAACGTTGTCGGCTCGCCTAGCCACGGGCGGGCGGTTGGATGCTCCCTCGGGACAGTACCTTATTTCCCCTTCCCTCGTCTCGTAGTAGGTGGTCTCACTGGCAGGCTTCAGTTGTTTCAAGGAGAAAGTTCGAAGAGAAGGAAGTTTGAAGTTCCGGGGGATCCTGGCGTGCTGTTCCCTTGCAGTGTACCTAGGGCGCCTCGACGTTGAGCTTCGCCTCCGTGACGTTACTGTTCCCAATAGACGGACACAACCCCTGCGGTGCAGTCTCTGTGTCCTGGTCGCTGACCAGTGCCTTACTGAACGGGTAAATGAAGGTGCTGGTCCATCACTAGGTCTGCACCTGGGTGCAATACGACTGCAATGCCAGTAGCAATGCAACCTGGAAGTGAAAGCTGCGGTGGTGCTACTGTTCAAGTCGCGAGAAAAGAGAAGAATAGACGGACAACCAGGACGGGACAGAAAACCATCCCGCAAAATAATCCCTGCTTGTACTAGTAGCACCTAGTAGGTAGCTGAGGTTCGCCCCGGTAATATTGCTGCTTGGGGGGGTGGCAACTTTACCTACTGATGATTGAGGGCTCTGGCTGCACTGCATTGGGAACTTCTGACGGGACAAGGCAAGGGCAGGACTTGATGGAGAATGGTGAGCGTATACCAGGTACCTGTCCGTGTCTGGACAGACGGACAGACAGACCTACTACAGCCGAATTGTGCCTGTCTATCGGTGCCACGTATCTTGGTGGCTTCGGTCGCTTAAAATTCTCCGGCTCCGTAGCGAGGTGCTAGTTAGTAGTCAGTAAGATAGAACGCTGGTCCATAGAGTACCATAGCAGTAGTAGCTGAGCTTAGGGCGCCGTGTGCGGTCCCGGCAACTATGGCCGCTCGGCAACGACTGGGAGCTGGAGGGAATGGTGCTAGTACTAGTAGTGGGTGATGCAAGGCCCTGCTGCTACGGTGCCAGTGTAGTATTCGTACTCTACAACTGTAGTTGAAGATGAAGGTCGCTTCGGTTGTTGGGTCTTCAGCTGGGTAGCGAGTTGGAGGTACAAGAGTAGTAGCGGTGGCAGACGGAAATCAATAATGCGTTGTTCTGTATAGCAGTTCTTGGGCACTGCAGGCGCAACAATAATGTTCCTGGGTATCTGCCTCCCTCGACGTAGGTGGCTAGTGTCGGCTTCAAGTCCATGAAGGTGGTGTGGGACTGCGATGGCCGTTACCGGCTGCGACTTGTTGCGAGTCCTTCTCCTAGTGCCGGACTACCTAGGTAGGTACCAATCACTACTGCTACTGCTCACTCGACTTCAACTCATGGAATGAGAGACTGCATGATCCTGTAGATTTAGTCGCTTTGGGGAACGTAGCTAGATATCGAGCTGTAGAAACTGCCGAAGCGCAAGGGAGAAAGAACTTGGAAAGAAAGACAGCAATTGAACATGGAAAAAACATGCTACCGTTGGTGGCGTACTAATAGCGTGTACATTTGATACCGTTCCTTGCATGATTTCTCCGGCGGGATGGCGGCCCCGGCAGTAGCAGTCACAGTAGTGCTTGGTCTACGGAGTTCCTTGCATGATGGAACGGTAAGGGCGGAGAGATGCCTACTACAGTACCTGTACCTGCCTACCCAGGTCTCAACAGGTGGTTGATGATGGTGCTGAGGATGAGATGATAGGACATTGTATGCCAGTGACAGACACCCGTTGTTCGTGTCCCTACAGAGGTGGCGCGCGGAAGCTTTCAGGGCGGCACGGATGGCTGCCGTACAGCTGCCGGAAATCCTGCCAACGGCCGGATATTGGTGGTTGTCCTCCTTTAGCCGTACTTCTAGCGACTCTCTAGAAATGCCATCTGGCCCTGCAGTGAGGCGTGAAGTTTAGGTTCGGACAAGCGCAGCAAAACACAGCAGCAATCGAAAATGTCATGAAGCGGGAGGAAATGCGGGTAAATGGATATGGGCATTCTTTCTTCGTAGTTCTGTTCCTGTTCCCGGCCCTGGTTCTAGCCTGCTCCCGCCATTGAAGGGGGCAGGGAGCCACGAGAAGCAAGCCTGGATCTCAAGGAAGGACACCAGGACAGCTGGCAGTTCAGGGAGGACACGGGCGAGCAATGTAGGGACATCCATGCTGGATAAGCCACCACACTCATCACATACGCAGTAGGTTGTAATCGCAAACCCGGCTGGTTGTCTCTGATGTGGACAGGTCAAAGTTTTGATTGCGCCATAGCAAGCGTTTCGTGTACGGGATCATCGGTCGGTGCTGCTCCCAACTCGTTCAGCCCGCCCCCATTTGTCCTTCTCAATCGAGACAACAGTGTCTTGGAACACGGACCATGCTTGAGGGCGACGGACGACGACAACAACAATATATTCAGGCACAATAACCAATGTCTAGTAGGTATCAACATCAGCCAAGCAACCGAGCCATAGGGCGAACGCGGTGGAAGACACTGAACCAAAGTGGTTCTGCTTCGGGGTTGCTCCATCGGACACCGCACCGCAAGGGCAAAAATCGCCCGATCACACAGGGGCCCCAGAACCCTTCCGGTACGCTCTGTGTGCGGTAAAGGGTCCGATCGGGGTCTCAGCGATAGTGGAGAAGAGGATAGAGCACGTCAGGGCGATTCCTGTCTGCTATCATTGACGGGTTGAATGGAAGTTTGAGCCTGAAGTTTGCAGCATGCTGGAATTCAGTCGTTTGGTTCAGCTGTTGATTCAAAAACTGCGTGAGCCTAAAGCAAGCACGGCTTCCCACGCGGTGTTGGCTTTGCATGAGCGAAGGCTCTAAAGTCTCTGCGATCGGTTCGGGATCGGTAGTTGTGCTAGAAGGATCCAACAAGGTTGCACCCTGTTGCCATGGGCATGCACTTTGTTACTACTAGTAGTAGTTTTGCCGGGTAGCAATGGAGACGGGGGCAGATGGATCATGGAGCATGGAGCATGGATCGTGGATGGAGGAGAGTAGCGCAGCAGAGAATTGTTGCCAGTGTTTGCTCCAGGGGAAAACGCAGCGCAGGCTGCAGGCCACGGGCCACAAGCCACAAGCTACCTGCGGCTGCGGGCTGCGGGCTGCGGGCTGCAGCTCCACGGCACACAAGTTTTCTCTTTCGAGCGGACCGTCCAACGGTAGAGGCCAAGAGACCACTCACTGCGAGGACTACGGACTACCACGACCACTACTAGTACCACTATCACTGCTAGCACTGCGCTCTAACCTCTCACAGCGACTGGGGAAGAGGCTACAGCCACTGCTGGCAGCTGAGTCTGAGTACTACGACTTTCTTAGCACTGCTACTAGTTGTACTGCTGCTGCTCAATCCTCAATTCTTCCTCCCCACGTTCGACCTTGCTCTGCTTCTCACAACACACGGACCAAACACCTCGTTTTCTTTTCATCTCTGCATCCCACCGCTCGATCGCATTCGCCGTTTCCTAACCTCGTACACATGGCACTCGACTGATGGCACAGAAGGCAAACAGGGACAATTGCGCGACCATACTGTCTCAACCAACCAAAAGAAGCATCACCATCGCGCCACTGCACGCACACCAACCTGGGCCAACTTCTGCCCTGCGTCGTGTTTGTCACCAGCTCAGGCCTCAACTCTAGAAGCGATCTACTGCATAGACAGACACCTCGGCCAGCACAGTCTTTACACGTCTACACGTCCACACGTCCACACGACCCGACTCGACTCAACTCGCTTGTGAATCATTCAACCACTGTCCCCAGCCATCATGCGCGCCGCTGTCCGACTGTGACCTAGACCAGTTCATGAACGCCTCTCCTTCGATTCTTGCAGTACTTCTATTTGGGCATCCCCCAGACACTCGCTCGCTACTAAAAATTAATACTGTCTGTCACTACTACCATGGATAATCATGCACCGTACTCGCAAATCGCGAATGCGCAAACCGCTCAGTCATCGACGTCCTCGGTCAACCTTTCGTCACCTACCACGTCGACGTTCTCCAAAGGCCACTCGTCGCGAGGCTCCAATTCTTCCTCGACCTCGTCGCCTATACCGCGAGAGTCACTTGACATGTATGGTGCGCCGAAGAGGTTGGAAGATGTAACAGAGGACCCTCAAGAAAGAGACGAGTTCGAAGGATACACTGTGGTTAATGACAAGATGTATGATTGGAATGACTACGATAAGCCTTTCTCGAGCCATCACGGTCAACCGTCTCCCCCAAGTTCTCCCGGACGGCCGCAGTATGAATGGAGCTTGAGAGACAACGAGGACGACTGGCACTCTCCTGCCGCCGCCGGACTCGGTCTGTTCAAACGCCGCAAGTCGATGGAACATCCAACCACTGTCCATCGCCACCGCTTCAGCACTAGATTCGGTTCCATTTCGAGAAGGTGGAAGAACCGATCTGCCCCGGGCCCGCAGCTGTCAATTGCAACGCACATCGACTCTCCTATTTCTCGGTCAGGGTCGTTCAAGTCGTCACAAGTCTGCAGTCCGGCAATGAGCATCATTTCCAAACGTGAAAGCTTGGTCCCTTCGTCGCCTGTCATCCCGGAAACGAGTGAAGTGTCATTTGAGCCGGCAACAAGCCCAGTCGAGATAGAGCAAAAGCCGTCCGAGGAAGAGGAAGAGGAAGAGCCATGTCAAGCAACCACCCCACTACTGCCACCTATCTTGACCGACATCGGCAAAGAAGACGAGCCAGTCCATTCTCCGCTTCAGTCACCTGCAATTGCACCTACGTCTGCAGTGATGAGCTCCCGAGCCTCGATCGAGGGTTCACTGTCGTGTCTGCCGTCGCCACCTCTTTCGACAAAACCATCAATGGTCTCAATGCACGCCAGATCCCGCACAAACACCATGACAAGCTCGCCCTACGGCGACGTCCCAACGATGCAGCTCCTGGACGACCTGTCCGATCCTTGGGCAGTTCGACTGGGGCACGCTAACTTCACCATCTATCCGGAGCCATACGTTCCCGAGACCATTGATCTGGAGTCATATACCGACTTCCGCAACAACTGGGACCAAGCCCGAACCAATTACGCTAAGCACATCACCCGCACTGCTGAGCACTATGGCTCGACCTCGAAAGTGTACAAACTTACCGAGGAAAAGTGGGCGAGTATTGACGAGATCTGGAAAAAGCAACATACGCTTATGCGCAATGTCCTTGCTCCAGTCCTGGCTCGTCTGAGCAGTGGCGAATCGTCCGATGCGCTACAGGACTCCGTCGCCTCCAGTACCGTTCTGGAAAACCCCAGTACCAAAATGGTATTGCCAGTCATTGACGACAAGAGTGGCAAGTTTCCTGAATTGGGCGATGGAGAGATTGTAGGGCCGATGTCCGTTGCTCGGCCGCGCGGTATGACGGGTCCCGCGACCAAAGGCGCCGAACCGAGAAGTCCACCTCTGTCCCCGCACAAGCGGAATCTTCTCAAAATCATCTCCGACATTTTCAAGACCTGAAGGCACTGTACAAACGTGTACTATCGAAACGACAACAGCAACAATCACAGTGACAACAACACCTTGTATAAATCATACCCTTTCATCAAGTATACAGATGCCCGGGAAAAGTCTCTACCAGGCCATGGCGCTGCTGCGCTTATGTTCCAAACGGTTTCCTTCAGCGGCGTTCTTGATTGACGGACCGAACCTGCCACTGAGCAGTAACATCCTCAGTACACTGTCTCCCGTCTACAATTTGCAGACTGCAATCCTGGTCCTGAGAGAAAAACCGGAACGTAAGCAGAAATGACTGAGCAGCCACCGGGTATCGTCATCCATCCACAAAAGCCCAAGAGGATTCCTTGGGTAATCTATTCCCAATTGATATTGTTGGTACTTGTATATTTTCGGCAAGTGTTACGACACAACTTACGATACGACACTCCTTTTTATGATACACGACAGCAAAGGCCCTGCGTGGGCCATTAACGACTTGCAACTTCAGCACAGCGAAGTGATTTGAACACTTGCCACTACGACACTCCCTTTACTTTTCTATGGAACATGAAACCATGAGATACCATGCACTTTGCAGCGATTTGCATGACGACTTGCGGCTTCAGCACAACGAAGTTTTTGGATCATTAACAGCGCAACCACGGTCTTCGAGAAGAGCGATTGTTCGGTGGAGTGTAGAACGGACTCGGTCTCAGGACAAAACGGATATCAAAAGAGAGATATTTCGATTATTTTGTACAGGAGTTCTTGGAGCAACATCAAAACATCCTTTTGCGGAAGGATGGAGGATGGATGGCTTTGCTCAATGGCGGCTTAATACATGGCCTGGATTGATTGCTCACGTCGTGATGTCTCATTCTCCCACTGTTGAGTTGCAGGATGGAAAAGACGAGCGATGCACGTTGTCAATCCACGAACGTATGTATTCTAGCGCAGTCGCTCAATTCAATGTTTATCAGATACATTACAGAATGTTGGTGTTCTCTGCGTCTGGGAGGTGCGGCAGCAAGAAGGGACCGAGAGAATGGGAGATGGAATAGGTGTCAGTTAGGTGTTGCTGCTGTTGTACCTCCTATCGCGATCATGCAGAACCAATCAAAACATTCAACAAGAGGAACTCCGCTCATCTGACAACGTAGAACGTGATAGAAGCGTGTGTCAACAGCTCGGTACCCTACGTTGCCTAGGTATGTAACCCCTGAGCCTTCTAAGCCTTGCTTACGTAAGGGCCGTGGTTCGTCTGTGCATCCCCTTTAGAAACTTGAAGCCGGGGGTTAGTAGGCAAGGCTCTCACCTCCAAATTCCGGTGATACCCGTCGCCATCACTGCGGCAAGCGGCGGATACTTCTCCTCGGAGCGAATCCGGGACAAAGGGTATCGTTGTCCAAATTGCCAGATGCGCAGAAGCCTTTGAGCCGCCTTAGCCGAAGTCCATGTCGGCGGGCTACTGGGAGCAGTACCAGCCGTCATGTCGGTAGAACATCTTGCTACATGAAGCGAGAGAGTGGCATGAGGATGGAGTGTTGAAGTCAATGAGCGAAAGAGAAAGAGAAAGGGAAAAGGCGGTAGTTGCTTGTAGGCGCGTTCTCTGCTTCTATCTTCGATCACGTGAGACAAGTCGAAGAGGACCGCAGGAACGATTTGCCGGACCTATTTCTTTCAACTCTCCAAATTCATCGATTTGGAGGGCGACGCTCAACATTCTTTGCTGCCTCACTCGTTATCCATGTATTTGTAACCCTCTTGTGCTGGGGCACACATGAGCCGGAGAAAACAGACGAGGTAGACGGAGCCTCACCGCGTCGACGATCCGGCAATTGGTGTCCTCATTCGCCCGGCTTGTGGGACCTCATTCAGCACCGTTGGGCAAACACACAATACTGCATTTGTTTGCTCTCTGTCCCACGGACGAAGATGGGCAGCGAGCATAAACAGCGCATCAGTGGAGAGGTTTATTATTCCGAGGACTTATAAGATCGTCTCCTATTCCATTCATTATCGGGTTTCTTTCTCCATCGTCCATCTTTTAGCTTTTAAGCGGTGGAGTCGATCATCTCCGAGCACTAAATTTAAGGACGACCCCGGCCCGCGTCGCCCTATAAACAAAAGTCCGGTCGGGTTGGTTGGAGAGTGATGAATCGAAGGCATCATTGATTACAGCACCTCGCCTATCCGTTAGAGCTGTGTTGCTCAACCTTATCTTGGACTCCATTGTCGACATTATCTACAGCTATATGCGCGCCACGTCCGGCAGCATACTTAGGGGATGGTGGGCGGTATGGTGAACGAAAAGGCGCCGGATCAGCATCCACAAACATGGCGCAACGCCGAGGAGGGCACCATCGCCCTCGACGACGGGGAGAAGAGTGCTGCCTTCGACTCAGCGCCCATGTCGACGTCGAGACGGGTGGTCAAGGCTCTCTCAGACCGGCTCAGCTGGATGCCTCCCTGGTGTCGTTATGATCCAAAGGCACCGCCTACTTTCTCCGTCTGGCACAACATCCTGTTCGCCTTTGCTGGCGCCTTCACTGTGGGCAACCTGTACTATAACCACCCGATTCTCAATATCCTCGCCCATGACTTCAATGTGCCTTACGTGACTGTGTCGCGTATTCCGACACTGATGCAGGCCGGCTATGCGACAGGATTGTTGTTTGTGTGTCCGTTGGGCGACCTGCTGAAACGACGCCCGTTGACACTGGTGTTGATCTTCTTCACCGCCACCATGTGGTAAGTCTTTACTCTTGGATCCATGTCAGCCAGGCCTGGTCCATGCCGTTCACTTGTCCCAATCTACTACAAGTCCTTTGGCGACCTTAGCCCAACCCAGATTGCCAGACCTATGGTTCCCCCGTTTCCTGAAACTAACACATACTGTTTGTCATGTTTGCAGGATCGGACTCTGCACCACACGGTCCTTCACCGCCTTCTGTGCCATCTCATACATATGTGCGATCACGACCGTGATACCGCAAGTTATGCTGCCGCTCGTGGCCGAACTGGCACCGGCACATCAACGCGCGCTGGCACTCAGCATCGCAACCTCAGGCAACCTGTTAGGGATTGTGATTGCACGGATCTTATCCGGGGTAGTCACGCAATACACGTCATGGCGGAACGTATACTGGATCGCATTGGGGCTGCAATATCTAATCCTGAGCGCCCTGTGGCTCTTCATGCCGGACTATCCGTCAACCAACCCGGACGGACTGAACTACATCAAAATGATCGGCGGGATTGTCTTGTTATACAAGAAACACGCGGTTCTGGTTCAAGCGGGCCTCATCAGCTTTTGCATCTCGGCTGCATTTACCAGTTTCTGGACCACACTCACATTTCTTCTGGCCGATCCGCCCTACGAATACAGTCCCGTGGTGATTGGGCTATTTGCCCTGATTGGCATCGCCGGGATTTTGCTCGGACCCTTGTATGCAAAATACATAATCCAGCCGTTCGCGCCCATGTTCGGCTGTCTGTTTGGCCTGGTTGCTAACTTGTTGGGCGTTGTGGTTGGCACATACTCGGGCAAACATACTGTCGCTGGACCAATCATTCAGGCGTTCACGCTCGATATGGGCCTGCAAATCACCCAGGTCGCCAACCGGAGCGCCATCGCTGCCATCGAGCCTAATGGCCGCAACCGTGTCAATACTGCTTTCATGCTCATGACTTTCACGGGCCAGTTGACGGGCACTAGTGCTGGTGCAAAACTTTATGAGCGGGGAGGCTGGGTCGCCAGCGGAAGTTTGAGTGTTGGGTTGGTCGGGTTGACTTTTTTGATTTGTTTGGCTCGTGGGCCTTATGAGCAGGGTTGGATTGGGTGGTCGGGCGGCTGGGATGTCAGGAAGAAGAATCTCGCCGAGGCGACGGCTACATCCATGTCCGTGGGTGTAGGTGCAGGTGGGCAGGAGAAGCAGGTGCCGGTTGTGATTCCGGTTGTGGTGGCTCCGACAGGAGAGACATCAACGGCGACGAGTACGACTGAACAACCAGAGGAGGAGGAGGAAGAAGAAGAAGAAGAAGAAGAACCGAGTCCATCTCATGGGAATATGCCAGAGCCAAACTTGAAGACGCAAGAAAAGGAGGGAGAGACACAGAGACCGTCTGACTACGAGTCCCATCCTAGAAACGATGGGGAAAATCAGACCTAGGTACATTTAGAGGGCTTGGCTAGAGCTGAACGACTTTATGAATTAGAGAGGAAATCAAGATGTCATTATCACTACAAACTCAATGACTCCGGTTATGCAGACTGTCTACCCGGTCGCGACTCGCTAGCCCGCAGCGCAGCGCAGCGTCCGAACTCAGTTCGTACAATTCAAGTTCAAAAGTTGTTGTATGAGTCCGTGACATTCATCTGCGAGGTTCAAGTCATCCAAAATCAAGGGTGTGGAAGTAACTTGGTCCACTGGCAACAGACTCAGACTCCGTGGTGGGGTGAGGGGAGGTGGTTTTGTTTGGGAGTCATAAATGAGAATCAGAACAAAATTTCAGACCAAGAAACCTAGCAAGCTGACCTAGATGATCAAATCCCCAAAAACACTCGACTTGTCCGTTTGTGTCTGTGGCCTTGATCCACGGCACGCCCGGGGCACCGCTCGCCACGGCTTCTTGGGTGTTTCGTTTGAGGAGCTGTTTGATCTCGTCGGATGAGCTCTGCACGAGATACGAATTAATGTTAGTATTAATATCAGTATCAATTTCGATCAGTCGAATTGTGGCGTGTTGAGTTTCATCATCCCACCGCAGTCAGACGCAAAGGTCAAGGCAAGGATGAAAGGAGATTAGATGAAATGATTCGGGTGGCAGGGTATAGGAAACTCGATAGGTATAGTATGGTAGGGTATAGGAAACTCGATAGGTATAGTATGGTACATTGGTAGAAGGAAAGAACTAGGTACATAGGTAAAGTAAAGGACTAGGGAAAGGAGGGAAAGTGATATGACCTTCTCAATAACTCTCCTGGCACTCTCTGGACCCAACACATCGACAATAATCGGCTCATATACTTCTGGCAGATGGACGGATTTTTTCTCGAACCAGAAGGCGTGGTATAATGCGCCTATTAGGTCGGGAAGAAGATTGGGAGGGAGAGGAGATTCTGGAGGCTCGGTGGTGGTGGTGCAAGCGGTCAAAATGCGTTGGATTTTCAGTGTCGTTGCATTGAAGGGATAGTTGGCTGGCCAGCCTGGGGTCAAGGGGATGGCGAATTCATGGGATCAGCGGGTCATGTCGGTCGTGATGTAGTTGGATTTGTCTAGATAGATGGGGATTAGTATCGTGTATTGGTTATGTCCTCCTGTCTTGTCTCCTGGAGACACTTTACTGGGTTTGGTTTGGTTTGGGCTGGCTAGGTTCTGTCGGATTGCTGGATGGATGGCTTACTCGGATTGTTCCACGGCGGTTGAAGACCAACAAGCTTGATGAATGCGACTAGGAGGACCGGGGTGTATGTTATTTCGCAGGATTGGAAGACTGGGGAATTCTGTAGAGTGTTCAAGTTGGTACAGGGATCAGATTGTGTGATCAGTCAGATACATGGGAGATGGTGGTCGTTGTGGTCTTTTGACCAAGTTCCGACTAGGGGGAGGGAAGGATAATGATTTTGATATCTTCTGGGCATGTGTTGCAAGTACAGGATCTGGATGTACATAGTATGTACGCATGCGAACCGTTCATACCTTTATGACATGGAATGCTAGATATGAGTAAGGACTGTGGAGGTCAAAGTAGAGTGTGAGTTTGGGGCGAGCCATATTGACTGGTGGCCGTCAGTCATCGGGGTGTTAGGTAGCATCGGAAATGTGTTATCGCTTCCGCATACTGACTGCTCTGCGTTGCTTCAGGTGAAGTAGATTCATCAGTGTTTCGATCGCGGAGTAAGGTCTTGAAGTACTGAACTATTAAACGTGATGCTCAGCCATTCTTGATGTTGTCGTTCTTGGGCCGAGGCTGAGGGAGGCCTGATTGAATAATCAAGCGCGGCTCCTCACCAGGCTCCCAGTTATTCTCTTCTGATCTCTCGACGAACAACCAGCCTTGGTTTCAAGCTCTCTCTCTCTCTCTGGTCTGGCGGAACAGATCTGGAATGGTCCTGGGCATCGTTGACTGAACGAATGTGTTTTGTTGTTTGCTGAAGTCAAAGCACACTTTACGGTTCAAGTTGTCCTGCGAATTCTATGTCGTTGTTGGTCTACCGGTTACGGTGCGCCATTGGTTTTCAAGATGGTCACGAAATGATAATAATGGCACCGGGAGCTCTTGAAGACGCTTACTCCCCACATGTGACCTTTCTCACTGCTGGAGTAGACACTCAACCTGACTTTGAAAGATGTGCTCTTCAGGCCATCGACCCCGCTGGATTCCATATCCGCAACCCTCCCAAGCCGCACGAGCTGGACGGCGAAATAACAGATGACTCGCAGCTTTTCCAGACCATCCATATGGGTGCTGCCGTGGTAGATGAGGATAAGTGGAGCCTTGTCGTGGATGGCATGGTGGAGCGTCCTTTCACCGTCTCCTACCGGCAATTGAAGCGCATGCCCAAGGCAAGCATTACATCGTTCCACGAGTGCTACGGAAGTCCCCTGGCACCTCCTACTCGGGCGCTATGGAGAATCGGGAATGTCAAATGGTCGGGTGTCCGGCTGGCCGATTTGATTAGTCTCGCACAACCGAGACCACAAGCATTGTATGTTTGGTCGCAAGGATTGGAGTTTGGATCGTTCGCGGCCTACTCTGCCGATCGGTACGAGAAGGATCTGCCCATCAAGAAGGCCATGAGTTCCGAGGTGTTGGTCGCATATGAGATGAATGGCGAGCCGTTGAACAAGTTTCGTGGTGGGCCAGTCAGGCTCGTTGTGCCGGGTTGGTTCGGTACGAACTCAACCAAATGGCTCAGTCGACTTACTTTGCAGGATCGTCGTGCCTCGGGACTTTTCACGACAACTCTTTACAATGAGATCGATCCTTCTGACCCTGTGGGACAGAGGATGAGAGCCGTTTGGATGGTGGAACCCAATTCCATGATTGTAAGGCCACGACCTGCGGAGGTCTTGAAGGGGCCGAAGATAAAGCTCTGGGGCAGAGCTTGGGGCTGCGAGGAGATCTGTCGTGTTGATATCAGCACTGACGGCGGTGTTACTTGGCTGGCTGGTGACAGTATCCATGTTGCTTCGAGGCAGCAGTTCGAGTGGCAGTTGTTCTGGGCATGGCTGGCACTTCCTTCACCTGGAACGTATACCTTGATTGCGAGGGCGACTGATATGATGGGGATTTCTCAACCTCTGACAGGTAGGAGGAATCATGTCCATGCAGTTGACATCGAAGTTGTATAGACCTGCGCTGAGCGATCCTGACGAATATGAAGAGCGGCTTGTTGTCTGCAATGGCGCTGTCGTTATTATGAGACTGGGGACTCTCCGTTCCCTGGCTCCAGGATCTCCAATATCCCTACAGAGGGAAGAGGTTGTTCAGCCTTGCTCGGCCTTGCTGGGGAGTGCCTCCAAACCTGCCCCCACGATTGACTAAGGGCACACGCATTGTACCTCCAAGTCTCTCCAGCAACTGCGAGCTTGCGCGTCGGATATCGTCTTTCCTTTACCGAATTTTGCACGATTCCTGCGATCTAATCATTGCTGGTCGGACGTGCAGTGGGAAGGCTGGACATGGGCAGCCACGTGATCAGCGCTCACTGACCTCTACCGCGGAGCATACAATGTTGTAAGTGCTAGACGTGAAGAAGCAAAACCACACCGCAAAAGACACCGCAAAAGACTCCTACTTTTCCCGCGACAAGCACCACTCAGGCTTGCGGCTTGCAAATTTCTCGCTCGTCTCTGCCACATGCACATGGGCTGATTTGGCTTCTGTCAGATGCTATCCGACTACTGTGGTTCGGCTGACGAAAAATTTCTTCTTGGCTCGTTACGTACTACGCAAGACAAAGCACTGGACAGGGACGTGGGTGAGCCCCGGCTAAGCCCTGCTGCTATTTGCTACTAGCAAACACTGTGGTAAGTGCCTAGTCCCGTGGGATGGCGTACGAGGCGAAATCATACCATTGTAGTTTGCTGTACCTGGGAAATGGGCTGTGCTCTCATTGCTTGAAGACGGTATCAGGGCCCACAAGTTAGTCGACCTCGGAGCCTCCAAACTGCAGGGAAAATTCTGTCGGGAACAAGGAGAATTTCTTGGAGGGATTGCCTTGCTAAAAAGCGTCCCCTTGAACAGTCTCGAGGCCTTCAACCAGTGGCGAGCGGATCTTGCCCAGCAAGAGCTTATCAGCAACAAAAGGATAGGGATCATTTTGCCCATCAGATACAAGTTGTCCAGCACCAGGCTGAAAAGCTAGCTCTATCCGGGCCCAAGCTCATCCTCGGCTTATCAGTCACACCATCCGATCTCTGGCAAGCAATCACTGGCCTGGCAGTAGTAGATCTCAGGCCTTCCATCCACCTTCAACATCAATCGAGTCTAGCGAAGTTCTTCGGCCGTCGCTTGTGTCTGCGCGTGGTCCAGTAGGTAGACGCTACACGCTATTCCCTGTCAAGTTACATCTACCACAATGGCCCTGACCCACCCTGCCAAGTGCCCGGGTTGAGGTGGTACTCCTCCAAACGAAACTGCCCTGACCCCAGTGGGAAGTTCACCTAGCGTGGCCCGGTACCTGTAGGCCCAGACGAAGGAATGCCAACAACACTCGCGGCTAGAGGATTCAGCCGTCTTTGCTCCGCCGTTCATTCGATGTTTGATGATCTGCGGGAGTCTAACTCTCGCCTGATTTTCTTTCCCTGCCTTGATTGGCGAAGGTATGTGAGCACTGTCGTGTGTTGCATGGTTAGGATCAAAGGTGGGATCTTGGAGCACGACTTCCAAGACCCGACTCAGAGGCGAGTTTGAAAACCTTCTTGCTATATAGACGGCGTGGCAGGCCCCCTTGCTGGTCCCGGATTGTTGTTCTCTCAGCCCGTCGAGATCACCATAGACCAGTCTCTACCCCATACCCGAAGCCATGAGCGACAAAGAACAGAAATACGTTGTCGACGCCGACGTCCGCGGCACCAACAAGGACGGCAACGTCGATGTTCAAACCGGACACGTCTCTGAAAATGCCGACAAGCTCAAGCGCCGCCTCAACAATCGACAGATTCAGCTTATCGCAATCGGAGGTTCTATCGGTACAGCCCTTTTCGTAAGTATCGGCGGGGGCTTGACAAAAGGAGGACCGCTCAGTCTATTGCTTGCCTATACTCTATACAGCGGCCTCCTTGGTCTGGTCAACAATTGCATCGCCGAGATGATTGTCCTACAACCTGTTTCGGGCGGATTCATCCGTCTGGCCGGGAAATGGGTGGACGACGCCTTCGGCTTCATGGCCGGATGGAACTTCTTCTTCTACGAAGCGCTTCTGATACCGTTCGAAATCACCGCTCTCAACTTGGTCCTGCACTTCTGGACCGAGGCCATCCCCACTGCAGCCGTGTGCGCCATCTGCATCGTGCTCTATGCGTGAGATCTCTCCCAAACGCGACTCCTTCTCTCCCATCCTTGCCCCTATGCAACTCCGAGACTGAAACCAATTGTGTGTATATATAGGGCTCTGAACATTCTGGCCGTGCGGGCCTATGGAGAGGCCGAATTCTGGCTCTCGGGAGGCAAGGTCCTCCTGATCCTGATGTTGTTTCTCTTCACGTTCATCACCATGGTCGGCGGGAACCCGGCTCATGACGCGTACGGCTTCCGGTACTGGAAGAACCCTGGCCCCATGGCGGAATATCATACCAAAGGCGACCTCGGCCGGTTCGAAGGATTTCTCGCTGCTCTGTGGTCTGCCTCATTCACCGTCGTGGGACCTGAGTACATTGCCATGGTTGCCGCCGAAGCCAAGCGGCCACGCATCTACATCAAGAACGCATTTAAGACCGTGTACTGGCGATTCGGGCTCTTTTTCATTCTCGGTGCGCTCTGCGTGAGCATCATCGTGCCCTACAACGACCCTACCCTTGTGGGGATTGTCAACGGCACCACGTCGGGCGGCGGCACGGCCGCGGCGTCTCCGTACGTCATCGCCATGAAGAACATGGGCGTGAGCGTGATGCCGCACATCACCAACGCCCTGATGCTCACGAGTATCTTTTCGGCCGGAAACACCTACACCTACTGTGCCACGCGCGGCTTGTACGGACTGGCGCTGGAAGGCCGAGCGCCTAAGATCCTCACCACCGTGACTCGCAAGGGCGTGCCCATCTACTGCTTCGGCATCGTCATGCTGTTCCCACTACTGTCCTTCCTCCAGGTCTCCAACGGTTCCTCTCAGGTCCTTACCTGGTTGGTCAATTTGATTACGGCCGGCGGCATCATCGACTTCATCGTCATGTGCGTCACCTACATCTTCTTCTACCGCGCCTGCAAGGTCCAGGGTCTCGACCGCCACACCCTGCCCTACAGGGGATGGTTCCAGCCGTATTGTTCCTATATCGCCGTCACCGGCATGACTCTCGTCGTCATCTTTTACGGCTACTCGAGCTTCACCCCTTGGGACGTCGGCACCTTCTTCTCCTATTACACCATGGTCATTGTCGCTCCCGTGTTGTTTGTCGGATGGAAACTCGTCAAAAAGACCCGCTTTGTCCGTCCGCATGAGGCGGATCTCGTCTGGGAGAGACCTATCGTCGATGCCTACGAGGCCACTTTCATCTCCGAGCCCATTGGCTTCTGGACCGAAATGTTACAATTGGTGGGATTCAAGCGTAACAAGAAAGACTTGCGCAACAACTCGATATAACTGCAGAATCTTTCAAATCGTTGGGATGGCTATTGACTAACGGTCCTTGACATCTGGCTAGAACAGCTTGATTTTGCCAATACATACTATACACCCACAAATTCAACCACCACCACATCGTGAGAGTAGAGTCCTTGTTATAATCAGGAATCCTAGTACCCGAGCAAGCTTATTCCGGGTACTCCAAATCGTACGCCAATGTGTCGGTGCACAACTCTTCTCGGTACTTGTGGACACTATCTCGTATAGTTGTTAGTTAGCGAGAGTTTTCCGATTCTTGAACTCCGGACGCCGCAAAGAACCATGGGGGTTGTCGAGGCCGAGCTGTTCTAACTCGCAGACTACGGGGAAGTAGGATAGACCGAAAGGATTGCCCGCTGGGGTAGACAGGCTGTATGCCACGCAACGCAAACGCAACAATACAATAAACAACACAACAATGCAATTTTGGTTTTACGTACGCCAAATGAGCAGGATGTTCAGCATAAACCTTGACATCCTCGGCCTTCTCGAGAATCGCCACAAGGCCCATATTGTAGCCCTGGCTACGGTGCGCCGTCGACGCCAGCGGCGAGTTGGCCTCGAGCTTGATCAGGCCTGGGATCTTACCGACCATGGCTTTGGCCTGGGTCGTCCATTCGGCGAGCTGGGCGGGTGTTACGCCTGGTTTGAGCTTGAATAGAACTGTAGAAATAAATAAGAAAAGAAATGTATGCAAGTTAACAACTAAGGACATACCGATGTGGTAGATTGGCATTTTGTCGATGCTGACTCTCCTCTCTTTCTCGACGATGTAGACTGATGAATATGGCGCAGGAAGATATTACTTAGAGTGAGAGTTTCTTAGAAAGTGAAGTTCAACACCGGTAAGATGTTGTCATTGCTAGACACCTACAGTAGGTATACTCCAAGGTCTCCAGGACTTGGTCGTTGGTACTGGTATGCTGCTGAGATGGGGGGGTTATCGGCAGCGTCGGACCGGTCCCGAGGGGTGAAAAGTCCGAAAGTTGGGGAAGTTGAAGACGGAGGGTCAAGCTCCTCCGAGAAAAAGGAAACGATTAAGTTGTACACGGAACCACTTCATCTTTCTTCAACTAACTGGCTTTTCAGATGTCCTTTCCATGCGAAAGATTTATTCGATGAGATGTTGATAATGCCGATGGGACTGATTGCTGAAAAGGCATATCCTATGTTTCTGCCTGTCCCTGCAAGTTGTTTCTGGAAACTCTCCTTGATCTTGGCAGCCTTGCGAGTTGGCTTGTACGGGCGGTATAGGTACTCCTTGATCTTTCTGGCGATCAGAGAATGAGGTCTCGGGGACGGCAGGCCGGAACTATACAACCTTGTGCAGTCGGTGAGTGTGAGTCCGAACTAAATAGGATCAAAAGTGCCATCCTGTTCTGCACCGATCCAGGAGCATTGTTTTGGATGGCATGGGCTACGACGCCCACACCGACATTTCATCATATCGTCCAGTGACGATTTGCAAACGACAATATAAACGCCGCAAAGACACGGGAGTCCTGCAAACAAACAAGGGCCGTCAGATGGATGCCCTGACTTAACAGGCCGTTACTTTCCTGTCTTTCACTTTTACACTTTCTGTGGCGCTGGCACTACCCGGAGTTGCACCCTTTCCCCACACACTTCAACCTCGCGTCTTGTCCTGTTTCAACTGCTGTCTGATATGTCAATTCGTCTTGTTCTGCGTCTGTCTACTGACATGGTCCATGTCATCCGCCTCAATTGAAGTGCCAATTGAAGTGCGCCATGCTTGGCCTCCGGTGCTCTTCTGTTTGAACAATTCAATGGGAGAGCCCCTGATGGCTCAACGGTGAAGGTGCCACCGGCATCGCTTTCCCCGAGAGCCATAGCCATATTGCCCCCGGGGTTGTCTACTTCTAAAGTACGAATCATTCCTCTCGCGTCCCTGGAATTGTGACAAAAGTTTCCTTCTTCATGACCAATTTGGTCCGGACTCCTTCTACTGGACTTGAAAAGAAGTCTCCCCTTTGCTCAAAACTGTCCATTTTGGGATCAATATTTATCCAAGCGACCGCCACAATTACTCAAGGTCTCTCCATTGTCCATTACGTTTATTGCAGCATTTCATGGACTACATCCACGTGCCTGACATGACCCCCTGAACAAGCCACAGTACATGCTCGTGAACAAAGCACCCCTCTCTTCTTCATCCAGAGCCTTCCAGCTTGTATGTCCTTTGGGATATATGCTCCTTCCTTTGTATATCCTTGTCGCGCTGACAATAGTCTTCTCTGCCTCTTCTCTCTCCACTCCTGAGCTGGAGAGATCTCGCGCTCATGTCATACATTGCGACAATGTTCTCCCGCGAGTCTTCCCCTCGCCGTCTCCTCGCCGATGTAAGCATGGCTTCATCTGTGACTGGATCATTCCGCATTCAGAAAAGGACGACATCATCAACCTGCCAAGCACCTAGCTGGCACCAGATCACACGAATGATTCAAGGTGCGGAATTGTGCCTTGGCTTGCTTGCTTACTTGTACCCTGCATTCTTCCCACGAGGTCTTCTTTCATCATCTGTTGAGCTTTGGCTGGATATCACTGTACGACGGCAAGCTACTCTTACGTTCTTCTCCTCAAGGAACGGCAGAGTGGGTTGCTTTCGTTCGCCTCTCCTGCTCTACCTTTTCTTCTCCATCTCTCATCTTCCCTGAAGGACTTGCCTTCCACAAAACTTGCCTTCCCTCCCTCCCCCCTTCATAAATCAACCTCCCTCCTTGCTTTACATGGGCTTCTCCACTTCAAAATCATCCCAGTCGTGGCCTGCCCATCCCTCGCCTCGACCTCAAACTGAATCTCCCCCACAAACTCCAGCATCTTCCTACTACAGTGCTCTATCTCCCACTGAGGCTCAGAACACAGGACCACAGCAAACATCCACGATGTCTTCTTTCGTCCCTGATCCTCAGCGCACTGCCCAGGTCCTTCAACAACAACAACAGAAACAAATGGAAGAAGAGTCCTGGAAGAAGGCAGCGACGGTCAGCCAACACCATCTTAGGACCGTGTACAAGGAGTGGAAGATGGCGCTGGACTTGAGCAAAAAAGGCAGCATTGTCCTCAATGGTAAAGGTCTGCGGATCGGGGCTGTCGTCGCGGTAGCAAAGTACGTTGTTGACTCTACGTCTTCCATTTGTTTGATCATTTTATCTCGCTTCAACCCTCTTGCGGACCGTTCTGGTACACGCTTCTGCTAACACACCAAAACTCCAAATAGGTTCGGGTGTAAGCCCTTTGTCGACCTCAGTGAGATATGCGTGCAGGTAGCACTTAGCACAGCCACTCTCCAAGAGCGCATGAACCAAGGAGAAAAAATCTATGGTATGTCCATGAGCAACAAGTTGCATATTCGACACTTATATGCATGGGGGCCCGCACAGAGGAAATCTCTCCTCCTTCGCGTTCTCGAGTTTGTGTTGGCATCAGCTAACAATCGCTCAGGAGTCAACACAGGGTTCGGAGGCAGTGCTGATACACGCACGATGGATCACGAGGCTCTGCAACGTGCTTTGACCCAACATCAGCAGTCCGCCGTTCTGGCCAGGAACGATTTAGGTCTTGGTGATGAAGAGACAGAGACTTCGTCTGCCATGCCCACTTCCTGGGTCCGCGGTGCCATGGTGGTCCGCGTCAACAGTCTCGTTCGAGGCCATTCCGGCGTTGGATATAAACCTATCGAGACCCTCGCCGAGATGGTTCGACGAGACATGATCCCGATTGTCCCCCTTCGAGGTTCGATTTCTGCGTCCGGAGACCTCATGCCTTTGTCCTACATCGCCGGTGCGTTGCAGGGGAACCCGGACATTTTTGTCCGTGCTGGAAAGGGCAAGGAGCGCAAGACCCTTAGTGCGCCGGATGCATTGGCAGAGATCCATCGTCTCAAAGTAGAGGAACAAACAGCCAAGAGAGAGAAGGAGCTCGAGGAAATCAAGGCGAAAGAGGTTGAAGAGAGCAAGTTGAGCAACAAAGCCAGGAAGAGGCTAAAGAGGGAGAGAAAGTTTCAAGAAAGTCTGGGAAACGCAAACGACCAACCCCAAGTACTCGATGCTGCAACAGCGCTCAAGGATCTCGAAAAGAACCCTTTTGGCCCTGTCGTGCTCCAGGGAAAGGATGGACTCGCTTTGGTCAATGGTACCGCACCATCTGCTACAGTCGCTTCACTGGCACTCTATGAGACAAACCTCCTTGTGTTTCTGGCACAAGTGATTACCTGCGTCACGTCTGAGGCCTTGTGTGCCAACGTGGAATGGGTTCATCCGTTCATTGCAGAGATCCGCCCACATCACGGCCAGATGGAAGTGGCACGCAATCTGCGAATGCTGTTGCGAAACTCAAAACTGGTGAGCTCTCTATCCGGACCTGCGCCCATCGCCCGGGGGAAAGAGGGCCTCGCACAGGACAGATATGCTATCCGAAGCTCACCGCAGTGGCTAGGCCCGCATGTCGACGACTTGTTTCAGTCCACCCTCCGCATGGGGATCGAGCTCAATTCAACCACTGACAACCCGGTGGTCAGCTCGGTTTCGCAGAAGGTGTACAATGGCGCAAACTTCCAGGCAACCGAGGTGGCTGTCGCGATGGAGAAAGCGCGTCTTGCCATGCAGATGATTGGGAAGATGCTTTTCGCCCAGACCAGCGAGCTGATCAACCCGAACCTGAGCAATGGTCTTCCGCCCAACCTGGCAGCAGACAACCCGAGCCTGTCATTCTGTCTCAAGGGAGCGGATATTAACATGGCTGCATATCAATCCGAGCTGGGATTCCTGGCCAATCCAGTTACTTCGCACGTGCAATCCGCCGAGTTGCACAACCAGTCCATCAACTCGCTGGCTCTTGTTGCCGCCCGATATGCTATGAAGAGTGTTGACACTTTGTCGCTCATGACGGCCACGGCCATCTACATTGGTCTCCAGGCGGTCGATATGCGCGTGATGCATATGACGTTCCTTGAGTATTTTCCGGGAGAAGTCAAGAAATACATCTTACAGGGCTACGGGGACAAGATCTCAGCTGAAGACTTCGAGCTGATATTCAAAGCCATCAAGCCCGAGATCCATCGATCTTGGATTGCGAATTCGAGTCGGGATCTCGAAGACCGCTGCCGCATGGTGTCCAGGTCAGTGACCACAACTGTTTTCACTCTGCTCGGAGACCGAGCTGCGAAAGACACCCTTGAGTGGCAGCGAACCATTTTCCAAGGCACAGACACGTTGCGCAGATGCATTGCCCAACGCATGCCCGTGGCCTTTGTCCAGTGGCGGCAAACTTTTGCTGAAGACACTGCCAGAAAGACGGTGCCCATGCTCAGCGATAGTACTAAGGCTTTGTACCAGTTTGTCCGAGACGAGCTTGGTGTGCCATTCCATCTTGGTCTGGTCGACGACCCGTTGAGCGAGCCGACTTCGAACACCACTACCGATGTCGAAGAACGGTACCTCGCTGCCGCCAGAGAAAGTGACAAAGCGAAAGCCCCAGGTGCTACTGCTCGACCAAAGAAAACTATTGGGTCGTGGATTTCAATCATCTATGAGGCTATTCGAAATGGAAAGTTGCCTGGTCACCTTCTGGACACATTCAAGCTCGATATCATGCCTGACGACTTTCAGCATGGTCCGGACGCGGCCTGTAAGAATGGGCATGGTCCAGCGCAGGGTTAGCCTTCAGGGCTCATTTGCTGCAGCATTCGGTTCGATCTCGGCATCAAAAAATGGGAGATCAACACCCATCGATATTTGCGGCCCCGCGAATGGGTTTATCAAGGGGCTATAGCTGAGGGCTGGAGGTAATGTTACTGCAGAAACACGGGGGTTTGGTTGCTCGGTCCAGGACCAAATTCGGATGGCCGCGAGTCAGTGCCATGGTGATCGCCCAAGAGTGTACTAAGGAGCGAATGTTTTGTTTTGAGTATGACTGACTCCACATGCAAACCAGAGAATCGCGAAGCAATGGTTTTAAATGAGCTTGAGAATAGAATAGACCGGGGCTGTAATTGACAGAATGAAACCACGCAAAATGACTTCTAGGTCAAGGTTGCGATGATGGATGGTCAAGATGTAACTCGTCGAAGTGGTTTCCGGCACGGCATTCCCTTGCAACACATTAGACAGGCTACTAGTAACATTGAAATTATTCTTGTCCACTGTTGTCCAGACTGCCAGTGGCCGGGTAGCAATGGCATTAGCCTTTGTGTGTTGTCTTTGAGTTTGTAGCCTAGCTGTTGACCACTGACATTCGTGCAACGTGCTCAACTCTTCTTTACAACCTTACATACTGTGCCTATTTACAAGTCGTGTGTGAATTGCTCTTGGCTGGTTTCCCAACTGCCAGTTACATAAGCTGCTGTGTTGACGTCGTCATCGGTCAAGGCCGGCCCAGGCTCTGATTCCTTCTCGACTCGATCCAAAGAGACACGAAATCCGGTCAGTTCCACAGTGCCGAACTTGAAGGATGATGATCCATCTGTGCCTGTGGTGATTTTGTTGCGGAAGACAAGTTCGTTGAAAGGTTTGCCTGCGTAGGCCATCATGTCGATGTTTGTGATGCAGAAATCATCCCACACTGGCACACCGTGACCGGCGGTGGTGGTTTTATGGTCGTGGTCGTGATCACGTCGGGGTTCGGAGAGAAGCAAGATCCTCCAACGTTCACCGTTGTTTTCGTCTTCGTTTCCGTCGTCCAGTGGGGATCGGGTGAACGTCGTAGGCACAGTTTGAAGATGGTAGATGTTGTTGTTTGTATCTAAATGAAAATACGCCGGGATGGCAGCTAGGACATCGGTGCCGTTGGAGATGAAATGGGTGATTTCGAGGCCGTGCGCGGTGGAGTAGGTTAGGGTTAAGGACGAGTTGAGATGATCGCTGTTGTTACCATTTCTGTCAGTATCCGTGTACTCGTACGTCCCAGCGTAAATACTCTCCGTCTGACGTCTGGCGACTTCATCCGCCGCTCGAATCAAAGGCACAGTCACGGCTTCTCTGAGTAAATCCAGAAGAGCCGGTTCACTGCCCGCGGTCAAGATGGTGATGCCGAGCTCGTACTCGGGGACCAAGATGATGATGGTCGAGTAGCCTGGTAAGCCGCCGGCTTTTGTGATGAATGTGACGACTCGGTCATGGTTTCCAAGGACTTGTTGGTCCGAAATATCTCCCATGGCACACCGTAGAAGGATCCCATGGTAGCAGTGAACGAAGCCGGTTGGAACCAATTTAGGGAATTTGTAATGCTGCCCGGGCTGTTGTAATGGTTCAACACATGGCGTAGGAATCGAGACAGATCTGCCGAGCACGCGAACAGTCCGCCAGTGGGGTTCTCGACGCCCTCGTCTACGTCCCAGTACCAGCTGGTATTTCTGGGCAAGACGGCGACCTTGTCCGCAGGCTTGATGAATGAGGTGCCTGCCATTCCTAGCGGGGTTAGAATGGTCTGGTTGATGGAATCTTCGTAGTTGACGCCGGTCACATTGGCCAGCACGAGACCGAGTAGTTCGAATGCGATGTTGGAATATGTCGATTGCTGGTTCGGAGCGAATAGGGGCGGTTTGGTCCGGATCTTTGCCAGCAAGTCGTCTTTTGTGCATGGTTTGTGCTTGTGCTTCGTGGGCCGGGACTGGGACTCGGAGTTGTGATGGGGATCTTTTCTGGACGCTGCACATGCCGGCAGACCTGCTTGATCCACGGGGATAGGAGGGAGGCCGATCACGGTTGGATCGGGTAGACCAGTCACCAAGTCGCCTTGAGCCCAGTCACGCGGAATGCCGCTGAGTTGGCTGGCGAGGGAGCGTAATGTGATGTTCTCCCACTGGATTTGCGGTGTTTTTGCGTTTTGGTTACCCGGTGTTGTTGGTGTTGTTGCTGCTAGTTCCGGAATGTACTTGACGACAGGATTGTCGAGATGTAAATTCCCAAGGGCCTGTTGTTGCAAGATCCCTAGAACGGTAAAGGTCTTGGTGATGCTGGCGATGCGGTACACGCTGGACCCGTCGACTACGTCGGCACCAGGTCGCTCTGGATCCTTGTCGATTGCGGTGTGAAAGGTCGTCCATAATGTCTTCTGGGCAGAGGTCACTTCGATCGAGTATGACGAGCTGTTGAATTCGGGGTGGTTGGGACTGTTAATAAGGGAGGTGATGGATGCTTCGATCTGGCGGAAGGCTTTCTGCAGTTCGGGGATCGGCTGGGAGTAGTCTGGGGCAGGAAATGCGGGGGACTGGTAGCGACATTCGGCGGCGGCATGCGGAATCAGCAGTGTTGTATATAGGAGAAGAAGAGGAAGAATGAGAAGTATGCCGGCATTGCCGGGGCTGCACCTGTTTGATACCAAGCCCATTTTTGGTGATGCCCAGGTTCGAATTGTTACCGAAGGGTCGAAGACATCAAATCAACAAATAGTCCTTCCTCCTTTTGTACAGACAGATAGATAATTTAGGCGAGATGAGACCTACAAGATAGGCGCTGGATGTGGATAATATGAAGCAATTGTCCTCGTTGTCATCAGCGGTTCTCTTGCATTTGTTTTATCAACAGCTCAGGTTAATACCAGGCATCCATTAAACGTGGGGCCCCGCACTGGCACGTCGATGAAATTCAGGCATCAATGATTCAGAATGCCTGCATTGGACAAGTATAAAGTTTACCTGTCGATGGTGGATTTGGCTTTGTCAACCCTGGACGGCAGAAGGGATAATCGGGCGGATAGTTGTGCTCGGTGGATGAAGGTGTAGCATACAGCAAAGTATTGGATCATGTTGTTAGTCACATCATGATGAGCTCGACGTTGGAGCTGACCAATGACGAACGAACGCCACGGGGAGCTTCATGAAGCGGGAGACAGAGCCGCCGTGGTCGGCCAACTGTTCGTTTGAAATTTTACCCACGAGTTGAGCGTTGCGGCCTCTCACGACATCTATACTAGCAGAGACAGTGGGGTTGATCAGACAGAGACGTTTGGAAAGTCCAATATATTCATCCGTGGTTAAGGGTCTGGTCAGTCCGGGCCCGCTGCACCTTGTCGCCCTGGAGTAACATGCTTCGTGTAAGCAGCCATTACGGTCTTCGTGGACTTTAAGACAGGCTATATCGCAATACAGTCTGTCAGGAGGGAAGTCGGAGTTTCCTTTTACGCTGTACATGTAGCAGCTGCGGCACGCTATAACGAACAACAGGCGTGGCTCCGCTCCCATTGCACGACTGTGACGTCCTTCCACCGGGGTCTGCTGAATGTAGTTCCCCAAACTGAGGCTCGGTGGCTTGCAGCCGTTGTTCATCAACGGTTGGCAGGACCGTGATTGATGGAGATAAGGAAACTAGTGGTTCTGTAGCCCCAAAATTGAGCAAGACGAAATCGTAAGCAGACATGCTAAGGAAACATCTCCGGACGCCCACCCAAACAGTAGCCAATCAAGCCACCTCTAGGAAAGGATAGACGGGTGATATCTCCGTGCACTGAACTTCCAACCGTCCGTGCAGTGATGTACACGAGGTAAGCTCTGTATCGTTGACAATGTGGCTGTCGTGCACTGACCACGGCGATTGACGCAAGGACCATCCCCTGCATCGAGCAAGATGGAAGACCAACCTTTGAGCATATGAACGTTCTCTTTCCCTTGCAAGGTCAAAATCATTGCTCGAAACCTGCATCGAATTGATCCCGGTTCTGAGGTTCAGGTTCGGCTCGCGATGTGATTCAAACAACAACATGTTTTCCAAATTGATCAAACGCCACTCGTCCAAGCATGAGCGGCCGCAATGTTCGCAAATCCTCAAGCAACGCAAGATAGTCTTCTGCGACTGGGGTTTTCATGGCCGGGAGGGAAACGATGGATGGACCTTCACATATGTGGACGAGGTGGATTTCGACCCAGAAGAGGACTTGAGACCGTACACCAGAACAAGTCCCGACCAGTGTGGGGAGATACTTGCAAAGTTCGTCAGTAAACAACTTCGAAAGAACCCGCGACTCAAAGAGTCTCATGGCTGGTAAGTTTGGTTCCATCGCGGATCGAACAGCTGTAACTAACAAGCAACAGGCGGTTCGTCTGCTTGATTGAGGACGGTAAAAAGAGACAATTGCCCGTCAAGCGGCGCGATAGGACGCCGAGGACGATGCTGCTCTTTGAGAGAGAAATACCGTGCCCTTGCGAAGGGAGACAGCATCCAATAGACGGGCTGAAACTTTGGCAATCCGAAGAAACGGGCAACAGCGAAAAACAGCTCAATGTTTCCAAGAAAGAATATGCAATCCCGACACAGTATCGAAGAAGACTCTCGACAATGGACACTTTGCACGAATAGACTGGCACATGCGTGAACCATAAAGAGTGATCTCTGGGTTCTACAGGCATTCAGCAACTTGGAGCTTTCGTGCTGGTCGAAGGGTGCCACGACAGCTCGTAGCATGCGAGACATGGCTTCAGTCTCGGATCTCCCACCGCTTCCAGGGTAATATATCCCAGATCGTAGGGAGCTGATGACTTATGCTTGTGGTGGACAGGCACCCCGACGGATGACAGAGGAGAACTTGCCAGTAAACAGCTTAGTCTGATCCAAGCTGGCAACATGATTATGACCGAGATGACAATACAACGATGCGGAATGAGATCTGTATAAGTCCACTGTGGAAAGTCCAGCGGTGGAGCCATAGCATGGAGTGATTCTGGCGCCACGATGTCATGAACACAGCTTCTACTACGTAGCTCTGATACAGCAGCAGCAGGTATAGTACCTAAGGTCTTTCTGACGGTATGATATGAAAGTATGTTTTGGAATACCAATACAACTACATATTTAGGACTTGCACCTTTTTCCATCGCAATCGACCATAGGAACAAGAAAACAGAGCTTCCCGTCCGCTCAGCTGCACTTAAGCTTGTTGCCGGCTAGTTAGTACTAAAGTGGGTGACCATTTGGGAATCCTGGCTGTTGATTGTTTTTTGCACTTTTTGCAAATCGCTTTTTGCCAAATATGTGGTGGCTGGTTCTCGATGCATCCGTGAGTTGTTGACTATGTGATATGTGATCCGCCGTATCTCCCCAGTCTTACTGCTACTACTGTCAACCATGCACCCAGTTAATGAAGTTTTCATATGCCTCTCGAGTTCAGCACGATGGTCACGCACCGATCGTGCACCATAGCCTGTGTTCTGCGAGATGGTGCGTCAATAATGATACTCGAGAGACAGATTTCGCTTGTCTATTTCCCTGTTCGCCAACTTTGTAGCAATGTCGACCTCCTTACCTTTCAACGTCACCGCCGAACTCGCCGCGCTCAAGCACGAGAAGAAGAACCATGATCTCCAGAGACTCCCTCCCAATGCAATGATCAAACGACGCCCCCTAGACCATCCTTCAGTGCCCGACATACACGTCGGCGCCAACATCCCGAAAGTGGTCTATGTCTCGCGAAAGACGCCCGTCATCTCCGCAGTGAAACGCGTCAAGAAAATGCTACGACTCGTCGAAAAGCGGGCATTGCAACAGGCCGGAGTCTCGCTTAAAACGAAACAGAGGACGGCGAAGATCGCACAAGCAAACGAAAATATAGCCAAGGCCAGGGAAGAGATCCTGGTCAAGGCGAGCGGGAGGGCAATGGAGCAGGCACTACGAGTGGGCGAATGGTTTCGGAACAAAGAGAAGGAAATGCTCTGCAATGTCGAGGTCAGAGCTGGTAGTGTCAGTGTCGTGGACGATATTGTGGAACTCGAGAACGACGCTGCGGAAGAAGAAGAAAAGCAAGAAGCCACCGAGGATGTTGACATCCAAGACGAATCCAAAATCGAACATGGCGATACGACACTGGAATTGTTTGCCGATCATGTCAACACAAGCACTGGTGAGCAACCGTCAAGTGGCCATGGTCAGAGTAATGCCAGGAATTCGGGAACTGCTTCGGACTTACAAATGGAAGAGGGAAATACACCAGTGAAGAAAACCAGGAGGAGGAACAAGAGAAAAAGACCAATGTACAAAGAAGATGAACTGCCAGAGGCACGTCTGAGATGGGTCAAGACCGTTGAAGTTGCAATCTCGTTGCAGGGTTAGACATGGGATCATGCTATCTGTTCGGGTGGCTCGGACTGTCAGGACTGCTTGAAGGGGTGCGTTGCCGTAAACTACCAACACCAAGTCGCAATTGACAGTAGAGAGCTGTCACGATGTCTCTCATAATTCTGGTGTGGCAAGTAACAGCAAGGAAAACAGACCTTCACATCTTCGCCCCCTTCCAATGCTGGAGTTTCCCGTGATCTGCGGCGAGTTGTTTGAAATTGCTCGAGGTGCTGCCGCTCCCACGCCCCAAGTCTGCAGCTGGGTAATACTAGAGCGCTGTATAACTTTCCGTCCATTTGATCAACAAGAGAGACATTGTCCTGCGGCGAGTATGGTGACTGATGGACGGAGCTCCTTTCATCATGGCATCATTTTTTGGCCCTTGACGACGACTTTGCTATGCAGTAGTGGCAGCTAAGTTCCATCCGCATCATAAGTATTCTGTCGAAGTTGCTTAATATGAGAGGCCCATCAGGCCTCTACCGGTGCCGGCTTTCGGAAAGACACCTTTTCCACAGCCACATTCTCATTCCCGTTGTCGTCCGTTCTCAACTGATAGACATATAGGACGAGGACATCACCTTGGATCTAAAGAGACTTTTAGTGATGCATGCATCTCACACAACCAACTCCCTGAAACTTACATCCAACAAGCAGAAACTAGGTATCGGTTCCTCATCGATAGCAAGCCAGCTCGTGCTGAAAGCCCCCGTGGCGCTGCCCGGATTCACAAAGAACTTGCCCTCCAGCTCATATGCTTCGAATTTGTGTGTGCCGCCCCAAAGTAGAACGTCGACATCCATCTGCCGTGCAGCAATCAACAGTGCATCAGCATCTCCCTGGGGGATGATAGTATGGCCATGCGTGAAGCCGATGCGCAGGCCACCATGTTGTACGACTTTTGAGAGCGTCAGGCTTGTCGCTTCGGTGTCGAAATCGCCTTTGACAATATGTAGATCCGGCGCAATCTGACGGAGGAAATCGTACGTCTCCTTGTCCGTGATGTTGCCCAGGCAGACGACTTGTCCGATCTTTCCGGGAGCCAGGAGTTTTCGGAACTGTATGTAGAGTGTTAGAATGACCGGATCGGACTGTGCAGAGAATGGAAGCTAATCTCCCACCTTTGCTGGGATTTCCTGTGCCGCTTTGTTAGTATACCCTCCAAGTTGTGCAAGATCTATGTTGATGACTGCTTACCGGCGCCCGATCTGGGATGAACAGATCACCAATGACCAACACCAACCTGGAGGCCATGCCTCTTTCTACCCGGTGTGTAGTTTAGTAGAAATCACACATGTCCACTGCGCGTGAACGGAGACGGACGGCCAGGGACAGGGAAACGACAACAACAGTAAGAAGCATGTGAAGCCAGGCGCATTGAGGTCGACGGCAGCATGCATGGGAGTACTGCTAGTAGTGAGTGGTACGTTTCCAAGTCCCGCCGCACTGGCTAGCCGCAGGTAACATGGAGATGAGGAAAGTATGGCGAAATCACGTGCATCGAGGAAAATGACCTTAATATCCGCAAGCTCCATCTCACACTGGCAACGTCTGGGTTTAACGTCCATCTCAGCATCGATGTTGCTTGTTATACTAGTCGACTGTTGTGTTAGATTCGGCTTGAAAGCCCTCAGTCATACCAAGGGAACCATGCTGCAAGACATCAAATTATACAGTACCTGGGCTCTGCGGAAGGTGATCACGTTCTCCATATGCAGCGTTTTTGCTGCTTCTATCTGGTCCTTTTGTACAGCTTCGTCTCCACCCCGTTCAAGCTGTTCGAGTGCCCTATCAAGCCCAAAGATGTCTTCACCTGTATGGCAGCCAAAGCTTCACGCTCGCAGTCGAAGAGAAGAGTGACCAGGATCAGCGTCTTGTTACAAACAACTGCGTGAAAAGATCGTCGACTAACGGCGGACTCTCTTGGCGATGCCATAGACAGTCTACAATGGTATTACCGGAACACGTTCTTCGCCAGACACTTGGAAATTCGAGGTGATTTACGTCGTCGCTCTGAAAGCAAAACTGATTGTCTCGCTGAAGATGTTGCAAGGCGTAGAAGACTCATCTGCGACTCGTTACGGTATTGTGTGGGGTCCAACTTACCATCTCCTGCGTTGGCGATAGATTCCGAGGGGAAGGCCCTCACTTTGATTCGTGCCCATTATGTAAAAGTGCATCTGTGATGCGCGATGTTAAGCGAAAGCGACCGGGGGAATGCACAGTCAGATGCAGAGGCAGGTTCCAGTTTTGTAAGAGCAGGGAATGTTGTTGAATAATTTCATGTTGGACTCTGCCCACCTGGGAAGAAGTTCTCAAAACTCCCAGGGCAAAGAAAAAAGTCCTATCCACGCTACCTAACCGAATGCCCGAACTCGAAACCCGCATGACTAGAATACATATCTTTTTCTTCTGTGGTCATCTATATCTAGGCCACACCCGAGCCAAACACCTCGGAATGAATGCGCTCTGAAGGGACGCCGAGTTCCTCAAGAGCCTTTTGCTGAGCCTTCATGAAGGGGATAGGTCCACACAGGTAATAGTTGGCGTCCGGTAGCAAGACCTTGTCTTTAAGTTGCTGCATATCGATCCGACCTTCGTAATCGTAGTCTTCGCCCTTCTTGTCGGAGTCGTTCACTTCCTCGTAGAAGATAGCTCGCGAAACCTGAGGGTTGTCCTTGATGATGCGAGAAAGGTAGTCCCTCATGGCGTGGACCTTGCTGTTGCGGGCGGCGTGTATGAAGACAACTTTTCGGTCCGGGGCATGATCAACCAGCGTTCCCAACATGGAGAGCATAGGGGTAATGCCCACACCGCCGCTGATGAGCACAACAGGCCCGGTAGCCTCGACATCGAGGGTGAAGTCGCCATAAGGGTTGCTAACATCGATTTCGGTGCCCTCAGGCGTCTGCTCATGTAGCACAGTGGAGATGCGTCCGGCGGGTGCCGGCGCTTTGGCGGCCTCTCTCTTGACGGAGATACGGAAATGTTTGCCGTCGTCGGTATCGGACAAACTGTATTGTCGTGGCTGGTAGACGCCGAGCTCAGGGACCCAAACCCTCACGGAAACATATTGACCAGACTTGAAGTGCGGAAGTGGTCCTCCGTCGACAGGCTCGAGGTAGAAGGAGACGATCTCGTCACTCTCAGGGACTTTCTTAGCCACCCTGAACTTGCGCCAGCCTACCCAACCACCTGGGGTTTGTTCTGCTTGTTTATACAGGCCTTTCTCGAAGTCGATGAAGATATCGGCAAGTTGTTGGTAGGCTGCCGCCCAGGCGTCAAGGACCGGTTGGTTAACTGCATCACCCAACACTTCCTTAATAGAAGCAAGCAGGTGTTCCCCCACGATTGGATACTGGTCGGGGGTGATTCCAAGACTGGCGTGCTTGTGGCCTATGCGGGAAACGGCCGTTGTCAGAGCTCCCAGATTGTCGATATTGGATGCGTATGCCCAGACCGCATGGGCCAGGGCCGCCGGCTGAGTGCCCGTGCTCTGATGGGCGGAATTGAAGATGTTGCGCAATTCGGGGTGGGCATTGAGCATGCGCTTGTAGAAGTGAGAGGTGATGGTGACACCATGTTCGGCGAGGACGGGTGCTGTCGATTTGACAATGTCCATGTGTTCTTGACTCAAGGCTGGCCTTTGGGGGGATGAATGGAAGGATGCAGCACCGGCGCCGGCAGCAGCGGCGACAGGGGCACCATTCCGTAAAGGTGCAGCAGCGGAAGAGTTGAGCATTCTGGTAAGTCTAGTAGTAGTCCTTGCGAACATGTTTCTCGAGGTCGATGAAGAATTGTCTCCCTAGAATCAGTCAATAAACACAGCCTTATATATCTATTCACGTTGAACGAATAATCGTGGAGGTGTTTGTCGGTATAGGAAGAAATTGGAGACATGGTATTCGTGTACGTAACACGACAGGCCAACGTCAGGCCACTCCAACCATGCCGCCACAACTCAAACCTGACGAAAAAGTAACAAACTTCAAGCAGCTCCGCGGCATTCACAGGTACGGCATCTGGGGGATGATCCATGAAGATCCAGATCGTCAAAGGTTGCTACATCGCCTTGGATTGCACTGGGTGCTTGCTCGATACGTCATTGGCTCTGCAAAAGGCTATACCTTAAGCGATAAACCCAAATGAGGCTTGCGAGCAAATGCGAGCAAATACAGAGGCCATGCCCGTCCATATCCAAATCCTACCTGAGCAGACGGGTTACAAATGGACTGTTGGCTCGCAAAAAGAACACATTGCATGCGTAGGGAGCAAGTCGAAAGGAAGTCCGCCGCGGAAGTACTGAATGCAAATGCATTTTATATCTCAAGGCTGTGGGCCTGAAATAGGCGGTTTCCGGGTCCAGGTCATCGGTCAGGCTACTCGCTTAGCGGGTGGTACAACCCACAGGTACAACTACGTGAGCGAGATTTGAAGTGGTACCGTGGGGTTGCGTCAGTTGTACTGTGCAGTAGTAATTGCACGGTTTCCAGTGGTCGATTGCTGGGGTTTCTGTCGGCCGCGGTGACCACTGCTCCATGTCGGGCGGTAGAAGAACTTGAAGAGCCCTGAAGATCATGGGTCAAATGCTGTGGTGACAGCTGGAATCCAGCCCCGGCGCCCCCAGTGCGTGGCGGGAGGCAGGTGAGACTCCGTAATAAAATGAAATATTTGCCGCGGTTGAAGCTCTCTCATCACGTGCCTGTTCATTGCTAAATCAGGAAGTTTCTCCGAGTAACGGGTTTATAGCAGCGTCAAGGCGACTCTAAAACAGCGACTATATGTCTCCGCATGCGCTACAGTGTAGTCACGACGTGCCCGTGACGATGTACTTCCGAGTCCGCGTCGACTGTACTTGGGTACACTTCAACACGCTTTCTCAAGCAGTCGATCATCACCCCCACGTCCTTTCACCATGGCGACTCTTCAGGGATCTGGAGTCCCCAAGATGAAACTGGAGCCACCCGACCAGACTGTAAAGTTGGAGCCCATGGACGAGTCGCCATCTCCGTACGTCGAAGAAGAAGATGATGATATCTACGAGGATACTGGAGATCTGGACTTTTCTCGCGCACAGCAACCGTTGTGGTTGAGCCACATTCCTCGAACGCTATGGGAGGCCTTGTCGAAGTTACAAGATGACGACGAGATCGAGATCGGAACAATAAGAGTGGAAGGACCGGAGTCCAACCCTTCAAGAGTACGTAGGGGTTTCCCAGCGCCAAAAGGGCTACGTAGCTAATACCAACCCCAATAGGTCAGCATGAAGCTGAACGCGCTCCCAGCACTGGCGAATGAACCGAAAGAGTATAACCTTTTCCCCCCTCCGATCGAGAAAATGAGAGCCCGCAGGCCGGGACAGGCGATGGTATTCTCGGAGAAAGATCTGCCTGGCTACAAACCCCGAGCTTTTGGCTGGGACGAAATCGACGAAGAAGGAAACCCAGGTCAAGGACGGTCTTTTCTATACGAGAGGCACAAACGGGAGATAAAGAAGAAAGAAAACAAGGGTCGATATACACCATATACCCGGCGCCCCATTCCCAAACAGACCGCTATTGTCGGAACAGTTGCAAAGGAAGTCGAGGCTACTCCCGTCAAGAACGATGAATATTTCGAGCTTGAGAACAAACGGGCCGCCGAGATGCTCAAGCCACCTGAGCGGGACACTGCTGTCTTCGCGACTGGCGATGAGGATCCGTCGAAGAAACATACGCCGTTCATGACCATGACCGACAAGGCGAATGTACTCAAGGTGAGAAGGGTCCCAAATCATGTGGCAAATGACCACTTCGCTGATCTGTTCAGAATGCACAGGCACGGAGAAATGCACAGAAGGAAACTCGTGCGGCGCGGGTCGAGAAGCACGTGCTCATCGACAAACTTATGGACCTCTTCCGACAGCACCGGATCTGGGGTCTACGCGATCTCAAAGCAAGAGTTAACCAACCAGAGGCGTACTTGCGCGAGACATTATCCGAGATTGCGTTCATGTGGAAGGCTGGGGATTTCAACGGCAAATGGGAACTCAAGGATGAATTTAAGAGTGATGCCATGTTGCTGAATCCTCCGAGTGCAGTGGCTCCCAAAGTTGAGGATTCTGATATGGATAAATCCGGGTTAGACGAAGAGGATGAGGATGAAGTTTTCGAGGATGTCGAGGCATGATCAGGCGTGGTTCACAGCATAGCGATGGCGTTGGGGCGGAGATATCACCAAACGATACCCAGGCGGATGACTTGGATTTATGACTAGATTGCGCACAGCTGCAAGCGGCATCAACATCTTGGAGAAACCAAATTATCACTGATTAGCAATAAAGGGACCATGTCACGACGTAGACCTAACATAATACACTGGCGAGAAAAGCTAGGTAGTATGCATGGTTCCAGCCTTGTACCTGATCTTAGTACCTAGGTAGAAGGCAGTAAGCAGCAGATCGCAGCCTTGCGAACGCTGCCTCGGCGGAAGGACGAATGTCATTGGCTGTGATAATTCCATCAGCGAGCGTGTTCAGGGGTTTTGATACAAGCCTCGCTATGAACGACCATCGGTCACTGTTCCCACCCGCAATGTAAATGGTAGCAGTTCACGTATGAGGCGTTGTGCTAATGGCCTGAGTATTCATGCTGACACCCAAGCAGGCGTACTAGCGTTTAACGAGACTACGCCCGGACCGAGACTGGAAGATGTCATGACCTGATACCATGTCATCCAGTGAACCATATATCGGCCAACGGCGCTCTTATGGCAGAGCACTTTGCACAGTGCGGTACATCGGCACGCTTGCCAACACCAAGGGCGAGTGGCTCGGTGTGGAATGGGACGATGTCAGCCGTGGAAAACATGATGGTCAGCACGAGGGCAGACGGATCTTCCATTGCCTTTCGTCGTCACCCACGGCCGCCTCATTCGTGAGACCTTCTCGCCCACGCGATGCCGAAAGGACACTTCTAGAAGCCATCAAGTTCAAGTATGCTGCAGCTATAACTGCGTCGGATGATCCGGCACGGCAATCTTCACCTGCCGCTAATTCCCAGGCTACGGCTACCTCTACCAGCGACAATGTGATTGAAATCGACGGCAAGGTGGTGGAAGAAGTCGGGTTCGACAAGGTCCAGAAACAACTGTCTATGCTCTCCGACCTCAAGATTGTCCTTGTGGATGAACTGGTCGTCTGTGGAATTGCCCCACGAGGCGCCTCACGAGAAGAGATCAAAGTGGCTCAACGGGAGCTGGCGACCACCTGTCCCAACATTGTCGAGTTAGATGTCGGATGGAACGTCATTGAAATGTGGCAGGACATTGTTGACATTTGTGCGCCGCTTCCGAAGCTGAAGATCTTAAAAGCCAGTGGGCTTCGACTGAGAGAGTTTGGAGTCGAATATCTTCCTACACACCCGCACAATCCCTTTAACCAAATCGAGGAACTTCAAATGAACGAGTGTCTCCTTCGACCGGCACAGATGGTTTCAATTCTATCTTCGGTTGGATCTGGACCAATCGAAGGGTTCCGATCGCTCAAGTTACTCGCGCTGGCACTGAATGAGCTGGATTCATTTGCCGTGCCAGAACAGGATAGCGAGAGTGGTACCGGTCATGCACTCACTGACTTGACTTGGCCATCGGTCACAACCGTGAATCTCGACAACAATCGATTCATCGATCTGTCATCGCTACCGACGCTGGTATCTCTGTTTCCGAATATCAGCACTCTTTCGTTGCAGGGGAACGCGATATCCAAGCTCGGTCTTGAGTCGTCTGCTGCTCACCGCCGTTTTGAGACCATCCAAACGCTCAATCTGGCAGGGAACCAGATCTCGAGCTACTCCTTTGTCGATGCCTTGGCGACAACGTTCCCAAATTTGAGTTCCTTACGTATCTCCCGAAATCCTCTTTACGACGGCGGTGGGCAGAAGAATTCCGATCATATTGATTCGCGAACATTAACATCATCGCACCCAGCGGTGCCAGCCGTGGCGCCGGCACCATCATTACTGCCCGATTCCACTTCCTACTATTTAACTCTGGCGCGCATTCCGCAATTAAAGTCTCTCAACTACTCTACCATTACGGCCCGGGACCGAGAAGAAGGGGAGATATACTATCTGTCTGTGGCCGAGAAAGAAATCAAACAGATTCTGGAAGAACAAGGCTCCTGTACCAGCAAAGATCCGGTCGACCTAGCTCGTCGCCGACATCCTCGCTATTCTGCCCTGTGTGCAAAACATGACCGAGACGATATTCTCGAGCGTTTTTTAGAGCGGTTGAAAGAAAAGAAGCCACCATCACTATCACCATCAGCAGCAGCGCGAGCATCGCCACTCGCATCGCCGGAAACGGCAGCTAGTTTGGACCTCAAGTCTTATGCTCCTGGAACGCTGGGTTCGCGCCTCGTCGATACTGTCTTTTACATACCAGTACAGGACAGTAGTGCATCTTCTGAACAACTTCATCATCCTCATACTACGAATGTCAGTAGTACTGGTCAAACATTCCGTCGCCCTTTACCTACCACGATATCAGTATATCGGCTGAAATCGCTGGTCGCGAACCATTTCGGTCTGCCTGCCCTTCGGTTCAAACTCGTCTACGAATCTCCCGAATATGATCCCGTTGAACCGATTTCAAAGACAAGGGGGACAGACAACGACAACTTCAACAAAGAGGAGGAGGATTGGGATGAATGGGGAAATTGGGATGTTGATGATATTGATGTCGAGAACAACAATCATAACAGTGAGAGTCAGGAGGACTCCATCAATGACGCCCGAGGCAGTGGTGGTTCTGCACCACCAATGTATATCACGCGTGATGGCCAGCGGTTCAAAAAGCGCCAGACGGAAATTTTGGATGGGATGCGTCCTTGGGGAGATTTTCTTGATCTCGATGCGCCGGATGGGACGAGAAGACATGATGTGGTGGTTAGAGTTGAGCCGTTTCCGGGTTCGGTCTCGAAGTCCGAGTCTGTCTCTTCGTGATCTCTCAATGGATCACGTAGAACTTGAAGAAGATGATGATCTAGCAGAGAACTTGAGAATGATAGATGGTATGTCCAACACAGAGATGAAAAATATAATATTGTACAGATTGTGTTCTGCATGATATCCAACAGTGTGTAATAACATTTGAGACAATAACGGTCCACAGTTGTGCACTTGGTTGTGCGTTTTGGCTCTTGTCCATGACAAGCGTAAGGTACTGTAGATGCTTTCACATGAGCCGAGTGGAGAGCAGAGGCTGTCGGGGCCGTGTTACTATCCATGAGACCATGGAGGAATTTGTACCCTAGGGTATGCCTCGTCCTTTCTTGGAGGGGATAACCTCTAGTGTCGACGCAATGGGTCTGCGCCAGGCCAGCATAGCGCAGGATTCATCGCTCGGAACTGGAGTCGAGTAGGTGGTTGCCAAGCGAAACCCGCTGGGTAGCTGTGTACGCTGACGTGGAAGCCCTGAAATTGTGGGGGCCCACTCAGTGCGCGACTTGTACCCAATGCGGACATCCCAGGCCCTCTTCGGGGATGGCCTGGCAGTTGATACGTGCTTCAGTCTGTGGTGAAGAGAGTTTTCAATACAATGCTGCCACTTCACTCCTCATCACCCACATAACGAGACTGCGGCTTCTCGACCCCGTTGGCAATCCTGTTCGCCCTTGCCTCTTCCTCAGGGTCAAGTTCGAACCTCCTCATGCGCTCCCCAATGCGGTTGTCAATGACAATATCATTCAGCCAGACTCGCTCAGTGGTGTCACCTTCCTTTGCGGGTTTTCGAACGGATTTATGCCACGTCCGCTCTTCATCTGCAAGTACCGTCTGTTGCTCCCAGCTTTGGCGCGACGAAGCAGCCGCGTCATTCTCCGGCGCTCTCGTGGGCAGTGGATCGGCTTCAAGATCTGAATCTGTCGTGCTAACAGCTGGTCCGCGATGGTATGGTCTGTGTGCGGCTAGAACAATAGCTGCCGTATCGCGACCGACCTGGTCTGCTAGATGACGGCGGTTGAGGAAGTTGTATATTCGTTGAGGAAATTTGAGGAACCCGAGAAGATGCTGCTGATGTATAGGCTGCGATGGCTCGAGAACATTTGGAGTATACGGTGATAACGTGCTTGACGGGTATTGTTCGGTAGACAAGTATGCAGGAGGCGGATACGGCTTCTTCTTCTCTTCCTTCTTTTCCTCTTCTGTCTTCTTCTCTTGATCGTCCGACTTCTTGGTCACTTCCGGATCCTCAGTAGTAGCGGCAGGGTTGTCGGTTCGAGCCTCGGTGGGAGGGTGTATGGGTGATGGCTCGGGTTCTGGCTCGGCTGGAGGCGGGGGTTCGTCAATAGGACCAAGCCATCCTTCATGTACTCCTCTGATATATTCTTTCCATGTGTGCCGGCCGAGAACTAAATCACCACGAATTCCTGGCTCGGGGACCACGTGCAGCTTTTCCCGTACTTCGTCCACCACCTTCTCCTTATCTAGCGCATCTTCCTCCGCTGATCGAGATGACTTCTCGCCTAGTTTTCGGCGAAGTCGGCGTATTTGTTCAGCTGTTCCGTATCGGACATCTCCCTCTTTGCGCCCTTCAATCACATCATAATCAAGCGCCGCGGCAACCAAGATTGGCTTGACGTATTCCTTGAAATATTGCCGAGAAGGTCGGACGCCGTCTCCGGGAGGAGCGGCCAGAAATATGGTCAGTTTCCTTCGCAGATAATTGGTAGGCAGCGGATCCTCGGCGAGGTGAGCCACCAGATCGCACCATTTCTTTTGCACCTTTTTCTTTTGATGTTTGTCGTACAATACAGCGGCAGTCCAGGACCCGGTGACGCCGAGAAATATAAGCCAGTTTCGTGAGGGCAGTTTAAATTTGAAGTTTGGCATACCTACACAGGTTAGCGGTGCTGGATGGCCTGTCGCATTGATCTACTCACCCATCATGCGAAATGCTGGATTTGGTTTGGATGCCGGTTTCGGCGGAGTGCCGGATGGAGCGCCATCTGACTTGGGAGCGTCAGCCATTGTTCTGATGTCCCAGAGTCTCAGACTTATGGAGATGGGCTGTTGTGCTATTTGTGCATCAATGCAAGCACATGTTCGCACTTCGGTGCAGGAAAAAGATGATTGCACCAGCTACGGTGCCATACTTTTAGTTGGAGTTGCCCTCAATGTGGTTAGCGGCTCGGCTGAGCTGCCCATTCCACAGATCAATGTCCGCCTTAGTCATGATTTTTGTGAGCAAGACTCGGACTCTGCAAGCATCAACCCCACAGTAATGGTAGCGGAAGCCTCGTCAGGCTATCGGCCCCTTTCACAGGTAGCACAATTGCTGAAGGAGAGTTGGCTGAACAGAACATATCATTCATAGACAAGATAGCCTGACTTACCTTTTTTTAGATTTGCTCGACCTTTATCCATGTAACCATTGTCTGTCACCTGGGGTTACTGTGTATGCGCCTGTATTTGTAACAGCATAACCCTTGCGGCAGGATATTCCTGTATTCAATGCGTTTGTGTTCCGGCCAGAGCACGAGAGTAACATCTGTACAATTAAATTTATATAGCTAAAGAATGGGAGGTGGTGTCAGATAGGATGAACCAAGCAGAGCATAAGGGAGTGCCAGGGTTCCCTATCTCGGGTATCAGGCTGAGAACCAATTATATGGCTGTGCCTGAAGCCAGGGACCACTGCAGTGGCTGCTTCTCCGGGGGCACTGCAGTGCCAGTGCGTGCGGGTGGGTGCAGCAGGCCGTTGGTTTAAACTTGGCCGCTAGCCGTGTTAGTGCAGCCGTTCCCCTAAGTCTTTAACCCTTACTATAAACTCTAAAACATTTCCCCCTTCCGCACCTGCGTGCCACTCACGGGCAACCGACTTGCACTTCACCATCTGCACTGCATCCTGCCTCCTGCAAGATCGATTGTTTCCTTTTCCTTCTCTCATGTCCTTCATCCCTTACTGTCGACCTGCTCTCACTAGACCGATCTTGATCGACCGGCTCAGTCCTGTGAACTACCTTCTCCAATTGACCTGCAGTTGTTCTCCCGATCTGGACATCGTGAACAACTTCCATTAAGGGGCTGTGACTCCAACTGCGGTCGATCTAAGACTCGCTTACCAGGTTCCTTGGTGAGTTACTATCCTCTTTGCCTCTCTAGGACTTTTGTTGCTCATATCTGACTTAACAGGCCTGTTCAGCAGGTAGATCGATTGAAGTTGCCAGACAAACACCTATTGTTGACGGTCCTCCTCCCATCGCCTCGACGATGACCATGGATCCCGACAACAACCCCAATAATAACAATAACAATAACAACAACAACAACAACTTGAACAACAACAATCGTCTGCGGTTGAACTTTCAGTTCGACAACCAGCACAACTACGATGCTGCCAATGCACGCATGTATCCTACCACTCCTTCCACGTTCCCTCAGCCAATCTATGGTGGTCAGCCAGAATACCCAGGCGGCATGTTGTCTCCCAATCCCACCACCACGAACGGCTACTTCCTGAACCAAGGCTATTCTCAAGCGAACCAGCAGGCTCAGTACCAGCAACAGTACCAATACCAAACCCCCGCTGGTCTCCAGTCCCCTCAGCCGGCATACCAAGCAAACTCGCGGACCTACATGGCCAACAATAATCAGAATGACGGCACTACCGGCCTGATCCAACAGTTCTCCAACCAGGACTTGAGTGCAACACCCTCCCGTGGCAACGCCAATCGAGCACCATCTCCTGCCAACTCGCGTCCTCGAACCGCTGGTGACGCTAGACAAGCGCAGGCTGCCAACTACCAGAACCACCTCGCCCCTCCCCTCCCTAGACCATCCCCCAAGCCAGAGGAGGAGGAACAGAACCCACGCAAGTACTCTGACAATATCATCAAGAGAGGGACTGCTGCGAAACAACTGGTCAACAGCTTCTTCCAGGAGAACATTGAGCGGGCACGTGACCGTAACAGCCGTGCAAAGGATCTGGATGCCCTGTTGAAGGATCCCAATCTCAGTGAGATCCAGAAGCAGAAGGAGATCAACACGTTGGCTCAGAAGGAGGCGCGTTTCCTGCGATTTCTTCGTACCAGAGAGACACCGCAGAACTTCCAAACCATCAAGGTCATCGGCAAAGGTGCATTTGGAGAAGTCAAGTTGGTCCAGCGCAAATCCGACGGCAAGATCTATGCGTTGAAGTCTCTGATCAAGTCCGAGATGTTCAAGAAGGATCAGCTGGCCCACGTGCGAGCGGAGCGCGACATTCTTGCGGATTCTAAGGACAACCCATGGCTTGTCAAGCTTCATGCCTCGTTCCAAGACTCGGCTTTCCTCTACATGTTGATGGAGTTCTTGCCCGGTGGCGACTTGATGACCATGCTGATCAAGTACGAAATCTTCTCCGAAGACATCACTCGGTTCTACATGGCTGAAATTGTCATGGCGATCGAAGCGGTTCACAAGCTTGGCTTTCTTCATCGGTATGCTTGTCTAGCCTCTTACTCCTGTTCTAACTAACCTGTGTGCCAGTGACATCAAGCCAGACAATATCCTGTTGGATAGAGGTGGTCACATCAAGTTGACGGACTTCGGTCTCTCCACCGGTGGTCGGAAGCAACATGAGAACTCGTACTATCAAGCACTTCTTAAGTCGAATGCCACTGACAAGGCGGGAAATCGCAATTCGATGGCTCTGAATGAGCAGATCAATCTCACCGTTAGCAACCGTGGATTGATGAACACTTGGAGAAAGTCTCGTCGTCACATGGCGTATTCCACTGTTGGCACTCCCGACTACATTGCTCCCGAGATCTTCCTGGGTCAGGGTTACACTTATCTCTGCGATTGGTGGTCTGTCGGCGCGATCATGTTCGAATGCTTGGTTGGTTGGCCACCCTTCTGTGCTGAAGATACCCACGACACCTACCGTAAGATTGTCAACTGGCGTGAGACACTGTATTTCCCCGAGGATTTGGTTTTGGGACGAGATGCTGAGGACATGATCCGAAGGTGAGTTTTGATCTGTTTTGCTAAACGTGCCGATACTGACCCAAACTGTAGCTTCCTCTGCGACGCGAGCGATCGTCTGGGTAGGGAAGGAGGTGCCATTGACGGCGCATCATCCATCAAGAGACATCCATTCTTCCGAGGTGTTGTCTGGGATCAATTGCGAAAGATTCGAGCACCATTTGAACCAAGACTCTCTTCCAACATCGATGTCAGCTATTTCCCCATCGACGAAATCCCGCAAGAGGACAATAGCGCAGTTCATCGAGCACATGCCCGACAGGTTGCTCCAGAACAAGATGCGGAGATGAGCTTGCCGTTCATTGGATACACCTACAAGGCGTTCAATGCATTCCAGAACTCTTGAGCGATCCAAAGTGGGGAAGCAAAATCACATGGTTGAGATTCTTCCATTGTGCCATTTCTCGGTTGGCGGATCACGACATTGCGCCTTGATCCAGGGTGTCAGAGACAATTTTTTTCACTGCATCAACTTGAGGCTGTTGACCAGGAGCAGCTGCGGGCTGATTAACGAAAAGGCGAGCAGAGGCGTTTTGCTGAGCGACCGGAGAGCAGGCATCTTCAAGGCTTTGGCACATGAATCAACTCTTGGAGAGTTGAATTGGTCTACGAGAAGATGCTGATTGAGCACTCTTCTTGGACGATGATAGCAGATGCCTCTCACCAACATTGGTAGCATGAGATGATGAAGAATGATTAATTGGCAATTTTTGAGCCTGACCATGTTTCCTGGAGCTGCGAGTATACAGGCTCACGTTTCCGTTGTCGTAAACTTGAATCATAGGCACATTACGTCACATGTATCACGACTCGGTCACAGTCAAATGCTTCTACAATTTGAACAACATTGTACGCTCGAAGACTGCCTATCTGATCCTGTAGTTGTCTATGCACTCTTCTCACCGTATCGCAGAATCTGAACCTCGAATTACAACTCGGCGGCGTCAATTGTCATCATCATGGACGTAAGTGGCAATCTTCACACATAACGGGCATAGCCTAACCCTCGATACCCAGGTATTTTACGCCTACACATATGGCACAGCAGCCTGGCTGGGCATTCAAGCAGTGCCGATGGTAGTCCTACCAAAGATGATCATATCTGTGTTGGCCAAGGAGATTCACCAAGCCACAGGTAAGACATGCTTGCCAGTGTTCTCCGCCACCCGAGACCTTTGATGGAGGGCAATATGGGAACACGGCCTAATCAAATCATCCTTTGCAACAAGGACGGACATTCAGTTGGTTGCATTTGCCGCCATATGCAAACCGCACAAGGTCTTTCTTTTCTTCTTGGGGACATTTTGGATTCATTTCCCTTGTTGCAGCTGTGGGTTGCTTAACTATGTGGCTGACCTTATGCATGAATTTTCGTCCAGATGTTGAGGTATACTTTTGTCGGTCACTCGGGTTTGCCCTGACACTGGTTGCCTTGATCGTCCTGTTCTTCACAGGTTCAATCCCATTGTCATCCAGCATCAGCGAACCAGTCAGTCTAGAGGACAATGACCCCAAAGCACCATATGCGGTGCCCATTCTTCGAGTGACGACTTTGTTCCACGGACTGAGCATGGTCTATTGCTATATGCGCTATGTTAACTATGGGCAGACAGGGTATATTCTGGGTGCAATGGGGTATGGGGCCATAGCAAGCCTGGGTCTGTGGTGCGTGGTGTTTGGAACATCTGGTGGGAGGATCTCCAAGAGGACAGGGGCAGATAAGCGGATGGCAGGATTCCCTTTCAAGAATGCGAGTGCGTACAACAAGCGGAAGGACAGGAAGATGGGTTGAGAAATGCACAGAGCACAGACAGTGTGGTAGGGGATGATAAGGAGTGGCTATAACCGGGACAGTTATGATAAAGGCCAGGACAGGTCAAGGCGATGGCAGCTGAAGGGTCACCGGCATGCAGACAAGCAGTTGGGAGAGGGATAGATGGCGTCGATTCATATTATAGGAACCAGAATGAAGGAAACACTGCCACATACAACTTGAATGTAGGTGACGGCCATATCATGTCTCGGTGACTGTGGAGTGAGGTTCTACAACAAATTAGTAATTTATTAATAATCTGAAAACTGTCGCTAACGACCTACTAGTAGGTGCTAACTGTCTAGTGAATTTTCCTAACTGCCACACTAGACCACAGCCAAAATCCACTTTTGATCTGTCTCTCCCGCTGCTTTGGCTCTACCGCGTCTTCATCCTTTCTTGCCGGATTCCTCACCACCAACGCTGCTTTTATTTCGAATCCAGTCGCGCATCCAGACGGAGTGGACAGCGCGTCGCTGAGCGAAGCCATCATGGACGCCGACACATTACAGGACTTCAAGTTCGCCGGCCAACCTATCCAGTTTCCTTCCTACGGCGCCGGATCTGATGGACAGGAACTTGAAGGGCCGCAACAAGATGACAGTGTTGCTGCTGTGGCCGCGGCTGCAGTTGGCTACGGTCCTGTCGACCCAGCTGATGCTAACAACCAGGCCTTTGACATGAACGGGGCGACGGGAAAAGGGACAGTACCAACGCAACTGAATACGCAGGCTGATGGTGGTGATAACCTCAACAACACTACGACCTCGATTCACGCCTCGAACAGTCCTCAGGCGACGCGAAGTCCCATCCAAACTCGAGCCGAAGTGTCAACCCCTCCGCATGATGGGAACATCGCGACTACAAATGCGAGCATGCAAAATCAAGATGCGCCAATGAATATGAATGATGATGGCACGGACAACTTTCAGGAACAAGGGCCTGGGCAAGGTCAGGATAACCAGGGGATGCTCTTGGAGCCATCAAACCCAAATCAACCAGCCCAGGGCAATACTCTAGTGTGGAAGAACGCCTCGTCTGTATACCCCAATGGCACACCAGGCATCAGCCGATCTCAAGCGCAAACAAGACAATCGCCCTCTCAGGCAAATATCTTCAACACGCCGCACGGACTGGCCGCCGCCGATCCATGGATACCTCACCAACCCGATGCAACACCGCAGCAATTCAGCACGCCTGAAGGAGGCCTGGACAGTAAGCACGACCACAACAACAATATTGAGACAGGAGCAGACGGCAACACCAAGAATCTCGACCCAGCAGTGGCCGCCAACCCTTTCAGCGATACATTTCCTTTGATACCCAATCCACCTGACCTGGAAGCTTGGCGCGAGAAACTGTTCAATGTCAAAGAGCCCCTAATTCTTTCCGAGGAAGAATTCCTGACTTATTTCCCGCATGTCGACAATGTCTACTCGCACCGCTCGACACAGAAGTACAAACGTAAGCCCTTCGTCAGCCACTACTGGGATTGTCGTCTCAAAGGTAGACCGAGTGGGACCCCCAAGAGCGATGACCCTAACAAGAAGAAGCGAAAGCGACAGGCAAGAGAGCGGGATCTTTGTGATGTCAAAATCAAAGTTACAGAGTACTTCAGTGCAGAGCAGGCGCGCAAGATGGGCTTGACTGCGATCGGAGATACCAGCGGTTTGACCACTAATGCCACATCGTCGTTATCAGCATCGACGCTGGCAAACACTGATCCTGCATTGTTGGGCCTCTCTTCAGGAGCTCATGACCTGTCGAATCTTGGTGAAGGAGGAGGAGGCGGCACCGAACTCACCATTGTGCTGGAAGACGGAATATCCGGCTCTAGCATTACAGGCGACCACAACGGTCACAGCATGTCCATGCCCAACCTCAATCCCAAAGATCCGAATTTCGGTCTGCTGGAGTTCCCTCGACGCCGACTGCCTGAAGGCCACCCTGGCGCCGACGGGAAAAGATGGTACACGATTCAACGGGTCCGCGGCAATCCTGGCGGCGGCGCAGTCAAGGACAAACGTGATAGCATTGCCAGTTCCAATGGTGGCAACAATGGTGGCACGGCCGGAGATGGCTCCATGGTTGAAGATGACGACGATCCGTCTTCCACCGCGGCAGTCGACCCTAATTTGGACCTCGACCACAAGCACACATTGGAAGAAAGTGACCGGATCAAGAAGAACAGCGTTCAGCGTTGGTTGTTGAAGGAGGAGAAAGAAAAGAAGCGGCTGAGTGTAAGTCAAAAACAACAACAGAAGCAACCGCAACAACAATAGACATTACCTACTTCTTCATGTAAATCACCCACCCTTACTTGGCTCTGAACAGACTTGGGGTGCCTCTCAGATAATCCACACGTGCAATACAAGGACCAGCATGGCTGGGAGATTCTTTCTTCATCTCACTCTACACAAATGTTTTCTTGTCGAGTATCTGTGCTAACACTTTTGTTTTTCGGGTTGTACAGAAACTCGCCACTCCAAACACAACCAATACACCAACCACCAACACGGACATACACCCGCGCAGCAGCACATTTAACAACAGTGAATCCCTCAGTCCCAGCTTCCGAGCCAGCGGACTCGCCTTCTTCACCGCACGCAGCCATTCAACCCCGGCACCCTCAAAAATCACGTTTTTTGCAAACAGTTTGTGTCCCTTCGCCCAGCGCGTCTGGATCGCTCTGGAAGTCAAGGGCATTCCCTATCAGATGGTCGAAGTGATGCCCGCGCATCTCGACCCGTTTCGGCCCCCTGAGCTGTTGGAGGTCAACCCAGAAGGCCATATCCCTTGTCTTCGCCACGGTAACTGGGGCATCTGGGAGAGCGGTGTTGTCTTGGAGTACCTTGAAGATCTGGCAATGGGATATAGTCTTTTGCCTCTAGGGAACCCGCAGCTCCGAGCCCACTGTCGGTTGTGGACAGATCATATCAATCGCAAGATTTTGCCGGCCTTTTATGCTCTGTTGCTTACGCCTCCGCCTGCAACATCTTCCCATCGACAGAAGCAGCAGCAGCAGCGTCCGCAGCAGCAGGGCGATTTGGAAATGATGGACGAGGACATTACTACTGAAGGACAAGGACAAGGACAAGCTCCAACCAACGGCAATGGCAATGGTAGTAACAATGGCAATGTCAATGTTGGTGGTCCAATTCCTGCTACTGCTCCTGCTGCTGCGCAGCATCAACAGCAACACTCAATCCTCATATCCACGCTCCAGAAACACATCACCTCCCTCCTCAACGCATCTCACGCCACAGGTCCCTTCTTTTTAGGTTCTGAAATGGGTTTCGTCGACGTCGCGTTCGCCCCCTGGATCATTCGGCTGTCTAGGGTCCTAAGCTATTATCGCGGGTTCCCACGTCCCGAGGTCGGCACTCGCTGGCAACAATGGGTCGATGCGATTGAGGCCGATGAACGCGTCAAGCGCACTGTTTCGGATGAGAATTCTTATCATGGTGTTTATCGTGGTGTGGGCGAGGATGGTTGGGATTCTTTGGTTGGTACTAGTACTGGTACGGGTGGTGCTACTGCTGGTATTGCTGGTGGAAGTGCTGGTGCTGCTGGTGTAGGTGGTGCAGGTGGTAGAAAACCGTTTGTGGAAATCGAGTTTGCCAAGAGGGCGGTTGCGCAGGAAGGATTTGGGCTTGGTGGTGATGTTTGGGGTCGGTTGAGTGAAGAATCGGTTGTTCATGGTGGTGGTGGTCAATAGTGGTCAACATGGACCATGAACAGCAACGGCAAGGACTGCGAAATGAGCAGAGAGGAACGGGTAAATGACACGAGCAGAGAACGACAAGGATCAGATCAGCATGGAGACCTAGGTATGTACAGGTCAAAGCAAACCAAGGCTGTCCCGTTCCGGACACACGGCGTATCTTTCTGGAACTGATCTGATGGTGGAGATTGTGTGTGTACCTTATGCGACTTGAAGTCCGCTCTGGCGGTCTTGATGGTCAGATTGATGCATTGACTGAGAGCTGAGGGCTAGCTATGTGGCAGCTACCCAGGTACATAATTGTGCTCTGTAATAAAATTGGTAAATCAGTCTACTTGTGATCATCACTAACTTTTTGGGTGCTTTTTGCTTTTTTTTTCATACCACTGCGGATGATCTTACTGCTGTTGTTAGGTATCCAGGTAGACAGATACTGTACTAGTATATATTCATGGCTCATTAAAGATATAGAGCAAGGGGAACTTGGACTTCTGGCCCAAGCTACGATACTGCTGCCGCTGCGCGGCGTGTTGCACACACAAGAGGATATCCTAGAGACGTCTCAAGAAGGCTAAGCTGCCAAAGTCGAAGAAGCTGGTGTCAGACTCAATGCCGACGGCGTCAAAGTCGAAGTCGAGGTCGACGTATCCAGATAATACTTGTTCCTCTTCTCAGCTTCCTCATCTTTGAATTTGTCCACGACCATTTTGCGCGTCAGTTGCTGATAGTCTGTATATTCATCTCATCCCGTTAGCGAGAGCGCTCAAAAGTCGGAGTAAGATGGTAAAGCAAAGACCGCGGGCGCAAGGCCTACTAGTAGTAGTGGAGTGATGTGTAAAGGACGCCAAAGACTGCTGTGCTTGTTAGAAGAACTTTACTTACGCAACACACCACTCTCCTTGACCGAATTCAACACACCCTGGGTATAGACACCTCTCTCCAAATTCGACTGGGCGACCTCACACAACTCAAAGTCCTCGAGGGCGACTTTACGGACGAAGAGGAAGTATTCCTCGAACCCCTTGACGCCACCGTGTCCGTCGTCGAAGTAGTAGTCAAACTCCATGCGGGTCTCACCGACCTTCGCGCCAGGACAGACGCGGAAACTGCTCATGCCGCCACCGTACAGGTTGAGCGTACAGATGGGGAAGAAGTACAAGAACAAACCGTCATCTGGCTTCGTCGGGTCCGCCACGTGTCGGCTGTATGTGCCGTGGTTGTGTACCTCGTAGAAGGTCGGTGGGTATTTCACGCTGAAGGTTCGGTGCGTGTATTGGCAGTGCAGACACTCTTGGTATCCGTCGACCATGGTTTTCCAGTTGAATCGGCCTGGATACTTGATCGAGCGACGGTGCGGGAGACGGCGGAAGTCGTAGCGTGACAGGAGGTCCAGAAGCGAAGGCGGGAACCAATCTTCGAATGAAGGTGCGCTGGCGTCAATCGTGGTGAAGAGTAGGCCGGTGGGTGTCAGGTAGGATCGTAAAGGTGTGGCCTATACGAGAGTTGATGGGTTCAAATTAGGAAGTGAATTCATATACTGTATTTGCATTGACGATCGGACATGATACCAACACGCCGACCGGAGGGTTGTCCATAAGAAAGAGTCTCAAAGGTGTACGGTACGTACATCAGCTTTCCTGGTCACCTTGAACTTCTCGTTGCCCTTATGGCTCACGACAATGGCCACACCGGCAAATTCATATTCGACTTCTTGATCGACGGCAAAGCGGGGCACTGCTCCAACAAGATACCATGCCTTGTAGAAAACCGCTAGTTGTTCGAGATGGTACAGCTTTTGTGAACAGTACCATGATGCAGGGAGTGTTTTCGTGGCAGTTTCATCCATTTGAATATGGTAGTCGGGTATCCTTTGAGACGCGGAAGTAGACGGGACAGGAACCGCTACGATGTGAGACACCGAATAGCTTTCAACGTAATGAAGTTATATTGTTAGTTTTAAATTGTAACGGCAGCTCCTTACCATGATGATATATAATCCCAGTTAGTGGTAAGAGGCAATTATATCCCGAATGAGTGTCGAGGTTCACCACTCACCGCCAATCCCTTGGATGTGATCAATGGTCATACTGCTCACTACTGCCAAATGGAGCATGTGAGTACTGCTGCGTGCATATCACACTTCTTGCAGTCTTGTATGGACGGCGCCGGTTGCCTGGACAATGTCACAGGCTGTGATGCTTCAAGTAGACGTTGATGTTCATGTGCTAATAAATGTCAGAGTGGAGATAGTGAACAGTACTCTGGAATAATATTCGTCGGAACCTGGAAACAGTTCAACAATTCTTCCGCAAGGACGGGACCAGAGTAGCAGAAGATGAAAGGATAGTTGATGGCGGTTGTCGATTTCAGCTCCAGCGGGATCGCATTGCCTGATCGGGTCAAGGCCCAAGTCTATCACGATCAAATGACTGAACGCAAACGCATCACCATTGATATCATGAGTGGCTAGTTCGCCATATTGTGTTGGTATTTCGGATCCGAAGGATATAGCATCGTAGTCGACTTTCCAGGTTTGGATGATTAGGCATTACTGCGTTGCATGATGGTGCCCAAGAGATTCCACGTGCATGTAGATTGCCGGATTCAACCCCGGTCAGTGCACGGGAGATACCCTTACGCGTGACAATAGTGCCTGAAGATGTCGATTACCTATAAGTGTAATATATCTTCCAAACAGCGCCTTCCAGCAACGGTGGATAAGAAAGCCTCTTGCGCTCAGATCCTGTGAGGGCCCATACATTGAAACTTTGTATCAACCAAGATAGGCCGCAATTATGGAGCTAATATTCCCATTCAGCCGTTTGCTTTTGCCGGATATGGCTTCGTTGGGGTATGCTTTTTTGTTGTTCTGCTTGGCCTATATTTTGGGTCGATCCGTTGTGAGCTTTGCTCATAGGATGCTATTCTCAGACGAAACCAAATTCCATCACAGAGCATCGGGTCTTGATCAGGCTGAAAAGGGCAGACTCAAAAGGCACGAGGATGCATCTGAGGAAGACAATTTTCAACTGGAGAAAAGAGCATTTTTCAGCAAGGTTTGTTCCTAGGGAAAGTTGAGAATCGGGCGTCACTGACAGTGGGCAAAAGACATGGTTATTTGTATGCCATCGCAGCAGATTCAACAAGCCTGGGGATTACCACACCTTTGATATTGCAGGGATTTCCTTCTTCGTTGTCTTAAGCAAGGATATGAAGGTTCGAGCATTTCATAACGTCTGCCGGCATCGAGCCTATACCGTGGTACGGAAGTCATGTGGCACTTCTACCCGATTCTCGTGCAAATATCACGGATGGCAGTATGACGATCAAGGCCGGCTTGTTAAAGCGCCAAAATTTGATGAGTCTCCGGGGTTCGTTGCGGAAGACAACGGCCTGTTCGAGGTCAAGTTGATTCTCACCAATGAAGGCCTTGTCTTTGTGAACTTCGATGCCGGTACATTAAACCTTCCTTTTGATAATGTCAAATCTCAGGTGGACCTTGGTAACTGCTCCTGGGTGGAAGGAATGAATGTGACCTGTGCCATGAACTGGAAATGTATAGGTGAGTGCAAGCTAGCCCTGGATGGGTGAGGTTCCCGTTTTAATGGATCTGCTCAGCAAATGAATTCTCAAACCAATGTCAATGGACCACAACCCCTTACCGATGGCTTGCGCGGTTCCACAGGCAAAAGATGGCAGCATTATTGGGCCCCTTGAGCATGATTAGGGAGTTGAGGCAAGGACTCTGGTGCACCATGACGCTCCTGCCACGATCGGCCTCCGAAGTCGTTGTCAGGTGCGATATATACGCCAGAGAGGGCCATCAAGAGCCACCAGACGTCGTTGAGAGAGAGAAGTGGTTGCTGGAAAAGGAATTGCTCAACCTGCCCAGAACCGATATCCGCGACAAAGCGTCGATGACGGGTTTCGCGTATAGATGTGGAGGTATGTTGGCACTTCATGCCAGTGCAATTTGCTCAATTGCGGCTGACTGACCGCGACTTGTTCAGGCCGCTCCATTGATCTATTCGCGATCCTGGTGCAACATCAACGCAACGAGACATTGGCCAGGAGGAAGTTACAGCCAGCCATTAGAATTACAGGCACAGCCGACATCGACGAAGAAGCGGCGGCAATATGCGACGCAGTTGATGAAATGGACAATGCCCCTACCTTTGGGAGATGCTCGAACATGTCGAGTTCCTCTCACAAGCTGGAGTGGTAGCTGGACTATGGCGATATGAGGCTGGCTGGTAGAGGAGCTCACGGGTTGTGCTACCGGTCAAGCAACGGCGGCGCTGTCCCTGGAGGTCTACGGCGAGGCCGGCATGCAATTATGTCGAAGATCATACAGTATCAGCAACAGCAAGTAGCCACTGCAGACCAAGTCGGAAGCTGAACGAGATGACTGAACATCTCAATCATTCATGTCGTGATACATTCGCACCACTGCATCGTGGTACATTGTTATTGTAGATTACAGATGTAGCAGGTAACCCGAGTGTCACGTGCAATCTGCGATTGCTTGGCAGACGTCTTCCCCAGAAGACGAACTTCAGCGACGAGTCTGTGCAGAAAGCGGCTTCAATCGAAGCCTGTCCGCCAGATTGCAGTGTACGAACCGAACCACTCTCTTGGTTTGTCCATTTGTTCAGTTCCGACCAGACTCGCCCAGCATGTTCAAGAAGGAGTAAGAACCTTAAGTACTATTCTAACAGACCACATATGAGCTGACATGCTGTCCCAGCCTGACTCCGGGCGCAAAGTCCAAGGTCAAGTCCTCTGTGCAGCGGGGCATCAGGGCCAAAATCCTCGAGACATACCCGGACCTTGAGCCGCATATCGACGAGATCCTGCCTAAAAAGAGCCAGCTGGATCTGATAAAACTGTAAAGTTTCCCATCCATGCACTTGGTCCACATGGGGGTCGGGTTCTTGGAGAATTGGTTTCTCAGGAAATAGTTCAAGACGGTCCCCACGCTGCCCTCTCTCTTCCTACCTTTTCTCAGTCTACAGAAAGTCCTTTCAGGACTCCACATGTCACTGTAAGACATTCACAGCTAACATGATTGCTTATCCTCCCTTCTTACAGCCCCGATCGCGTCTCCCTCTACGTTCTTGATAATCAGCCCCTCTTCTACCAACACATGGACGACCCGATCATTCCACACCTCAAGATCGTGCACCAGTACCCGCACGCCTTTAAAACACTACGCATCGACCGTGGCGCCATTCGCTTCGTTCTGTCCGGCGCAGCACTCATGGTTCCCGGTCTCACCTCTGCCGGCGGCCGACTACCAGACAAGAAAGACGAGGCCAAACCAGGCGACATTGTCGCCATTGGGGCCGAGGGCAAAGAAGAGATTTGCATGATTGGACCCTTGGAAATGGGCACGGAGGAGATGAAGGAAAAGAAAAAGGGCGTCGCCATCAGTGCTGGCCATTACCTCGGTGACGGGCTCTGGAAGTTGGAGATCTGAGCATAACCGCTCATATGGACGAGTACCTGCAGTGTGGTGGGGACTGGTATGCCCCCGAAACGAGAAGAATTGGAAAAGCATTGGATCCGCCTCTCCCATCAAGCCAAAAGCTGCCAATCCGGCGAGGAGAGAAAAAAAGACGAGACCAGAGAAAAGCGTGTTGGGGCAGGATAGGAGCCGCGAAATTCCGACTTCGCAAGCAAAACCCCCGAAGCCAGGACTCCGGTCGCCTGGTGTGGTGGACGGCGTAAGGACAAGGTGTACCCAGCTCATCAACTCAAATTCGGCTGCTGCGGCACGCTAAAAGGAGGGTGGACGACCTTTCTATGATAGAAACCACCAAACCTCCAACAAGCCGCAGCGCAAGACGAAAACACGGACATGTCCGAGCACACCAGTTCATGCGAGAAACGAACAAACGAACCAGCTGACAGGAGTCAGCTGGTCCAAAGAACGAAACGCTGGTTACAGCTCTCCGCAAAATCGGCACTTGGAAAAGAAGCTGTGACCACCCCTTTTATTCCAGCCTGCCCAGGCGGCTGTTCCTTTCGAAAATAGCACATCCGGGACGATATTCGACTCAACAACGAGCCGTGCCGTGCAAGGCGTCTATCTCGTTGAGGGGCCGGCGCTACTGGTGATGGCCATAGAATCCCACTGCTTGTCGGAATGTCATACGAAGAAACGCAGCATTGGAGGTAACGGAGCAGAAAGTCATCCTTCAACTTGGCAGCCTCGATTCAGGACGGAACCCTCGACTATATCTGTCGGTACACTACCTTATGTTATGGGGAACATGGGTTGATTGAAAACCCAACTCCAGTAAATGAATAAAAAATGCAAAATGCAAAATGCATTAATGCGTCATACTGTGGTCCTTGCTTGTATATAAAGACCGTATACACATATAATACAGCCACACATTATTCGGAACCAAGCTCTGATTCTACATACAGGCTGCGTCAACATTAGATAGGTAGACGAGATGTCACTTTTCCTGAATATCGAGTAGTTATTAATGTACCGTTTTCAATCTTCATTCGTGTGCAACATTTTCGGGCGCTAAGTAAGGTATTAGTTATGCTGAAACCAAAGACGATGAAGTGAATTCGGCGGATCATCCTAGAAATGAACTCGAGGTATGCCCATTACGTTCATTAGTGATTCCCATCGCAGCCAGTCCAACCACCTGATGGGCCTGGAAACTCTGTACCATACTTCTACTCCAAGGTCGAGGGCTCCCGCGAATCAATCCATTCATCCTTACGTCCAAGTCCAACGGCCCCTTTTTGGTATACAGGTGTCATACTCTCTCACATCCGGCATGGCAACACGGTTTACAGTAGCTTCCTCAACACCAACTGTGAGTCCGTTCGGCAAAAGCGATAGGACAGCCACAATCATCAACCATCATGACCTGCCTCTCTTAGATGTAGATGATGTAGTAGCAGCAGCAGCAGCAGCATCTTTCTTCTTCTGCCTTTCCTTGCCCACGGCAATCTTCTCCCATTCTTCCCATTCCTTAGAAATCTCGCCCAAGACAGTCGCCATGGCCGAAGCAGAAGCCATGAGCCCATGACCCTCTTCATCTAGAACTCTCAACTCGCACCGTTTCATGACACTTTGTAACCAACGAACATTGTCCAATGGGACCCGGGTGTCCTTCGCTCCATGGTGAATGACGACTGATCTCGTGACCTCGGGATATCGGAAACCAATGGGTTTTCGACGTTCCAAGCAGACCACCAAGTCAATGGCAGGATTTGCGTTTTGCGTGGCAAGCGCCCAGATGCGGTGGGTCAGGATCTGGTTATAGAAAGCTTGACGAGCTTCGACGGTCAAACGAGGCGATGATGCTGCTGTCCCGGAGGCGTGTTTTTGCTTGTTTGGGCTCGGGCTCGAGCTCGACGTCTCTACAGACGCCATTCCCATGCCGGTTCTCATCGAACCGTTCATCGCTTCCGAGTATGTCATGCTCCGGCCACGGTTTGGCGTTGACGTTGGCGGGCGCTCTACATCCATTTCTCCAAAGTTTTTGTCGAAAGAAGAACTATCCTCATTCGCATCATTGGAAGAATACGCCAGCGAGAGTTCCAAAACCTGTAACTGCTTGTTTCTCTTGGCTGACTTCAGTGGTTTGGTCTCAATAGAAGCACTTGTTGCCGTTAGGAAGCGCGAATTTGCAACCTTGAGAAACTGGGGCGGCAGAACACTTAATATTTTGTGCGAGAGTGGCAGATTCGCCACGGGTTGCGACTCGGGGCCAAATGCCGCACCCTTTGGCATTTGTGATGGCGGGATCCACGGCGCCAGAAGATGGATGCGCCCACGGACATATTGTGGCATTTTCAAGGCCGTGGCTAAAGCGTAGATGGCGCCTGCAGAATGCGCCAACAGTGAAAACCGAGTGATCCCGAGAGAAGAGCAGATCACAGCCACATCGTCAACCCAGTTTAATGGGGTACATGATGCCTCCGGCGCGGAGGAACTTTCGCCAACGCCAGGTCGATCGGGTGTGATCAGCCTGAGTCGCATTGTTCGGGCCAGCTCATCATAAAACGCCGTGAGGTAACGTGTCAAGCCCATGCCAACGCAGCAGAGAACCACAAATCCCTGTGGGTCACCGACCTCCGAAAAAGCGATCGTCCGTCCTGTTCTAGGATGTCGAATCTTCTGGGTAAGACGTGGAGCACCGAGAAACGCATCAATTTCGTCCGATATTGACTTGAACTCGGCCGAAGAAGGTCGATGTCTGCGTGAAGTCAAAGGCGATTTCCGCCGTGACTGGTCAGATGGACTCTGCTTGAAACTGCTGGCCCGGGATGGGGCGGCACTCGCCGAGCCAGGAGGGGTGATTGTCGTACTTGCATGCTGAACGGGAGAGTCGAGCTTGGGGGAGTTAGACACCAAAGCAGGCATACTTGCCAGATCAGCAGCCGTTAAATAGGCGGACAGTTCAACGGGGCTCTCTGCCTCCGGTGATTCCGTCACCACTTCGGCCACAGAGAGGCTTGAGCTGAGGTAGGAACTCGACCGTCGAGACATCTTGGGTCCGGCAATGGTATGCCGTTTTGCAGCGCGTTCCGACTTTCGAGCTTCGTGCCGCCATTCTTTCTGCCGCCTCTCCCTCGCTTCCTGCAATTCGCGTATCCTCCTGACCGTTGAACTATCGCCCTCAATTAAGTCCGAGTCGATGGCAAGGTCTTTGAGATTTCCAACAGTCATGGAGTGGCGGACGGACTCGTGCGAGGTATCAGATAGTCCAGTGACGCTACGTCTGAGCGACGAGCGACGAGATGGTATCATATGACTACCGAGGTCACTTCTGCTCACCCGTGTCAAAGGGGTCACTGTGGGAGTCTCGCTGGTGGGCTGTCCGGACTGGGTGCTGCTGGAGGAAAAGCCATCAAAAGATGTGTGCCGATCGGGATATTTGTTCTCCTTCTCTTGATCAGGACCACATAGAGAAGCACTCTTTCGCCGTCGATCCGAGGAGAAGCGCTTCGGAGGTATAGGTTTGGAGAGGGCCTTTTCCTTTTCTCGCATCTGCTCGGTGGTCTCTTTGCGCGGCGGTGCAGACAGCCCGCTGATGATGGAAAACGTCGAACTAGCGCTAGAGCCATGCCGCCTCCCAATGCTAGGAATGCCTATGCTGTCACTTTCCGTCCGCGACTTCAGACTCTGCATTGACTCGCGATGGGCCAGCGTGGATTGTGACATATTCAAAGAATAGAATCTTGGCTTGCTCTTTCTCTTGGGCAGCACAGGAGGCCTTCTAGCATACCCGATCACGGGCGCAGCGGCCACTTCACCCTCGTTACTGTCATCGGCGGGAATAGGGTCATGCAGGTCCTGATCGAGCTGATCCGCGTTTGGTGAAGTCGGCAGTGTACGACGACCGGAGCACTGGCTTGGTATTCTCAGGATATGCTTGCCAAAATCTTCGCTAGATTCCGGTTCCGCGGCAGCAGGAACGGTCAAGGAGTCGATCAGCGATGTGATCACCTGGAAGTCCTGCACTGCGGGCTCAGCATGTAGACTCAGTGGTCGCTGGGGTGCGACCACAAACTCGTCCGACCGAACGTCCGTATCGGTATCTAAGGAGCAATGGTAGAGGTAATGAATACTAGTAGTAGGTGCGATGTTGTCGAGGTTGAGTTCCATGCCGCGGAGGGGATTGGACGGTTCAAGCATCTGAATGAGTGGAAGCGCCTGCGCAGTCGAGCGAACCGGGCTTGGAAATGCCGGCGTCTGACCTGGGGCACTGGCAGCCGTTATTGTCAAGTAGGTTGTGGTATCTTTTGACTGCCAGACGATCTGTCCTCCATGTGTGATGAAGGCCAGTCTGGTATCGGCATCTCCAGCTGATCACAGCTCTAAATTCTTCAAGTGGTGTTGTCGCAGGTCCAGATCTCTCACGCTTCACCTAGAGTTGTAACCAAACTACCCGCTGCGCCGTCAGACGGCCACTTTTACTTTTGTGATCCGGGTCCACTAGGAACGGCCCAGCAGACGATCAGGGATGAACGGTCCCACAACAATTCGATGATGGGGACTGGAGATATGTATGGGTCGGCAAATTGTGTGAATTTCAAAGGTTCGAGGGAGAAAGGGAACTGGGATGCATCATAACAACATGACACGCTTAACAATCAGTACCAAGTAGGTAGGTAGATAGCACTTCTTTTGAGAGCCATGGATTTACTGCCTCAGAAACAGCTGTTAGAGAATGCGCAATCAAGAGTGGCCTGCAGCACAAGATACGCTGACGGCAGGACTGCGCCAGTATGCATTCCACATTCCTGACTCTCACCTCCACTACTGCAACTTGATTCTACCGCAACATCCCCATAAAAGAGACCATGAGAAATCACAATGTTGCAAACTCATTCGGTGTTTGTGGCCGGCCAGAAAAGGCAAAACGCACAGGAAAACTTGCATTGAAATGAATTCTGTAATGAATGCACTTGTTCAGGGAGTAAAGATTATCTTATACCACAAACCATGAGGTTGATAAGTTCTTTGTTCTCTTCCCAAGCCCCATCTAGAGCCGTCTATCGTCTTGATCTTCAATGCTTTCAAATAGATACGCCACGCTGATGGTGAAACATGCCCGCAATCAAATAAAGCCTTGCCCAAACGCCGCGCTGAATATACAAACCGCTCGAAGTCCCATTCTTTTTGCCATGCCAACGCCCACCAAGACCTGTGCAGGCGCAGAAGTCTAATCAATGGCGTTGCCGTCGTCTAAAGCGCCGGTCTAAGTTGTCGCTAATCCATAACCGTGTATATCGTGAAATGCGTCAGGAATCGACGTGATGCCGCATGCCGGAATAAGTGACAAACGTAAAGGGAAATAAGGCACGCCGTGTGTACGGCTACCTATTGTGCCATCTTCATCTTCTCTCGCTCTTCACCGAATGCCCTCCGAGACATTTCCAGCACCATTTCGAAGCCCTCTCGTCCACGGGCTGCGTTTTCTCGGAACCGCTCTATGCTCGCTTCTTCGATCTTGGTACGGATCTTTTGCCACCCACCGCACATGGCCACAATCTTGGCCTCCTGCTTGAATTCGGTCTTCGCATGTGGCTCGTGCGACGCAGGTTGGTATACCACGGTTTCTCGGCACTCCAACAGGTTGGACCATGTCATGTTGGTGCTGCACATGGTGACCTTTTTCGCCTTAGGATCGACGTAAGAGACCTCGTACACATAGCTGGTCGTGTCACCTCCAAGGATTGTCAGAATCCATTGCGGTGCGTTCTGCTTGCAGGTAATGAGACGTTCGGTGCGGAGGATACCGGTGTCGGCGTCGACATGGCGGGATATCGTGTCAACGGCGAGCACGTGAGAAGCCTTGTCGTTCCAAGGGCAGTATTTCCGCCAGTTGTTGGTGCTGACCTCTTCCCAAGAGTAGTCGAAGGTGTATGACGACGCGAAGATCTTCATTGTGGCGGACCCAAGGGTAAACCTCGACAAGGAGGACACGGCAGGACGTTTGCGAGATTCGGAGTTGAGGTGTCTATGCGAGATGACCTAGGTACTTTTGAAAAATCTAATAGCGGTGGAAAGCACGATTTGCGGCCTTCGTTGTCTATGAGAAGCCTTCGCCGGGAGATTACAAACAAAGAAAAGAGAGTGAAGATGGAAGGTGACTTTCCAATGTAGAGGAAGCAAAGGTGAATTATGCAGACATAAAGAGAAAAAAAGACCTCTATGAGTTCGAGCATTTTCTTCCGCACGGGCGAGCTCGGGATCCGGTCGCTTGTGATTGGCTGACTCACTTGAACAAAGAGCTAGTGACCCGAAAATGAGGATGTCATCCTCGCGCGGTGGCAAACTGTCATGACCCCATCTGACAGCGATTATCATTCTCTCCATGGGAAAAGACACGCAATAGCAGAAATCAACACAAGTCTGACAGATATCACGGGGAAAAAGTATTCGTCTGACATTATCCTTTCTGTCTTTTCGGCCGTTGACGCTGGACCCATATCTTGCCTTGCGTTCCTTGATCGTGTGCTTCTGCGCTCTCCCTTCGGACCCCAATCCCCGAGCAGCATCGAGGGTCTAGCCCTTCGCCCGCAAATTCCCCATAGCCATCATCAGTTCTCTAAACATTTTTAGGAGCACTCTGATGACATCTTAGTTCTTTGCCAACTTGTCCTGCCGTCCGGTCCGTCCTTCAGAATGTCGGAGTATTGGAAGTCTACGGTATGCTTTTCCTTATACGCTCTGTCGGATGCCTATAATTATTCGTCGCTGACGTTCATTACAGCCCAAGTACTGGTGCAAACACTGCAGCACCTACGTAAAAGACACTCCTTTCGAGCGCAGACAACATGAGAACACAGGCAAGCACCAGGGTAATCTCAAGCGATTCCTACGCGATATACAGAATAACCATGAACGGAGCGATCGCGAAAAGGACCGAGCCAAGGCAGAGGTGAAAAGACTGAGTAAAGTCGCTGGTGGCAATGTTCCTCCCACGGCAGCCTCCAGAACAGAGCCTTCCACCGGGCGGAAACCGGCGTCCGGACCTCCTTCAGCCGCCGATCTGAAGAAACAATGGGCGCAGTTGGCTGAAATGGGCATCAAGGTCCCCGAGCAGGCTCGGTCGGAGATGGCGATGCCAGGAGAATGGCAGGTGGTATCAAAACAGACCAACAACGAAGCTCCGGCAGCAGAGTCACTCAGCATCGGGATGAGGAAGCGCAAAGCCGAAGATGAGGAGGAAGAGGAAGAAGCAGAACAGACCGTTACCAGGCACTGGGGCTCTACTACTAGGCGGTATCCTGGAGACGACAAGTCTGACCTGGACGACTTATTATCCGCCACGGTTTCTCTGAAAAAAGAGAAGAACCTCCCGTCGTCTTCTCAAATAAAGCCCGGAATGAGTGAACCACTGAAGAAAGAAGACAATGCAAGCCCCATTGAAGACAACTGTAGGGACGCGCAATCGCAATCCTCCAAAGTGGAAAATCCCCCAGATGAAGAGGCAAAAGAAGGCAGGACGCTTGTTAAAGGAGAGTTGGATGCCGCTTCAATGTCAACACCTCTGAATAAGGTGCCAGAAGAAGTACCAGTACCGGTTTTCAAGAAGCGCAAGGCCAAGGCATCCTGAAACCACCGACCCTCGATGGAAAGGCAAAGATCAGTATCTCAGTCGCAGCAAGCGAACCGGGTAACAACGATAACCGAGATCATCGTCCAGCAACAATTCCAATTGTCGGACAGATCATTATTTTATTCTCATCTAGAGGATGATGCACGAACGTGACCACTTAGTGGTCGAGCAGGCGTCGAGCGGCACTCCTAACAGTGGTGTCGTACAACATAGCGGTCCACGTGCAACTCCTGTAACTCGTTCGGACGCACGAATATGACACCCGTGACAGGTTCATCCTCGTTTCGAGGATACATACGGAAGCTCTCGCCTCACTACGGCCAGAGTCTCTCAAACGACAGGTACAAGGGGCTCGACATGTTAAGGGGAGCAGCACGGTTGATTTCGCGGGTGCAGGCACCAACTCATCCGCTGTAGCCTGCTATTCCCTGTCAGGACAGAGCACAAGAGGTAAGCTGCAGTGCTACAGCCCCGACAACCTCTAGGCCGGCATGACTGCCAGTGGACAGAGAAGCCCGTCTTTTTTGCGAGTCAGGAAAGCCGCGCGAATGCAGTGATAATCCAGGCTCACATTGCAGGGTCCTATACGGAGCATTCCTAGCAAGTGCTTCTACGTCTACTAAGAAGTGATATGTGGGCGACCATGCCCATGATGACCAATAGGAGAGGCTGGCGAGCAGTCGAGGCGATTCATTCGAGGCTCTGGATCCTGTCGGTTAATCCATGATAAGCAGCCCAGTAGTAGTGCACGGTAGTCATGCACATCGTTGCTCATGCACGCCCAGCCGTTAGGCGTGACAAGCGGTGCAAGTCGCCCAGGTTGAGAGTCTCGGTCGGCTCTGCATGACCTTTCCCTGGGTGGGCATGGGGTTGGTGTCATTCGGAGAATTGCCCAACGCCAATCCACTCTCCAGCGTCGGAGCATTCCATGAGGAGCCAAATCACAACCGGTATCATAATCTGGCTAGCTTGAACTGGCCTGCCTGATACCGGGAGATTTGTTCTTAGAAGCAGGAAGTCTCGACTTGAATAGGTGTTGATCAAAAGAGCCGTGCAAGCCCAGCCTAGAATCCGCTGGCGATATCCCATCACTAGCTCAGCGTCTCAGGGTATGATTTCTTGCGTCGCTCGTATTGTTGGCGAACGAACTCATGTGACACAAACGAGGGAGATCAAAGAAGGATAGTGACAAATGGTACGGTGTACCTAGTCATGATCCTTGAACCACCCCCATGTCTTTGTGGCTGGGCGATCATGACGGCAGAGGATACCTGGAGCTGCTGCACAGCGAGGAGGCCAGCGAAGGCAGGAAGCGGGAGCCAGGCCGCTGATGTCTCGCTAGGCCAGTATCCTCCGTAACAAAAGACCGTACGTCAGGGATTAATCATGGCCATGCGGACTCGGCTTATTTACTGTACTTGCCCCTAGACAAAGACCTCCTATACTAGTAGGACTGGGGTTCAGCACCTGCACACACAACAAAGGAGGACCCGAACAACTCTGGCCTCCGGCTCCTTCTTCCTGTTGAGTATTTGTTTCAGTGAGGAGCGTAGCGAGGGGCGTGGTGATCAAACACCGCTCCAAGACTGTACAATCACGCGCCAATCTCTTTGGCATCTTCCCCGAGGTCTCTCCAATTTTCAGGCTAGTGAGAGTCGACGGGCTCGGCAGGCATCTGGTGGCGCGAGGATCAGAGCAAACCGTGTCGAGAACAGACGAGGGAGACGGAGGCGGAGGACGAACTGGGGACCCGCGTAAGGAATGGCTTTCTTTGTCCCATGTAGCGTGGCTTTAGCCGGTTGGTCGAGAGACACTCTGGTGGGATAATGCTGACATGGTCACATCAGAGAGAGAAACATCTAGCAGCAAGTCAGGGGAGAAAGAGTACAGATTGAATCCACCCAACTGGGTCGAAAGAGGTTTGACTCGCCATGACTTGGACGACTCCATTTTTCTCGAAAACCAGCTAGCAGGGTTCTAGAGGCACTTGGCAACGGTCGAGCAGCATTGTGGCATTCGATTCTGGAAGTCAAAGAGAGACAAGGACCAGGGTGGTTGAATCGATCATTATTGAATGGTGAGTGCCTCGTGGTGCGTGTGCGTGAACGATCTGTATTGTGTTGTTGGTTGCGTGCGTCTGCCTGCGTCCACGATTTGCTTTTCTTGTGTGTGTCGGGTGTCTCTGTTTTCCAGCCCGGGTGTCTTGTCTGCTGCGCTCGATGGTCAGATTGGGTGCCGGAGCGATTTGAGCTCTGTACTCGACTGTTACCAGGGACAGCTAGCAGCCCCGAGAATATGCAGCCCACCTGGAGCGGGAGCCGCCAGGAGTCGCCCATGGCCGGCAAAAAAGCCCATGACCCCCCAGCTCGCGATGGAGCCTGGCTGTCAAAACAGCTTAGCCTCCGACCTAAGGATGGTTGGCGTCGGGAGATGCTCTAAGCGAGAAGCACCAGGACAGGGGCCCCGGGGGCCGTTGCGTCTGGGTCTAACAAGCTGTGGGTTAAGGAGCTGTCGCTACCACTGCACGGCCAGTGCAGTGTCAGTTGTCAGTCTGTCAGTCCCAATCCCAGTGCCAGTCCCATTATTATTCCCAGTCTTGTGCTGGCAGCCGTTCGACCATGGTGGGTTCGTGGGATCCTACCTATACCTAAACCATAGCGTGTCAGGCCTGGCGCCTACATGGGGAGGCCTGGGATAGGACAGGATAGGGCACGCTGGTGCTGGTGCTGGTGCTCCTGCTGGTGGGCGTTTCCCTGGGAAGTGCATGTCGTCCTAGCTGTCCTGGAGTCCTCTGAGCTCCCTTATCCACTGCGCCGCTCGGAAGAAAAATGCTTGCTTGTCGTCTAAGGTAGGGCGGCTGAGCGAGTCGAAGCGATCCCAAGCGAGGCTCGTTCCAATTTCGCCATCAATCTGATTGACGCTCCCTTGCGCTTCGGCACTTGGGCGTCCGCGACGCCTTGAGCAAAGCACCTCTTTCTTCGCCCATTCTGTTCATGCCACCCATCTTTGGAGCATCTGTGACCCGTTTCACACATCCTGAATGGGCGAGCAGAGTACAAGGTCCTTGAGGAACCCTGTCGAGTGTCCATCTCTGCTGCTCATTCCGGGCATGCCACCTCCCTCCGCCATATAGCGACAAACACATTACATGGCCTGCTACCATGGTGCAGGCAACTGCTGCACTTGTGTCCTCCACAGACTCGCTTCTACCTTCGTCTGGTTTCAGATCTAATCGCCCCAAACCCTCACTTTGTTCCGCCGGCCTGTTCGGAATTCCACGCCGCTTGTCTTGCCTGCGATTTTCTCCTGTGTGTTCCTCATAGCCCCATGTGTAAAAAGTGAGGATCGCCCCCAAGTTGCGTGATAGCGGTGAAAAGCCATAACTATTTGGATTTGTTGCTGACCGTTTCCAAAGCCAGTAATCAGCGTCTACTGTGCTCGGTGAGGCAGAAACAGCAACAGCAGCAGCGACAACAGCAAGGCGACGTCAGGACAGAGATATAATATCGACGCTCTTCGGTACTGGACTCGACGACATACTTCGACGTGCCCTGTTCTCTCGTACCACGTTCGCCAGGGCCTGCCCGCTGGAAGCAGCAGGAGGCTACACGGAAAGTCGACCTAATGAACTATTCAAACATGAGCACGGCGGCTCTTCAACAATCTTCAACCGCATCTATCAGTCTACCTCCCATCAGCAGCATTGACTTCCACACACATCTTGCTCAACAACGGTCGTCGGAAGATGTGGTACAACCGCTGCCACCTCCTCCACCGGCAGCGCCGCGCGTGCTACCACCGCTTCCGTACCCCTACGCCGCAGCACGACCTGCGCCTCCACCTCCACCTCCACCGCCTATGGCACATGAATACATGCATGCAAGACCAATTTACCCGGGGATTCCATCAAGCTACCAGCCAATGCCTGCGCGCATACCGCTGCCGTCGACGACAGACCCCAACCTGATTGTGGCTCCTACTCGACACAAGGCGAAAGAAGTGAAGAGACGGACAAAAACAGGATGTTTGACATGTCGCAAACGGCGCATCAAGGTGAGTTGAAATGTGGTTTATTTTTGTCGAGCGTGCATCTCTGTTTTCCCGTGTATTGTGAAGCCTTGTCCACATGGCGATATCCTCCGAGTCCGACTGCTCGCGTGCACGGCCCGGGCAGTTCTTTTGGCAGCGGGTGCGAGTGCAAATCCATCGAGGCAAAAGCTGGAGGGCAACTTTACACGTGCTCCACTGGCTCTCCAAATTGGTGGTGGTGGTTAGGCTGGGCGGACGCCACAAGCACAAGCACACAACCCAAACGAAGCCTGAACCAAACTGCGCTGGCACTGCAATGCACTGCACCGCACCGCACCAGCGGCCATCTCGCACACCGCACAACCGCACTTTGTGGCGCCAGTGTTATTTTCGCCGTCACTCAGCTGCACCTTGCAAAACGCCCAAATGCAGGTGTCTCTCTGTCCACTGCCACTACCTGGCATATGCAGTGTCAAACCTGCGCCTCCAAAGTCCCTCACTATTGATTCAGTGTGATCGACATCACCACCATCACCACCACATCTGCCGCAGTCACACAAAATCCAACCACAACCCATAACCGCGTTCCTTGTGTCCCCAGCCACCCTTGCTCGATTGTGCGATTGTGCACATCAGCGCTACTCATCCCTCTAAGCGAGCCCTATCGTGGCTCATTCCTGACCGTCACGAGATTACCCCGATCGGTGCATTGTCCAATTTAGGGCACGGCTCAAGCTTCCCCGTCACCTCCGAGAGTCGCTTGCACGTTTCTCTACTATTGACTCGCATCGCACTAACGACTTATTTTGCACTTCACAGTGCGACGAAGGACGACCTGAGTGCAGGAATTGCATGAAGAGCAAAAGAGTTTGTCAAGGCTACGATCCGGTCTTCCAAACACAAGGACCACATTCACTTCACCCGGCACCGTCGACGGCCAACAGTGCCAGTGCCAGTGCCGCCCATATCCCTCCAGCATCTACCGTGCCCAGTCAAGCACGAAGTTACAGCTCCAACCCCATCAGCCCACCTATCACGGCTCACAACGCGTCCATCATTTCGAGCTCGCCTAGGGACCACAACCATACAGAATATCCATTCCCACGGCCTCCGGAACAGCTGCTGCCCCATCTTAATCAACCATACCATATCGATGGTCATTCCCAAACGAGTCTTGCTCCGTATCAACACTCGTCTGGACGATGTAAGTGATTAACCCTATTCCTGGTGATTGCTCATTGTTGCCGCGTCCCATTACTTGTCGTCACCTGATATCTAATTTGTCACCACTGCAGTGCAATAATGACCGACATCAGTTCTCGTCCGGGCACAAGGAGCATGGAGTCCATCTGTACCATCGCCGGCGCTAAAATCCCCAGTGTACCGCCGATCCCACCAGATTCCGTCCCCAATCTTGAATCGATCCGCAAAGTCTACGACATTGCCTTTGCCCCCGGCCTCGACAAGCTGCTCGAGTCAGGTCAAAGCAAGTGGTTTGCGCGACATGGCTTTCCATTGCTCTGTGCCGATCGCGCCCAACTGGGCAACATGTTGGCCTATCTGACGTTGGTTAGTAACCAGTCGGACGCGGCCGGCGTGACTGCCACCTTGGCCAGCCAGGAAGCCCGAGTGACATGGGCACTGCTCGAGCTCTGTGTCCGACCCGACCATGACGGCGGAGAAGAAGCCGACAAGCTCGCGCGTCGATGTCGTGCTTTACAGTCCATCCTGACCGGGGAACCATTCTCCAGCCCAACAACCTCGCTGGCGGACTTCGTCCACCAAGACGAAACTTCAGAACCAGAACCCAAGACTGGCGCATTTGAAAAACAACTCGCCCATCGATCCGACGAGTTTTGGACCCGCGTCGAAGCCACAGCGGCAAGTCAAGGTCCGGCGGGAGAAGGCATTTCTCCAGCAGTTGTCACTGAATGTCGACCGTTTCTCGACGGCATGGAGAACCGCGACATCATCTACAGCATCATGTTGTTGGCTTCGAAACCCAGTGGCAGTGGCAATGGCGACCTCACCTCCGAACGGGAACTGGCTAAAAGATTTCTCGAGAGTCAGGCGAGCGGACGAGCCACGAATCAGGTGTTTGCCACCATTTCCGGCATGGCATTGAGGGCTTTTGAGGCATGAGAGGGAGATGGCTGTCCTGGGGAAAGGCGGGCGCATCTGGAATGGCATGGCATGGCATGGATGGTCTTCTTCTTTCGGGTTTCGGTTTTCTTTTGTTCTTGCCTTTTGCTTTTTTATCCCTCTACTCGAAAATGTGAGATTTTCTTTCGGGCGGACTTTGATGACGAACTGAACTGAAACTGTCTTGGATTTGCGCACATACAATACCCCCTTTCGTTCTTTTTTTTTTGTTTCGTTTCCTTTTGCAGCAATGGTTGCGGACGAGTGTTATTTTTCCTTGGATGCTGGGGTCAGGTCAGATTGATGACGGGTATCTACGCACTGGGAAGGATGAAAGGTGCTGGGTCTTGTTTCTAGGTTCGAAGATGGGACGGAACGGAGGATTCAGGTTTGAAAGATGAAAGTTTGAAGAGAATGAGATACCTCTTTAGGCATACTACCAAATGGACATGATTAGAAAGCCTAAGCTCCGACTCTTCCAGCCCGCCAATTGGCGCACCGGTGTTCTTCTCATCAACAATGTAGGTATACCTAGGTAGGTACAATATCAACTCAAGCCCCTCTCAGGAGGTTTAATTTGAACACAGTCTCTTCTGCTACCCCGGCACAGAGTTCATCCAAACCGGGTAACGCGAAAGATCATGGTGATCAGGGGCGCTTTTGAACAGGAATCGACAAATTGAAAAGCTCGGGCAGTGCAGTGGCCTCCTACCAGGCACCTAGGTAGCCCCAAGGTCCATTGCGTCCAAGCACCCCCCTACTACTACTCACACGTGTGGATCTTAGAGACAAGTATACGCTCAGCTGCAGCAGTAAGTTCTATGCTACCAGTAGTGGGAACTGTACCCAGATATACAGACGTTGATAATCCAACGTCACGGTGTTGACAGGAGTAGCACTACTGCACTGTAAGTACTATACTACGGGGAACTATACCCAGATATGCAGACGTTGATAGCCCAACGTCACGGTGTTGACAGCAGTAGCACTACTGCAGTGCAGCATTCGACAGGTAACGGTCACCATTGACACGGGCCATACCTAAGTAGTATGCAGTACTAATTAACCAGGGGACACGTCGACAGCTTAGACAGGTAACGGTCTTAACTTGACGATAGACATGTCTGTAGACATCTGCCAGTGCACTACTGTCTACTGCAGTTCAAAGTTGAGTGATCCAATTGACATCTCAAGCTGCAGTGAGTCACGATTTTATCAGGCTCTTATTTTATACTAGTAGCCGTGGTTCAAGTTGTGAAGCGTACTATACCATTTGTAGGGTTTTAAGGTAGGCACGACATCCCGTCCCATCCCCACTGACACCTACTGTACGGTTAGAGTTTCCAACCGCTGAACCTACGACTTTAATACTGCACTGCACCGACGGCGCGAGCTGTAAACCGTCCTACTGCGCTGACACGTGTAAGAGTGACAGCTTTGCCATTTTCGCCAGAAGGAGGCCAGGGGGAACGTCCAACGGCGGCGTTGTAAGTCCTCTTTTCTCCACCTGCTACCGAACCTCCTGCTACTATAGGGTACTACTACCACCGCCGGCTCCATGCTCATGTGTCATAGAAAGTGTAGAATACGCTCACTGGCCGGGTTCTGCCGTACTGATGTGCGGTACAGTACCTGATCTGAGGGTGATAGAGTAGTAGGGCACCTTACTGGGATTCAGGCGGCAATACCTGCGTACTTAGGTGCCTACCTACCTAGGTATCAATCTATCACGGTGCTCCCTACTGTACAGTAAGTAGGTAATCCTGGGCTATGGCCAGTGTGTCCCATTAAGTTGTATTGTACGGTGTACCCAGACACACCTAAGGTACCTACGTACAGATAGGCGAGGACGAGCCGTTGCGAGGGGCTTGGGCCTTGAGCCGTCCTTGCATACCCTACAGTCTTCCACTAGTACTGTACATCCTTCAGGTATCCTCCCTTATAGTACTTGCAGGAGACTCCACAACGGCGGCATGCTGCATTAGATACAGAACCTACTGTACCTAGGTAGTACCTGTTGCCTCCACGCTCTGACTGCAGTGTGGATAGACCCTTCAAAGTTGACACCTGCAGTAGTATGGGTACCAACTTTGGACTGTGAAAAAACTTCGGATCCAGCTGGCCAAGCGCTGCAATAATAATGGCTCGAGTCGAGATCCGAAGACAGAGCCTAAATACTGCAGCTTGAAATGTACATTCATCATCAAAGTCAATCAAAGAAATCGCAAAATCAATATGGCTAGGTATCTGAATACCGTACTGGTAGGCGTGGCTGATGGCTTGTGTTTTGTCCACGATAATATCACTCTACTTTGCTAGGCACAGCATGTGCTGTGACTGCCAGGTCCTGTACCAGACTGTAGTGTAGTGTACGAGTATCGTACATTTATTGTAGAGAAGCGGCCTGCTTTCTCGAATCTGAGGGGACGGATCTCCCCATTATATACCTAAGGTATGCCCTTTGGCAGCATTGTGCTGTTGGGTGGTGTAGGACAGCCAGAACAAACCCCGGCCTTGTGGATCGAAACGCCAAAAAGGGTGCCGCGGGACCATACCAGAAAGCCCCCTATTCGAGAGCAGCAGTGATGCAAAACAGACCGGTGGAGCAAGAGGGCGTGACACTGCTCGATGTGGTCTGGCCAAAGAGCAACAAAGAGATCGTACGGTTGTATAATCATAATCGTCTGCCATGAAGATCTTGCAGCTCTTGGAGTCTGATGCCATCACCAGTAAGGCGTAGGGGCGATCCAGACTGTGCCTCTCGCCTTCGTTAAGTGCGTAACTGTGTCGTCGCAACCCATTGCAGACTTCGCTATCTGCCCGTTGAGTTCCGTGTCTCCTCTGCTGGGATAAACCCGGAGCTCAATAGCCCAAAAGTACAATCGCATTGGCCCCAATGGTGAAAGAACAACCTCCTTCCCACTCACCAGACGCCTCCATTGCGGAGTTTGGACAATAATGACCTTGCAGATTCCTCGTATGTATAACATCAGGCAGGTCATATCATGCCGATCCTGGAGAGTTGAGACTGCGCGTGTGCAATCTGATGGCAAAACCACATCGTAGCGGCGGATCTTTCACCAATTCGCCGCAGGAGGAACGTTGCAGGCTAGCGCTTCAGCTCAGTCTTCTCGACACTGACGATTCTTTTGCCGCCCATCTTTTTGATTTCCTCCTCTAGCCGTCCCTCTGAATGCAAGTGGGCAATATCATCGCTTCCGCCCAGACTCTGCGAGTTAATCATGATGTTAGGCACCGTTCTTCGTCCTGTCAACGAAGCTAGAAGATCCTGAACCTTGCGACCGAGAGTAGGGGCAGGTGTATTGTCATCGTCATCATCATCGTCCCCAGCATGTGGTTTGGGAATCCGTTTGGTCATCAAGTCAAGTTCCACAACGTATGGCGCCGGAGTGATGGTGTACGTTTCAAGGAGGAGGGCTTTGGCGCGCTTGGAGTATGGACAGTACGACTTGGAAAAGATGACAACTAGAGTCCACATGTCAGCAGTGTAGATAGACTGGAAGAAAGACAAATAAACGTACTAGGACTCTTCGTCAGGATGCTCTGCAACTCTTCCCTGGCCATGCTCTCGCCCTCATCCTCAACCTTACCATTGCCCTTTAGTGTGGCCTCTTCAACCCCGCCGTCCTTGCTGCTGGTCGTACCACTTGTGACTGGGTATTTCGGCTTGGGCATGTGCTTCCTCCCGGCAACACTGATTTCGTCATTGTCCGACGGCCCGCCAGGGACCGAGTCATAGAATTGCTTTTGTTTGTCCAGTACCAATTGGAGTTCTTTGTTGGTCTTCGCGGTCAGATCTGCATCTGACAAGCCCCCTCGTAGAACCCCGCGACGACTCGACAGAGATGCTTCGGTCCGCTTGCGGAAATCGCTGTTGGAGCCAGAGAAGAACAGTAGGTAAATGAGAACGATCGCAAGGGCGAGACCCAAGGCCTGACCACGGCGCGCGCCCGCCATTACGCGGGTAGAGATTTGAGGGGTGCTCGTAATTGTTGGAAGATGGGTGTAGAGAAGTGCGCCTGGACGTGGGCTTCGCGTGGGTTGATCGATAAGGCTGGTACAGTGTAAAACGGACGATCCCTTATGAGCTGTTGCGAATCGCCTGCGATCCTTCACGCGTATGGTGCTCTTGAGCCGTGCTGGAACAGAGTATAAGGGGTTAATAGCACAGGAGAACGGGAGGCAGACATGTGAATGGCATTATTAGGGAGTAAGGAGTGAGAGGCGCAGGTGGTCAGCGCGCACGGCATTGCCAGTGGCAGTTCAAATTGGGTGTGTTAGCCAGGCACAAGGGGGGAACCATTTATCGTGGTCCGGGGAAGACCAGGGTCCAGTCAACGTAGCGAGCGAGGAGTGGAAACGGCCCCTCAGGCGGCCAGCTACTTAGTCGGTACTTCTGCCGGGCATGAAGAGGTTAGCCATCAGAGGCGACGAACATGCCTAATTGCAGAAAAGGGGGTCGAGAGGAAGCCTAAGGAGCCCGCAGTTGGCCCAGGACCTCGAAACGGCTCGCCTACGGTATCGACTTTGGGGGCTCGGCCGCTTCCCGCACGTCTGATGGTAGCAGTGGCATTCAGTTGTTGGAACCCAACAACCCGAAGGCTACAAACGAGGCCAGTGATACTTTCGCAGGGAAGAGTCAAGATGCCTCCTGTATGATAGATTCCATACCGTTACATTCATTCATTGCTTGGGCAAATGGTGAATCCCAGATTCAGCGCACCCTTCTTTACAGATCCAGATCACAACTTGAACCCGACGACTCCTGCATGTGGGATCTGAAAAGACTATAGTCTTAGTAGCACATCAAAGACATCCATGGGCCCATCAAACCGAACTTGAACCCATTGCTCGCTTGCTTCATTCACTCGTGACCAGGTCGACCAACGCCTTACTATCCAACAATTTTGGTACAATCTAAAGCCGAACAGAACATTGCTTGCTTATCATGCCATTAACCCTCCCAGTACGACTTTCTGCACAACCAATATTTCCTTCTTCGCATTGTCCCTTGACGCAGTCTCGAATTCCCGGACGATTGCGGACACCACAGCCTTTCGTATTCGTGCATCCACCTTGGTAAACAAGTCGCTGATTGTAGGCGTACAGGCGCCGGGACCTGTCAAGATCTGCAACAATCGCTGGTACGTCTCGATGAGCACATCACAGAGCGTGGCAAACACGGTGAAAAAGTCGGGTGTAAAGGGCAGTGGTGGCGTCTGTAGATGTGTGTATGGACCTTCGTTTGGTAGTAGCGTCGAATTAGGCGCATCGACAGGCGCCGGAGGAGGGATGGCTGAGGTGCTCGGAAAGCTTCCAGACGGCAGAGGCGCCGAAGGGGACGGAGTTGCTGGGGTGCTCGCTGACGAAGCAAACGTGTTCCCGCTTGTCGTGGTGTCGATGGAGGGTTGAGTTGCGTGACCTGTTTCAGGCAGATTTGGTGGAGATGATGTCTGAGGGAGCATGGGAAGTCCGATTTCCGTGACAGGCCCGCTGGACTTTCGAGGCCTAGATGTTGTCGCAGCCCTCTTGAACATTTGAGGTATTCGGGCTCGACTTAGCGAACTGGCTGAACTCCCATCCGGGGGATGTAACTGCTGGAATGACTCGAATTCCAGCAGCAACGTGTTCAAACTTCGTAGATAGTCCTGGGCCACGGCTGCGCTGGCTGATGCCGTGCTCTTTGGATGAGGCTGCGGGTGGACATCGAGAATGGTGGGTATCGACATGCCGAGCAACATATAGTTGACCGCTCGTCGTGCCAATCGATCGGGGGTGTACGAGGGGAGTTTGGCAATATCCGCTTCGCTGAACCGGACAGTGTTGAACCAGAATGACCGTCCCTCGTGCGCCTTTCGCAGATAGTCCAACGTCGCAATCCTTTTGTTTGCCAACTCTTGAATGTGGGTATAAAGTGCTGTGCTGGGACTGCCATGGATTGGAACAGCCGACGCATTGGAAAGCAGTCCATTGATAACAGAGGCAGACGGGCCCTCGTTGTCACCAGCCGCAGAACCACTATTGCTTGCGCCCTGAGTGTTCGATCCCCCTGTTCCATGGCTGGGGATTTTGTGAAGCAGGGGCCGACTTGAGTTGATGCCGTTGGCGAGGATAGGGACTTGTAGGGGCATCATCTTGTCGTTGCTTGCGAGGCCGGTCGCATCGCTGCTGTTTCGAGAGACGGTGTCAGCCTTGATGGTGTTCAAGGCAACGGGCCCGGCGGGGGCAGTGGTGGTACGTGGATATCCCGGGCGAGGACGAGGGCGTGGTGGTGTCGGCCCTGCGACCGAGATAGTCGCATCAATGGAGCCGTTAGATCCAAGCGGTTTGTGCCTTCGAGAGGGAGATCTGGTTATTTTTGAAAGAAAGCCTGTCGTTCCCCCTCCTGAGGAACTGTTGCTAGAGCCAATGGAGCCATCGCGCCGAGTAGCCTCTGTCATGCTCGTGTTCCAGCCCAGCACGGGATTCAGGCGGAGAAGGATAAACTGCGGGTGAGGGCCTGACTGGGTGACGAATTGAAGTTTGTTACAGTGTGGCCATGGATCGAACGCAATGGCCGCCGACGGGAGATTTCGGTAAGTCGGAAGGGTACCTGCAGATAGTGTGTTTCGATGGAAGGGTACGTGGTGTCTGGAATCGTGACGGACGCTGATTCTCTAACGTTGGGAAGTATACACAATTGCACACTGTAGTCTTTCCCGCGCCGCCCAGTCATTTCTCACCGTCCGTTCCACGGGATCGCTACTAGGCGAGCCCCTGGCCATCACCGCGTGCCATGTCTCTAATACCGACCGATAATTAAACGTACCAACTATAGTCTTTTATCCTCCGCTTACTGGTCTGGTCGCAAGCAACCGTGTGTACATTGGGTCCTTTATTGACCGGCTTCCTGTGCTCTTTCTCCCAAGACGACCAGCTAGGCAAAAACCCACAGACAGATGGAAGTGCCAAAGCCTGGCCAATGGCCGGTTGATCCACAGGAAGATCAAGAGATACGGAAGGATCGCATATGGGTTGATGGATGCTTTGATTTCGCGCACCATGGTATGCATCGCCTCACCACAAAGCAATCGGTGAGTAAATCTGGCTGACCATTGACTTAGGCCATGCTGGCGCTTTACGGCAAGCCCGTCAACTTGGGAACGAGCTCTATGTTGGCTTGCACTCAGACGAGGAAATTCTACGGAACAAGGGCCCTACAGTCATGACTCTGGATGAGCGGTGAGTTGGTGGAAGGGTCGTCTACGAAGCTCCTTGACTGATCTTACAAGAGTTGCTGCCGTGGATGCTTGTCGGTGGACTACCAAATCCATCCCTCATGCCCCTTACGTGACAGCCTTGCCGTGGATTTCCCATTACGGATGTTATTATGTGGTCCACGGCGACGACATCACTTCTGATGCTGATGGCGAAGATTGCTACCGGTTTGTGAAGGCTGCTGGGCGATTTCTCGTTGTCAAGAGGACCCCTGGCATATCTACCACCGATCTGGTCGGCCGAATGCTGCTGTGTACCAAGACGCACTTCATCAGATCTCTGGTCGAGGAGCTTCAAGGCAAGACAGACACTACCGAAACCCCTGAGAAAGTGGCTGCACGCGCGGAAATGCTACAAAGGATCAAGGAGTTCGCCATGGACGAGACAGCGCGGAATCCAGGTTCCGAAGTCTGGACCTGGACAGGCAAGGAAACGGCAAATCCTGCAGATCAAGCCACTGAAGCCGGTTCATATCACCAGCTCGTTGCAGGCAACGGTCCGAAGCCAGGACAACGCATAGTCTATGTGGACGGTGGCTTCGATCTTTTCTCTTCGGGACATATTGAGTTTCTTAAGCGGGTCAACCAGGCCGAAAAAGGCGAAGCATATGTCGTGGCAGGCGTTCATAATGACGAAGTGATCAATCACTGGAAAGGATTGAATTATCCTATCATGAACATTTTTGAACGAGGCTTGTGTGTTTTGCAATGCCGATATGTTCACGCGGTTGTGTTCGGAGCCCCCTACTCGCCATCCAAGGCTTACCTGGACGCAATGCCACTGGGAAGGATTTCCGCTGTATATCACGGCCCAACTGACTTCATGGGCTCGCCTTTTGATCCATACAAGGACGTAAGGGAGCTGGGCATCCTTCGTGAAATCCCAAATCATCCCTATTCACACGTCAATGCTGGAGAGATCGTAATGAGGATCATGAAAGGGCGACAGGCGTTTGAAGAACGACAGAGACGAAAGGGCGAAAAAGCTGTTGGGGAAGAAGCAGCGCGGCAGCGGGAGCTTCTCGAACAACAACAGGCAGCCGAGGAGACGAAACGAAGAAAGGCGGCGAGCTGATTTGACAGATATTTGCTCTCGTTGTCAATCGTGCTGCTCTGAATCTACAAATGTCCAACGCCCCTCTGTTCATAGACTCTAGGTAAAGCTCCGGCAGGGATAGCTGCAGAAGTTGTCAGTCAAGTCGACTCCTCCAGCATCACACAACTTACTTGTCTGTATAACTTACGGGCCCCAGCTCGTATTTCTTGCCCTGCGTCCACCCGAAAGTTGCTGGCTTTGGCGGCAAACCATCCTCACCAAGCACGACCGTTGGAGTCTTCTCCCGTTCAAAATACGCCGCCAGTCCTTTCTCGCCTTCGTGCTTGACAGCCACGAGTTGTTTAGAGCCTTCCTCTCCGGCCAAAAGCTTTGGACTTGGGTTTGCGGCGCTTCCCACCGTCAACAGCCCCACAACATCGCCCTGGGTGATCACGCTCGACTTTGGGTATGCTCTTCGCACGTCTCTCTTCCAGTATGGGTTGTCTGCAATGTCTGCGGCCGGCGTGGTCACCGCGTCTGATGGATCGTATAATTGAGGGTCGAGGCCTCCAGGAGGTGGGTTTCGGAAGTGCTTGACGGGGATACCATTGCTTCGGGAAGGGTCAACTGCGAACAGTCTGCGAATGGTCTCCCAGATCCCATAACTTTGCTGAGTATATTTCTACAACCATCAGTATTGCGAATGAACATGTCCGATGGGAGCATTACCTTTGCGACGTGGACAACGTCTGTGAGAGGTTTGCCCGCCATCTGGGCGCAAGACAAGGGTTTCTCCCCCTGATTTCCACCCGTACGCTTCAGACAGCTAAGGGTAAGGTGTGCAAATGCCGCAGACAGAGCAGCCTTGTCCGTGATATGGACTTTGTCGGGTTGTGATCTCACCTGCAGTTGAAGTCAAGCTTGCCCTGCAATGCGCGGGATCATCTCGATGCTTGGCATTGGAGCATTCAGACAAAAGCGCAAAACATACGGCGGGGGGCAAAGACGTTGGTCATCACTTCGGCTTCTTTCTTATTGGTCGTTCAAGTTGCACAAGCGACGAACTCCTTTCACTCCTCTCACTTCCACGAAGGTGCCTCCCTTCCATCGCCAGTCCACTCAGCAAAAATGTGATGCCCTCCGGAGGTTCCCGCGGATACACTCATGCGCAAACTGAGACAACCCAACGATCGTGCGGTGCGATGAGCACTCACACAGAGGGAATCAATGCGCCATCTAACCGCATGCCTTGAACCCGCTCGCTCTTGGCTGGTGTGAACGGATTCCAAGCACTCGCCTTCCTGGGTGGTCCTGAACGCCTTCGCAAGGCTGAGACCTCCGCACTCGCTCTTCGGCTTCGCTCAGTGCTATCCCGAAGCGGTTGTCACTATCAGAATGGTGAGGTGCTAACCAATGAAAGGCGCCGTCTTGAAGTGTTACCCACTCTCGGCACGAAGTGCGCTGCTCCTGCGCTCCGCATGGTGTCCAAAACAGTGGATTGAATGCCCCGATACGGTAGGACTCGTTATCACTGAGGACAACTTCAATCAATTGTCTGCCCTTATAATTGTGCAATACTGCTTCGTCTTCACCACAGTTAATGATCAGCCTGATCACCAGTCCATCGCCATCTTGCAAAGCCAGCCTGACGATCCTACTGACAAAATCCCAGCCCCAGTCAACAAGAAGAGATTGACACATTGCAAGGGCTCCGGCGGAAGTTCAAGGCCGTCCATATTGCCGACAAAATCATAGGCGGTTGACTTGTCTACAGAAGGACATTTGTCAGGATGTCGACGAAGCCCAAGATCCTTCTTCTTGGAAAGATCGACCAGTGAGTTACTGCTGGCTGCTAATGTGTTGTCGAGGGCACAGACTCACTGTTCAACTGCAGTGCACATAAGCAATGGGAGTCTCTGAGCTCTCTGGGTGAGCTTATCGGCCCTAAATCCACCAACCGCGCAGATTTCATCAAGGAGTGTCAGTCAGGCCAACTGGATGGAGTGGTGGCAGCGTACCGCACATTCGCGTCTGTCAGCATAACCGGCCTCTTCGACGAGGAACTGTGTAAAGCACTTCCTAAGTCGTGGCGCTACCTTGCATCATGTGGCGCAGGCTACGATCAAATAGACGCCCATGCCTGTTCCGCGCGCAATCCGCCTTTGCTGGTGTCCAACGTTCCCACCGCCCCGGACGACGCCACAGCAGACACGGGCATTTTTCTCATGCTCGGCGCCCTGCGTAACTTCAACACGAGCATGGCCGCCCTACGCCGCGGAGAGTGGCGCGGCAACCCGCCTCCAGCTTTAGGACATGATCCACAGGGCAAAGTCCTCGGCATTCTCGGTATGGGCGGGATCGGACGCAACATGAAGCGGAAATGCGACGCCTTTGGCATGACAACCATCTACCACAACCGTCGAGAACTCGACCCAGAACTGGCCGCTGGCGCCGAATATGTTTCCTTTGAAGAGCTCTTGAAGCGTAGTGATGTCCTCAGCTTGAATCTGCCGCTAAACCCCAAGACAAGGCACATCATCTCTACGGAGCAATTCAAACTCATGAAACCTACAGCGGTTATCGTGAACACAGCCCGCGGCGCTGTCATTGACGAAGCAGCTCTCGTCGATGCCCTCGACAAAGGTTTCATTGCTGGTGCCGGTCTGGATGTCTTTGAAGAGGAGCCAAAAATCCATCCTGGTTTAATTGCTAACGAAAAGGTCATCCTATTGCCTCATATGGGAACCTGGACCCAGGAGACACAGGTATGTTTCTGTTCACCGTACTACTCTTCCTCGTGGCTGCATTGTACTTCTTCTACCTCCCTGCCAGCTTCTGTCGTCTCTTATCAATTCTTCCCACGGAATGATTCTTTCTAACGTCCGTGCTTTCGGGTGACCAGGAGAAAATGGAAGAATGGACCATCAACAACATCCGCTCTGCCCTCGAGACGGGCCGATTGAAATCCCCCATTCCTGAACAACAAGACCTTTGAGCAGAACGTATCGGTGCTCAGCCTCGCATCATCTCTTCCAGCCTAATAGGCTCCAGACCCGAGGTCTCTAGGAATGTCCAATTAGCGGCCCCCACAGCAGTGGTGTGTATGTGAACTATTTCTCTTCCATTTGCTCTTTGCTTGTCGTCGGGAGAAGGCCTTCCATCCTTTTCGGAAAGCGCAGAACTGTACAGTGATAGATCTCAATAGAATCATAGAGGACGAACGGACTTGGCAAGAATAGAGCGAAAAATGAGAGCGAGACAACACCCTTCCTATCGGGTCAATTAATCTGTCATTTTCCCAACCTTTGCTCCACTCTACGGGCATTCTAAATGGTCTTCCTGAACTTGCTCATGAGTCCAATAATTTGAGATATTCCAGGGCAACGTGATTTCTTACTGTGCGTGTCACCAAATCAAGGCCGCCGTCATGCTTCCATCAATTACTTAAACAGCTGGCTATCCAGAATATTACTTTATCGATCTGCCCAGCTGTACCTACAGTAGGTAAGCAACGTCCAAACAGACACGCACACTCTTCCAATTGATGCCTTTTGCATGCATCCTACAAATCCGAAAACAGAGAGCCGACCCAACTGCATGTCCCAAGTGGCTATCCATCCATCGACCAGCAGAGGGCCGCGCGACCAATCTCATCATACACCGCAGTCTACTGTACTGCTGATGGTCGTCAGAAGACTCCAAAATCCGCCGGATCGAAATCGGCATCCATATCCACGTCCATATCATCAGTCAGATCGACAAAAGCGCCATTATCCGTAGTCGTCACATCATTGCTTAGGGTGGTTCGATTCTCCTTTCCAACAAGGCCACCATCAAAAGCGGCGGCGCCGACGGAGTCATTGACCACATCTCTCAGGACGGGTCTCTTATCCAAGAAACTGTGAACGTCGCCGACGAGGGCGGAGCCACGAACGACCTTGTTCGGAGTCCGAAGAGGCGTTTTGGTTTGATTTTGTTTTCTTTTCTGGGGACTTTTGCTTTTGCTCCTGCGATCTGCAGTAGAACCGGAACCACTTTTCTGCGACGGGACAGCGCCGTTTGTCGCAGCGGTGGTGAGTTGGGACCCAGTCTCAAAGAGATGGGCATCGCTAGCGCCCATGGGAAGATCAAGAACCCAGCCCTTCTGGTCCATGATGCGCGTGATACCCTCTAAAATCGGCACGCCGCTGCCCTGCAGGGTGGACTTGCTGCCCAGGATCAAGAGTTTGCTGCGGGCACGGGTGACGGCGACATTGACTCGGCGCCAATCTTTCAAAAGGTCGCCAACGTGTTTGTTGGCGTTGCTGCGGACACAACTTAGGATGACGACTTCCTTGTCGCGGCCCTGGTATTTATCCGCCGTGTGCATTTCGACATCAGCGGCAACGGCGGCAGATCTAACCAGAGACTTGACGTCGGACTTGAGCAGGGCCAGCTGGGAGCGGTAGAAGGTGATGACGCCGATCGAGCGCGGCGGCACGCCCGAATGGATCAAGGTGGCCACGAGCTGTGCGGCTAGATATGACTCGACGGTATTGGTGGTTCGTGCGCCTGCGCTGGTTTCGAAAGCCGCCAGCGCGTTGTTGTCTGTGGACATGGTGTCGGTGTTGAGGAACAGACACCGAGACGTGGGCGAGATGGCTCGTCGTAGCCAGCACGAGGACTTGGAGGCACAAATCGTCTGAACTTGAGTACCAGTACTGCTGGCGCCCGGCCTACTATTGGGCAGCGACGATGCCATGAAGTGATGTCCTGCGAGTCCGCCCTCCAAGTCCGGAATATGAAGCATTCGGTTCGCCACGGCCTCGTTGCCGCATTTGATCCGGCCTGAATACACCAACTCTTTGGACAAAAGCATGATGTCCTCGGCCATTCGATACTGGTGTTCAAGATTCACCACAGAGTCCGGCTGTGCATCGGACAGCAGCTTGAACAGGCTGACGTCCAGCCCGCCTTCTTGAGCCTGCTTGTTCTGAACCAGCGGCGGCAGCTGATAGTGATCGCCCACCAGGACAAAAGTGCGCGCCATGCGGATCGGCCCCAGACATACCGGCAGCGTGATTTGAGACGCTTCGTCGACAATGCAATAGTCGAAAGTCCGTGCGTTGAAAATCCCATGGTTGACACCTAGACATGTCGTGGCCACGACTTTACTTCCGTGCCATGAGGCGTGCAATTCCTCGATAGTGCGTTTGGGAACGCCCGAGACATCGGCGAAAGATTGGATGTCCGGATGTACTTTGTTGACGGCGCCAATCCGCAAAATCGGGATATGGTCCTCTTTGATCTTCAGAAGAATGTTGTCCACTGCTGTATGAGTGTAGGAAGCCAACAGGACTGACTTGCCCTGAGACACCAGGGCACGGATGATATGTGCTATTGTTGTGGTCTTGCCAGTTCCAGGCATCCCCAGGACAAGCGCATAGTCTCTTGCACTCATGACTTTCTCAATGGCCTTCTGTTGGTCGATATTGAGACTTTGTTGTGAAGCTGGTCCGGATAAGCTGTATCCCGTGGACGTGACCTTGAAATCTGGTGGTTTGTTTTCAATGATCAACTGCCGAAGCTCTCGTGCTCGCCAGAGGTCTTTCTCCATCATGCGGATCACATTGTTTCGTGCCGTTGCCATCCCGTTTGCAAACTCATCCTTGTCGATGCGGTACAGGATTGGACCTTCGTCAACCCCTGATGCAGATCTAGTCCGGTCATGTTCCTCTATAACGCCCGAGAATATTTGTCGGTTAGAGGAGTCGAAGTCAGCCAACTTCCGTCGCGCCCGTTGCAGCTTTCGGTCGACCGCTACTACAATATATGTAGGCCGAACGTTGGTGACGAAGCCTGCTGCAAAGTTGAAATGGCCCTTTTCGTCCGAAATCACAATCGGCTCCCCAGTGGTGATCTGAGACTCTGCAAACGAGAAGCCAGGCCGAGGTTGGTGCTTCACAAAGGTGTATTCATACCGGTTGATCTTCGAAGTTGAGGGGTTCTCACGAGCAGATCCTGGCTGTATTATGACTTCGGAAAAGCACCGGCCAACTGCTTCGCGCTCAGAGCTCAGCATAGTCCATAACTCGCGGCGGAATTTCATTGTGTCGCGTTCTTCTTGAGTCAGCAGGTCGTCCCACTTCTTGAAGAAAGCCTGGTGCTCAGGGGAGAGATGATCGACCACTTCGTTGAATTTTTCTCCCAGGCCGCTGGTTTCTCCATCGCCGTTTTCCGACAATTTGTGATAGATGAAGCAAGAAGCTTTGATATAGCAACTCTTGCACAGGTGCTCCTTTTTCTTCATTGGGGGCAAAGCGAGTTTGTCGTGGACATAGCAGGCTAGCTCGTTCCGCTCGATGATCATGTGTCGTATTTCGTTTCTGACGCCTTCCACGCGAAAGGTCTTGGAGGTTTCCATGTAGTAGAGGACACCGCAAGTCACATTAATATCATATCGATCGGACAGCAGCAGGGTGTAGAGCGCTGTTTGTACCCGATGCTGCTCGACATTGTCCCTCTTGCCAGTCTTCAGCTCGAAAGGTACTAGCAGTGTCCTGGCAGATTGTTCATGGGGTAGTTTCATCTGAGCTTGGACTGTGGCGTCAATGTTCCCTTTGAGACCATACATAGGAGACCATATGTGTTCTTCAATTTCCAGAAGCTTATTGATCGTGGTAGGGACGAGGAGACCGTTCCGGTCACGAATGACAGCGTCTGGGGACAACTCGTCGCCAACAAAGACACTAGCCCATGCCATCAGTTCGGGCGCTTTCCCCAGAACATACTCTTTGGCATCTTGTACTTGGACTCCAATCTCATAAAGAGGTTCGATGTAGGAGGGAAGGATCTTGTCGATGATGTCTTTGAACGTCTGGGTATCCCACTTGTTGAGTCGTAATGCCTGACCAAAGACTTCATGTAGGATGTATCCATATACCTGAGGCTGGGTCGCCACACTTGTGGTCTTAATTCGGTCTTGAAGGACAGCCCGTCGCATACACATAAAAGCATCACCAACCACTGTTGAAGATATCAAATGGTCGGGATGGAGGATGATCATGTTATTGGCGTCGTTGATGATACACTGACCCCTGCGGTCAAACTTTCCAATGATATGAATGTAAGACCCTTTTGTGCATCTGGTATCATACCACGACTCGCGTAATAGCACAATGTACAGCATGCCAGTCTTTTCGTCTTTGACGGAGAGCATCTGACCTGGGTTAGGTCGAACTCACAAACACGGAAAAGGGTCTCACTTTTTCGGGCCGTTTACGTCCAGGCTTATACTCGAACTCACTCTCAATGACATCGACGATCATGTAGCGCTTGATTGCTCTGTTATCGATTGTGTTCTATATATCCTATCAGCACATGCCTCATAAAATCGAAGAGAAGCCTATTCAAAACGCACTTGTTTTGTGGGCGACACCGCTCCCGTTGCTTTTGCGGAAGTAGCAGCTGCAATGCCCTCCCAGAGCTCGTCATCATCATCAAATGCATCTTCAAACTCATCAAGAGTTTCCAGATGTTTGCTGTCAGGTTCAGGCTCGGCATCTGCGCCTTCAATGACCGAGGGTTCTTTTAGAGTGAGATTATGTTGTGAGTCGTATTGCGCAGCAAGATCGAGCATTTCATTCATCAATTCTTCGTCTTCATCGTCAAATCCATCAAACTCTTGTGGTGTAGTGAGAGTCGGAGGTTCTGGTGGAGGCGGTTCCGGTAAGACACGATTTGTGGCGTTTCTGTTGGATTGACTCGTCTGCTGAGGTAACGAAGGGACCGGAAGTAAGGCAGAATCCACCTCCCTGGTGTATACAGCCGATTTGCAGGGTGCCTGCGCCGTGACCGTATCATTCGGTGCAGCATTTTCAGCCAGAGCTTGCTCGACACTTTCAAATGCCTCAATATCAAGGCCATCATCACTGAACTCAGAGGAAGAAGAGGCATCTTGCTGATGCCCGAGTCCTTGACTCGTCACCGCTGGCTCGTTCACAGGTGGGCGGGCGAGTTCCGTCGTGTCAGGTCGGGTCTTAAATTGCTGTTTGGTGGGTGAAAGGGACGGCTGCGACCGACGATCGGGTAGCGGAGAGGAGCTCGAGGGGCTTTCATCAACGGGAACCTTCTTGGCTAGACTCTCCTGGATCTTTTCCAAAAGAAGTCCCACTTTGGTATTGTTGGATAAGTCACGGCGCAGGATTTCCTTCCTAGATGCTGCAAACAATTCTTTCGTTCTGCCATGGAACTCATTTGTCTCTACTCTTCGCCGCTTAGCTTTCGATGTGGGCCACTCAGTCCCACAGCTGTGAGTCCTTCGCAGACCACCATCCTTGCTGGCTGTACTGGGCGTTTGCGGTGAGGATGGGAGTAGATGAGCGTATTGCGGCAAGGTAGGTTCCGCCTGCTCGGCTTTCTTTGTGTTTGCCGTGGTATACCGGTTCCATAGATCTTGCGTAGGATCATGGTTGGGGGTTCGTAGCGACTTGTTCAGTGCATCCAAGTTCAAAGCATCCTTTTGTACTGGAATCTGATCCGACCTTCCAAGCTGCGAAGAGACCGGAGAAGAACTGCGAGCACGTTTTCTGCTTCCCTGTGTTGCAGCACCGCCGGAAATATCCGTGCTATCCGGATGGGTTTCCCACAAAACATGATCCTTGGGAGTGGCAATAGGCGGCAGGCAATTGAAGGCATCCTCGGTGTTTGCAATAAGGTCTTCAAACGGGATTCGGACAGCCGGTGTCCGAGGTACGACGTTCTGCGAAAGATGCTTGTCTCCTACATCGATAATTTCTTCCTCTTTGCCATCTCCATCTTTCCCTGGTTTTCCGAGACTTTGATTCTCCTTGTCGGCCTCTTCTCCAAGTAGTCTGCTGTCGAATGCAAACGCCTTTAACTTTTTCCGTGACTGAGAGGAGATTCCGTAAGGCGCAGACGGCATGATGTTAGGGTTGTCGTGGTGGATTGGAGGTGAGCATTGCCCTTCGCCTCGACAAGCATGAGTTTCGATTACCAAAAAGGAGCGGAGTGGTGAAAGCTGCCAGCGCACGTCGAGCAATGGAGTTGTTTGTGCCGATGAAATCGAGTTCGTGTTTGCAGTTGCGAATCAATCAGACGCGCGTCACACCAGAGACGCGTTACGCGCAGGAAGTCACGGGAGAAAACAATAAAATGAGAAGCACGTGCAGCAGAAGAACGGCGACGTCATTGCAAGGCTCCGGAGAAGCACAGCCTCACAAGTCACGTTGCGGTGCAGAATAAACTTTCGATACACCTGTTTCAATATACCTACCTACATATTCAGCTTTTGATGTCTTCAGATCCTACCTCTCTACTCTGACATATGGGCTTTGTATAGGTGTATAAGTCTATTCCCCTTCTTGAATACTTTTCTGAATTGTCCTTGTCCTAAGCACACTTCCAAAGTGCAAACCAGGAAATCCCTCAGTTGCATCCGGAGTCCTCCTCCATTTCAACTTTATGATCAGAGGCAGATTCACTTCTCCTAGAGCAGCGACAACAGTTAATTTAGCCTGCACCATGCGAAAACCTAGATCCGCCTGCGCGAATGCCTGTACGCCCCTGTTAGTTCACCCACATTGCAGCACAGGAACGTCTAATCTCAACATTTCTTGAACCATCGCAATGTCTTCCTCAGCACCACATTCGCCAACTGCATATCGCGGCTCTGATGCAGACTCTAAGCGCTCACCATCTCGACAATCTCCATCAAAAATGGCTCGAATGAATCAACCAGGCGCGGAGAGAGCCTCATCCATGCCAGCACACCGACTGTCATCACCTTTCGCAGATGTCCCGCAGATTAGACCCCGGCTAAACCAGTACTACACGATCGACCATGCAGTGTCGTTGTTCAAGACATGCAAGAACATCGTCATTCTGACAGGCGCAGGCATCTCGACTTCTCTGGGTGTCCCTGACTTTCGGTCGTCGAACGGAGTCTACGCTCTTCTGAAAGACTCGATCTACGATGACCCGCAGGAACTGTTTCACATCGACAACTTCAAGGCAAACCCGGAGGAGTTCTTCAAGCAGGCTGCCAAGGTGTTTCCCAAGATGCAAGGAGTCACGCCAGAGGGAGGAAGTGGTGGTCCCGGCAAGTCAACGTCTCAGGTTCCAACCGTCCCGAGATACAGCTCGACACACGCCTTCATCGCGATGCTGCAGTCCAAAGGCAAATTGTTGACAAATTATACCCAGAACATTGACGGACTTGAAACTGCGGCGGGCATTTCATCCTCCAAATTGATTCAGGTTCATGGGACTTTGGCTACCGCTACTTGCATGAGCTGCGGCAAGAAGACCACTGCGCGCAAATACATGCCTGTCGCACAAGCCGGTGACATTCCCGTGTGCAAGTGCTCGCTGATCAAGGAGCCAAAAGAGACGGAGCATCGAGGTCGCAGTGGTGCTGGCAAGAAGAAACGAAAGAGATACGAATTCGAAGATTCAGACTCCGACAGCGAAGAAAGCACAAAAAGCTTTCGAAAAGGTCTACTGAAACCAGACATGACCTTCTTCGGCGAGCATATTTCATATTCGTACGCACCTCGGTTGGAAGAGGATAGGGACAAGATCGACCTGCTCGTTATTATCGGCACGTCGCTCAAAGTGGCCCCAGTCAACGAAATGCTTACCGCCATCCCGCCTACAGTCCCGCAGATCTGGATCAGCAAAGACCGCTGCCAACGACAGGGAGTCAAAGTTGACATTGAATTGTTGGGTGAGTGCGATGTCGTCGTTGAAGAGATTGCTCGACGAGCAGGCTGGACCTCGGCATTGGAGGACAGGATGTGGCAACGTCAAGCATTCTCAGATAAGAAGAATTCAACAGCTCCTTCAAAGAAGGCGCAGCCTCAAGTCAAGCAGGAGGATCGTGGCCGCGTGCCGGTCAAACCTCAAGAGAGTCTCCAGTTTCGACCTAAGAATGATGCCAAGGACGATCAGACCGAAGGGAGGAAGGCCGAGCTCAAGTCTGATGGCAACGCCGGTGATCGACCTGGAATGGACGGCAAGGCAGTCAATGGGAAGGCGATCAAATCCGAAGAGCCTACCAACGGCACAGACGGCAAGGCTCGTCCTTCATCAACACCCAAAGTCATCGTCGAGCTTGAAGAAGGCACAATGTCGAGATGGTACATCCGCCGTGCAAAATAAGGCTTCTGGTTTCGCGTCGGCGTTGGATGGTGTTTGAAGCGTACTGGCTCCGGGATGGACAAGCTACTTAGGAAACAGTTTTGCTGGGACTTAAGATGATGTTGTATGGAATGATGAGTTGATGATGGCTCCCTCTTGGCTCGGAAAATAAAGAGATCCTCTGCTATTATGAAAGCCGGCCCCGCAAACCATTACTGCGGAAACTGTTGAGTGTACTACTAGTATGAGACATAAAAAGCGAAGAGAGCAAAGACCGGATTAAAACAGGTTATGCGTCTGCACAGGCAAAGTTTGCTTTGGAGGTACCTAACCAGTGTCTCGGGTGCCGTCCCTGTATTTGTACGAGTATCAAATCCCCCCTTGTCCACCATCCTTCCATCGGGGAAGCGGGATGAAGTAGAAAACCTTAAGCAGAATTGCGCAACAAAATGCACTGGATGCATCTATGCCGGTTCTTTACCAGTGTGACGACTGGCTGACGACTGTTTGCTTTCTGATTTCACACTGTATAGACTCTACCTCTCATACCACTGCCATTGTTGTCCGCGACGAAAGCCAACCCGGTGATTTCTTTGTTTTTGTCTAATCGTGACTCCCGTAAGTCAGCAGGCTGGCTGTAGAAATAATTGACGATGCGCAGACTGCGTGAGACTGACTTCAGGCCAAACAAGACATTCAGGTGACCACATATATACCGTACGATGTGACGACCGTACAGAACAAGGGGTAAGATACGAGGTGGCATGTGAGCACCACTGCACCACTAGAACAATTGAGCAGTTTAAATGTTGGCCAGCAAATTTGTATACAAGCAACTTAGAGACAGACAAACAGACAACAGTTCCCTCTCGAAATCCTAAAGAAAGGGGACAGAAAAACGTAAACTCCAACCCGATTGTCAGAAGCAATCAATCACATTCTTTTCTTTTTGTCTATCCATGATCCACCTCTAACTGATGGGAGCGGCGCCCATCTTGCGGAACCAATCCATGACACCAGTATAGACAACCAGCAAGACACCACCACCGGGGCCCAATCTGAGGACCTTTGGAAGGAAGCCCTTGTACAAAGCGGCAAAGCCCTCCTCCTTGTAGATGGTAGCCAAACCAGGCCAGGCCCAGTTATATTTCGGCTTCGAGCCCAAGATCTTAGGGGAGTTTTGGATGCGCGACTTGACGACGTCCATGGGGGTATTCATGATAGTACCGACAGTGCCACCGATGGAACCGGACAAAAAGTCGTTGAACATGGCCTTTGCACGATCCTTCTTGTCGACCTTTGGCATCAGCGCCTTGACCTGGAAGATACACCCGAAGTAGCCGGCGTTCCACAGGATGTGCCTCCACAGCGTCGACTCAAGTCCGTTATACAGTGCCAGGGGACCCTCGTTCTTGACCGTCTTGACCACGCAGTCCACGATGCCGTTGTATTTTCCCGCCGAGGCGCGGTCCTGAAGTCGAATCTTGACCAGTTCAAACGGGACCACAACGAATGATTCGGTGGCTCCTGCTGTCGCACCCGTCAGAATGGCAAGGGGCTGCGTCGCCTTCTCCACCCCAAACAGCTTGCGGTAGAACACGCCCCAGGAGTCGTTGGCTGCGAATTTGGTCGCTCGCTTTGGCGCCTCCATCATGATCGGTGCCCCGATGCCTCGGTATAGTCGGGATGGTCCTTCGTTCTTTACGATCTTTTTGAAACAGTCCAGCATTCCGGTGTAGTAGTCTTGTCCTGGGACGGGTGCTTTGCCTTGTAATTGGCTGCATTTGTACTCCTGTCAGTTTTTAAGAGTTCCCCAGAGGTGGTAGTGGTAGGTGGGAGGTAGGTGGTACTGACACTCTCGTCTTGATCACATCCAATGGGTACCTGCATTGTGTGTCTCGTCAGTAGCCGTCCGACTGCATGTCGATATTGGTTGGGCCATAGATCGCCTTTGGGTTTCGAAAAGGGTAACCCCAACCCCAGATCTGGAGGTTTCCTGTACTTTAGGGCTGTCGTGCAACAAAACTCACATGATGAGAATCTAGAATGTTGCAGTCCATAGATTAGTCCGTGGCCACCTCACAATTGCGATCTGATCTGATCTGATCTGATCGCGCGGCTTGCACATACCTCAGATACACCGGCAATGGCTCCGGCACCAATCTGGTAGCCAAAGCCCAAGGGTTTCTCCTGCGCCATCTTGAACCGATTCTATCTCTATTTGACAGGGATAAAAGGAGTGTCGAACGAGCGGCAGCAACACCGAAAACGGGTGCGGTGTGGACGAGATAAGCAACGCTGCACTGCGCGACAGTGGAATAGGACCCTGATCGGAGAAGTGCTGGTCCAGGCCTGTAGTAGTAGTGCAGCACTAGTAATCGATGTCGAAGGACGGGAAACAAAGCAAGACGTGCAAGAAGAGATACCCAGAGCAGAATGTTTATTTCTGCTTAGGAAAGTCTGGACAGGATAACCGGGAGCGAAAGTTGGTGCGTGTCGGCACCGCAGGGCGTTTTTGTCTAAAATGGAGAGCAAGCTCGCATTGCGCCAGACCGACGACCAATTGAACGGGTAACGGGCAACGAACCACAGCTTGAACGGGGTGACAGGGGGGCAGGGGAAACGGGTTTGGGGGGTCTTTTTGGGGTGAATAGGGTGCTTGAAGGAGATGACCGGCGCGTGTCCCGTGTCTCCGATCGGGTGCAGATGGCACTCTGCGGATTCGGGTTGGAGTTGGAGTTGTCCTAATCGGCACCACCTACTAAATAGTGTAGTTTGCCTTATTCTGCACTTTTAACGTTGGACTTACTACTAGCCGCCAATGACAGTAGCGATTGACGGCTAAGATTGTATACTACTACAGTGTACTATAGTTGTCGTACCAAGACCGGTTACCTGCCCACTGAGTTGTTCGGGCACAGTTGTTCGTCCCCGGTAGGTGACTCCGAGAATAGAGACACTCCTGCAGAAACACAGCATACAATGTACAACTACAGTCTACAACGGCGGCAACCTACAACTCCTCAGATGAATAATGTGGGAATCTAGAAATGAGGGCAGAAATGTCCCGAACATCTTTCTCTTGGACGGCCGAAGCTCGCTCCTGCGGTATCCTCAGGCGCTACTGTCTATTTCTTCTTCCCATCAAGGTCGGCGTAGAAGTTCCATCCAAACGAGTCCGATGGGTCGTTGAATCTCAATTTCTTGTCAAGGGCGTCAATCTTCTTCACGTCCTCCGGGTCGAGCTTGAAGTCGCCTTCAAAGTTGGCCTTGATGCGCGCCGGAGTCTTGGACTTTGGAATCACGCTGTGTCCTCTGGCGATTCCCCAGGCCAGGGCCACCTGTGCTCCATTCTTGCCATATTTCCTCCCAATGTCGGTCAGAACCGGGTCATCAATCAGCTTGGGCACGTTCTGCCCTCCCTCGTAGATTGGGTTGGCGTTGCCGAAAGGCGAGTACTGAGTGATGTGGATGCCCTTCTCCTTGTGCCACTCGGCGAAACTGGATTGTTGCAGGTAAGGGTGGCATTCGAGCTGGTGCACGGCCGGTACGATCGAGGCTTCCTTCAGTAGACGCTCAAGTTCAGCCTTGGAAAAATTGCTGACGCCAATGGCCTTGCATTTGCCCTTTTCCACCAATTTCTCCATGGCCTTGTAGGTGTCGACATAATCCGTGTCACCAGTGAGGATCTTCTCGCCCTCCTTGGGGAAGAGTTTGTCGCTGCGCGCGAATGGACTCGGCCAGTGCATCAGATACAAGTCCAGATAGTCGGTCTGCAGATCCTTCAGCGAGGCATCGCATGCCTTTTCCACATCGTCTGGATGGTGTGCATTGTTCCATAGTTTGGTGGTGATGAAGATGTCACTCCGCGGCACGCCACTCTTTTGGATCCCTTTAGCCACTCCAGGCTCGGTGCCATAGCTGAGGGATTGTCAGAAAGATACGGGGCCTGGTAGAAGGGGGCACGCTTACACTCTGGCAGTGTCAATATGTCGGTAACCTGCTTTCAACGCCTCGTACACTGCATCTTCTTGTGCTTCTTTATCCTAGATCATAAGCCAGATTCTGTCAATCAAAGGGGCGGTCTTGTTTGTGATCGACATCAGACAGGCGGATATCCTTACCTGCCATGTGCCGAAGCCAATAGCTGGAATTTCGGCACCGGTGTTCAGAGTGAACTTCGTCTTGGTGTATCCTGCCATTGTCCTCTTTTGACCAGCCAACTGCCGTGCTAACTGGGATAATCTTGAGGGGGCTTGTGACTTTAACTGGGAAAGCATGATCCAACCACAAAGAGGAGAGATTTACAATCCGTTCAGGGCGTGAAATTTATATACACTGGCACAGGAAGCAGTGATAATAGTTACTGAGGACAGTGAAGCGCGGGTCAATTACAACATTGTTGTCCACAGTTCAAGTTGCATCCGGAGCTTCTCCGGCGCTGATGTCACTATTGACTTCACATGCGATGCCGCTACGTGCTTCAAATTATGGTGCCAGCGGATATGGAATCCGCTTCTTCATACGCGCCATTTTTTTGTACAATTGTATAGCACGCCAACCCATCTGCTAAGGTAAGTCCTGGCAGAAATGCCCTTTAGTAGTCAGAGGACTGGGCCGCTGTCATTGCCATTGCCATTGCCATTGCCATTGCCATTGCCATTGCCATTGCCAGGCCCGTGATGCTGCGATGAGAAAACAGGTCCAGAGGTTTGGGCCATTATTTCTGGACAGTACAATGTAGGTAGCTAGGTAAGCAACCGAGGTGACCACTCACTGTTTCATACGCCAGCACCAGCCTGGTGGAAACAAAGCCTTTATCTACTTTCCCGAGCATTGACGGATGAAGATCTTTGTCCCAAGATGTTTCGGGTGACCAGCCAATGGACATTCATGTTGAGCCCTGACCCCTACCACGAGGCTGCTCCTTCGCGGTCTCGATGCCTGTGCATTCTTTGTACGTTGTCGGGGGAAGCGCCATTCTTCGTCGCCTTTTTCACTGTTCGCAGACGCCCCATGCCGGCGTCACAACCCATCATGGGCATAAAGACACCTGGCAATTCAGTCAATGTTGAAGTGCCCGAATTCGTGTTCTGATCCTCCTCCCGAGCTTGCTGACGACGTGGCTTTGCAATCATGTCTCTTCCTGTGCCGATGGCTGAGCAAAGTCCTCAAGAGGAGCATTCCCGTACCATATCACGGTTCTCGACCTCCACATCACTCAGAATGCCTTCCGCCGCCGACAACGGTCCCGAAATTGTGCCCATGCCGCGGTGGTCGACCTACGTTGGGTGCGCAAGGTTGGCTCTGTCGGTCCTGGTGCTTGTCTTCACATCGGCAGCTACTGCGATTTGGGGAGGGTATGCCTCCTTTGCGGTTGCGCTCTTTACGGTACGTCTCGATTGGAGTGTGGTGGCGATACAGTCTGAGAACTGACCAATGCAGTCATCGGCGAGTCTAGTGATATTTGCCTACTACTTTATCGCGTTGTCCCTCAAGCCGGGTCTGTACAACCGTTGGGCCATACTGAACCTCGAGATCTTCGGTGTGATTTTTTGGCTGGTCACCTTCTCCGCCTTGGCCAACTGGACCAATTTCCACAACTTCTGGTTCGGCCGCGGTGACGGCTACGGTCTTTGGAACACCCCATACAGCCCTTGGGATACCAGCCTTCGATCGAGAAGCATCGTGCCAAGGAGTACCAATAAATATCATGCTGGGGTCGGTCTTGCTGGAACCAGTGCTGGCTTGGCCGGGATCCAATGGTGAGTTGCTTTATTTGATTGGTCCCTACGAGCGACTGCTGATCAACAAATGGTACAGCATACTCTACATGCTCACTTTGATTGTTTTCGGAATGTCTCTGCACAACCATCGAGTCGAGGAAACAAGGATGCGGCAGGGCCCTGGCACGGCACCCGCGGTAGCCAACCCAAATTCGACTGAAGCGAACAGCATGGAGGAGATGCCACGGTCGAGGTCTGAAGCGAGACCAGTAACAGTCTGAAAGGACTCCCCGGCCTGCGGGGACAAACAATATAGGGACGAGACAAAGACAGCATCAACATACATATTCTTGCAGCCTTGTTGTACATAGCCTGAGGTACTATAATACTAAGCCTTCATCCCCTGCTCTGATGTCCGGCCAGTTGACGGACCGGAGATGGTCGGAGTACAGCGGACAAGATCGGAGAAGGATCACGTGCCTGGGACTGCTTACACCGGGCGCCGATTCTCCAGCCGCAAAATTGAAGGGTCAAGCCGTCATTTTCCATCATCATTCGCCCGTCGCCTCCATCTTTTCCACTTCGTTGTTAGATCGCGGACTTGCACGGTCAATCAATGTTGTAATGAGAATGCGGTCCTCGATGTCGATTGATCAATTCAACTCATTATTTCCGAGTCCAGCTCCAGACTCGACTCTCGGAATGGCCCTCCGCATCACGTAAGGTCTCTTCCCATCCAAATGCAGTGTATGCTTCGAATTGTCGAATTTTCTTACTCATCTCCCACGCCTCCTTTGATATTGTCTTGTAGGTTTTCAAATCGACACATCTGCTCCCTTCGTCTCTTCCCTTCTTTTGCTCCCAACATGCGCCATCAATAAGAGCTATTACATTGTTACTGTTGGTCTTTGACTCTTGAGATCGTAGATCTACGTCGAAACACTGCCCTATACCCGCGTCCCCACGAATCATGAGCCATGGCGACCTCGCCGGGGATACAACTCCTCCACACGACCTCGACATCCAGACCTCGAGCACTTCCTCGGAAGACAACACCGCTCAAGAGCCTGTATCGATGGAAAAGATAGCTACGCAACCCAATGATGTCGAGGAGCCTTTGGAAGTGCGAATCGAGCGGCTGGGTCGTGAACGCCCGCCGGCCTTCAAGACCATGTGGTCTGAGGTGGCCTTTGTCTTCTCGATTGTCATGTCGCAGATCTTGACCGAGTACTTTGTTTCTGGCTTCAACGTCATTCTGCCCACACTCATCGTCGACCTGAACATCCCGCAGTCATCGAGTGTTTGGCCCGCAACCGCCTTCTCCCTCGTCATTGCAAGCACTCTGCTTGTGTTTGGCCGGCTTGGTGACATGTGGGGTGGCTATCCAGTCTACCTCGGAGGCCTTGCCTGGCTGACAGTGTGGAGCATCATCTGCGGATTCAGCATCAACCCGCTCATGATGGACTTTTGTCGGACACTCCAAGGATTAGGAGCCGCCGCATTTCTACCCACGGGCGTGATGTTGATGGGAAGTGTCTATCGGCCTGGTCCTCGGAAGAACTTGGTTTTTGCGCTTTACGGCACCTTCGCGGTAGTGGGCTTTTTCGTCGGCATCTTCACAGGCGGCATTGTAGGCCAGTTCATCCAGTGGGGATGGTACTTTTGGATCGGTGCTATACTGACGGCCATCACCTTTGCCACATCGGCAGTCTCTATTCCCAACGATCGGCCACAACGTCGCAACAATGGCATTACCATGGACTGGCTGGGGGCGACGACCATTGTGTCCGGGGTGGTTCTTATTGTCTTTGCAATCACCGAATCGGCCCATGCCGAGAAAAGGTGGCGGACGCCATACATCCCTACTCTCTTCTGTGTCGGCTGTATCTCGCTTTTGGTGGCGGTGTACATTGAAGGTTGGGTTGCCAAGATGCCATTGTTGCCCAGGGATATCTTCCATGTACCCAACATGGCCCAGCTTGTCATTGCCATGTTCTTCCTGTATGGAAACGTCGGCATTTTCCTGTTATACGGCACGCAGTACTTCCAGAACGTCATGGGTGCCACCCCTTTACAGGTGGTGGCCTGGTTTACACCGATGGTTCTCGGCGGCCTTGCTCTGAGTACTGCAGAGGGATTCATTCTCCATCTGGTGCCTGGCCGGCTGCTGTTGATCATCTCGGCGCTTGGCGCAATAGGATCTCAACTTCTTCTGGCACTGGTCCCAGTTGGTGGTAGCTATTGGGCATGGATTCTCCCGGCCACTTTCTTGGGAACTGTGGGCATCGATCTGTCCTACAACCTGATCACGGTGTTTATCACCACGCAGCTGCCCAAGGCTAGGCAGGGACTCGCGGGAGGCTTGATCAATTCAATTCTTCAGCTTGGATTCGCCGTCGTCCTTGGTCTCTGTGACATTATACAATCGTACACAGTCGAAGGAGAGGGACTCCGAAAAAGCTACAAGAACACCTTCTGGATGGGCATGGCCACGAGTGTCACGAGTCTTGTGTTGGTCACCATCTGGGGCAGAGTGCCAAAGGCAAAGAGCGATCTTACTGCCGATGAGAAATTGGAGCTCGCTCGTGAAGCCACCAGGCTGTCCGGCGCGTCTCATCCATGAGCCGAGCCACGAACATGAATGAAAATAGATGCAACGACATTGCCGCAACTCTGTTTGTTAGTTGTGACTTTGAGCACGGCGTTAATAGAAGGCTGGATATTGGATAGAGGAACTAAAAGCGGAAATTGTATTGGAGTAATTTTGGAACCGAAAATGAAGATGTAAATCCAAAAAAGTTATCGACGATCACCTACTGTGTCTTATTCCAGCAAATATGCAAGACCGATCATATAATGGGTTCTGGCCATGATGTCCAACGTAGTGGTATAAATAGCAGCCTTGCACGGTTTCGGGCTTGAATGGCTCCAACAAGCTAGCCGCGGTGTGTCTGGCCAGCCTTGCGGAGATGGAGGGCGCAACAGCGATTTGAATATGTGGTCACTGTATGTCAAAATCTCCCGAACGAGGTCGGCTGAACTATACCTCCAGACTCCCATACAGCACGGTCTGCGGTCAATATTATCATCCGGTCATTCTTCACATGCTTGCTGTACTTCTTTTCCGGTTTATACAATAATGGTAGATTGTACAGCACAAGCTTGAATTTACACGACGCCAGCAATGTTACCTCAGTTTCGACGCCATCGGGCTTATCTTATCATCAGCCTCGGCTCCCAGACCGAAGCTAATAATTTTTAAATCCCCGAAAACGAAAGACGCTAATCAGCGTTCAGCGTAGCGACGACCTACCCGCTGCAAGTGATTGGCTCACGCAGCCGCCCATTCCGCCATTCCGGCGTGATCTCCGATTTCCGGACCTCGTGCTACTGGTTATGTCATCCTTCGCGCCGCAGCCTTGCGTTGCCTCCTTATCGAGCCCTTCTCTATCAATCACGCTCACACCATAGTTTTTTGTTTCCTGGCCACATGCCATTGTTCCCCGACCCACTACCCACTGTAAAATGAGTCTCTCCATTTTCGTGCCCATCGACCACTGGCATTGTTGCCGATTCAATTTCGACTTTTTCTGGGTCAAAGTGGCCATGGGCCTCGCTGAGGATGCCGAGGCTGTATGTAGTAGTACCTACGGCGTCTTTATAGTCGGTTTGTTGCATGTTGTGTTTCCTCACGTATATCTACGTTTTTTGCCCCTTGCCTTCCAAAGGTTGACTGTCCACTGATGACGCTGACCAACTGAACTGTCTTTTTTTTGTTCCTTTTGCCATCGTCGACTTTACTTCGCTTTTCCTTTTGATACTAGTACACGTACCTCTTCTGTTTAAGAGATAGAGAAAGATATACAAGCAGTGCCACCAGCCTGAATCGAATCTTATATTGCAGATCGCGAAGAAGAACAGAACATACACGCCAGACGATCTGAACCACAACCACAGAAGCAGCAAGCAACGCAACCACAGCAGCAGCAATACGGAGTCTGTCCCAGATCCTGTCCCTCAATAACCTACCTACGTCCTCCCCCATCTTGTTTTCTACAATGTCGTCACCACAACCACAACCACAAGACCGGGCCAACATGCCCTGGACGCCCTCGAGCCCCGAACTAGCCTCCGTCCGCACCGCGATCATCAAACTCCTCAAGCAACCGAGCTACGACGACGGGAGCGCCGGACCCATATTAGTCCGCCTAGCCTGGCACAGCGCGGGCACCTACGACGCGGCCACCAACACAGGCGGCTCGAACGGCGCCGGGATGCGGTACGAAAAAGAAGGCGGCGACCCGGCCAACGCAGGACTCCAACACGCGCGCGCATTCCTGGAACCGATCAAGCGTCAATTCCCCTGGATCACCTACGCCGACCTCTGGACACTAGCGGCCGTGGTCGCAATCAAAGAGATGGGCGGACCCGAGGTATCCTGGCGCGGCGGCCGGACCGACTTCACCGACGACAGCAAATGTCCCCCTCGGGGCCGGTTGCCGGACGGCTCCAAGGGGGCCGATCATCTACGCTGGATCTTCTATCGCATGGGCTTCAACGACCAAGAAATCGTGGCTTTGTCGGGGGCTCACAACCTAGGTCGCTGCCACTCGGACCGCTCGGGCTTCGAGGGTAAATGGGTCAATAACCCCACGAGGTTCAGTAACATGTACTTTAAACTCCTAAAGATGCATGATTGGAAGAAGAAGAAACTGGCAAATGGACTCGAACAATTCGTCTACGTTGATAAAGATTTGGAAAGTGATGAAGCAGAAGACGATCCTCCAGAGGAACTGATGATGTTGCCGACCGATATGGCTTTGCTGCACGATCCGTCTTTTAGGGTCTGGGTCGACAAGTATGCCGAGGACAAAGACCTGTTTTTCCGCGATTTCGCCGCCGTCTTTGCAAAGTTGCTTGAACTGGGGATCCAGCGCGATCAATATGGCAGGGTCATTAACCAGGATAATCTTGATGGCGGATACAAGAGTGCCCCGAAGAAACCGGACCATGCTACACATCCTGCTGACCAGAATCCGGGCCAGATAGGTCATGAGGCCGCGCCACTGAGGGAGAAGAATCTGAAGTCAAAGTTGTAAAGCACACGAAGGAGGATCAAATCTAGACAGGGAAGAAATGGCGCAGTAGAAAGTGAGCGAGCTTAGAGGGATATTGTATCTAGTATGCCCATTTTTTGATTTATTTTGTGGTTTTAGGGATTGTTTTTGTAATAATAAAGGATACTAGTATATACACATACACCTGTGCATATGAGTATTATCCTCCACTCCCCTCCTTTGTTGTGTTGTACAACTGTGGCGGCCGTCTGGTCTGAGTCACGGGCCTGATGAAATCATACTTCTACCTGGGATTTTTAGGCCTCTTCTAGCCCTACGCCCATCTGTAGGTCAGACAGGCTACCAATGTCGAATGGCAACCAAAACGCGTTTGTTCTCGCCTTTGTCGTCCTCGACGGCGCCGTCCAGATTCAACCCCATCTTGACCAGCATGTCCCAGACAAATTTCCTCTTCAGGCCTTCTCGCACCGCGATTCGTTCTAGAGCCTCGGAGCCGGTAAAGTATTTCACAAATATAGGCCAGTAGCGTCGCAGCTCCGCCGTCTCCGTCTCAGTGTGCCCGACCAGTGTAGAGCCAATGTAGTCGAGCCAACGGGATTCTTCGGGTGAGGCGCGCTGAGGAGACAAGACCAGACTCGCCGCCTTCGGGTCGTGTTTCAGCTGTTGCGTCACACGCCCGCTGGTATGGTCAGTCGAGATGGACTGATGGCCGTCACTAGAAGGCCTGCTGACCATACTGGGCCGCTGCCTGAATGATGTCGAAATGCCCAGGCTGCCGCTTGCCACCGTCGTGGGAGTTCCGCTACCAAAGCTTTGCGCGACATCGCCATTGCGGTTACTATCCAAACTGTTGTTGTTATTATTGCTGGTGTCACCTGCGGGGGTAGGCGGCGCTCCTCCAGAGCGTCTCGAGAGAATCTCTTCCTTCTCCCGCTCACGTACAGCCTTTTTCACTTCCGGACCAACACGTACAAAGGCAAATGTGCGAAGCTGTGTCACCCAGCCGTCGCGCATCAGCCATGCCAGAACTCGATAGTATTCTTCTTTGTGGTCGCTGCTGGGTATGAGGGTGCCGTAGGGGACAGGTGTGCCGCTGAGTGAGTTGAGCATCTTGGGAAGCGACGGCATCATAGGGAACGTGGCCTCATATGATTTGCATGCCGAAACAAGTTTGCTCATGTTGGCATTAGGGGAGACGATGTATGTGTCTCGCTGATGCAATGGAGGAATTGCAATAGCTCGTCTCCAGTAGACAAGATGACGCGCGAGATGCTGGATATCCCCCAGTGCCATCTGGGACGCGATCGAGATCTTGTAGAACGACTTTGTTGGGGTCGCTTTCGCCATGAAGTTGGCCAGTGGTAGCGCCAATGGGCCGCCAGCAGCTTGAATGTCCTTGAGGATCTTCTGAGGACTTGATTTGAATAAGAGGGTGAAGTTCTTCGATACCTGGAGTGCTCCGCCACTGGACGTCGAGTCCAGGTCATCCGCCGTCGAAGCGGGATCAGTCGCCGTGGTGAGCCACACCCCTGGTTCAAGAGGGGGTTCGCTGAGAGAGGGCAGATACGAGGTCGAGGTGACTGGAGGAATCTGAAAAGACACAGACAGTTTGGAACTGAGAGTGATGGCGGCTATTCTGGAGGCCGAAATATTGTCGAACACTTTGCCCATAGCCGCTGCTAGGGACGATCTCCGAAGCAGTTCCGTGTAAAGCGCCTTGGTGGGCGACTTCTGCTGAAAGTGGCTCGCTTTGATTGAGTGCATCAATTCTGACTGCTCCCAGACATAGTCATGATGCGATTGCTCCCATTTCAAGACTTTGGACATTTTCCTCGCAACGTGGTCATACATGTCCTTAACACGTAAGGTGTGCTCTAAGGGTGGAGGGTCCATCACGAAAACAGCATGGAACATGGTCAACTGGCTTTTAGGCGGTTCAACTGTTCGATGCTCCTTTGTTTCAGCTTTATCCTTGACGGCGTGTGTCTCATCGTCGGCCGGAGCCTCCTCGTCCTTGTCGCTGTCACTTCCGTTGGCCGTATCGGAGGACTGTTGTACACTATCGTCCTCCGCCCGAGATGACTTTTTGGATTTGGGCTTCCGCCACAAACCATCCTCCCGAGCGTACACCGGCCGACCAAGGAACGTGAAGTCGTTGATGCCCAGCTCAAACTTGCGTTTATGCCAGGCACGGCCTGGAGCCAGCAGGTTGGCTAGCCCGTCCTCTCCCAGCCCGAGGAGTGGTTCCCATTGTGGTTTCCACCCTCCGTCGTCCCGGCTCTTTTGCTTCAGCATATGATCCTCATCCTCATCGTCAGACCGCTGTGACCGGTCACCACGGCTTCCAGATCCTGCTGTTACCGGTGCCGGTGGTACTGCTCCATCCTGGCTACCTTTGGTGAACAGTTCGAAATCTTCCTCCGAAGACGACTCCCCCGAATCACTGCTTGAGCTTTCTGCCTCGTCGTCATCCGTGGACCGCCATGCAGGCGAAATCCGATCTGGAGACAAAGGATCTGGGGGATAATGGAACACGATCTCAGCGCCAGACCCTGTCCGGCTCTGAGTAACAAGAAGAATCGCGAGGAGAGAAGGGTTGAGAGAGGTTGTAGTGGTAGCCATGTGGTCTTGTTAATCTACTGCTTTTAGCCAATGCGTGGCCTCCCCGATCGCCAGCTGTTGGCCCATCCGCAGCCAGCACTACCGGTTGTCTCTAGAATTCAGAATAGCTTCAGCCTCGCCGGGACAGGCATTGCCCAGTCACTTCCCAAACCGGGCGAATGGGGACATTCATTTAGAGATGCAGGCTAAAGCAGCCATTATGCAAGAGATGGCTCGGGGGCTGTTTGGCGTCGTTATCCGCGGCCAACGAAGGAAAGAGTCGGAAGGGTTCGTAACGAACGAGGCAGGGTATGAGCAGGCAGACAGTGTTACTGGCCTGGTGCACCGCAATTAGTATTGGTCAGGATTGATGTGTTGAAGTTGCCCGGAGAGGTGTAAACAGGAAACGCAGCCGCAGGCAGCACTGGCGTCACACGTCTTTGCCAGGGCGCTGGTCGCAGTCGTAGTAATCCTTGTTCAGTGGTATCTCGCCGTGCAACCAACGGTAGTGAGGACAATGGATTGTGAATCAAATTGTCTAGCACTGGCACTGACTGGCATTGCCCGTGACTTGTAGTAGTGCGTGGTGGAGAGGGTTCTCACTTTCAGTTTGCCGGCTGCGCGGCTCTTCGTTCGCTGACTGCGAGTCGTTGCCGTCAAATGTCCGCAAATGCCGCGCTAGGAAATGGAAATTCAGTGCTGCTCCCGCCGCGATTCAATTAGTATTCCACTAAAAAGTTTCCCCCCAAAACTGCGCTGCGCTGCGCTGCTCCCAAGCCGAAGCTCAGGCTGCGCTTAGTTAATTGATTGACCGAAAAAGAACTTGCACGCTTTACCCACACACCACAAACCAAACTCCTCTCACTACCACCAACCACTTACTCAACTTCACTCCTCTCATCCCTCTCTCACTATCCTCTATCTCAATCCCTCTCTCCCGCGTCCTCTTCCTTGTCTCTGTCGAGCGGCTTCGACAAAGAGTCCCTGCGCTTTCGGGCGCCTGCGTTAACCGGGTTCGAGTTTGTCGCTTTCAGTTGGCGTCCACTCAAAAAGTTTCGGACCCTTCACCTCACTTCGCCCTCATCGCACGACTGCGCACGACCGACGCTGTTATTCCCCGGCCCGTTTACCTGCGGCCATTGATCTCCTTTTCGATTGCTTTCCTGTCTTCGGGCTGTTACACCACCAGGCACTAGTCACTGTTGTGACATCGTCATCGCAGTCAGACTGAGGTGCATCCGTCGGAAGCAGAGTCTTCGCTATTTCTGTCCACGATCGAGTTCTCCGAGCGCAGACAGAATTCCGCAGCATCACTAGATCTGTTCACCATTAGGATCCATTTGTATCCTAGACCTCCGGGGCGATCCGTACAGGGTTAGTGGTGACGCTCATCCTACGCGATAGTTGAACCTTCTGCGCCTAGTGTTATTGTCTTATTGAACGTTGGCCTTTGATCAAGGACTGTGGCACCCAGGCCACTTTGTGGAAAGAAGGCATTGTTCGCGCCACGAAATTCTCCTGCACTCAGCTCGTTCACAGGCAATATTGTTGCCGCAGTTTGTCACTGTCCTCGTCCAGCAGGCTCTGGCTCAGTCTGTGAGAAGAGCGTCGGTTAACAGGATACAAGAAGGTGTTTGAAAGGACAACACTCTTATCAAGCTTGATCAGCAGGCTAGATTGGCCCCTTCATCTTGTGACCAGCTTGTGGCTGGTGTGGGGTTCCAGTCCTGTGGAAGTGGAATCGGAGGTGTAGGATTTTCTCATTTTCTCACACTGGTTGAGACCATGTCGACACCTTCAGGAACTGGCGCCGCGGCGCCGGTCTTTTCATATGCTCAGGCAGCTAAAGGGTTAACTCCCTCGACCTCAGCCCAGCAGACACCTCGAAATGACAGCCCCGCTGCTTCCGAAAAGGGTGCTAAAGATCAGGCTGCTGCCGAATCTAGCAATACTACATTGGCACTGAAGTCCAATACTGATGACAAGAGCAACTTGGATGCCGGCGCCGCCAAGCCGTCGGTGCAAAAGGTCACAGAGAAGGAGAATGTCCCACCAACACAGCAGCAGAGTCAAACTCAAAATCAAGACGATCAGTCGTCAAATGGTCGGAGCAACTCCACTGGTAATGACCCGACTCAGGAGTCCCAGAAAGATGAGACACGACCTTCCATGCCGAACGGCCGATCTTACTCGGAACAGTCGGTGGAGTCTTCACGTGAGAATGGGGCGCCGAGTGCTGGTGACAAAAAGTCAAAGGACGGAGATGACGACTGGGAGAAGGTTTCAGTGCCATCAATGACTGCCGAGAAGCCTCTCAAAGCCGCTCCAATTCCCGCTGTGAATATCTGGCAGCAACGCAAAGAGGCCCAAGAAGCCAAGAAGAAGGAGCTCGCCGAACAGCAGCGTGGTAGCGTGCCGACTACACCGGCTCAAACTCCAAAGAGTGGTGGTGGCAGCGAGGATGTTAAGCGCAAATCCATCAGCAAAGACGCTGCCAGCGGCGAAAAGGACGCAAAGAATGTCGATAATACGAGAGTGAACAGCCGGAAGGACGCTGCATCGGGTCGTGCATCTCGTGCGGATAGGGCGGATACGGGAATTCCACCCCCGGTCGGTGATGCTCAGTCATGGCCAACCCCCGAAACTTCAAATGTGGAAGAGCGCCGCAAGTCCAGTGTCTATGAGAAGGTCGAAAAGCCAGAAGCGAAGGAGCAAGCCCAAAAATCCCATGGTAAACAGTGGGTTCCAATGCGGTTTGTTCCGACGGCTAAATTTGAGACTCAGCTTCCTCCCGCTGCCGCTCGCAGAGGTGGTAGAGGAGGAGCAAGAGGAGGTCGAGACACCAACGGCCGTGCTGGTTATGCTGGCAGTCCGGTCGAGAAGCAAGATTCACCGGGATCTATGGGTCCTCCCCCTCTACCTAGACCTTCTGGTGAACAGGACAGAGGTCGGAAGTCTGAAACCCATCGTGGCGCTCGAGGCGCATCTGTTCCAACAAGCAGCACCCGGCCAATCAACGGAGATGAAGCCGCTGCGGATTCTGCTAAACCCTCAGCCACCCCTGCTAAAGGGGATGCTACCAACGATGCCACCTCCAATGTCACCTCGACGCAGCAAAACGGTGAGGAGCAGGTCCCAAAAACCACTGAGACCTCACGATCCTCTTCGAGGCATACTGCACAAGCCGGAAATCGGCTACCAAACGGGGAAGGTAATACCCAACCTGAACAAGCCTCAAATGGCTGGGGTCATGCCAGTGAGCCATCTGTTCGCTATCCTTACAACTATGATCGGTTCAAGGGCTCTGCTTCGCGTGGCAACGGCGACTTCTCTCGCGAACGCGGCAGTGGAAGACATCGGGAGTGGTCGAGGGACAAGCCAGATTCGGCCCGCGAAAAGGTTGAGTCCTGGCGTGACCGAGAACACTCTGGTGAGCACGGCCATCGACGTGAGTCTCGCCCTGAGCGCGGACGTGGTGGTTACCGAGGCCGGGGCAATCACAGCTACAATCCAACATATGGGACCTCCCACGCCTACACGGCTCCATTGCCGCAGAACGGATTCGAGGCTCCTAGGTCAACCTCTCATGCTGAAGGTCGCTCCAGACAAGCTTCTCAACCTTTCCAGCCTACTCAGCCGGCTAGCAACGCTAGCAGCAACGCACGTTCTCAGTCCATCCCAGTTGGTATGATGTTCCCGGGCTATTACAACGGCGCAGCAGTCATGGGCCAAGGCCTCCCAGGCGTGCAGACTGACATGTCGGTATATGGTTATCCATCCCCGTTGCAATTGCAACCAGGTATTATGAGTGCAGTGCCCTACAACGACCCGTTGAACTCATATGCACTGTTGTCAATGGTCATGACCCAAGTGTAAGTTTTAATACCCCGAGTACGACCACAGAAACTGACATACCCTGTCTAGCGAGTATTACTTTTCCATTGACAACCTCTGCAAAGATCTGTTTCTGAGGAAGCACATGGATGGACAAGGCTATGTGCCCCTCGACGTTATCGCCAATTTCAAGCGAATCAAGACTCTCACCGAAGATAACATGACAATTGACACTCTCCGCTATGTTTGCCAACAAGTCAAGAGTGTCGAGTTCTTCTCCGGAGCCGATGGAGTTGATCGACTTCGGCGTAGGGACAACTGGCGAGACTTTGTCCTTCCAGTTGAGGAGCGATTCGAGTCAGCACGCAACGATGGGCCGCCGGCTGAAACATACGTCCAGCAACCGCAGCACGAGCAGGCTCCCCCTTTCCACCCATCCTTTGGTTTCGGCCAAGTTCGCAGTCCTCCCATGAACGTTGCTGCGATGAATGGCAGCTTTCACGCCGAATCTCCAATGACCTTCATCCCAGGAGCACCTGCGGAAGGGCATGTCGCTGGCGGACCTTTTATTCCTGCCTCCTTTGATGCCATTTCTCCTGGGGAGACACGGGGTCCTTCGGTGTCGCCGTACTCTCAGGCAGTGCCTGATGTGAGATCGCCGCCGCTTCGCGCCCCAGCACCGGCCAACCATGTCAACGGTCATCACCGACAGGTTTCTCGTGCCGACATCGAGGACGACATGTTCCCCGACGAGCACATTCCCAATATCAACATCCGTATGCAGCCACGCTTCTTTGCTGGCCAAGAAATGACTTCATCATTCACCGGCATTCCTGAGGCTCCTGCATCTGAGACGTCCAATGAACGTAAAGATAGTGAGGCAGCGCAGGGGACTGGTCTGCGAGGAGGAGCAGGGAGCCCGCAGCAGTGAGTTTTGTCCCGTACATTTATGATCCGTCAGACCACTAATCCTCTTAGCAGACTTGGACAGGCTCACAATGTGCCGTACGGCTTTCCGAACGCCACCGCAACTGGTGATGGCAGTATCATCTATTTCGCCAAAGATGGCCAAGAAACACAGTTGCCGCCACCACAGCTTGGACAATATGACCAGACCTATCAGTCATTGCACGACGTCGCACTTCAACAGCGCCAGCTAGGTGTTGAAGGGGCTCTGGAGCCGCTCTATTCCTTCTGGGGTGATTTCCTGGTGGACAAGTTCAACCTTGGCATGTACCAGGAGTTCAAAACCACCGCATTGAATGAGCGTGAACAAGGGAATGATAGTGGAATGTCCCATCTTATCCGCTATTACAGCAAGCTCTTGGCAGGGCCTATTCCAGTCAGTGAACGACTCGCCTCTGATATGGTGGACCTTTTGCGAGAGGACAAGAGCGAAGACCGTGCCGTGTTTCACGCCTTGCGAGCTGCCTGGCGAAACGGAGCGACCAACATGAAGACCATCAAGAGACTGGGTGATGTCCTCACTGCGGAGGAGAAGGCTGAGCTTGATAAGAGTGGCTGAAAAGGAGGCCGCTTCTCTTGCTTCTGCGCAACAGCACATTCCAAGCTTCTACTCTAATCACCAACTTGTCCCCCGCTTAATCCTCGCCATCCTGGAAGATTGCCAAATCGAATCAACATGTCAAACACAGGTTGATGTGGTTGCAAGTTTCTTCCCGTCGTCGGACATCCTCAATCAGAATTTTGACCGAGCCACGAGGTCCGGGGAAGAGTGCTTTCAATCTCATTTTAAGTTTCCAAAGACGAATCGACTTTTTGCTTCAGCATCTGGCGGACCAGGTTACCACTTCGAAGGGGATCCACCCACTACTTCAGATTCTTTTGCGCGTCATACATCGAATTTTCTTTCACTCGGCAGGAGTTCAGGCTGGCTGGCTGGGGTTGGGAAATGTTTGTTGAATGACGATTTCTCCTGCTTTTACTTTTCACCCAGTTTTGCGACAGTTCAGACAGCATGGGTAAGGGCGCTATCTGTATGAGTCAATCAGTACTCGCAATGATGCACAAAAAAGTCACTCATGGTCTGGCAATCAATTAGTATGAAACGGCGCACCTGGCTGGGCCAAGAAGAACAAAACAACAAAAAAAGAAACACACAACGACTGTTCATGATTTACCATCATACCCCCCACTGCTATGTTTGTTTCCTTCAAAGTCGTTACTGGCTGGCCGCATCCCCGCGCTCATTACGGAATAATTCAGTTTTTTGTACCTTTGAGCGCTTGCATAGACGGACGTCCTGATCACAACACTTCATGCACAGCAGTATGATCGCGATGGTTGGGAATGAAGGCAACAGACAACAGGTTCAATGTGAACGAGACTGATCCTGTTTATTATGCACTATTGGTCCCGACCCTCAAAAGGACAAACCGATCAGACTGCTAGTATGGAGGCGCACATGGCAGCAGCGGGACAGTACCAAAACCTCAAGCAACCAACCATCACATGAGTGAGCGATAGGGTGTTTTCCTGTGTGTCTACTATGGGCTGGGCTGGCCGGCGTCAGGTTTCCTTTTTCCCTTTTTTTCTTTTATCCCTCTCGCGTTTGAATGCACCAAGGCAGTTGGAGTGGGAGTGGGACTGTGAGTGCGTGCTGGGGTTCAACTAGCTGCTCTCTGTCTCTCCCGCTCTCAGAGTTAAGTTGTCAGTCGGGTCAATCAGTTTAGTGAATTTACCGTGGCAAGAAAGGACTAGTCAAGCAGCGAGTTGGGACACAAAGAACAGGGCCAAAAAAGTTTGTACACAAGTATTACGAGAATCAGAATCAGAACATGTTTGTTGTAAAAATCTCGCTCGAAGACCACCCGCTGGATGGATGTCACTACCCTATTGAGTGGCTAGGTAAACTTTAGAATCTCGCGCAAGGCTGCGAATGAACCAGGTGGGATGCGGAGTTTCTGGGCTTCCGCGCAAGCTCAGCCTTGTCGTTCCTAGTATTGTGACGATGCGGCTCGGAGCAATGCAATTAATTCTCCACCCATTTCTTTTGACCTCACGTCCAAGTTTCCAGTCTCCCCACGTCCTCTTTCCATGGGATTGACTGATACCGACTGGTTGACCGACTTTGACCTTTACATCAATCCGTCCAGTCAATAACTCTTCGCAAGACCACTCTCGTCCGACCCAACTGGACAAAATAGCACAGCGCAGCGCAGCATATAATTTTCCGGCATTGCGGCCTCTCCCTCCGCCTCCTCCCTCCGGTCCTCAATTATCTTGGTCGGCGAAGATTGCGAGAATGAGCAAGGAAGTGGACGCGTGGCAGGACGAGTGGACCGAAGTAGCTGATGTTCGTATTCATCCTTGACATGATTGAAACGCAGATCGATCATCAAGCACCGATTGTTCAGTTCATGGGACACATTACTCACGGCGCACATTGGACAGAAACACCCGACATCTCCTCCTCCCACTGGCGAATCCAACGTGGCCGGAGAACCGAAAAAGGTCTCGTCGAAGGTGACCAAGGCGCAGCGGCGGGCGCAACAGGCCGAGTTCAACAGACAACTATGGGCGGAAGCGTGCGTACCCACACCATGGGACCAGAGTTCCCACGCCAGGATCATTCTCATTTTGTTTCTGACATCATTCTGTCTATCTAGTGAAGGCCCCCAAGAGACAAACTACTTTTTGGAATCGCGCAATGTCGTACCTCTACGCTCCGAATTCAAGCCCCCGCCGATCCTGTTGTCGCGAAAAGGCCCCATCATCCAGAAACCGCCCAAGCCGCCTACGAGTGGTTTACAAGCATTAGATCTGAATGGCAACAATAAAACAGCAGCGGAGGAGTCGTCGGAGGACGATGAAGACGAAGTCAAATCCCGCGAACAGACTCTGGCGGAACGTCAGGCGCAAGCGGCGCGAGAGCGCGAGGAGAAGCAGCGCCGGTACGATGAGAGGCGACAGGAGCTTTTTGGACCGAATACAGGGCAGCAGGGAAGCAGTACTAAGAATAATAACAGCATACATTCTTCTCAGCAGCAACACCAGCGTTACCAACATTCAGGGACATCAACGCCTTCGAGTCTCACGCCGCCGGGGTCAAGGTCGGCCACGCCGAATCGAGCTCGAATGCGAGGCGGAGGAGGTGGGGGTGGTGGAGGGCGACGTGGAGGAGGAACCGCAGCAGGAGGACATGCCATGTCCTCGAGGACGCGGTCTCGAGGATCGCCATCGTCGCAGTCATCACAACAACAGCAGCAGCAACAATCACAATCACAACCAACTCGCGACCGTGAACGTGAACGTGAATTATACGACCCATCATATGCCCCTAGACCGGATTCAAATTGGGGAGTTATATATGACCAACAACATCAGCAGCAGCAACAGCCACAACAGCGTTACGAAAATGCATTTGATGGTATGATGACGGGATCAAATCCAGGAATAATCTCGTCTTCGAATTCGACTTTTAGCTCGAGTTCAAGGTTGTCGAATCTCATTCAATCTCCCGACCTGTATGCATCCCAGGCGCCGCCGCAGCAACGGCAACAGCCGCAGCAACCTATTCGCGAGCCTCGAGGACCCGATGGATCTGGAAGAGGAGGGTTTGGATTTTCTTCGGCATCACAACAATCATCACGACTCGGACCTCGTGTTGTTCAGCGTACGCTATGATGGACGGATAGAATAGACGCTGCACAGTGCTGTACTGTTTGTAGATACAGTACCCTGTGATGCGTTAGACACCTAGAGTATACCTAGGTATATCGTAATCATCTTTAGTATCCACAAGGACGGACGGTCTATCAGTCATATGCCATGCCGTGCCGTGCAATAAAATGCCTTCAGATTGGGAACACACAGTCGGCGTCCTAAAGGACATGTTACAACGTAAGGTACTTGTTATCTCGGTACCTAGGTATGTAATTCCAGTCCCGAGGGTCCCTCCAGTTTAGTTCAGTCCATTCCATTCTCTCCCTCTGTTCACAATACTACCAGGTACTACTATCTCATGCACTTCATCCATGTCTTCTCAACCCTTTCTTATCCGAGAGGTTCTCAGTGAGCATCACCACCACCACACCTCACTCTCCTTTCCCTTCTCCTCCTATTCACGAATGTCCAACAATCGCCTTGGGCCGATACAGTTCCTCCAACCACTTTATCTCATCATCGCTCAACCTCTTCCCTCTGACTCCACAAGCCTCATCCAATCTATCCAGATTACTAAAGCCCACAATGGGAATCGTTCCCTTTTGAATAATCCAAGCGAGAGCGACCTGGCTCATTTTCCAGCCCTTTTTCTCCGCAAGTTCCTGCACTCTTTCAATAATTTTCACGTCTGCGCCGCTGAATTCGCCGAACATCGGGTTGGATTTCATACTCTCTTCTCGAGCGGTGGTTTGATGTGACGTTAGTGGGCGGGCCAAGTGGCCTCGATAGAGGGGCGCCCAGGGGATAAGGCCCACACCTGTCTCTTTGCAGTAGGGGATCATTTCGCGCTCTTCCTCGCGGTAACAGAGCGAGTAGTGGTTTTGCATCGACACAAAGAGGGTCCAGTTGTGGGACTGGGCGGCCTGTTGGAGTTTGATGAATTGGTAGGTCCACATGCTGCTGGCGCCTGAACCGAAGCGTTAGCGAGGTTCAACCAAAAAAAAAAAGTGTGCCTAGCGAGTTGTTGTAGCGAGCGCAATGCGAGCGTAATCAACCAGGATTATCCAGGTGTGCCACCGCTCGGTGAGATACTGGGAAGCAGAGGTGTTCCACCATTACCAGGCACTCAAACCAGTACGAGTCATCTCTCTTCTCTTTGCGCAATTTGTGAAGGGATGTGAGGGGATTGCGTGAAGAGAGATAACTCGTACTAGAGGGGCAATTTCGGGCGTCGTGTTACAATACTCGTGGTGCTCGTTCTTGTAGGTACTTACCAATATACCTCACTTTCCCGGCCTGCACCAAATCATGCAACGCCTTCATCGTCTCTTCGACCGGAACAGTCGGATCAAAGCGATGAATCTGCAAAAGATCGATATAACTTGTCTGTAGACGTTCAAGACTGGCTTCGACAGCGTTGAAAATGGCAGCTCGACTCAGTCCGCCTTGGTTGACGTAGTCTTTGCTCCGGCGCATTTCGTCGCCATACTTGATGTGCAGAATACCGGGTTCTTCGCCGACGGTACCGAAGCATTTTGTAAGTAGGACAAGTTTGTGCCGCGGGATGTTGTGTTTTTTGATGGTTTGTCCGATCAGTTTCTCGGACACGCCGTTCGAGTAGACGTTGGCGGTGTCCCATGTGTTGAGGCCGCGGTCGAATGCGCCTTTGAGGAGCGCGTCGACTTGGTCGGGGTCGTCGAGGACCCAGGGTTGCCAGTCTTTGTGGCCTAAATACCACCACGAGTTAGTACTGTACCTACGAGGGTCTGACTCTTCGCCCGTCTCGGGTCTATACTAGTAGGGTCCGTACTTACCAAATGACATGGCACCCAGAATGGGTACCGACACACGGAGGCCCGATGCACCGAGTTGGGCGTACGAGACTTTGGTGTTGTCTAGACTTTCCTGGAGGGATTTGGGAAGGGGGGACTTGGATTCGGCCATTTTCGCAAGGGAAGGGAAAGGGAAGGGGATATCCGACCAGAGGGTAAAGCAGAAAACAGGGAAGGGAGATAAACTTGGGAGGAGGTGGTGGAATGGATTTGAGGACGGGGTATGGAGGAATACCAAGGATGGTTTATATATACTCGCTAGAGTAGAAATGTACAGTATATGTATACGTACTACAACGTCTCATCACTCACTTTATTTGAGGACAGTCCCTGGCAGGACAGCTGAGGTCTGGACTTTAGCATAGAAGGGACGATTAACCCCGATGGGAACCGAGGAGACTCTGTCATCCGAGGACTGCAGTGCAGTGCTCATGGCTACAACCCTGACGCTTGGAGAAAGCAGTCGGGGGTGATTGATGGCGGTCATGATGGTGATGGAGGTGGAGGTGTTGATCGAATAGCCGGCTTCCCGTCCGGTGGATTTGTCATCCGCAGTTTAGAGCAGATCAACTCAACTTCGGTTTCAGTTTCAATCGCGCGCGGAGATTGACCGAGCGGATTCACCAATTGACTGCTACTGTTTGGACATTATTCAAGTTTGGAACACGTACAACTTGAAGGCACTGAGAAGGTGTGCTACTGCTGTATGCTGCTGACGGTATCCACTACTAGATCGACCGGATATGACCGGCTTCAGTGCTGGAGTGGCAGTGGTGTTTTTATCGTGTGTAGTCGGTTGTAGCGGACTTTGCAAGGCCTAAATTCCATGATCTGGTTCGTACTGTTGTTGCACCCTGGGAGTAATAAGATACTTCATGCCATCCTGAGACATGCTGGTAGTAACAGTCGCGGATCGACACTGATGAGTGTCCATACCCCCTGATCTGTAGGTAGACATCCACTTGAATGGCGTGGTATCATTTCATCGATAGACAAAACGGCCAACAAACAATCCATCAACCAACCAACGTAACCTGATAGGTCCTACTGTGGGTATCTGAGAGATACTGTATCACACACATATGGCCGAGAGGGACAGGTGGTGCCAACATCAAGAGAGAACCATGGGGTACTCCTACAAAAGTCGAGTTTGGAATTGAGATGATAGATAGCCAGAATCAACATAAAATGAGCATCATCCGTTTTCATCGCATCCCATGCAATGCAATTTTGTACTTCCAACTCCTGCGCGCCCGGCCACTGTATGGTCCCAACCCGAAATAGAGTACATGCAACTTCAAGGATGCCATGCGCACAAACTCCACCCACCTTACACAAACGCCCTTTTTGTTCATGATAGTTGATTTTTTTGTTCCATGGGTGATCTTCTCTTTCGTTTGGATCTAGTTCGTTCGACTCCAACAACCACAAAGCCATTTGCATGCTTCACCGGTGACCAAACAAATCCATGACATCCTCATCTTCTTCATCATCCTCTTCATCCATAGCATCGTCGTCACGACTGCTATCAGACTGAGAGCCCGAATCAGGTTCGGACACGAGATCGTCTTGCGAGACACTTTGATGCCGAGGCGGTGAATTAGGTCGACCCCAAAAGTCCAAATCATCGTCATCATCATCATTGCTGTTAAGTCCGCCAGTTCCGTACCTGAGGAGTCGCTGGGCGGCAGCCATCACGGCCGGAGGAGTTTCCGGTTGGCGCTGCTGGCCTGTTCCAAAGTAATTCCCGTTCCCAACCACCGGGGACAGCGACCTGGTTGACCGCGTGGTGGGTGAACGAGGTAACAGCCAAGACGACCTGCTTCCAGTGGGAGACTGCATCATATCCACTGCGGTATCAACCGAGCGTGGCATGACTTCAGCAGTAGCGGCGCGAGCAATGTCGACCGGCTGGGTCATCTGGTCGGGCGGCGTTCGACTCTGACTGGCCGTGATGGCAGCCTCAGAGACATCGGCCTGTTGAGCAGCACGTTCCTGAGCTTGCTGCAGTTGAGGTGTCTCATCCGCCCCCAGCAGCTCCAACTGCGTCGTGTTGTACGAGTCACAGATGGCACATTTCAACCCTAGCCAGTGATACTTTGTCACGCTGCGACTGTTGCAGTCATTACAAAAGATGTACGCCCGGTTGTCGCGGTACTCCTCCGGCATGGGTTGTTCTTCAATATGTCGGTCCAGCCGGCGAAACTGGCTCTCCATGTTGGCGATGCTCTTAGAACATATCGGACATTTGTAACTCGTGTTGCACCACTCGGCAAAACACGCCTCGTGAATGCTGTGCCCGCAACGCATAAACGCCACCGGCTTGTTCGATGTAAACAAATATTCGCCGCATATCGGACAGTCGCATTTGGTGCTTCGTTCAATACACTTGTGCGTGCTTTCCGCTTGGATCGACATGCATGCCGCGCATTTCTTGCAATGGAAAAAATCCTTGCCCAATCCCTCGCCGAGTCGACAGATGCCGCAGTCGTCGCAGTGATAGATTGACTTGGCCGGGTCGTTGTTCCATAATTTACATACCGGGCAGTAGTAGCACGCCGCTTGCACGTGGCAATTCTTGCAGAATTGGCCCACCGGTTGCGGCGTGTTGCAAAGCATGCACAGCATGTTCTTGGTCTCCCGGCGCGGTAATGTGTGGCTCTCCACCTCGTCGTGACACAATCTGCATGTATACCATTTCTGGCATATATTGCATTGCATCTTGACGTTGCGCTTGTAATGCACACACCCTAGTTGCGGTCGCGGTTTGGATGACTCTTCCGACGAGTCTAGCTCTTCAGTGACACTCTCGTCCATCGGCGCATAACTGGGCACCAAGTCTTCTGGAGTGAGGTTATACATGGCTTCCTGGCTGGGCCCCGACATCGTCGAGCTCGGGGATCGTGGCCGTTGAGAAGGATCCACTGAATGCCAGGGCGTTGTATCATGACGGTTGTTTCGATTGGCATCATATCGTGCCATCATCAACTCGTGTACAAACCTCGACTTTTCCGCAGGCGTGCCTGGCCCGTCCCAAATGGCCCGGATTTGCCGTCGGAGAGGTCCCATCCCATCATCTTCTGGTAGCGCCCCGGATCCATCTCTTCGACGGGAGATGGTGTTAGTATATTCTTCTCGTACCATGTCCGTCAAATTACTCCTCGCAGACTCTGTGGGGGCAGCGGCGACCGGATCCGAGACCGCATGAGGTCTCGTATTGTCTTCATGGACTCGTGACCGGTACGACAATTCTTGAGCGGGATTTAATGAAGTCTCACTGCTGGTGCGCTGGTCTTCGAGCAAGACCGGTCGCACTGATTGCGCGGGTTCTGTTTCGAGTGGGGGAAACACGCTACTGGAATCTTCATCCCCGCTTGCTGGATGTGAGGCTTCGTGGGTTGAGTCATCCATAGCCTCGAGGGTAGGAGACGGATATTGATCGAGACTGTTCAATTGGTTCGCCCATAGCTGAATGGTCCGCGTAATGGACTGCACGGTCGTCTCTTCATTGTCCCCCTCCGTTTCCTCCAACGAAGGAGGAGGCGATGTGCTCCATAGCCGGGAGGGATGCCAACGGGGGAGGTCTGGGACGGTTGTAGGCGGGAAATTAGGCGACTCGTCCGCGCTGTTGCTGAGTCGGGAGAATCGCCGTGCTTGGCGCAGGACAGGTTCGACGATGAACGAAGGGAGGTATTCACTCATTGAACAGGTAGGGTATGCATGCTAAGCGTCGGTTGGGTGCGCCGTGTGTCCGCTGTGAGTGTTATCGGTCTGTCGCGTGAGCATGTGCCAGCAAAGGACTCGGAGAGTATGTAATCAAGCGAGCAAGATCCCTGCTGAAAGCAAACATGTGGAAAGGAGAGAGAGTCGAGCGAGTCTGACGTCGTGGCAAACTTAACAAGTGAGCGGAAGCAGACCAGCTCGTGGCCGGCGCAGGTGGGTTCGGTTCCCGCACGCAAAGTCGTCTGACATGTGATATATCGAGTTCTTAAGGATAGAGTCACGTGCTAAGATTACTCAGCGAGGCTGGCATCAACAGGGTATACCACAGCCGGGAAGAGGTCAACCCAAATGCCCAACAATATCATCGTTGTAAAGTGATCATGTCTCTATTGCATCTCAACGTTAAGAACAGCATCGACTGAAGAGCAGAGTGCCACTAAAGGAATTTATATTCGACCACGAAGCGCACATAATGTCCGCATACACCGCGCCAGGTCAGTTGACATGCTGACTTGCGCAGGCGGCTCTCGACATCATAATTAGAGGAAAACAATGGGTAATTGAGAGTGTAACCAATATTCATCACATGATCAGGTAGCATAGAGCAACTAACATGGATGAACGCCCGCTAAATCCTGCAACACCCGAAACACTTCGAGTTTAGTCCATTAGATGGCCGTTGCCGGGCGTCAATTGTTGTGGCAACAACCAGAATCCGGCAACCTCACTATATCCTCAATATAGCTCCCACAGCCGCATATCAAGTAGAAGGAAACAAAAATGAACTTCAACTGGAAAAACAAAAACTTTTCCACAAACCCCTTTGATGATATGGGGGTTGTGGTAAGTGAAACCCGGGTTCGCAGGGGTTTTCCGTTTGATGATCGCTGGTTGGTGTCAACCCGGGTTCGCAGGGTTAGAATTAGTAGTAGAGGGTTGTCGTTAGTCCGGGTTCGCTGGACTGGGATCGTGGTTGCAAGTTGACACAATAAGTCGGATGGATCGAACCGTGACTCGAACTGGTGAACCGTTTCGCCTAGAAGCTCGCCGCCTTCCACTTAGGTGAGTGCCCTGTCGTGACCGCTGGGCTAAGTGGTTTGACCTGAACTCACATTCTAGGGGTCTTTGCGTTGGGGACATAATTTGGAGACTTCGTTAATAAGCTTTGATTTTTGGAAAGCTCATGTGACATTCAGTTTGGTATCCCAGGGAACGAAAGTCTCCCCCCCCTGGTTCTTCACTGCCATTGGGATACGTGTTCGAGTCACGGTACTCCCGATCAATCACTCATCCCATTGCAGCAACCGAGACCTCTCTTTGCGTGCACTCCTTTCAATATCAGTGCCATCCCCACCTCCACGCTGCTCAAGGGCTCAGGCGTAAGAACTCATCCCATGGCGGTCCCCCAGCACTTGGTTCCATGAAGTGCTTAATGCTGAAGTTCAGCTTGATCTTCTTTCAAGGCCTCTTCTAACGACCGCAGAGTCTCTTCGATCTCCGATGGTTCTGTAATGGACCAGACACCACCGCCCCTGGCCGATGACCGACCGACTTCCTTGGACACCAGGTTGCGGCCGACCTTCCCAGGACCCACGCCGAGATATCGACGTGTTCCAGCCTGTCGATCCAAGTACTTGATTGAATCCCACCAGAGGACAGTGTCGATAGCCTGCCGGGCGAGATTATTGATCAGATCTTCCTTGGAACTGAACGGACGCGCGGTTACATTGCTGATGCAGGGCACACGGCCAGGAAAGATGACCTTATCCGGATCGAGCGCTTTCTTCATGAACTCATATGCCGGCATCATGATGGGACTGTGAAAAGCCGACCGCGACTTCAGCTCCACTGCTCTGGGATCATGTCCGCCAAACTCGCGAATGTGGACCAACAGATTGCGAATGCGCTGGAAGCTGCCGCTGAGGACAATCTGATTCTTGGAATTGGCATTGGCAATGGCGACCTGTTGGATCGCCGGCAATGCCGCCGAATCGTCTTTGGCACCTTCAGCGCCTTGACTGAGGAATTCTTTGACCGCGGCAATCAATGACTCCAATTGCTCCGGCTCACACACCAGCGCCACCATCCCAAAGTCTTCCCCGGACTCTTCTTTGGCTTTTCGCGTGCATTCTCCCATCACCTCGCCGCGTTTGCGCACCAAGTCAAGAGCATATGCATATTCCAGATTTCCAGCAGCCACGAGGGCAGCATATTCTCCCAAGCTGTGGCCTAGCGTGACATTGATCACCTCTTCCGTCTTGAACCCAAATTCCTGCTCGAGCACCTTCAGGATCATGACGGATACTGCCATGATCGCCGGTTGGGCATTCTCCGTCTTGTCCAGCATATATATCGGTCCCTCGTCGATCAGCGTCGAGAGTTTGCAATGCACAATATCATCCATCTCCTCTAAGAACGGTTTACATATTCTAGGGAACGCCTCCACCCATGACCGCGTCATGCCTTTTCTTTGTACTCCATGGCCGGGGAAGAAGAGGGCGGTCCGCAGAGGCGTCTCCGATACATTTGCATAGGTCCGAACGGGTCGACGCAGGCATTGTCTCAGCCCGGAGAGGGCCGCTCGCCGGGATCTGTACATCATGGGCGGTTGATTTAGGATGGAGGAGGAGGTCGTGCTAGAGCATCGTGTGCCCACATTGACGTGGAAGAGGATGAGCAGGGCCCTGTATCAACGAGTGGAAGTGATCTTCCTTGACTTGGGGGCCAACTGCGAGATTCTGTAAAAACCACAGAGACTCAAGACCGCGAAGACGTTGGCTGGATTCCACCAGCCCGAGAACCGGGGCATCGGGGAAAGCATTGCGGAGCAGCTCTCGGGTCGGGGTTACTCCGAGGTCACGTGTAGCTATCATTCCTGATTTCTTATGTCAAACTCTACTCACACCTACAGCGACTGATCATTATTGCACCCAGGGTGCTGACCGTCAAAGCTCAATCGTACTGGTACAGTTGTGGGAGATCCCATGGTTCGGGAAATCGTGACAAAAATGTTCGTATTTATGTGACATATACCACCATGTTATTGAGTGGGTTCGTGTTCGTTACATCTGATCCACCAGGCTCGTTACAATTCCAGTCCCCCTTCGTTCATAAACACCAACTCATGGCCCTTCCCCTCAGAATCATAGCCACTGATATCAGACCGGGCATAGCGGGGACGTGGAGCACCCTCAGGGATATCACCCGAGTGAACCTCGATCTCTGTCTTTGCAGTGATGACCCCTTGAGGTTGGTCTGCGAGATGATGTTCCTCCGAGTCTCTACCTCGAAGCGAACGAGTTGTCGTGCGACTGAAGAAGTCTCTCCTATCGTGTTTTGCCGACTGTCCATCACTGATGGGTCCTGAGATTGTCGTGGTGGTGCCCCAGAATCCTTCTCTGGAATAATTCCAACCGAATGTGTCCAAGCCCATATCATGAGGAGCTGGCGCATGTGGGCTGAAGATCAAGACTCTTCTCGTACAGGCATACAGGAGCACATCAAGCCAGCCGCAGCTTGTAATGGCCGCTCCCGCCAGGCAGTACCACCAGTACGGCACTGAACTCCCCGTCATCGATGCCATGCGGCCACCTGCAAGTGGTAATGTGCAAATCACATAGACCACTGGATAGATGATCATATAGCGCGCTGCGCGCGTCAATGGCACTTGATTGCTGCCTTGACCAGCAGGTGCCGCCACGGACTCGCGCCGTACGTGTGTGTGGATGGAGAGGAAGATGGAGGCATATATGACAACAGTTCCAAACATGCAAACAAAAATCCAGAAATAATGTAGCCACAATCGGAGGCTCTCATGTTTATGGTTGATCCAGCACTGTCCACGAGTTAGCTAACATCCTTCCACTCAGCGCGAAATTTCACTTACCCATGCACCAGCCCTCACGTACAGATGTGGGTCTATGCCGACACCGATGATGGCCATTGCATAGACAAAAATCCAGGCGGAGACTATGCCCGCTGCAAACTTCTTGTTGGAGACCCGGCGGCCTTTGACCACGGCGAAAAAAGTGTGGATGGCGATTGCTAGGATGAAAACTCCAGAGGCCAAATCGCCGGTGGAAATAAACCAGCCATTGGCCCAGCAGGTTTTCGTTCCGACCTCAATCTTGTCGGTCGCGAGGTAGCGCGCGGTCAGTGCAAAAGCCACTGCTTGCTGAAGATCGGCCAAGACAAGGTTGTATATCAGAAGGAAGAATTGGTTGGCGCCATCTCGAAGCTGGCCTTTTAGATACCACGAACAGAGGCGGTAAGTCAGGTAGATGAACAGACTGAAGGTGGCGACCAGTGAGAGGATGCCGAAAAAGGCGACAGCTATGAGTCCATGTCGCAAAATGGTTGGTAAAGGAAACAGTGAGTCGCTCTGTGAAGTATACGACTGGGAGGCCATGATGGCCCAGGGAAGCTGGAAAACCTTCACATCGAACTCCCACAAGGAAAAAAGGTGGAAAATGCTGTATACTAGTATGCAGTCCTTTTGCCAACCCACAAACCCTGGAGATCTCTAACAGTACCTTATGTCATTTACATCAATATCGAACCGTTTGGGGCTGGAACGGCGGTGGCCAGAGCGCCATGGCCGTTACCAAAGTCCAATGGTTGTGCGACCGAACAGGAAAGGCTGACGCTCGAGCACCCACCGACCTAGGTGTGGTTATCAGTAGTGCAAAGATCAGTCGTAGTGTCCGTGCGCGAAGTGACACAGGTACACAGCTAACCTTAGTTTTTCTGATCGCTTCGTTTCAAGAACCGTATTTCTTTTCGGGCCAGAGCAACTTGGAGTCGTCCCACCAATCATTGACTGCAGCTTACCTCTTGTCATCGCGTGGGAATTTGCTTTGTGGCCATCGATACGCTCGGATAGCTTCGCTCGTTAGCCCACTGCCCGCTAGTGCTGTGTGTTCGTGATGGGTTCAAGTTTGCGGTGCGCCAATGGCCACTACCCCAGCTTTCAACCAGCGCCCCCCCTTTTCCCACTTCTCGCTACTCCCAAGCGAGAGACCGGCGAAATCGAGCGCGGGAATCACACATGTATGAGAGCTAACAGCACCAGAGGGATGAGGCGGGTTGGGTCGAAATAATGGTGCATATGTGTACACTGCTGGTAGGAATCCGAATTGCAGCCGTAGCGTCCGGCGGGCCAGCTGTCTGATGCGTCTTGCTGTCCTTCGTTCAGCCCACAGAGCAGATAGGAAAAGCACCTGTACAATGTTGTGCAACCGGGAATCTTTGTGGCCTGGATAGGCCACAAAGACGTAAAACATGCGCCAAGTTCCTCGTGGTCTTTTTACGTCAAACTTCTAGGCCTCTTCCGGGATTTTCAATCCAAGGTACCTGAATTTCTTATTACTGTGCCTAATCGGCTTCAGCCGCGCGCCACGTTAGACCGGGGTTGGTGTCAGGAGAGCTGGTACAAAGTTCATGAGGCTCTTTGTGCTCGTCTTTGTGCTCGAGTTCGTCCGCCAGGAACGCCACAGTTGCAGAGCTGCCTATCGCCGCCAGCCAGATCTTCTCTTTTACAGCTCGGAATCCCTTCCATATGACCGCATGAGAAACGGTTAGAGCAGCTTCAGAGGCGTTGTGTGGAAGGCTGAGAAACCGAGCCCCCTGTAGTAGTAGGCTCAGCATGCTAACAGTCGTTTTCCCGCGGTTCCCCGTCTTAGATGCAGACGAAGGCGCCCCAACCCTGGAGCCTACCTTGTGTGACGAGAAAAGTCTGCCCAGAAACGATGGAGGGGACTGCTTTGTCTCCCTAGAAGCGAGGTTGTCATGTCAGTAGCGTCTGCAGATTGTCCGTATCAGTTATGGCATGGCTGCATTCACTATTTGTTTAGGAAACGTGGGAGAGTACTACTAGCAAGCATGGTTGTCCTGTTGAAGCCAAGCAAGCCGAACACAGATAGTAAACACCCTCCAATCCCCATATCTAACCTGAACATCTGGAGCTCTTGGCTAGGGCTCTTCCAAGCCCCTTTAAAGGAGCAGAAGCGAACTTCTATCACACCAATTTTCATGCGGTTGTGGTAGGGAGTTGTGCTAGAGTCTCACCTGTCAACTGAGATGTACCGAACAGCCCTCTTCAAGTTGAGCACCATGATGTAGAAGAAAGAGAACCATACTGTCTAAAAGTAGTATTAGACGAACGTAAGAACACTGTGAAGAAGTGACCGTGAAAAGACTATGCCGTTTTACTGATCCCAATGCATGGTCTGGCGTTCCCACAATCCAGCACGGTCAGACCTTTTGTGACATCCTGAATGTAGTTTGATCGCCTCACTATGAATGAAGCGCCGGAGGTCAGGGACTAAAGGCATACGGGAAGGTAGTAGTGCGACCTGCGAGAACTTGAAGGCATCTATTTAATCAAGTCAGCCACGGCAAGAAAACGCATAAGGTTGATTCGGAAGAGAGAAGAGAGTTTAGAGAAGATCAGATCAAGTGTAGATTGAGAAATTCCACATCAAGGCCTGTGATGGTCTTTCGGCATTGCAGAATTCACGTGTTGCTCATCATGTGGGATGTGTAGGCGGGAAAAGCATAGGTACTGACCTCGACGATGTTGGTGTCATTTCTGACGAGAAGATAGCTCAACAATATGCATGGCTGCTCGACCACTGAATGGTCTGACATACCTAGGTAGGTACTCTAGCAAGCACATTGTTATCCGAGTGTGAGGATGAAAATGAATATGGAAGAGTGCGCAGCTGTGGGTGATGGAAAAAGAATGCGGGTTTGAATTGGTGTGCAATGCCACTGCAGGCCGATCCGGTTGCTGTGCCACCCAAGAAATCCACAAAGCGGCGGCCCGAAGCCAAACCATCGACACCTGCAAGTTTGCAATCGTACATTCTACTGGCGCAGCCTCACCATGTGTGTAGGTCCATTGTACCAGTTCAAGTTCTTTAGATAACAGTGATCGCGCAAGGCTTTTGCTCGAGAGGAGCGACCTGCAACGAGCTTCGAGTCAGTGTACACACACATCCATTATTGTCGTCATCCCGCCGGTTCATGCGGCCCCGGTGAACGGACGCCCTCCCGCCCCGTGCGAATATTGGACATCGTCACGCATCTCTTTCTCTTTGGCGATGCGCTTCACTGCGCTCCCCTTCCTGCTCGGCCTCCCTCATATAGTGCGGGCACGCTCGAACGACTGTTCCCCTTACTACGATCCTCTCTTCGCCGTCTCCGATAATGCGCTTCTCGTCAAGCGCCAGAGCTGCAGCTCGGGGCTGAGCTCCTGCTCAAATCTCGGTGTCGATTCGGTCTGCTGTCCGTCAGGAACAAATTGCGCCCTGGATGAGGCTGGGCATGTCGCATGCTGTCCGTCCAATGCAGTGTGCACCGGAACAATAGCTGGGACGATCACAGGCTCGGCGACAGGCTCATCATCCGCAGCAGCGACAGGAACGTCGACTAGCAATGGAGGGATTGTGCTTGGAGGAACAACAAGCTCGAGTACCGCCAGCTCTGCAGGCATCACTTCAATGACGACTGGAGCGTCTGGTGGTGGCTCCACGGTTCCAAACAACTTCTATCCGTTCATCTATATCCCGACATCCTACGCCAATGCAGATCTTTGTACCAGCGCCTACTCGAGTTGCCAGTCTGCATCGACGTCTTGCTTCGTCTCTCTCGCCGGAGTAAATGGGGTCACCGTTTCCGGAATAGGAGGAGGAGGGATCACGGTGCAAGGCGCAACAGGCACGGTCATGAGCTCCGCCAGCAGCATATGCAACTCTCTGAGTTCTGTGGGATGCTACAATCTACAACAAAGCCAGTGCAGTGTTTTTGGGAGCGGCTCTGGAGGCACCGCAACCTCCGCCGCCACTGCGACGACAGGATTTGTCCAGGTTGGGAATGAAGGGCCACGACACACCGCATGTCCTGGAATGCTTTACGCGGCCGGTGCCGGAGCCATGTTTGGCGTTATGTACAGGATGATGTGATCGTATCTGGACAGCCACCGCGTTGCTGAGCGTTACCTGTATAGCGTAATGGATGTCATTTCCGGATATTCTAGTGGACATATGACGATAGTACCATGTACAGCCTTGTTTGTTGCGCATTTTAAACGCTCAATGATATACTGTGTAGACGGATTCGGTGCTGGAAGAACCAACATCAACCCACTGACAGTGCCAGTGGCTCCAGGAGACATCGGAAGCCCAGGCGCCGCGGAAGCCGATGCTCCGTATCCGAAAGGCGGATCTTGGCCCATTTTTCTCTATCGACTTCTTTCAGCCCTGTCCTCGATATTCGGTTAGTGCCATGAGAAGAAACCGTCCAAGCGGATGCTCTGCGCAACCAGCTGCATTTCTCGTGATGTGTAACTTGTCTAGTGGCTTGTCATCAGCAGTGCCTTCTGGCCCGGATACGAGCGCTGACTCGGTCGACCGACATTTTCTTCAATTAGATCTGTCACCTCGCGAGGACTTCCAGAAGCGGTTTCGGGTGTCCTAACCTCCTCATTATTGGTGCTCGCGATGCCTCGAAAAAGACCACGCAAGCGAGAATATCAGCCCTGGCCTATGCTTGAACCTGAGCTGAATGCGAAAACAATACCACCGTAGTTTGCCAGCAGCCGTGCGTCAATGTCTCCACAAACTTCACAGCCTTCCAACTCAGGGAGTGGCATGATGCCCACTGGCACGGTTCTTGGACGTTGATCTTGTGGTATAAATGCGGTGCCATGTCCCAAAGTCCATCGTCCGGCTTCAGTGCGATCTAACGTGTCAGGTTCCTGCTTTATTCAATTACTTGACAATCATCCAATTCTTTGTGCTAACATGAAAGTGATCATCATTGGCGGCGGGCTCGGCGGGCCCGTCCTGGCTTTAGCTCTGCAGCAGCACAACATATCCTCCAAGATATTTGAGCTGCGCGACGAACATGCCCCGGACGGCGGCAGCATTGCTTTGGCTCCAAATGCGCTTCGTGTGTTGGACCGGGTTGGGGTGTATGACCGGATTTCAAAACAAGGCTACAATTTTGAGGAGTTCCACCTCCTGTCATCCCGGAATCTGAGCCGCATCGGAACCTTTCTAATGGGCAGTCAACATAAATATGGCTATAAGGCTCTTCGAATTTTCCGGGGTATTGTGAGGCATACACTTTTGGAATTGCTTCGAGAAAGAGGGATCGAACTGCGCTATAATTCGAAACTAGTCGATGTCCAAGAAACGGAGCGCTCCACGGTCATCGCGACTTTTGCTGATGGGCATACTGAGGAAGCAGACTTTCTCGTCGGTGCCGACGGTATTCACTCTCGTGGGAGGACGCACCTCCATCCACAAGCCGTTCCCAGGTTCAGCGGCCAGATGGGAATCGGTGGGGAGATTACCAGGTCGAAGTTACCGAATTCTGGCAAAGACGTGCACATGCCTTGTCTGATCCTAGGCAAGGGTAACTCGTTCCTGTTTCTACCATCTTCGCCCGATGGTGAAGTAGTCAGTTGTTCTGCCTCGGTGGAGGCCGAGGACCGATCACGGGAGGAATGGACTCGACTTGGAAACGACAAGCAGAGGCTTTATGAGGAGCTGCAGGTACTGCACGAGAAGGAGGGCTGGCCAGAAATTGTCCATGTTGCTTCGAAAGAGCTCGACAAGAAGTCGCTCTCCCTTTGGCCGTACGTTGAATGTGTTACGATCAACAGCTGCTCTTGTACTGACGCGTTCCGACAGATTCTACAAACTACCGGACCTTAACTCGTGGACTAGCCCATCGGGCAGGGTCATTATCATAGGGGATGCGGCGCACGCCATGCCTCCCACTGGTGGACAAGGAGCCGCGATGGCTTTTGAGGATGGCGTCACTCTGGGTGATGCACTCGCTTTAGTCGATAGCAACGGAGTCGCGCCCGCCCCTACTCTCCGACGCTGGCAGACAGCCAGACGGGAGCGTATCAAGAAGGTCCTTGAGTTTACCACCACCGGAGGCGATGTCAGGAAGGCATCATCCAGCACGTACGTACAGATCGTCAAGGAGTGGCTCATGTGGGCCTATCTCTCCTGGTTCGACAACGATCTCGGCACGACTTACATCTATGGCTATGACACAAAGACCGCTATGGCCTCGGCCGGAGCGTGAGGCTGGACTTGTTTTGCAACGAGAAACATCTGATATCTGGCGTCGGGCGCTTCGGACCACAGGACGGGGTGGGCCATGCTTGGACATGGATGCGAATGTCCGCTGTACAGATACTTTCATCTCTTCATATTTGCCGTCTATGCGGATGTATATGAAACGGCAAGTGGTGTACGCTTGTCTTGCCCATACTACGGAGAGTTGTATTGTCCGACAAGATCCTGGAAGCGACATCCCTCCAGCGAACACAGCATCATACCTAGATACCTACCTTGGGTAGGTAGAGGCGTCGGCTTGACACCACGAACACCCGCTCAAGGATGCATGCGGCTTTATTAACCTTACAGGTCTTTGCTGTGTTGAGCTGCATTGCTTCCCTTTGTATTGTACTCTATCTATCGGCGCAGCAAATCAGGCATACGGAAAGTGAGACATGACAGGGGACAAGGGCGGCAAGCGAAGCATAGCATCGGGCTGGATACGTCCTGATCACATCCAGTCACAGTTCCCGCAAAGCTTGTCTGCCAGTGCTCCTACAGTCGACCGCGCACACTAAATAACGAGGTATGTTGCGAACGATCCAGATAGTTGCTGACGTCCCAGCTATTGCTGTACTCCTGGGAAAGTGTGATCAATGGCTAGCTCTCATTTACGACTTTATCTCTCTGCTTACCTTCGCTGAGTTAATAACCCAAAAGCTCATAAAACCACAAGCCGGGCTTGCAGAACCCGTCTCGACTCGCAGGTCTGAACTGCGGACGACAGGGACTTTGAACCCCGCTGGTTGTCTTCTCGGGAGCATCGTGGTTGGAATCCATGACATCAAGATATGCGGAAGAGGAGACCTCAGACTGGGATGATTTGCCCAGCTTGACCTGGCAATTCTCGCCCTTCCCCGTGGAGAATATGTTCCCTCAGCCTCCTTCAGACTGCGGAGCGGGCCCTGGATAGCAGCAGCGGGGAGTCAAAAAAGCTTCTCTTCTCCTCATGGCGGGACTTGATATCAGATTTGTGTCCCGTCTCTGCAGGTCCTCCCGGTGGGGGTGTGTACACGTCTGGTCCATCAGTGGACACATTCATGTTCCGACTGCTCCAGATGCAGCCCTGGGTACTATCTCAATCTCAGATCCCTGATCCTCATGGTTACACCAAAGCCTATCGTGCAGAAGTACGAAGCCGATGTCTCCCAACCACCCACGCACGCGCGCTGAGTACATGTCTTCGGACGAAAGAATGCGGCCAGTTGAAGTGCTATGGATGATGCTTCCTTTGCAGGGCTTGCAGGAAGTCAGCTTTGCCCTGGTCAACACGGCAAGTGGTGGACGCTGTCGCACATTCTCGCTCACCCGCGGCACTTCTTTACTTGTGCCTTGCATGCATTCTCCCTTGACATGAGGGGAACTGCAGTGGATGATCCTTGCAAAGTCCTGGCATCTCATCAAGCCGCCGCCGCTGTTTGTTTTGCTTGCAGGTAAGCAGTGGAAGCTCTATAAAGAAAGCTCCCGTTCCTGGATGTTAGTCGTCCCTCACCACTGCGTCGCTCTACTCTCAGCCGTCGCTTCTTCGCCTGATATCTGAGATTCAACCTGATCCCACTCCTTACATCCAAATGAAGCCATTCTCTCTCCTGGCGCCTTTCGCTATCGTGGCGTCAGTCGCTTCGTCGGCATTGCCCAAACGCGACGGAAACTGCTACTCTGACTGCCTGTCACAGGGCCAGGCCGAGTCAATTGTCAATCAATACATTTCCATACTGACTCACACCAATGTCACGGCCGCCAATGCCACTGCGCAAGCACTCCTCGACGAGAACTATACCGAGATCAGCGACTCAATTTTGTCGCTTGAGGGTCTACCGGTAAGTCTGGGACTCCACAACCCACTATCAGCCGCGTGTGTGTTCTTTGCAGGACCTAACATTTTTTATAGCTTGGAAACGCGACCTTTGTCGGCAAACAGGAGTACATCAACGGTGTTCTGAGTGCCCAGGGAGTTGAGGGTGTTAATACTCTCGAGATCCTTGTTGCCGGCTGCACCAAGATTCTCTGGTATTGGCTCTTCACTGGTATCGGAACTGGGCAGTACGAAGTCAAAGGGTTTAACTTGTTCACCTTGAGCGACGCGGGCCAAATCGCCCAGGTGAACCTCGAGTTCAACAGCATCGCTTGGGGCCTTGACACGGGATATCAAGTTATTCCGCCTGCCGGAGGTGGCTCGCCGACTCGCAAATGAGGCTGAAAAGGCCCGACGAGTTTGTAGATCAGTTACAGGCTCAATCTTCAGGCTGGAAAGTAATCTGGTTGACTTAGATACAGTTGGCGATGAAGCCTATAGGCTCTAATGACGGAGTTGTTGGAGGTGGAACATGTTCGGGCAGCAATCATTGCATGTCTCGGCCATTTCTCAGTGAAATATGACGCTGCTCAAGTAAATGTTGAAGCGTAAAACGAGATAGGTGAATGAGGACGCCCTGAAGGCAGGTCGACTATGAAAGGTGGTAGAGCGGTGTGTTTCGACGGCAGACATGAAATCCCATGCTACAACTTCAAGTCAGGGTCTTCAGTTTAGGTGACACAACTGCGGACCAATGCAGGAATCCAGTCTCATAATCTCCCTAGAAAGTAGTTACGTCTACTGCAAGCAAATGAAAAGTGCCCCCTATGGCTGCAATAGATCCAATGATGGAGGATTCGCCAATGAGCGAGATCCGAGACAAAAAGTATCTCGCTGCGGTTGGTGCATGTTTTTTGTCGATTGAAATGTGACGACGACCTCTCCGCCGCGCAGATCGTTTCTAACCTTTGTAACAAAACAATATCACTCTCTCTCTCTCTCTCCACTGCCGTGAACCCACTCATGACCTAGGGTCGCTTTAGCAGGGTCTGCATAGCAGGCAGATCATGACAAAGAAAAAATCCGCACCCAAAGCGTCGCTACAGTCCACCGAGAAACCAGCTGAGGATACCGCGAGCTCAAGAGTCGCTACAAAGCCTCAACAGCTTTTGTCTGCGCAACAGTCCACATCGCAAGAACGACTAACGGAGGCATCTGCGTCCCCTACGTCCTTGTTGATATGCCGTAACAAGTACATTGGTCCATGACTCCCATCAATGCCCATCCCAGAGCACCAACATAAATGGGAAGTGGGTAGAGATTCTAACAGGCTGACCTGACCGTCCCTACAGACATTGGCGACACACGTCCTCATACCATGGCCCATGGCTGAATCTCCCACCCGAGGTCCTCGAGAGTCTAGCGTTCAGCAACTTCTGGTCCCCCCGTCCCAGACCGATTGATCCGGCGGTGTTTTTCGATCTGGTCAAAATCCGAAGACTGATCGACGATGCCACCAGTCTAGCCGTCCGCGCCGCCAATGGCACCACCTCAGCTGGGCTACATACGTCCTTGGGCGCGGCCAACGGGATCCTCAACGGAACGGATGCGGAAATCCTGGGGATCGGATCGGCAAGAGGAGGCGGAGGAGGACATCATGCGAAATTGAGTCGGGAACGACGACACCGCATGAGAGAACATGCGACGCAAAAGCTGTCGCATGCATACCAACTCGACGAGATTGCCGCCAGTGTGGCTACAATGCAGGCAGCGTCGGCGATTGACGATGTGGCCAAACACGTCTTGCAGCGCAATGGCGAAGACGCCGACGCCCAATATGTGCATTTCTTCCACGAGAAAGTGCCCTCGCTGGCCATGCCGCAGAACACGACTCTCGACCCTTTGAACGATGTCATCCGCCAGAAACCTACCGAGGCATCGCCCTATCGAACTCGAGCGGTCGCCCGGGTCTTCAAGGACGATTGTGAGGCTGCCGTACGGGATTGTACCGACGGCCTGGCCGTTTATAGGCTGTATCATCAGCAGTCGCAGCAGCAGGGACTTGTTGTCTTCGACGCCGATACGGTGCGTGATCGCGAACATCGTCTCGATGCCCGCGTGGCGGAGAGAGACCAGCCCAGCGGTCTGGAAGCTCAATTACTCTTTCATCGTGCAGGGGCATATCTTAGCCTGGCGTGCGACAATGTTCGGCGGGCGTTGGACCACAATGTCCGGCGGCAGGATGTGGAAACACAAACATTGGCTGCTGGTTCTTCTCTGTTAGAGGAAAAGCGAGCAGAGGCACGGAGATTCGTCCGGGCGTACACGAAGCGAGCTCTTCGAGACTACACAGCCTTCTTGTCCCATCTAGACTACACGCCCGGCCTGTCGGCAGAATACACAGATGCGTTCTTGGAGAGACTTAGTTCTACCACCTTTGCGAGGGGCGACGGGTCGCGAGGTGAACGGCTTCTCGACATTGACTCCCATGCCCGCTCTGGACTGACCGAAGCACTGGCCAAATACGAAGCCACCAAGGACCGTTATTCTGGGAAACCATTGCCTCCACCGCCACAACCAAAAGTTCATAAATTGAACGTCCTTTTTGCGGCCGTTCCGCCTGACGATGTACCTTCGTCTCACAGCGGGTCGCATCCACAACGAGATCCTGACCCGGACCACCCGGTCTTTTCGCTCCCAGATTTCACCGAGGCCGTCACATACCATCCGCTGTTGATGGATGTGTTACATTCTCTGTTGTTGTGCCACTGTCTGCTACAGACCTCGACCAAGGAACTTCTGCGGCATGCACACATGGTCTCCCGGATTGCGCGCATATGCGATGGCTACCCTGTCTTTCTGCAGGCACGGTCACCCGCCCGAGCAGATTGGGTCGAGGTTTTGCGTCGATCGCAGAACTGGCTCGGCTTAGATGACAGCTGGGACAGATTATGTTCGAGGCTGCCAATTGCCGTGTCGGAGTGCACGCGTCAGCCAAAGAATCGACAAGCCGGTTCGAATGGATTGGACGGCCACGAGCAGACAACGACGCCGGAGTCGTTGAGAGCCGGTGCCAGGATCAAGACACTTGGCGGTGATGGTGCATCTACAGGTTCTTCACCGCGGCTGGGTTCTCGAGATGCAGGAAGAGGGACTTCTCTCCGAACGGAACGCGCAGAAGCTATTGCTCGATGGGTCACGGAGGCACCACCACCTACTTCAGCCACTGGGGCGGGCCGTCAGAAGAAGAGATCTGGTGTCAAAGCAAGGCCGAAGAAGACAACGAGCACAGCATCGAGTTTGAGAGAGACTGGGCTGGAACAGAGTGTGGGTGACCTCAACGTGGTGGACTGACACGGAAAACATATTTGATATGTGGCCCCGGTTGCACTGCAAAAAGGGCAATCGTTGTACTACTAGTAGTATCCTTACAAAAAAACGAAGGGAAAGGTTACCAGCTCAATATGCAGTCTGAGAGAGCACAAGCCGTACTTGTGTGTCTTTATTTATTGACACGATATCGTTCATGTTCGAGTTGTGAACCATTACCCACAAAGTTCGGCGCAGCACAATGAACACAGACGCTGATATCGAAACATCCACAAACACCAACATGGAGATTCAACTTCATGTTTAATCAAACACCGAGGCCATATCCACATTTCTTAATCATAGAGGTATTTCACTGAGATACACCACGCGTTATTCTTATTTTTCATTTCTTTCTGTGCATCTCCCTTCGAGATAGACGGCCAAGCCAACGGCTCACAGGATACTCATACTCCCATAACATGACGCGAGTGTCTTTGACTTCAAGTTCCCACTGACACCCCATCCTCGGTTCCAGTAGTTCACACTTTACACTTCGACCTCAGCTACTATTGAATCACATAAACCTTCTGTCTTGTTCCATGCCTCCTCGTCCTCGTCCTCCACCACAAAATCTCAGCCTCAGCATAACCAACCCCCTAGTCCTCTACCGCGCACTCATAGCAACCAAGAAAATCAAGCCCGACCCGGCCCAACACCGCCTCGCACTCCAACTTCAGAAACTATATTTCCGTCTCAAGGACTACTCGCCGGAGATTGAGTACCGGTATCGGTTGGAGAAGATTGGACGACGGCATCGGGGACCTAATCCTACCACTACCAAAGCCACTACCGCCGACCCTGGTAATAACGATGGCGCCGAGCAGAGGGGACGATCTCAGTCTCCTACCACTGATCGGGGGATTCTGTCGTCCCTTTTACCATTTTCCAAAAGTCCATCCTCAACTCTCGCACTAATCCGCACAACACCCCTGCACAACTCCGCCCTATCAATCGACTCGCCTCAAGGAATGCTCTTATACGGCGAAGTTGGACGAGGTAAATCCATGCTTTTAGACCTTTTGTATACGTCGTTACCGTCGCGCAAGAAACGACGCTGGCACTTTAATACGTTCATGTTGGATCTGTTTCGGCGGATTGAGATGGCGAGACGGGAGAGAATTGAAGATGAGGAGTTTGCCGGATTCAGACAGAGCTTGTTTGGTGGAAGAAGTGGTGACCACAACGAACATGTCGTGCTCAGTCTGGCAAAGGAGACGATTTCCGAAAGTCCGATTCTGTTCCTGGATGAATTTCAAATGCCGGATCGCACGGCGTCGAAGCTGATCAATGGGTTTTTTACGGCGTTTTTCCATCTGGGTGGGGTGTTGGTTGCGAGTTCGAATCGCATGCCGGAGGAGTTGAGTAAGGCTGCGGGAATCGAGTTTGGTGGGAGACACCACAAAATGGGAGGCATGGGGTTTGGTGGTGGCTTTTGGGGACTCGGATGGGGACTCAGCCGAAGCAGCGAGGGTGAACGCGCGGCAAAGACGGATTTTGGGTTGTTTTTGGAAGTTCTGAAGGCGAGATGTGAGGTTTGGGAAATGGAGGGCGAGAAAGATTGGAGAAGAGAAGAAGATCAGGACAACTTGGAACTGGCCACCACAGATGCTATGGAAGACCATGAGATGCCGACAGTTGAAAAGCCTTTGCTGTCCACATCAACTTCAGCAGAGGGTGCCGTGGCCACACACGTTCCTCAAGAGTCAGCTGCGGATTCACCACCCCATTATCACATCAAGATCCCGTCGACCGAAGAACCGGAGTCATCATCAGCTTTGAGTCAATTCGAATCCGACATCCACGCCCTCAACCCATCAGGAACATGGCATCCCACCACCCTCACAGTCTACGCACGTCCACTCCGCCTCGAAACCACATACAACAAAATCCTCAAGGCGTCCTTTTCCGATCTGTGCGCCACATACCTCGGTCCAGCAGACTATGTGACGCTCTGCTCGACTTTCCATACGCTGATAATTACGGACGTGCCTGTATTGACGCTGGCGCAAAAGAACGAGGCGAGACGCTTCATTACGCTCCTCGATGCGCTTTATGAGAGTAAATGTCGATTGGTGATTGAGGCGGCCGCCCCGCCTGATAAGTTGTTTTTTCCGGAGACAAACAAAAAAACTCTAAGACGGACGGCGGCTGCTCCGGGGACACTTGGCGCTGGGCCTGGAGTTGGTGTCAGTACTGCCAGTGCTGACCGACATGGACACGATCGGGAGGGGCCGACTACTTCTTCTCCTTGGAGTTCCGATAACGACCACGGCTTTGATTCTTCTGATTTGGAATCTGATTCAATTACGTCTGAATCCTTCTCCGAAATATATCAGGACTCGATCGCCCCATTTCGACCGAATGTGTCTTCGTATACGGAGAGCAGCAGCAACAAGTACGAAGAAGGCGCCAGTGTTATGCCACCACCATCGTTTACTCCGTCCCTGAGAAATCCTACGCTTCGTTCCGTTCTCGCCGACGAAGACGCCGATTTCGGTCCGACATATGGAAATGGACGGGGCCATGGGATTTCGAATTCTTCTACAGCAAATTCCCGTTTCGGACAATCCCCAAGTGCAGATTTCAGACCAGATTTCACATCCACGTCCGCTCTGACCGGTGAAGACGAACGATTCGCGTATAAGAGGGCGAGAAGCCGGTTGTGGGAAATGTGCGGTCGACGATGGTGGGATGAGAGGTTGCCTGAAACCAGAACGAAAGCGGCAACGGCAGCGGAATCGGAAAAGTTCCAAAACCTGGATGATGACGATCAAGATGGCTATATGCGATGGTGGCGCCCCGTGGCTCGCCACGGACGGTTCTGGGAGCGATTCGACGATAACAACGATGAAAACAAGAGCAATGAGGCTGCTTACGGAGATGAAGAAGCTGATGCTCGGTCAGAGTCAACGACAAGAGGTATCTTTTCCTCCACCTCCACTTTTGAAGACAGCTATCCGCAGAGTAAAGGTAGCAGTGGAAGCGACCCATTTTCCACCTCGAGCTCCTCATCACCATACCGCAACAGAACCCAAGAATCTCCGCCCACATTCGCAGGGTATCACGCCTGGGGAATGATGAAATGGGGCAATAAGGCGGGCGACTGGGGAAAGGGCGTGGACGCAGACAGGATCAAGAAAAGGGGTATAAATAACGACAACTGGAACGATGAGAACAACTACAAGAACAGCAGCAGTCAATGAGCAATAACAATGACCCGCCACAGCGGAATGACTAAGGCATCATCATCATCATGGTGAACTATACCACCCACACAATTTTGCATCATGTATCGTGCAGTTGGGATTGATGGTGAGGATCTTCAAGACATAAATTCCGTAGTTAAGTACGATAAAAGAGGGTAAACTAGGTATGCAGAGCAGGGACTTTGGAAAATTGCCGCCAGTACGGCAATCGACACTGAGAATCCCATCCTTTGTCCATCTAAGACATGCGACTTTAGAAGTAGGCCTATCTCTCTGTCGAATTCGCAAGGCCTGTCAAGCGAGGTCTATCCCACTGCATCGCACTCACAACCATGCATAGGCCATGCCATCGCAACTGTAGTCTCGTCTCGAATCGCCTTACTTCATTCGATTTCATCTAATCTAGTAAGCCGTGCCATCTATCCTGTCTTTCCACTCTATTCATCATCCGCAACAGCAGGCGGCTCAGCCAAGTACCCCTTATCCTCAAGGTACTTGACGATAATCTTAACGGCATCCTCGACAGAAGTCTTATCCGAATGGATATGAATCTCCGGCTTCAGAGGTTCCTCATAGGGCGCACTGATTCCCGTAAACTCGGGGATTTTGCCCTCCCGAGCCTTCTTGTACAGACCCTTGGGGTCACGCTGCTCGGCGACCTCGACAGGGACATCGATCCAAACCTCAACGAAAGGACATCCCTTTTCGCCGCCGGGTCGTTCGGCCTCGTGCAGTTGACGCGCCAGGTCCCGGTCGGCTCGGTACGGGCTGATGAAGCTGGTGATGGCGATGGTGCACGAGTCGGCAAACAACTTGGCCACTTCGGCGATGCGGCGGATGTTTTCTTCGCGGTCCTTGGGAGAGAAGCCGAGGTCCTTGTTGAGCCCGAATCGGATGTTGTCCCCGTCTAGACGGTACGCGGCTTTGCTGTACGGTTTGCGCAGCAGTGCTTGTTCCAGCGCCACGGCGATGGTCGACTTGCCGCTTGCGGAGAGGCCCGTCAGCCAGATCGTGAAGCCGGTCTGTTTGCGAAGCCCGGCCCGGATTTCGGGCGTCAGGGGCGTGGGGTGGTAGTGGATGTTGCTGTTGGTATTATCAGAGATGTGTAAGTGGATTGAAGACATGGCACATAAGATAGCACTCGACATGCAGCAGCAGCAAGAGCAGTAGACAACAAGGGAAATTAGGCAAGGGAAATTAGGTCAGCAGTGTAGGTCTGGACGAGGTGCTGGCTGCTTATTATGCGAATCATCAACGTTTTGAGCAAAACAATCCCCAGGCCGTGCTGGACACAAAAAAAGAAGTTGACCCATTCTATGCCCTGTTGTGCTATGCTATGCTGTGCTATGCTGTGCTATGCTGGGCAAACCCAAGGCAAAGGGACGGACGTAACATACGTGGCCATGATTGGAAAAACTTTGGTCGAGAGAGACGCTTGTGTCTCTACCGGCGATATCTGGATTTGATGCCTTTCAAGTTGTCCAACCGATGTGCTGACCTGTGTATCGTATCGGCCGTGGATGTGATGATAAGCGACGCTCAATCCTGCGCCGTCGTCTCACCGAAATGTAAAAATGGAGTCAGCCTCTTCGTAGCCTCCTTTTTCCCGTCCACGATCTTTTTTGGCCGTGCCAAGTCTAATGGTCCGAGCTTTTCTGGGGACTTGGCCCCAAAATAAAGAGGCCGCGAGGCCACCAACTCAGACGACGCGTTCAACAATTGCGCCGCGCAATTCTGCTTCTCAATAGGCCTTGAATGCCTGATGATGCCATAGCTCGATGTTTTCTGAAGAAAGCCAGCACATCATTTTGTCTCGTCGTATCTGCGTGGCCTCTTCCATTGCAAGTCTGGCTGCCGTCCTCGACACATGTCATACATGTCATGGTTCGTTTGCATGCGCGGCCTGAACCAACGTCTTTCCCATGCCTCAAAGGACGTCCGGTTCTCAATGGAACGACCGTCCGCCGGCTCCATGCTTCTGCCCTCAACCTTGTCAGGCTCGATCAGCGCGCAACCAGGTGTGAACCCGGGGTTTCGTTCATGATCCCAGATTTGCTTTGCCCATTGCATTCTTTTCGATCCATCTGGCATTCTTGATCCATCATTTCCGGTCTCTGGATCGCGCATCTACTTCCAACGCCTCTCAAGCAAACATTGTGGCTACCATGTGGCCACCCCAGGGGAGGACGCAGATTCGGTTCGTGTCGATATTCGAGGCGGCCTGGACGGTTGCAGATTTAGTGTCAAGCTTGGTTTTCGATTTCGAAAGGAGTCTCCATGGAGATCCGACTTCTGGTGCTTGATCTTCCTGATTGACCTTCTCTCAGATCTTGCCTTGTCGTACTACCCGTGCAGTTGACCTTTTATTTGTTTGACCTCCACTGTAGAAACAACTGACGGCCGTCGTCGGCTAGGATGCGACCTAGGTAGGGGTCTTTCTGCAAATTCTGGTACGTGTTCCTTGAGAAGTCGGTGTGTTACTTGGGGTATCGCCTGCTTGCAGTCCCCGGGAAGACGACGGCATGATTAGCATTCAGACTGCGGGCAGCAGGGTTGTCAGCACCTCCAGTCTTCCAGACAAAGAAGATGACAGCAAAAGGTCGTTCCATGTAGGACGTGTACGACATGTTCCACCATCAATGGAGGAGAACTCCCCTCCATGATCTAGCAGATAAGTACCCCCTATGGGATTTCTTTGTTCAGCCTGATTGCTCTCAATCGTGCCTTGACCGTACATTCGCCAACCCACTCAACGTGACGGTTTCCGCGTGTTTGCTTTTTTTTCTGGCTTGGGGACTTGATCGATGCTTATGACCATAGGAAGTCAACCGACGACCACTGAACATTGTGATGCTCTTCAACAGTGTGATGATGATGGTTGTGGCCTTTGGCTAGCCAAGACTTGTCTGACTCCTGAGACAGTCCACGAGGGTCTGGAATCGATCGTCGCAGGGCAGGGGAAGAAGTTGCAGGCGAATAAACAAGAGGAGGAGGGAGACAAGGAAGACGACATTCCCCGGAGGAAGAATCGAATTCACTTCGACCTCAGACTGCGGCTTCGACTGCGACTGCGACTGCGCCAACGCCGGCGACTTGAACACAGGCGACTCGGACAATTGGAACTTGAACACCAGCAACAACAGCAACAGCAACTTGGACATCGATCAATGGGCAAAGCGCACGGGAAGGCTCCCAGACTTCACTTCACCCTCTCTCCTACATTCACATTCGTTTCACCGCGCGTTTGCTGTAGGTTTGGCATGAATAGAAAAGTCCACTTTACTGTTTGCATCAGTTTGGGTTTTCCTTACCGTGTAATGTCCCTTCACATCACCATTTCCACTGCCATCAGAGCCGTCGACGACAACCAGGTCTGCTCTACTCTACCTCTCCACCACAAGGGACGACGCTTTTCTCATCGCTCCGTTGCCTTCCGTCCCTCTGCTTCCGTTCCGCCTTCACCTCTCCCTCTACACTCCATCCTCGCCTCTCTCCTGTCTCCTATCCAATCATGGCGGTTTGGGAAAAGGTCCTGAAAGTGGTCGGCGGTCGTGGTAAGCACAATACTCGCTTGGCGCAACGCGCGCAATCAGTCAATCTCAGCTAACACGACGGTCGAACAGCGCTGGCCGAGAAAAGCGAACAAAAGCGACTGGAGCGCGAGTATGAAGATGCCGCAGCAGCCCTCAAGCTCATCACGGTGGTGGCCAATGAGCCACGGATTGAATATCCTGTTAGCCGTAAAGATTGACCGCGTCCGATGTGATCGTTGGAAAACTGAATATCATTGCAGGTCCGTCCTCGATCTACAGCAACCCGATTCCCGAACGTCGCAAGCCTACCGAAAGAACCTTGCACCCTCCCAAGAAACCCGTCTACGAGCGATGCGCCTCGAGCCCTGTCATTCCAGTCTTCGCCAAACAACCGACTCTGGCGGGTCCACCCGACATTACGGCTCGTGACCTCAACTCGGAAGACCTGAAGAGGAACTACAGCTGCGACAATGTCTGGAACGTCAAAGACCAGCCTCTTCCTCCCCTGCCCCAGATGACGGGATTTGGAAGGTACCGAAGGGCGGTGAATGCATCTGTTGAGTGGCAGCTCGAGCATCTCCATCACAACCTCCATGATATGGGCGCGGTGATTGTGAACCACCTTGGAGATTGTCCTCCAGCTGGGTTGGACCCTGAAACCTGGCAGGGATACCGAGCTCGCCATTCACGTGCGAGCAGCACAGCGAGCTCTCGCAGTTCCAGTTCCGGACCTGCCGTAACGACTCCGGCCGTGGAATACTTGGACACGGCGACTGGTACCCGGGTCAGCCGTGGGTTCTTCCCATCCGCCACTTCGAGCGCCGCAAGCTCCCTTAAAGATGGGTCGGGCTACTACCGACGAGACTCGAATATGTCTAAGCCCAATTCGACGAGCCCAGCCAGTGACGGGGATACCAAATATAAGCGACGTCCCGTCAGCCGCGGGTCACCATATCGACACACGAGCACCACTTCAATGAGCCCTTTGACGGCTATCAGCGAAACACAGGAGGCTCATCACTATGTTCCTCGCAAGATCGAAAAGCCCTGTGAGTTTGACGAGGATGGCGACGCGGAGAATGCCGTGGCTTCGGATGACGATGACGAGTTTGATTGCGACTGGACCGACATGTTGGAGGTTGGTGGTGGTGCCAATACTAGCAATCTCACCAGGGGCCTTGAACGAATTTCGTCAGCACGGGCTATGGGCAATGCCAGACTGGCTTTGACCAGACAGCGTACCAATTCTTCAGAACGACCCAGATCACGAGCGGCAAAGCGAGCGGTACCTGACCGGTCCAAGACTATCAAAGCGGTAACACGTCCGGCACAGCGTCGTATTCTGTCGAGAAAACAGTCGGATACCGCACATGCCGTCCAGGCAGCAATTCTTCAGCAAACCAAAGGAGAGGAGACGTCGAAGCATGAAGCTGAAAATGGAAATGGAAATGGTCGTGGTCGGAGCACTGCGAGAGTGCCGGCCCAACCGGGAAAGCCATCCATCGCAGAGCCTTTGTCAAAAGCAGGAAACCAATCTGTTGCAGAGAAGAAGACTATTTTGGCTGTCAAGGACGGACAAACGACCTGTGACACTTTATCTCCAGCAAGTACATTGCAGCTGCCGGCCAGGGCAAACCGAGAAAGATCGAGCACCGTGCTAAGAATACAGCGCCAGGAACCTCAGGTGGCACACGAAGCCACGGAAAACAAAGCAAGATGAGGAACGAACCTTTGACAGGAGGCCTGAAGGCACACCAAGATCCCAGTGGCTCCTACGATGCCATGGTTGTGGACAGACCATTCGTCTCCACGTTGACGACATGCAACCACAACCGGAATCACGACGGGGTTTAGGACGCGCGCGGCATATCGGCAAAGAGCAGGGACCAGCGTCGACGACTACTTTTCACCATTCGGGCATGGACGAGAAATGAACTTGAAATATGGGACAATTTGCTCTTTCGGGTGTACATTGCGAATCAACAAAGCGGTGGTAATGGATTTTTCGGGGCGGAGGAGATAATGAGCAGACCACGCACACAATCCAACAAGGCATTGCACCACAACTCGGCCGCCCATAACCAACAAAGCATGCACACCATTCAGCAGAGGCATTCCTCTGTTGGATAGCTTGTGCTTGCTTGTAGGGGTTCAGGGGGCAGGTCATGCACTATTCTACGGAATGGAGATGGGCGACCGCTTTCCCTCTGCATACGAATTTCGGGGCAATCATGTGTATCATGGGCTTGCACAAACGAACCGCAATAGTGGTTCTTTTTTCTTTCGGGAGCAAGTCAACAGCAAGGACAATTGTACAGAGCTTGCAACAAACATCGTCTGCGCTTGACAGATCGAGTTCTGTCACTGCTCACAAGCGAAACGGACAGAAATCAGGTTCGGCCAGAAACAAACAACAGCACAATTGAAGGGCCTGACTCAGGCTTACTCGATGGGAGTACGGCGCTCAGATACCTAACAGGTACTGGTACTAGGTGGTTAGTTAGGACTGCCAGCCTTGCCATCATATGCAGTATGTTGCTGTTTTTGAGATATTTTCAATGCTTTTCAAACATGGCATCACTTCGATCCATCCACATCCATCTGGCTTGACTTGACTTGGTCTTTTGTTGCTTGATTTCTCTATGCTATCTATCTTATCTTCAATGTGTCTTTGTGAGTCCTCTCCTCTTCCATACTGCTGGCGCTCATTGCAAATGTACAATCAGATGAGGACGAGCTTCACATTGCTTCTACAATTGTAGCATAGGTACTGCCACAGTGATCGGCTGGGTACTCTCAGATCCTCAGATCCTTTTCCCCAGTCACCCAGTCACTTACCCTCGCGGAGACGCTGGCGCTTACTCACTCACTTCGACACTACGTAGCTTTCCCAAGCAAAAAGTCCACCACAAAGTCCGCCACCTCCTCCGGCTTTTCAACCATCGGCAAATGCCCCGCGTCCTGAATCACCTTGAACAGCGCTTTCGACTCATGGTTGCTCTCCGCCTCCGAACCCAACTGTCCCGCCAACGCCTCCATACTCTTGGGCAACACGCCATCTTTGGCCCCGACGAGAAACGCACCCTTTTTGACCCCCCAATCATCGTGTTTATTGTACTTTTTCACCAGGTCCATGTAATCGTACCCAAACAGAGCCGCGACACCACGTCGGAACTCGGGCAGTGAATTCGTCGCCACCATGTTTTTGACGCGTGCGATTTCAGAGACCAGGTCCGGGTCTGTGTCGGAGAATGAGGACTCGGCGAACCAGCGCCGGACGGTGAGTTCGGCGAGGGTGTCGCCTACGACTTGGGTCACGAGACTGTGAACTTGAGTTGTGCCGCTCTCGTTGCCCGCGTCTTGAGGGTGCTCACGCTCGGGCAAGCCCTCGCTCCCCCACGGCGCAATCAACGTCCCCCTTTTGCCCTCCTTTTCCGCCACAGCGACCCTCTCCTCCCAAGTCTGTTTATTCCCATTCGGAGACTTGCCCGACGTATCACAGGCAATAAACCGATCTACTCGCTCGGGATACTTGAGAGCCGTCGCCAGCGCCGTGACACCACCCATCGACACGCCCACGACGCCCGCAGCGCGGGGGATACGCAATGCATCCAGTAAACAAATGACATCTTTTGCAAGCAGGTCCACTGTCACGGGGATATTCTTGTCACCAGAAACTAAAGTCCTGCCGCGCGACAGGAACCGAAGGACGCGGAATTTGCGGTTCCGGATTTCAGGCCGTTGCCAGAAGGACTGTAGAAACCGGTCCCAGATGCCGTAGGTGACTAGGACGGAGTTGATGAGGACTAGAACTGGTGAGGTGTCAATGGCAGTGCCGTCGATATCGTGTTCCACTGAGAGGTTGATGTTGTTTCCTTCGAGACGGAAGGGTAGGATGGCGCCGTCGGGGGTGGTGATGTAGGATTCGATGGCTGAGACGGACAGGCCCTGTGGATGTGATTGCGCGGGAATCGTCTTGGTTAGTTTGTCTGGTGATGTCCAGGGTTGCACGATGGCGAGGTGGCGAGGGGCTGTGCCGAAGGTGTAGAATAGTTCGTAGGATCGTGTGATAGTGATACCAGATGGTTGTTGTTGCAGGATAGACGATATCTCGGAGTGAATGTCCTTGACTGTTGGGGACGGTGCAAACTCGTTGATCAAGACTAGTTCGATTTGACCGTCCTGTCTTGGCTCGAGGTAGGATGTCTTGAACCATGATGTCCGTCTCCAGCCGGGCAATTGGGCGATCTTGTCAAGGGCAGAAGTGGAGATGAGTTGAGAGATGGCTGTATCGGCTGAAACTAGTACTCGTGTCGTGGTCAGGACGTTTCCTTTGGCGTTGGCGTCGAAATGTTCCGGGGATTCGAGCTTGACGAAAGTTTGTTCGTTGACTTTCTCGCCGACAAAGTCGAGGAGGAGCCGGTCGACCCAGATCTGGGCCATGACGTCGATTTCGCGCTGGGATTTGCCTGGTGGTGCTCGGAGGTATTGGTATGGCGCGTCGTTGAATTGGGACATGTCGGAGACGTCGTAGATGGCTAGGTATTTTGGTTTGGATTGCGTGCCTTTGCCTTGGGAGGAGGAGGAGGAGTCAAGATCGGTGGCTCGGTAGCGGAAGCCGTTTTGGATAAAGGATGACAATCGGGTTCGGTTGGGTCCGTGTTCGTTGTTGTACCAGTCGTGGAAGAGGGCGGGCGATAAGGATGGTTTCGGTTGCATTGTCACAAAGAGGAGGCCGCGGGTTGGGCTGGTGGATGAGGATGTCGTCGCCATGGTGTCGGTGGGCTTTAACCTTGGGTTGAGCAGCTGACGATATCGATCGGCTCCGTGCCTCGATGCTGGAGTTCAATATAACGGATTTGATGTCTGGACAAAGAGAGCGATGCTGAGATGAATGGATTGAATCAATCAATCAATGATAGTTCTTTCGGGATATGGTTGAAGTATTACTGAGTCAGTAGGCCTGTACAGGTATGGTCGACAACTCCGATCTTGCGCCGGCGTGTCGTGCAGTACAGTTCAACGGGTGGAACAGCTTCTCTGGTGTTGTCTGCTCTTCAGTTCGAGGAATGGCCTTGCACTGTGAATTTTTGCTAAGAGTGAGGCTCGATCAGTTGATTCACGTCAAAGTTTCTGGTTTCTGGTATACCGTCGGAGAACAAAAGACACGGCATCGGCAACATCAACCGGGTAGAACCTGAGGTGCTCAAGATTAAAGGTCCCCAGACGCCATCTGCCGTGCCCAAGTGCCTAGGAGCTTTTTGGGGCTTTTGACTGTATCCCGTTGGTGGTTGCCGACGCCGACCAGAGCACAAAACCCCACTGGCACCGACAATGACGGGGCACTAATCACTAATAACCCCCCGAATACACTCCCCTATAGCATTTATCGTACAGGAGCTATACCTAAAATATGGGGCCGAGGGAGCCTGCCCTGGGGTAAGCAGGAAAAGACCTTATCCGCCGGGGGTTCGAGCGACACTGCAGATCGCTATACTCTGGCCAGCAGCCTAAGACTCGGCCAACGATACTATACTGTACATGGATGTCGACAAGACCACTCTATAGGATACCATTTTCTTCATCAGGCATTACAAGACTGAATCCACAGCATCAGCTAATCATACCAAATAGCATTCATTCCAAACCCCGGCTCCTTGATATCAAGATGGGCCACCCTGGACAAATATCCCTGGTGCCAACGATAGATCTCAACCCACCCGTCCTGGTCGTCGGTCAAGGCCAGCCACTCGTCTGTCCACGGACACGGGCTCACGGCATTAGAGTGGCCGCCGCTGTTGGGCGTCGGATTGATACACAGTTGGCGCTCGACTTGACCTTGGGGGCCCAGCTTGAATGCGCTGATGTACCCGGTGACACTGTGCGAGTTGGATCTGGCCGTGGCGAAGAGATACTCGCCGCTCTGGGAACAGAAGACCACGTCGGAGCGGTACATTTTCTTGAGATCTCGCACTCCTGGAGGCACAAGCGGGAAGACATTGTGGGTGAAGACGGGCAGATGGGTGTCCTCGTCAATCACGTAGACGGCCAGGCGGTTCCCGGCTTCCATCAGTACATATAGATAATGGCCGCTGGGGTGGATGTCGACCCATCGAGGATGATCTCCTATCGCGGGTGCGTCGACGCTGCCGACGAGAGTGAGTGTGCCGTCGTCGGCCTTGCGATGCATCCAGATCTTGTCCCCCCACATGTCGGCCGAGTAGAGGTACGTTTCACTAGGGTCGAACACCATGCCGTGGATGGCGGAGCCTTCGCTGTATTCGTAGTTCTGGATGTTCTCGGCAAGAGTTCCGTTCTCATCGACGGAGAAGACGTTGCCGTAGCCCGCATGTTCGTAGAACGGGTTGCCGTAGACGCAGTACGGTGGCTTTTTGGCTGCTAGAACAAAGATGGCTCGGGTCCTGGTGTCGTGGCTCTGGGCGCGAGCTGAGTTGAGTCGTGTCAGCCTCCGCATCAGCATCTGCAGCCTTCGTGTAGAAGTAGAGTTGAGCTGGGAGTCGACTCACGGTCATGGCTCATGGGATGCGAGACCTGGTGGGAGATGTCGTCGGGTGCCTTTACGGCGTGGCTGGACCATTTCTTCATGGAGGCGCCATAGATGTTTTTGCGTGCATGCTAAGCAGAATGCAACAAATTAATACCACAACAGAACACAACAGATTAATATCGTCAGAGACCGGTGATGGAAATATATTATGCAGCACTCACGTCAAAGGTCATCCATGAAATCGGCTCATCTTCAGGAATGCTGGTTTTCTTGACCAGTTTCAAGGTCCATGCCTCGTCGTCAAACTCGACGGTGAAGATTGCTCCCGGCGGTGTCCATGTGCCTATCATCAAATGATGCTTCATTTTCAATCCAGTTCAGTGATAGCATACCTAACATACAGACACACATGTATACGGCTGAATACTTTCACTTTGATACATGATGCCAGCCCTACCGTCTCCAAGCAGAGATCGATGGCTGAGGCCCACGCAATGCCGAAATGATTGCCGAAGACCAACCAGAAGCCCACTCGCCCGCTTTGCCCACAACACTTTTGACTGTTACTGGTAAATTCGGGGATGCAGCGGGTCACGAATCAATCCAGACGATGTGGGAGAGGACAATGACAGCTTGAACCCTTTTCCTATTAACTTCTGGCCCCGACAACCAGATCCGAGCCTCGATGCTTGATCCGATTGGAGTTGGCTCGTCTCTCATTGGTGGCACGGTTGACAGGCCGTTTGTGCTGCTTGCTCCGAAGTCAACTACCGGGCGGATGTGCTTGTGCTGCTCGCCACGCATCACCATGGCTGGTATTTCCCCAGAGCTGCCATAAGGTATATATATATCTATGAAGTCAGCTCGGAAGACCCTGTGGAGAGGAGAGCAGCAATCCGTCCTCCCGCGTCAAATTACAACTCTGTCTTGAGCATCTCATTTTTTCTGAGCATAAAACGCAACGACGACATTACTGATTACACAGTTTATATAACATAGCCACCTCTACAGCCTCCTTACAGCATCATGGCAGCCACCACCGAGGCTCAAGTCCAGGCCAACGGCACCACCAACGGTACCACCGACTTTAAAACCAATGGCGCAACCAACAGCACAACCAACGGAACGGACAAGATCCAAAATCACAAATATGACCCCAAATTCACCCAGAGTCTGATTGACGCCATGGGGCCCAACACGCCCGACCGAGCCCGGTTCGTCCTGGGCAACCTGATCCAACACCTGCACGACTTCATCCGCGAGACAGAATTGACGCCTGAGGAATGGATGCGAGGAGTCAAGTTCATCAACTCGATCGGCCAGATCAGCGACTCGAAGCGAAACGAAGGGCAACGGATCTGCGATGTCTTGGGGATCGAATCGCTGGTCGATGAGGTCGCCAACAAGATCATGCTGGACAGCGACGAGACGCCAACATCTTCAACCATCCTCGGGCCTTTCTGGAGCCCTCACGCGCCATTCCGTGAGCTCGGCGACAGCATCGTGCAGGACCCTTACCCTACCGGCCGTGTGACCTTGATGCACGGCGTGGTCAGCGACTGCAAGACCGGCAACCCCATTCCCAACGCTGTCGTGGACATCTGGCAGGCCTCGGCCAACGGCAAATACGACTTCCAGGACGACAACCAGTCGACCAACAACCTGCGCGGCAAGTTTCGCACAAACGAAAAGGGCGAGTACTGGTACTACTGCTATCATCCCACCGCCTATTCTTTGCCCACCGACGGTCCCGCCGGTGTTTTGTTGAGGCTGATGGACCGTCATCCCATGCGGCCCGCCCATATTCATCTCATGGTCAGTGCCGACGGCTACAGGTCGTTGACTACCCAGCTATACCCGCGTGACGACCCCTACGTCACCAGCGATTCGGTCTGTGCCGTCAAGGAGGACCTCTTGCTCGATTTTAAGCCCTCCAAGGATCCAAAGGCCGAGTTGGATCTCGAATATAATGTCACTCTGGCCCCGTTGAAGCCGGGCCAGAAGGCCGGTTGGGTCCATACTGTTTTCTAGCGAATGATTTTGTCTTTTTTTCCGGTTCTGACGATGAATTTGCATGGTTATGTAATGTTGGATCTGTGTTATGTCGTGCCTAGCGATACGTATCTCATGTTGCTGAATGGAAACGAATTGTTTCTTCGATCTTGTACCCACAAAAAGGGCGCCCGCCACGTGGTTGGTACCTGATTTCAAGTTGTCAGTATCGCCGGTCTCTGTAGAGCCATACTGGTGGTCTCTACACCATATACCTGGTTTATATGTAAAAGAATCGTGTTGGGCCCTCAGCTTGCGAAGCAGTTCAAATTCCGTAACCTGACAGGACACGTAAAAGTCCTCTGCTATCGAAACCAGCTCTGTGAGGCATATATACTCTTTGTCCATTCAACACCTTCCTTTCCCTCCTTCATCTTTCAGCAACATCCAGCATTTGCATCTTTCCCTCTTTTCTCAAATCAACCATCCCTCATCATCTCAAACTCCTCTATACTATATACTATATATCCTTCAATCAATCACAATGCGTCTCCCCTACGCCCCCTCAACACCACCACCCAACGCACCCCCCTCCGTCAGCGACATCTACACCCGCATCGCTGCCCGCCGCCATCCCCGGCCCCTAATCCCCCTCGACATGACACTCCTACACTCACCACCCGTGGCCAGCGGATACAACGCGTTCGTGGGCGCTCTTCGCACCGACACAATCGTCCCACAGTCGATTCTCGAGCTGGCCATTTCCCGCGTCGCCATCCTCACCGACGCCGTGTACGAATGGAACATCCACGCCTCTTTGGCATTAAAGGCTGGCTTGGACCCGATTGTGCTTGCCGCTGCAAAGGACACGCCTAAAGGAGAGTTTGGTACCGTCCGTGAGGGATCTCAAGCAGCGTCGGAATTGAGTGACTTGCACAAAGCTGTGCTAAATTACACCGATCAAGTCACGCTGAATGTCAAGGTTGACGATGTGGTGTTTGAGAATTTGACCAAACATTTCGGCCACAGAGAGGTCGTCGAATTGACCACTGTTGTTGCTGGTTATAATGCCGTCAGTAGGATTTTGGTGCCCTTGGATGTGGGGGAGAATAATGATAAGAAGATGAAGACGGTTCAGGAGTTGGTTGATGAGTTGAGGGGTTGACAACGGTGGCTATAAAAATGCATAGCTGTATTTCCTAGAGGTATACACAATGTATATATTCTTTGTGGATTGGTCCGCGAGGCTGCCGTTCTCCCTCAGCCTGATCGATCAATATCACCCTTGCGCCCGCCACTATCCTCTCCCTATGTTGTGTACGTACCTGATGATCTGCTGAGTACAGTCCAAGCTCCCACCGGCATCACTCGATCACGATGAAACTGATAATCGTCCATCCTCACGATACTGTACCATGCTAAAGCTATTCATGCTACCTCGATCGCTCGCTACTCCATAGCTCCCAATCACCATAACACCACCACTGCTGCATCGCGAACCTAATGCGACTGTTTAATTCTTTACAGACCTCTTCATGATCAACAAGATGGCTTTCTATCGCCACTGAATAAGCACCATCCGCAGCGCATGGCACCGCGCTTTCACCAAGCCTAATCATAATTACTCCTCTCTTCAGCAGCTCGAAACACATGCGCACTGCCAGATCCAGTTCCCCATCCCTCCGGCGGCCGCAAGGCTGAAGACCACCAACGTCCAGAGTCGCACGACACGACAGCACATTTCATTTTCAGGCTTGAAGTTGAAATCTTCTCCCGTTTCGCATTGTGTATCACGGCGGCGCTCTGGCCCATCTATGTTTCATTCGAGAATCAATACTGCTGTTGAACACCCAAACCCCAAACCAAAAATAATCATGTCTGCCCCGACAACATCACAGAAACGTCCTTTTCCCTACGACAACAGCAACGATGATCATGATCCCAGTGAGCCAACCTTCTTCATATCATCTCCGATCGTCGACCGATCATCAACCTTTGTCGCACACTTCCATCCACACCGACTCTCGCGCCGGGTCAGTACCACTACGACTCCCAGTACTGCATCGACATCTCTTACATCAACCGTCAAATCCGCACAATCTCACCCCGCCTTCCGCACCGCCGACCACCGCATGGTCGCATGGCGTCGACCATCAGGCCAGCGAACACTAACAATACCAGCATCATCAACAACATCACCGTCAACATCACAACCCGTATCCAGCAAACCAATCTACGCCACCGGCTCCGACGACGACGGCGAGAAATACGCCGGCAAACGGCTTGAGAAAGTCCTTGCCGATCTTGACGTGGAAGGTATTATCGTCGTGGCGAGATGGTACGGCGGCATCATGTTGGGACCCGTGCGGTTCACGCATATTGAGAATGTGGCGAAGGAAGCTATTGGGAAATGGAGGGCTTATGAACGTGAACGGGAACGTGGAGGACAGAAGCGGATGAAGATTGATGGGAATCAAGGAGGACAGCAATCTCAATCTTTGGAGAAAGAACAAGCCGACCGCTCCCGACTAGCCAAACAGTTGGTCGAGAGGGATCATAGCATTGTCGTGCTGAGGGGCTTGCTTGCTGAGAAACAGGGAAACCAAAAGATAAAGACCCACGAAAAGACAGGCGACACGAAGATCGAGGCTGATGGCGATGGCGGTGCCAGTGCCAGTGCCAGTGCCGACACCAATATCAATTCGAGCCCCTTGGACCCGCACGCCAATATCTCAAAACCGACCGCACTGGGGACGTCACCATCACCATCACCATCACCATCACCATCACCATCACCATCACTGAATGCGAAGCCGAATTCGACTGAGAATCCGACTCCGAATCCAGATCCGGATACCATTACTACTCGCAATCATGATCCAAGATCAAGTACTGTGCAAGACCGAGACCCAGCACAAGTTCAAGTTCAAGTTTCAAACTCGAACCAGCCAGTATCTGCTACTACTACTGCTACTGGTACTACTGTTGCTACTACTACTACTAGTCCTCCTCCTCCTACTACTCCTACCATTACCACCGAGACCGCCAGTCCTAGCGGTGTCAACGACAGCAGCACCGGCATCGACACCGGGAACACTACTCGTCCCAGCCCGAGCCGACAGTCACAATCACAACCACAACCACAACCAACCTCCGAGTCACACACTCAGACTACCAACAACGCTACTAGTCCTAACCCTACTAATCCGACAACCACAATCGAACACTACCTCTCTCTCCCCCTCCCACGCCTTCACCAACTCGAAAAGGCGCGCGACGCGACCATTGCGTTTATATTGAAGCAATTGGATAAGCTTGATCAAGAGGAGGAACGAGAACAGGCTCAGAAAGAACATGAACAATAAGATGGAATGGGAGAAGAGAATGGGCAAAGTCAAGCGAGGCTGCTGGAGCGGTATACAGGAGTAGAAGCCCTCTGGAGGTAGAAGGTAGCTTTACGACCAAGACAGAGGCCGAAAGTGAGGACTCGGATTGAGAGAGTACCTACCTATGGATAATACTATACTTAGCTTTGACGACGATGACGATTACGATGACGACCACAGTGCGACCATTCTATACCCATCCCAAGTTTGGTGATACTGATTCCCTATGAATGCCTGGTCAATCTATGGGACCCTGGTCATGCTTTGAAGCCTACGTGTCCTTCCTCCAATGTAATCAAGTTACAGGACACTATCTTAGGTACGATGGTGCATCAAGGATATCCACTACAACAATGGTCAATGCGAGTCCGGTTCAACCCAAAGGACATCTCTTTTGGGGCCTGTGAACTGGACTCTGGACCAGACGCCGTATCTTAGATACTACGACGACCAAGCAAGTCACTTGCAAGCCATTTGCTTCGGATCCTACAGTATCCGTCGAGGCCTTGTTAGACCAATCACTGGCAGTTGTAGGGTATTTGATTCTTCATTCGTTGATTGATGTAATGTCATTGCCGGTCTAGACGAGCAACTAACTTCAGGTCCAGTGACCGGTTTGTTCTTCACTTCAATGGAAGAGGCCATGTCCTCAGCACTCAGCTCGTCATGCTTCATGCAGTGTCACATAGCTCAGTCTCCGGTGGTAGCATATACATTCCATCAGGATAATATCTTCCATTCGTAGCATGCAAGCCCTCTTTGCAGCACTGATGTCCGTGCTGTCAATAGTACTCGCTCGACACGAGCAAGATATGGCTCTTCTTCTTCTTCCATTGAAGTGTTGGGGTGTGCAAGTGTCTGGATTTACTCATCACCACCCTTGTCCTTCTTCTTGGACTTCTTGCTGGCTGGGGCGCCTTCTTTCTGAGTGTGGACCTTCAACTTCGTCCAGGATTCTTCAGGATCCCACTCGAATCCTTTGAGGTATGGCTCTTCCAACTCGTCGTCGGCCTGATGACATTGCCAATATTAGCAGAATCCAGTCCAGTCTTATTTGGTTACGCACCTTCTTCTTGAACTGTTTGTGAATGGCATCCAAGGCATCCTTGATGGTCACACCCTTCAAGTTCCGTGCCGTGACTTCCAGCCCTAACGGGAAATGCAGGTCGATCTTCTTCACAGGAGGTTCCGTGAGATGTTTCTTTAGAATGGATGGGTCTTCGATCGAGCTGGGCGAGGTGTTTAGTTTCCTGCGGCAGAGTCGTCGGTTAGTGACTGATACTGTGGAAGAAAAGGTGGTAGTAGTAGTCGTACCAGCCGGTTTTCTGCGTTTCGGGTGCCACAGCGATCTTGGTTCCCTCTTTCTCTGCGTTGTGTCAGTCTTGAGTCAATGGCTGATATCGGTGAGTGTGAACGTACCGAGATCATTGAGGTTCATCACTCCAGGAGCACTAGACGTTGTTCTTCGCTTCGTCGGCTCTTTGGCATCCTTGGGTGGTGAGCCGGCCACGCCGCCGATGGCGGAGTCGACTTTGGTGAGGTTTGACGTGTCGGCAGACATGATGGAGTGTGATGACAACTTGAACCAGATGGTGGTGGTCTCAAGATAGATAGGACACTGGCTGAAGCCTGGTATACAGTTAGATTGGACGCTGTAGTCTGAAAGTAGGGAGTGTGAGCATGGTGGTAGGGCACGGCTTACGGGCAACCAATGGCTGGACAGAGCAGTTTGTTTGGTAGTGAAGGCTGTTTGGTCGAGATGGATGGTAGTAGAAGGGATGAGAGAGGTAGAGGAGAGTTGGAAGCAGTAGCAGTAGTAGCAGGTAGTAGGTAACAAGGAGCAGATGGATGGTTGGGTGGTTTAGGCTGGTAAGCAATTGAGGGGTAAGGTCAGATCAACACTGCAGCAACAGTTACAGTCACGGTCACGGTCACAGGGTGGTCAATGTCATCAGCCGAGTCTCATATACTACTGAGCTGAGGGACGCGACAACAACAAGCACCACAGGGGGACACTGCATGCCAATGCGATGTCGGCCTCGGAGTCATCGGAGGTCGCAGTCCAAGTTATGCTCATCCTTGTGTCAACTGACCAGTTGGAGATTGAGGTACTTTCCTACAAGCAGTGCCCGGCATTGGCATTGCATGGTACATGTCCTCCACCTCACGCGACAGGCAGCAATGGGCGCAGCTCAAGTCACCGGCAGGTCATGTGCTGCAATGGACAGTGTGAGCGAAAGAAGCGCAGACGTGACTCTGGAGTGCAAGTGGCGTGCTGCTATGAGCTCAATAATGCCCACTTGCCGTATTGCTACTAGTGCAGATAGGCTGCCCCTCTGAATTGCGCAGGTCCGCGTCCCGTGAGCTGCCAGCTTCTTCAACTCGGAATCTGGAGAATCCCAAAATCCGGGGTAAGCTGCGTCTTGGCGGTCAGGTACCGCTGCACTATCTGCTACCGAGGTATATCGTGCTAGTAGTACCAGGTACCTCATGAACTATGTCTGTAGCAGTATAAAACTACTACCTAGGTACCTAACCACTGACTAGAGGCACTCCCGATTCATCAATCCCTTCATTGCTCTATCATGCGCACTCCTGATGATCCCTCGAAGACCGACATCAACCCCTGTGAGGCTAGAACCCAGGCATTGATTTATTCTTCGCCTTGCCTTTTGCCTTCCCTTTTCGCTCCGGCCTGCCACCAAACGCTCCTCTCTCTGGTTGTGTCATGGTCAGACCCGGAATGCCAAAACTCTGGCTGGCCGTTTGACTTGACACTGGCTGGGCCGCCTGACTGCTCTGCACGTCTCTACCTGGAAGCATCACCACCTGACTGCCAGTGCTGATGGTCGGCAGCAAAGTTCGTTGAGCCATCGCCTCTTGACTGAGCTTGGCCGTCTTCTGCAACCTCTTTTGTAGCCGGGCTGCGTGTCTGGCTGCCTTACGCCTTTCTCGTGGGTCGAGTGATTGTGTAGCCATCTCTTCCTGTGCCAGTTTGAGTCGCTGTGTGACTTGACGATACGAGTATTCCTCTGGATCTTCTTCAATCGTATCGGGCAGGTGTGCTAGTATGTTTGATATGTTCGCATCCTTGACAAGACGTAAAGGTGGCACCACCTCTTCAAACCCTGCATATCGTCGCAGTCTTGCCACCGCCGGTTCTTCTGGTGGCAGAGGACTTTGTGATGCAGATATTTGGGAAGAAGAAGCTCCTTCCTGGTCAGATTCCAAGCCTGGTGACGACGGTAGCTCCTCCAAAATAGACATCGAAATCGTCTTTGCTGGATTTTGACTACCAACGGTCAAGACCGCGTTGCTCAGAAAAGCCTCAGCTGCGGCTCGCCGCACAAGCTTTTCACGATTGACTCGGTTCCGATCGATAACCTCGGATGACAGTGGCTCGATGTAAGTTTCGACAAAGTCATCGTATAGATCAAGGTACTTCTCGAGAGATGAGCCTGGGAGAACCCCGAGGTGAGCATCAGCCATCTCTACCGAGATATTGCCATTGTCTCTCAACTCGTCCAACCACGACGTGAGAAATTCCGATTCCCGCTCCACGTCCGCGATCTGATATGTCGTAAGGAGGTCTGACAGCAAATGAATTCTTTCATGTTCGTTCTCGATGGTCATGCTTCGAAGCTTCTGCGTAGTCTGGCCCAGTATCTCTTCAAGCGATGTAGAAGCATGGGCCTGGCCCATTAAGTCATCATAGTCCAGAAGACGCTCCCAGTCGCGAAAATGCGGCAGACGACTCTCGTACAAACTGGGTTTTGGTTGCACATTGCCGACGCGAACGATCGCTGAATTGTCAAAGCCATCATCATCGTCATCAACAACAAAATCATCCGTTTCCTCTTCTTTGACGTACATGGCACTTTGAACTCGGCCGCCTGCCGAGCCAGTCAACGCCAGCGTGAAAATGTGCGGAGAACCATCCTCGGCAATCTCAGTTCCCAAAGCATGCTCATACACAGCTTCAATGACCGTACCGTCATCGAGGTATGCAACCAGCTTCATAAAACCATGGTCAGCATGCTTCGACGAACCGCCAGATACCGCCGGGTTGATGGGGCAGAGAACAATGTCGACAACATGGTTCATTCGTCTTTGAAGCTGTTTGGGAAACTCGAACATCGATGGATCCTGGATTGACACCGTATTCTGATTCAGCTCCGAGGCTCCAAAGTGGTAGACAACACCGAGGTGGCTTGTCCGCGACCAAATCAATACGCTGGTCACTAGCAAGGTCAGCGTGGTCCAACAAATACTACTACACAATCACACACCTTGTGTCATCTCCCACAAACTCATTCGTAGTGATAGATCGTCGCGGTGCCTGTAATGATTCCACGAGCACACCAACGCTAGTGGTTCGACGCCGGCTCTGTCTTTCCAGCTGATCTCGGACGAGCTAAAGATCAATAATCGCGAGGTCGTCAACACAACGACATGGTCTTTTCGTCGGTCGCTGTTCTTGATATCCAGGATTTGATTCCCTTCTGAAAGAGGGCCTAAGCGCAGGTCCACTGAACCAACAGACTTTCCCGTAACATCAAATACAGCGGCCTTTCGTCGGTTGCAGACCAAACATCGATCCGCGAACCCTTGCTCACCCACGAGCCAGCAGACTCTATGCCAGCCGTCGTAATGTGACATGGCAGCAGCGGAAGGCGAGTTCCCCAAAGCTAGCCCAAGGTCGTTGGAACATTGCAACTGGGCCCGGTAAAGTACGCGGGCTGATCTGGACCTTGTTCCCTTCACTTTCCAAATGCACCAAACTCCCTCACTGCCAACCACCGCCAGCAGACTCCGATCTTGAGGATTGCAGGCTGCATGTGCATGAGGGCTTCCCCCGGTCCTGGAAGAGGGCAGATTCACCACTAAGCCGGGGTCAACTAGCAATCTAGTGTCGTTCAGCCCAACGTCAACGTCCTCTTCTGCAGACCTTGGACTAGTATGTTCAACCATCAGCGGACGCAGAATGCTGATCTCACTTGCTTTCACCACAATGAGTTGCGTCCGATACTGGGAGTTGGGACAAGGGACTATATGTAGGATCGGCTCTGCAGATTTGGTCCATTTGCCTGTAATTTCACGTCCAATGCCAGGGACTTTGCAGGTCTCCTTCAGTCCTGAGACATTGCTGAAGGAGACATCGTACGCATCCAAGCCGACTAGTCGAAGTGTCTCACCACTTGCACCGGTGGGGAAGGCCACCAAAGGATGCAATCGTTTGTTGGGTGTATCCCGGCTAGCAGGTGACCTGGCGTTTCCGAAGGCTATAACGTTTCTGCCTTGCAGTGTCCCAGCGGCATTCAAGAGCTGCAAAGGGGACAAGGCCGCGGTGCGCAGGTCAAGGATCGCAAAAGCGGCATCCGGCACTTGTTTAAGAAAGGTGTTCTTCCGTGCGTCGGCGGTCCGTTTGGCCTCGTTAGCAGAGCCAGCGTCCGCGATTGCTTCACTCTCGCGTGACCCCTTCCACTTACTCTGGACACTGTCTGTCAAGTCACCATGGTCATGCTCCCATATTCTGTCATCGACGATCGAGAAGAGAGACTGCCTGTGGGAGGCGGAATGGTGGCCTTGAGGAAGAGACCCTTCGTCTAGAACATGACTGGCCTGGTCCCCAGAGTCTACCTTGCGTCGCACTCGATTCTGACGAAGAAAGTGCCAGGTGTGATTTTGCTCATCGTAGGTAGCGGTGCCTAGATGGCCATATTTGAGAGCATTGGTTTCGTGAGCGTGTTGTATACGCCGTATCCGCTCGATATCAGCCATTCGAGCGTCTGAGTAGTATGAAAAGTTGAAGTGAGTGCGGTCGAGGCACGAAAGACATGTTTACAGAGCTCCTTGAGATGGTCCACAAATGCTTTGATATCGGCGTGGCTTGCTGCGCTGTCAATATCCAGGTCGGCTATCAAGTTGCCACGGCATTTGTTTCTGTTAGGTAGAAAGGATCAAGTTCAAGTTTGTAGCAAACATTGACCGGGTCCAGCTGTGGCATCGATGATTTGAACGCGCAAAAAGTCCGACGCGCGCCAAGTCGCGACAACTTCATTCTTGAGCCAAGTGCTCCGCAGCAATTCAAAAGAGAATCATCTACGGTAGACCATCCAGGACGGGCAGCACTTACGTTTTGCGGGAGCCATGATTCTGAAGGGAAGGAAATGTTAAGCATTTTCCTATGCGGCTTGTTATCGCTTCTTCTTTCTAACCCGGCAGATCAACACATAGGACTCAAGCCAAGCGGGTGATAAGTCTGGATTTGACTAGTAAACCAGATTTGTCGCCACCTAAAGTCATCTTCTGCTGGTTGCTGCATTCATTTCTCGTATCTATCCAACTGCCACAATAACCAGATTCCCGCCCGATATATAGTCCCTCGTAGGGCCTGACCGATCTTCTATCTTGATACCATGGTCATGGCCGTGATATCTTTGCATTCATGCCCACAATCGCGCGGAACAAGTCCCAATCACCATCCAGGCCGACCCAGTCGGTCACCACAATACCTGTGCTCCAGTTGCCCTCCTTGACTCGGCCCTGGTCGTCCAGCATGTGTTTCTGGCACAAATGTGCCGTGATGGCGGGGTTGACCTCGGCCGCGATCTTCTCGGGCCAAGTGTTGACCTTCCAGAAATTGCTCGCGCTCAAGAAGTTGATGTAAAGAGGATACTTCTTGTCCTTGTTCCGCTCTTTATCCGGGAAAAAGTCGCAGGCACCACTTCGCTCCAGGTGGTTGCGGGCATGTTCAATCTTCTGCTCAATAGATGGTCGCTCCATGACCTGGTAGAAATCCTGTACGCAGACATCGCCCGAGGGACACATGGCATTAGGGGTGTTGTCCTCCCAGATGTGGGCATCGATGCCCCAGCCGCGGCCGTCCCACTCCTTCTGGAGCGGTTCTTCAAGGTCAAACCGACGAACGAGGACGATTCGGCCACGAACTTCGCCCAGATCCGGCACGCGAGGTTCGGTAAACCATTCACGGGGATTTGTGTAGTGGTTCTTCAGGATCCGTGATAGTTGTTGATCAGTGCCTTTTCCGGTACCCTCACGCTTCAAGGATAGAACCAGAGTCTCGCTAGGATGTTCCTTCAGAAATTTAAGAATGTCATCGTACAGACCTCGGAAGTGTTTGTTCCCGGAGAGCGCAATGGGAAAGGCGGCATGGACCAGGTTCAACTTGTCCGAGTTAGGGTCATAGGGTTCAGGCACCTGCACTCGAACATCAAAGAAGCGGACACCGTTCTTCAATTGCTCCATTGGAGATACTGCCTGACACCTGACCGAGGGTGGCGCATTATGACAGGTGGGAGAGTTGTGCGTGCCAGGTATTGACAGAGCGCCTAGCGGAGCGTGATCTGGAATCTTTTCCATCCACGAATCCAAACGCGATGTGTTGAAGAGCGCCACGAACGATGTTTGAGGCAGGAAAATGCCAGTAAAGCGCATCTTGGGGTCGGGCGCTAACGCGACCAAGGATTCTGTTTCTGCTGTTGGTACGGGACAGTACATCTGGTGCTTTCCTCCGAGCTCCGTCTGAAAGGTCAATCGAAGCCGCTCATTTTCCTTGTTGATGACGGGTTTGATGTCGGTAGGAACCAACGTGAACGGCGGAATCTTGATTGAGACCTCTCGCGTCGCAAACGGTCTTGCTCCGGAGTCGATTTGGGGGACAGCTTTGCGAGTGGTGTTGTTAGTGAGGCCGATGCTGTTGGTTACGGCTGCCAACGACCGCGTCACATTTTGCATCTGGAACCCTTCATCTTGGGGAGGGTCGAAGTGTTCGACCAAGACGAGGGTCAAAGGGTTGTTGCTGATGTTGCGGATGGTGACCGGGGGAGCCATGCTGGACGTGCGAGGCTTTGGAATTATGGACGAAGGTTCGGTTCATCCCAGGGTCTGGACGTCCTGGAACCATTAATAAGGGGGCTCGAGGGCCGCACCAGGGTCAGCTACATGAGAGTGTTAGGTCATCGGTTCCTATGCTCGACCTCAGCTGGGAACGACAAGAAGTTAGCGAGGGGCCAAACCTGATGGGGGCGTTGCGGGCCTCGGACATTGTGCTCATCACCAATGAACTGCAAGCCACAGCTTCACCGGCGTCCGCATCTTGGATTGTCAACCCGCCATCACACACCGAGCCGGTCATCGCCCGCCTGGTCGCCAATCGATCTCTAAGCCACGCCCCGGCTTGATACTAAAATTGCCTGCGGAACTGACGTCGTTTGGTCCTCGCAAAACTCCTCCTGCAGCCTTGCCAATAAAACATGAATAACGGCCATTAGGTTGTTCTGATATAAAGGGAGGAGAGGATCCCAGGATTCGAGGTTACAGCAGACTTCACTGTAGCCGATTCTCCATATAGGCACCTGTGATGCCAGCGCCTTTCTCAAACTACGGCGAGCTTGGCCGTCCCGTGGTGATGATCTCGGTTCCAGGGACGCGCAAAGCTTCGAGAAGTCGGAGCTATGGATCTTGCCCCGGCGGATCAATCTAAAGGAATCCAAGCGAGAGTCCCTGGAATCCAGGAAACTTCCCACGGAGCATTTCGAATCCGATTGTCGTGGGGTTTTTTGTGTGTCGATTGATCAAAGAGTTTGAGTGCCATCGAGAATTTTGAACACGTCGATGCAAAAGCAAAAACACTGGAAACTGGCACTGTCGTACGCTACTGGTAGAATCTTGAAATGGATAGATGTCCTTCTCGCATATGCATATATGACGGTGCCGCTAATGAGCATCTAACTTGAAGGCTGAAGATGTTGCCAGGCCCAATAGTCCAAGGTTTACCAAATCTCCCCGAAGCGTACTTCCATACCCAGAGCTGATGTATAAAGCCGCAGGACGCAAAGTCGCTAGATAGTCTACACTGAACAATAACACTATTGCAAGCTCAAGCAATCAATTCAAGCTCGTGAGTGGTAGCAGGAGGAGTACGGGCGCGCTGCTGTTCAAGTTTGCACTGGCACAACTTGAAGTGCACCCGCAGTGCTGTGCAGCCATAAAATGGAAATAGTGGGCCGGACGGAGCTGCCAAGCCATTAGCCAAGAATTTGCAAAATTGCATACATCAAATAAACCGCTGAAATTTTGTTTCGAATTCGTCCAACAAAACGATTCAACACAGCATCAGCGGTGTGGCGCAGGGGAAGCGCGCCGGGCTCATAACCCGGAGGACATCGGATCGAAGTCAGTATACCTCCAACCAACTGGTCAATTGACCTTATCACTAACATCTTATCCAGACCGATCGCCGCTAATAACTACAACTTCCCATCTGGGTGTTTCTTTTTTGGTTCTTTATGAATTCTTTTTTGGTTCTTTTTTGCTTTCAAGGTTGTTTTTTTGCAGAGACGGGGTTTTCGGCTATTTTTTTGCAGGTGCAGTTTGACGGGCGCTAACCCTGTTGGGATAACTGTGTAGACTCGGATGGTAGCCCGAACCTGATAGTACTTCAAGTTCCATTGCGATCAAGTTTCAGTCAAATGGCGCCTTTCACTCCTGGCTGCTCCCTACATGTATACTGCCTTGATCCTGGCCTCCTGGCAAAAGGCTCTATTGCTGCCAGGTTGCTCAATAGCGTTAATGTTAGGATCTTGGTTACACTGGGAATACATGCAGGGAAGTCATGGTGGTTGCTCGATACCCACCCATGTGAATAAATATTCGATAATCTTGATATCAACTCCCGCATGTCACGGAAGTCTTCAACGCAATGCCAGTGGCAGATACTGGCCCATGCCAATAACTTGAATACTGCAAGGCACTGTAATTGGACATCAAGATACAATCGGTTCAGTGGCTGCAAGCGACTTTCCGGCAGGCCAAATCTCTTTCTCCTAAGGAGTACAACAATATGTACGAAGTTTAAAAGCCGATTAACATTGCAGCACTTTTTGGTAGGGCATTATTTGCATATACGCTCGTGGTTCCTATACATTCGTCCAAACCGAGTAACTTTGGAACTGTGAAATCCCGCCTCCAGCCATAATGCCGTGCTTTAATCCACTCTATGTCGGTTTTGGGGGTTTCGTTAAAGTGGGCGGCGTCGAGCCACCATCTGATGTTTGGCTGCACGAGCGGCAATACCACAATCACTGCCATGCGTCTCCAGCAGGGCGGACTCTATAATGATCTCGGCTGGTATCGAGTCCAGTGTCGCCAAAAGCCTCTCAAACATTCGTGACAATGGGACTTTGCGTAGCGTGGCCATCATTCCTCGCGCTGCGACCACGCCAGGACTGGCCTCAACATCGTCCAGGGCATGAGTATAGTATTGACGTGGTTTCAAATGCCTCAGCTCATGAACGAATTGGGTCGTATAAGCTCACCGATGGGCAAACCCTCACACTGCACGGCAATGATTTCAGATATATTCATGATCGGCAGATTTGCCAAGGTCGTTCAACACATGTCGACGACCATGGTGCTGGGCTCTTGGAGGTAATCCTGGACGACTTTGGCCATTCTTGCCATGGTAGCTCCATCAACGACTCGGTGATCCGCGCTCCAGCTCACCCCGGCCACTTGAGCAGGTCTGACGGTCACGCCGTCGTCTGCAAAGACGGGAACGGTCTTGACTTTCCCTACGCCCATGATTGCTAGCTGGCCTTCCACAATAACAGGAGCCACAACGTCGCCGCCAATGCTCCCGATGTTACTGACAGTTATCGTACCCCCAGTGAGGTCGTTGTTGCCGAGCTTGCCGGTCTGGCCAAGCTGCGACAGGCGCTGGATTTCCTGGGCAATGGAGGTGATTGAGCGAGCATTAACGGCTTTGATGACAGGTACGATCAAGCCGTTGGGCGTGTCCATTGCAATTCCAATGTTATGAACGGGCCGCATCATCAGCTGCGGCTTCTTCGGATCAGTGGTGAGATCCAAGCGAGCGTTCAGCAAAGGATACTTGTTTAGAGCCAACGAGACAGCCTTGACGATAAATGGCAGGTATGTGTACTTGGGCGTCGTCTCGGGGTTGCGCGCAGCATTCAACTTGGCCCGCATCGAAGCGAGGTTGGTGATGTCCACTGTGTCTGAGTACAGGAAGTGTGGAATAGACAGCGATGCCGTCATGCTCTTAAACATGGCGCTTTGCACTGGCGTCAGCTTCTGCGGCGTCTCTGTTTGCTTCGCGTCAATCTCGGGTCTGGCCGGGGTGGGAGCAGCGGCAGCGGCGGAGGGAGGTTGGGCAGAAGTCATCTTCTCGAGGTATCTGTAGACATCCTCCTTTAAGACACGCCCGTCTTTGCCTGTTCCGGGAATCTCTTCGATCTTCAGGCCATGTTCTTTGAGCAGACCTCTCACTGCGGGAGTCGCGAGGGAAGCATGTTTCCCCGGAGGTTTGGATTGTAGACTTGTTGCCTTTTCTTCCTGAACTTTCGTCTCTTGACGCGTTGCTTCCGGACCACTCTCAGCCACTCGTTCGGCATTGGCCGTATCAGAACGTTGGGCCGGCTGTTGCTCTGCGCCGTCGTCCACCCCGTCTTCCACCTCTATGTCGACGATCGGCTCTCCAACCTGGACCACGTCGTCTTGACCGTGATATATCTTCTTGATTATACCGGTGTACTTGGATGTGATTTCTACCGACGCCTTGTCGCTCTGTACCTCGCAAAGAGGACTCCATTCTTCGATCGGCGCGCCCTCCTCCACAAACCACTGGATGATCTGGACTTCCTTGACGCCTTCCCCGATGTCCGACAGTATATGTGTTTCTGTCCGGTTGAACCGTGCCGTGGCATGGAAGTGCCGACTTAGGTGAGCCAAGGGGGCATATGTTCGAGGTCTCGCGGCTACGGATCGGCACCGGATCAAGCCGTGGAGGAGCCGTAAGGCTTGCAGCGAAGGTATGGGTTTCATTGCTGAAAACTGAACGTCTTTGTCGCACGCAGTATAAGCCGGGACGTCCCAGAAAGCATTGTGTAGGGCCAGCCTCCTTCTAATACTCCTAGAAAGTAATTGAAGAGCGCGATCTCAACTGAAGGAGCCGAGGATAACCGCACTACCCACTGGCACCAATCGCTCCGAATCCCGGATTACGACTAACGGGAGGTTCCACTGCAGTCACGTGTAACACGTGTTTACTTAACATCAGTTGCGACAGCGAACATCGCTCGCAAGAGTTCCGGACGAGAACAGTGAAACCAGGCGACATATTAGGCAGGGTCGGCTACAATTGGCACACGTACTTCTGAAGTTTCAGGTTTCCTTCGTTATACTGAACTCTGACTCTGCTTCCCAGCAGTCCGAAGTTGGGAAGCAGTCCGAAGACTTGCTTGTCTTGTGTGGGCACTGGATACCTAGGTATGAATAAACCCTGAAACATAACTGGAAGATATCATACACCATCCCCAAGAAGTGTCAGTGAGGGTAGACCAACATGGTCTGTTCTACAGACCTGAGATTGATACCTCTATTCTTCTAGCTTACGCATTGCCTTCAGTAAGGATGCGTGTCCAGTCAAACTTTTTCCACACTTTCCTGAAGCCGTCCACTCTCTTATCATGGCCTCTGTGCCATTTGCCCTGACGCTTGATAACATCAGGCTCCAGACCCAACATGCCACCAATGACCTCCCTGGCAAAAAGATCACCACGTGGCCATCGTTCCGGATCCTCCACAATGTGGCCAATACCGCCGTCGAGCTCAAACCATACATGGAAATAGGGCATTTCTTTCACCAAACTGCGCCGAAATGCCAGCCTCCCCAAACCATCCTTTTTGGCTTTTGCTAGCGTGTCGATGATTTTCTTGTGCTGGCTCCATTCGTCCTCGGTGCTGAGGAAGGCTTCTTTGAAGAAAGCTGGGGCGGTCTCTCCGAGACTGTACGGGAGAGGAACCACATTCAGAGCCGCATGCGGTTTGCGATTTGGAAACGCAGCGTTCTCGTAGAAAATTACATCGCGACCCTGCTCATGATATAGGCGCGTGAGCGACTTCATAAAGTTCCGGATCTCTTCCCACTCGTCGTCATCGCATTCTAGGAGGTTAGTGTGATGCTCCGTGGGTACAATCATGGCACCAAGCGGCGACAGCTCAGGTTCGGTCGGTAGGGTCAGGTAGGTCCTCGTGGCTAACGAGACGACGGGGGCAATTGGCGGCGTTTCCGTGTCCTCGTGGTAACAAAGTGGACAATTTTCGAGGATTCTGTTGAGCTTCTGGTACTCATTGATGGCAACATTGCGCAGATTCATATCGGATTTGTGTACGCGTTTTGCAAGTTTAGCTGCATTCTCGTCCATGTATTCAAGGTCGTCGTCGAATTTGGCGTCTTTGGCGATTCGCTCCGCCAGCCGCTGGCCTTCGCCTCCAGCTTGGCCTCGTGTTCGTCGCTCTTCTCGCACCATGTCATCAATAGTCATGTCGTCGTTCTCTTCAACATTTCCGCGCTCGGCTCCTCGTCGATTTTGCACGGCCTTGACCTCGTTTCTCGGCGCAGAAGACAGCATGCGGTTGTCCATGGCTGAGAGAGTGATTACCGCGGGATCCTGCGCGGAGAAAGCAGCAAGAGCTTCGTTGTACTCTTTCTCGAGTTCGGCAGCCTTAGGGTCTTTCCGTAGCTGAGCTTTCATCAGTTGTGCCTTCAACTTGTTGAGAAGGGTCTGGTCCACTTTCGCAGAGGGTGTATCGGTTGTGCTAGATGTTGGAACCGGTAATTGTTCAACAACTTCGTCAGGAGTCAAGTCGGTCTGACGAGGATGAGGTCTTCGAACACCAGCCTCTAGTTTGCGCTCTTGGAACAATTCGCCGCTGGGCTTTTCTTTGCCCACATAGCCGTCACCATATGTCTTGCGTCTTTCGAGTTCGATCTCCTCTTCTCGTGCATCGTCAAACTCACGGAGGCTGCCATATCGTTCTAACGCCACGTCTTCGACTTTGCGGCCTTCAGTCTCCGCCTGCCTATATACGGCCTTCAGCCTCGTCATGCGCCATTGTGATCCGGCATCACCAAAGGTATAGTCAACTTCGTGCGCTGCAGGTTCGGCTTTGAGGTCATCCACAGTCTTCCCGCTCTGCAGGTCACGCAAGTGGTGGTTTAGTTCTTTGTCGTGAATCTTCAATTCGAAATCCGCACCGAGCGAGCCTCCCTGAGGCGGTGATGGCTCGGGCTTTTTCCGATGTATGTAGTCGATGTCTAGCGCTGAAGGTGCCTCCATCCAGGAATCTCGTTTCAACTCGCTCAGGTTGGGCCTGGACGATTTTGAGGGTTCTTTCTGATCTCTATCCGGTTCCTCTTCGCTGCGACGATGATGTTTTGATCTGTCCCTAAACTCCTCATCTCTTGAGCGTCTCGACCTCTTTAATCGGTGACCGTCTTCGTCGTAACGCGAGTCATCATGACGAGAACTGCGATGATGGTGGTGGTGATGGTGTCGGTGGTGACGATCTGACTTTTCGCGCTCCCTCCGCCTCTCCCGCCGTCTCTCAGTCTCCTTCTGCTCAGCCAACTCCTTTTCAAAGTCTTCTAAAGTCATTTTCGAGAAACGCTTGATCGTTGGTGATAGTAGGAAGGGCGGGTTTCGAGGAGGAAGCAGCTTTGTTGCGCACTTGGACGCACGTCACTCAGGCTGCGATCTCCAAAATTTCTCCGACCAAACTGCAAAGAAAGGTCGTGACTTGTAGACTGCGACCTCGTTACTTTATTTCCATCACCTTGAACTAGGTCGGCAGCTTCAAGTATCCCAGAATCCAGGCAACGATAACCTCGAGCATCATGGCGACCTCTCCCGTCGCCGTCGTCTGTGTCGGCATGGCCGGTACGTTGGCACGCTTCCTGTGAAAGTTGCAGCATGGCTGACTGTCTTGCAGGGTCGGGCAAAACCACCTTCATGCAGAGAATCAACAACTACCTACATGTCAATAAGAAGAAGCCATACGTTTTGAATCTGGACCCGGCGGTCCTTAATGTCCCTTTTCAAGCAAATATAGATATCCGAGACAGCATAAACTACAAGGAAGTCATGAAACAATATAACCTTGGACCGAACGGCGGCATCCTAACCTCGTTGAACCTGTTCGCGACCAAGATCGATCAGGTCATGGGCCTACTAGAAAGACGGGCAAATCCACCCCCTGACAGTACAGTTGCGCCTCCAAAGCATATCCTGGTTGATACACCCGGACAGATCGAGGTATTCGTCTGGTCAGCCTCCGGTAGTATCCTGCTGGAGTCGCTTGCATCCTCCTTCCCTACCGTCATTGCATATATCATCGACACTCCGCGAACGGCGTCTACATCGACGTTCATGTCTAACATGCTTTACGCCTGCTCAATCTTGTACAAGACGAAACTTCCCATGATTTTGGTCTTCAACAAGACTGACGTCCAAGATGCCGAGTTTGCACGAGAGTGGATGACGGATTTTGAAAAGTTCCAGGAAGCACTTCACGAGGAAGAGAGCAAGGGTGTCTTTGGTGGCGAAGGTTTCGGTGGCAGTGGCTATATGAGCAGCTTGCTGAACAGTATGAGTCTAGTCCTGGAGGAATTCTACTCTCATCTGAACATGGTCGGAGTGTCGAGCATGACGGGCGAGGGAATCGACGATTTCTTTGACGCAGTTGAAGAGAAGCGTAAAGAGTTCGAAAAGGACTACAGACCTGAACTGGAGAAGAGAAGGAAACAACGGGAGGAAGAGGCAGCAAGCAAACGAGAACAGGATTTGACGAGGGTGATGAAGGACATGAGTATGGATGCCACAGCAAGCACATCTGAGAAGCGATCGGGAAAGGATGATGCAGAGAGTGGTGAAGATGATGAGGATGATCTTGATCCTGACGACTACCCTGATGCAGACAGGGAGGAAGACGAGGAGGGCTTAAAACAAAGATACAAGAATGCTTTACGGGAGCAAGGCATTCAAGTCGCTGACGATGACCCAGCATTAGCTGAGATGCTGGCACGGAGACGTGCGGGATGATCAGAATGGAAGAGATGTGTGTTGATTTAGATTTCTAAGCATGAGATACCCAGCGATGGAGTTACGGACAATCGGGTTCCCCAGGTTGGATCAGTGAAGCCGTAGGGTGTGCGGACGTAGTGATGCATCAATAATCGTGTCATTGCTTGTAACAAGTTTTGACCATTCTTGAACTCCTGGACTTCTGACGTGCAGTGGTGAGTAGTACTTGCGGCACAATGCCATATCGTAGTAGGAGTTTTGATAGTGCTCGGAGGGGCGAAGGCTGAACGAATGATAGTGGCGGCACAGCCGTGACAACCTTGGCGGAGCCTAACCACGTGACAAGAAATCAATGCCAAGATTCGCGCACATTTTTGAGACACTCTTCAAATTCCACACTTCGAGGTCGACGACCTTAGGGCAGATCACACCGTCACACACCCAACATCACTGCTCAAGATGAAGTACATCTTTTCGCAAGAGCAGCTGGTCATCCCAGAGGATGTCAAAATCCACATCCGCTCCCGCATCGTGACCGTCGAGGGTCCGCGAGGTACGAAGTCCCGAAGCAGCTCAGTCGCAGGATGCGCAGGAAGCGGTTGAGGATGAGAGGACTATGAATTGACATGCGCTTCTCTGTAGGAAAACTCGTCAAGGATCTCTCGCACATTGCCGTCACATTCACCGTCTCCAAGAACAAGAAGGGCCAGCAACTCGTCCAGATCGAAATCCACCACGGATCGAGAAAGAATGTCGCTACCCTGCGGACCGTGAAATCCATCATCGAGAACCTGGTCATTGGTGTCACCAAGGGCTACAAGTACAAGATGCGATATGTCTACGCACATTTCCCCATCAACGTCAACATTGAGAAGAACGATGAGGGCCGGTTCAACTTGGAGATCAGGTAGGTTTTGCACGAAATCAGACCCGCAGGACCCAGAGAAAGAGAGACCTGGCATTCGCAACGCACACGAAGACATATGCTAATTCTTTTGGTTTCCATTAGAAACTTCTTGGGCGAAAAGATCGTTCGATACGTTACGATGGCCGAGGGTGTGACGGTGGAGGCTTTGAAGGGTGTCAAGGATCAGATCGAACTCACTGGCAACAGCTTGGAAAATGTCTCACAATCCGCCGCCGATATCCAACAAATCTGCAGAGTACGAAACAAGGATATCCGAAAATTCTTGGACGGTCTGTACGTGAGCGAGCGGGGCAACATCATCGAGGATTAAATGCGGAAAGGTGCTTGGTGTGTCATGGATGTCCTGATTTCACAAATTGAGCGCGTTGTCAACTGAGTCCAAGGCACTCGCATCCTCCCGTGGAAGTCAACGGTGTGATGAAGTTAGCCTTCCAGTCTTATTGCCAGACTGGTCATGACCCGACAATGGGTTAGACGAAAACAAACGCTTTCCAAGTTCTTCTATTTAGCGCTGAAACGACCGCTTTCAGTCCTACTCTGTGCTGTTCTTTTTCTTTTTCCTGCAAGCTGCGAGCTGTCATGAGGTTTCTGCAACAACCATTATTGGGGCAATTGACTGCTTACGAGCATTGCGTCCAGTTTGCACCTTATTCCCAGATGATAACCGCCTTCGCCGCCTTACTTTGGTGCAAGGTTCCTGGGCTCTGACTTGTATTCCAGTGTGATGACTTCAATCCGCGCTTGCACTTTGTCCACTGCATGTTATCGTGCACCATACAGCGTCAGAGGACCTCGAGGGTAGCATCCTGCAGCCATCGCACATACTTCTTTATCAAGTCGTTTCTACTACCATGTGTGCCTCTCATGGTAGCGCGGAATGGTAAGGTGATTGAGCTAGTATGGTATTCGCTGCTGGGAGCTGGCCTTCTCGCCTTCAAAAGGATATGCTTTATTCAGTAGTCCAAGTAGTAGTAGTAGTAGTGTTCAAGTCCATCATACAGGTCTGCGGTCATCTATCCGCGTCGTACAGGCTCATGTCTCCTCAAGATACGGTACGAAAGTGACCGGCAAAGACCCGTCCAACTACGGGTTGATCTCACCCTACTGGCTCGAAGAAGTGTTCCTCCTAATAATATTCCTACGGGAGGAGCAATTGTCCGACCTGGCCCCTCGTTGGAGCCATAGCACCACAGTGGCACTATCTCTATTAATATGCTAGGCCGAGTTGCCTGGCCCTACGGACATCGAGAAGGAAAATAACGGCCTTGGGAATAGAGGCTTAGGAGTCCAGGCTAGGCGAGGTCTGACTCCTTTGTGTGACTGTCGAGTCGTTTGTTAAGGGACCGGCTTGTGCGCGCATCGTGCCAGTGGTGAGTGATGGCGATGATGGCGTTGGTGAGCCTAGAGGCTGACGTCCTGGGTTACAGTACTCACTCCACCCTCGCCGGGCGTTCTAAGTTACGGTAAGAGCCCAACTCGGAGCCTGCCAACGGCCACCCACTCACATTGGCGCCCGGCCCGCCCAGAAGCCACCGCCCCCGGCTGACTGCCAGTGTCTGTGCCCATCCATCACGCTCTCTCACCCAGACTCTGGCATCGGCGAGTGCGGTGCGTCAACGATACCAGACCCGGACCCTCTCGCATCTGAGATGTTCTTGTTGGATCTACGCCGACTCTGCTAACCATCCTAACAACAACATCGTCTTAATTCTGCCTCGTCCACTTTGGACCTGCTTCTCTCCTTCTTGCTCTCTATCACTGCTTTAACCTTTATCTTCAGCCCACACTATCCTCTCCCCACCCAAGACAGACAGCCGCCGGGTGCTAGAGCACTCGTTTTGTTTACCTTGCCGCCCCAATCACACCGGCGGTCCCAGAGCGCCACTATCTACGACCCTCGCACCCGGCGCAAACAAACACAGCCACACCACCCTCGACGGTCAACTATACATACACAGACACACATCAATGCCTCTGTGCGGCAGCAACAAGGTAGTCCAGCGCAAGCTGGTGCTCCTCGGAGACGGCGCATGCGGGAAAACCAGTTTACTCAATGTCTTTACTCGCGGCTTCTTTCCGGTATGTCGGGGATAGTACCTTGGGGCCTTCCCGTTCCGTCGTTCTTCTTTTCCGTTCCACTACTAGTACGACCTGATGATCGACTAATTCTAATCTTGGAGTAAATATAGACGGTATACGAGCCCACAGTATTCGAGAATTATGTGCACGATATCTTTGTCGACGGAATCCATATGGAACTGTCGTTATGGGACACTGCGGGACAGGAGGAGTTTGACAGACTACGGTCGTTGTCGTACGATGACACACAGGCGATCATGCTATGCTTCAGTGTATGTTCTGCGGACACAAGAGGTTATATGCTGGAAAAGAGCGGGTGGCTGACATGAACGGCGATCTGTTTAGGTCGACAATCGAGGATCTCTGGAAAACGTCGGCACGAAATGGATCGCAGAGATCAACGAACACTGTCCTGGTGTCAAGATCGTCCTCTGCGCCCTCAAATGTGATTTGCGGGAAGAACAAGAGAAAGACGACGAGGAAGAACGGACTGCGCCTCCGAGAACCATGATACAATACAACGAAGGTTTGGAAGTAGCAAGACAAATTGGTGCTTTAAGATATCTCGGTACGTTGCGGATGCGAATTCACCCTTGTGGTGTATTTTGGTGATTTGTCTGACATGCTCTGCAGAATGCTCGGCCATGCGAAATCGTGGAGTTAATGAAGCTTTTACGGAAGCCGCCAGAGTCGCCCTCCAAGTCAAACCAGCTAGATCCAAGGAAGACTCGAAATGCACGGTGATGTGAAGAGCCACAACCATCAGCATTACTGGCTGCCGATTCCTCCAGCCAAGTCCTGCAATCACTTTCAGCTCTGGGGCCTTGACATCGTTCGGGCTTGCGTCGTCGAACTTCTCCCTCCACCTCTTCATGTAAATAACCCCTCGCTCCGCTTCACTTCCCACGCCTCCTCTCCGGCAGGCGGCTATCTATGCAGATATTTTGAGTTTAGCGCTTGAGACTTTGTTGGTATGGCCTCGCATTTGGAAACCAGAGGCACGGTACGCAAGATGGCGTTACTGTTGGCTAGTGCAGTGCCGGCACTGGGAGATATCACAGCAATGTCTGGGTTTGTTAGGTGTTCAAGTTGGGCTCAAAGCAACCGGGAACCGGCCCCCTGCCCAGCCACACAGCCAGGGTGGAATAAGAAATGCCCGGCTTTTCCCACCCAACAAGATATGGTGATGAAGAAACATTGGACACTTCAATCAATAATACCGTTCACCACTGGTTGACCATTGCTTCGACCTCTTTCAACATCTGTCGTGGTAGGCGCGGAGCCATCATCGACCAAAACCCAATCCTTGACTCCTCCCTTCCAATCAGCTATCCGGCCTTCGCGTATTGGGACCAAGACAACCCTCACATCGTCTCCTGCAATATAACAGCTGCTGTTGCCTTCTGTAATGGGGCCATCTCCAAACATGCCTGCCTCTTGTCTCACTTGATCTCCAAATGTGTTATTGGCAAGATGTGCTTCCTTGCACCATTTTTCTTCCTCACTTCCCTGCTCCAGAAACCGGGCTTCACCTGCGATGGTGGTAGATATGGAACTCAAAGCTGAAGTGTTGAGGTTCAACAGCAGGCTTGCCAGGCTAGATCGAGCTGCCGCCGCCGGGGGACTGCCCGACCGTTCTCCCACGACGGAGCTTGCAGTTGGCGGCCGATGGGAAACCCAGTCGTGAACCAGGAGCGACACCTTCGGATTATGCAGCAGGTTCCGTGTCTTGATTGACTGGGCGTTGGTGGTCATGATGATGACAGGACCGTGTTCTTTATATGAAGGGAGGAAAGTATAATTCATCAGCGAAACGTGCGGTGTCGGCTGGGAGCTTTCGGTGGCGGATATCGTGGCCAGATGGAGGAACCTCGAGTTCTGGAGGCATTGTGACACTTCTGGAGGCAAGGTGGAGGAGACGATGCGGTGTGTTGCGGTCGCGGATGGTTCGTAGTTGAGCGGTGGATTGTGAGCTTCGGACATGATTGCGTCGATCTTCGAGGCTGCCCAGGTGGGAGAGTGCGCAAGAGGTCTGATCTTCTAGACCCAAAGGTTTAAATTGTTCAAGAAGAGCACATGTGATAAAGAGCTTCTCGCAAAATGCTCAGACTAGGGTCAGCCGATCGACTTCGCAGTACTGCTAGTATGTTGTAATGGTACACGGTTGTCGGTGGGCAACTTTTTCAGCTTGTTCCACCAGCGGCGAAGGAAGACAAATGGGACAGCAACAGCCTGGACAGCCCCGCAAGTGCTAGTAACCCAGCTTCCGTCCCACACGGCGCTAGGCATGGTCCCGGCGACGGTTCCGTACTAAGGTGACTATGAGGCGTCTAACTGGTGCCTAAGGGGACCATTAGTAGGGGTAGTCGTGGACTATCTCCTCGGACCCTCGGCCCCATACTCCAGCACCTCAGGCTCTCTGACGTCTATGACCGTATTGTTGTGGACGCCTTTCCCTCCCTTCCCCAGTTCACAACACTCACTTGCAACCGTCGCTCCCAATCCCTGCACGACCACACACAAACCCCGACTTCGTGCACCCCCCCGATCTGCCTTTCCCACGCTGCAGGCACTGGCACTGGCACTGGCACTGGCACTGGCACCTGGCACCTGGTCCAGCTTCAGACCGCAAACCAATCCCACCTTCAGTCATTGGTGCAATCAACCTGATATAGCATCGCACGCCCGGTCCCCGCGTACCGACCTTGAGGACTCATTCTCCTCGGACCCCGTCAAATAAACAACAAACAGTAGCACCAGACCGAGACAGCAGTCTTACCAGCAGCTCTTCTCGGTCTGCTCATCACTACGTTAAGGACAGTTCTCCTACTGGCTTGCTTTCGGCTCATTATACCACCCCGCTCTTTCGCGACCATGCTGTATCGACGGCTACCCCTCTCGTCGCCTCAATCGTCCACGCTGTTTCGGGCCTTCACGACCACCGCCGTGTGCAAAGAGGGTGCTCGCCGTGCACCGGGCCTGGGCGACATCACTCCTGATGGAGCAGATACCTTCAACGCCAAGCAGAAGGAGTTCCGAGATGGACTCGAAGCTGCCAAGAAGAGAAAGGATCAAGCTGATAGTCAGTCATTCGCTACTTCTACTACGTCTCCTACGTCTCCATCTTCCTCATCATCCCCCAGTGCTGCTGCCTCTGGTGTGTTTGAATCTTTGGGCCTAGGCTCACTTTCTACCGGTCCTCGTGCAGAAGAAGCCAGACAAGCCGAAACGGATACTTCGACCAAGCGCGGGGGAAAGCTCTCCAGCTTTATTTACGGCACGCCTGAGGGTCAACAACTAGACAAAGAGATGGAGAGGTCATTCTCACAGGTGCTGGCTCGAGGCAAATATGTCCATTCGATCGTCTTCCACGACGTTAAGCCCGATAAAGTCGATGAATACGTCGAACTCGTTGGCAGTTGGTACCCCCGTATGGCCAATATGCCGGAGAACAAAGTCCACCTCGTCGGTAGCTGGAGGACTGAGGTGGGAGACTGCGACACCTTTGGTAGGGGCCTGCTGACCTGAACGATGTTTAACACAACTGGCTGACATGATACAGTACATATCTGGGAATACCAACGCTACACTGGCTATCACGCCTCCTTGCACAGCATTTCCCACCATCCAGAGTTCCCAGAGTTCGACAAGAAACTGAAATCCCTCATCTATACCAAGAAGGTTTCACTGATGCAGGAATTTTCCTTCTGGCCAACAACGCCTCCACGGAAATTGGGCGGTTTGTTCGAACTCCGATCGTACACTTTGCATCCTGGGAACTTGCTCGAGTGGGAAACGCACTGGAGAAAAGGCCTCCGTGCGCGACGCGAGGTGATGGAAGGGGTAGGCGCCTGGTTTGTGCAGATTGGAGACCTCAACACTGTGCACCATCTGTGGCAATTTGCAGACCTGGAGGAACGGAAATTGAGACGTGAGCAATCTTGGGGAGTGGAAGGCTGGGGTGATACTGTCCACAAGACGGTGCCCTTGATCCAGACCATGAAAAGCAAGATCCTAATTCCTATGCCTTGGAGCCCAGTGGGCTAAATTTGTCGCTCAATCAAACGTGATATGGTTTGGAGTTATATACCTATGGATATGCTTTTGAGGCAGTTCTTGCATACAGTGGTGCCTGTCCGAAAGTCCTATTCAAGGAAGGCTTATCGACTATGACTAGCTCAATACATCAAGATCAGCGAGACCGTCTGTCAGAATAGGAAAACGTCAGCACTGAGCAGGGCGATATTTTATAGATATGAAGGCCTTCGTATATCGTTCAACCCTCATCATGTCTACATCCTAGCCACTGCCAGTTATACCGCTGCAATACAACGACGCCGGGGGTATCTTTCGTTAGTACGCTCTCGCTAGACTTTCCCGAATTGGCCGCCAGCTTAGTCAGGATCAGTAAAATTCCAGTACAGTACCTGTTTCGACAACAACTGCCACACTAAAAGGCAAGAAATATGTAATACGCTAGTGCCAGCTGGGAAAGGTGGAAATGATTACGCGCTACTCTACTTATGTACTAGTGTGCCACTAACGAAAGTTTGCCCAGAGGTGTTGTAGACATTACCGGACTATACGACATGCTATTGGCGGAAGAGCGAGACTGGCCACTAGTGCCACATAATTCGCGTTTACCACTTGAGGCGTGTTATACTATTGCTCCATATGGACTAGCTCAAGGGACTTTTTTTATTCTTCGCATGCGCCTCTCGAAAGTCCTTGTGGTATGCGAGCCTCTATCAGTCGGTCTCCCAATCGTTCGTTTACTTCGGCGGCTTCCCATCGACAGTGAGGGCGCGACGAGAAATGCTCTCTCGTGCCAGGCCTACGGGCCCTCTGCATCACTGCCACTATCGACAGGACATCCAAACCCTTCTTGAGCGAGGGTTTTGTGGCCCTGCCGTGAGTCTACGGGTTGGCTTGTCTGCCAGTGGGCCCTTTCGATGTCGCCAACGAGCAGCATCACCGCAGCCTGGACAGCATGTAAGAGCTTTTACGAAGGCAGCATCCAAAGGATTTCGTACAACATCGAAAACATCATCACCGTCCACTGCTGGCCCCAAGGAGCGATCAAACCCAGAAACCACGGCGGCAGACACACCACCGGTCCTTGACGCCCATGCCCTCGACACCTTACAAGAGCTGGAAAATGCTCTTGGTAGGTCGATCGATGAAGCAATTCAAGATGATCGTAGGGAGCACACGGCAGCCTTCGACTCTGTTGCAAGTCTGAGGGCGTCTGGAGCGTCCCTAGAAGAGGTGGTTCGCAGGGCTAGACAAGTACATGGAGATAGCCTTCCTGACTCAGTTCTCGAGGATGCCGAGTTCAAAATCTATCGGAGACTTTACGGTGACCCTGCGGCGCCAGAGGGAGACGAATTTGTGGACGAAGACGATCTCGATTCGGATGACAGCACGCCGGCGAACCAGCTCTTTGACAGAGAGGGAACACTTGTCGATTACAGTCTATACGAGGCACGGGAACGTACACATATGGAAGATGCCAGTGAACAAGAACAGGAAGATTTCGATCACCTTGACAGCAGTGAACGAGAAGGGACCGATCGACGCGACCCTCCAAGGCCCGTCCGGGGCGGTATCGACTTGAATCTCGAAAGGGACGTGACAGGCAGTCTCCTGGCTTCTCCCACTCACAGAGCGATGGAGGTGGCTCGACTCCTGGACGGCGAAGTGGCCGAGGACATGGACAATGAAGAAGATGTGGAAGAGGAGACGCAAGCGCGGTTTCATCCTTTGACTACTCTCGGCAAGTTTGCCACCAGTCCTAAGACCGTGTTCCTATCGCAGGAGGATTTTGTGCGTCCGGTGGCGAACATCATGAAGGATTTCTCCAACAAGCACCTGAAGGAAACGTGCGAAAAGACGTTCGGCGGACCTGGCCTACCTCATTCCCCGTTGACACCCAGATCTGGACGAACGAAGCCACAAATCCCTATTCCGCTGGATGTCACGCAACACAGTATGGGGGAGATGGAAGCCAACGCATTCCTTACCACCGTCATGCCTCCCACCTACGCCGCCATAATGTCTGTCCTGGTAGAAACCCGCAAGCGCTTGGGATCGACGTGGCTGAATCAACTTCTCTCCAAGGAAGGTGGGCCTCGCGTTCTCGATGCTGGTGCAGGCGGCGCTGGCATCCTCGCCTGGCGAGAGATTGTCAAGGCTCATTGGGACTCCATGCACTCTTCCGACCGTGACCCGCCGCCATGTCCAGCTTCTAAATCAGTCGTCCTTACCGGGTCGGATACTCTGAGACACCGAGCGGCCGCCCTCCTGGACAACACCACCTTTGTCCCCCGACTTCCCGACTATGTGCACACACGAGACGCCCCGACGCTGGATGACGATCGTCCAGCACAGCCACGAAAACAGTTTGACGTGATCATTGCCTCACATTCTCTGTTTGGACTGCAGGAAGAATGGATGCGGAAACAACATGTCCAAAACCTATGGTCCATGCTGAGCAGCGAGAGAGGAGTTTTGATCTTGATTGAAAAAGGAGTGCCCCGAGGATTCGAGGCTATTGGCGGGGCCAGGGAGCTTCTTCTAGAGAGGTACATTGCCGTCCCCAAGGGTCGCAGGACAGGATACAGCGCGGGACATGACAGCGACGACGTTTTCACAAGCGAAACCGGTATGATCATAGCACCATGCACGAACCACGAAAAGTGCCCCATGTACCATGCGCCGGGCATGTCGCAGGGGCGCAAGGATTTCTGCAGTTTTCAACAACGGTATACTCGACCAAGTTACCTCCAGAGAGTTCTGGGCGCCAAAGATCGGAACCATGACGACGTGGACTTTTCATATCTTTCGGTGATGAAGGGAGACGATCTCCGTCAACGGCAGCTGGGGTCCTGGGACAGCCTCCAGGACGGCGTGGGGGCTCCCTTGCACCCAGACCCCCAGGTTCTGGGCGAGGACTACGAGGCTTGGATGAGAATGTGTCAGTCAGGCTTTGATGAGGTCGAACCTGGCACCACTCTCGAAGACACGGCGTCCACCAGCTTGCCTGCACCTTGGAGCTTGCCCAGATTGGTTTTCACGCCCATGAAGCGTCGTGGTCACGTCATCATGGACGTGTGTACCCCAGCCGGCAAGATCGAGCGATGGACCGTACCAAAGTCGTTTGGGAAGCAAGCGTACCACGATGCGCGAAAGTCTCAATGGGGCGATCTGTGGGCTTTGGGCGCAAAGACACGCATTTCCCGCTCCTTGAGGCTGGGTGGGCCAGACACCAAGGAGGCCAGACGTGCTAGAAGCCGGAAAGAGAGGTTGGAAAACCAGGCCGAGGACTTGATGGAGAAGTTGGAGCAAGAGAAACTCGCCCAGATGGATGAAGCTGTTGAATTTGCCCGTGATATGGGTATTGCTGACACGGACGGAGTTGATGTCTACGCTCCAAACAAAAAGACCAAAGCCAAGCTTGAGAAGTCCAGCAACAGCACCACATCTTCCAAAGCACAGGCAGCCCCAACTCTGCCATCCTCTGGTCTTTCCGCGGACTCGGACTCTGGCTCGTTCAGTTTTGCATTTGACGATTTCGACGAAGAAGAACTCAATCCAGTTCCTCCGTCCAAGAAGGCTAGCAACGGCAACGGCATCGACAACGACAACGACAGTGATAGTTTGAAGTCTACGACGACGACGACGACATCCAGCCGCCACCGAAACCCACACCAAGTCCCCGACTTCGGAACAGGTCGGTACGACGACTTCGCCGAAGAGAACCTGCGCCAAATGGAGGCCGAACTGGCTGACCCGCTGGGCTACGCAGCCAAAGGCCCGCGCACCATGCGGACATATTCCAAGTTCGCCGTCCGGAGCGAGAAGAGACGAAAGGCCAAAGTTGGCCGGAGCGCCAGACGTGGACGATCGGGATTGTAAAGAAAAACAAAGGAAACTGGCGTGGACTCGGTCGGAGTCGCCACTAAAATATGAGATACTAGGTATACTGTACCTGGCACAGTCAAGGTTCATTGTATGTGGTCGGTCTACTGTACCTCCGCTGGAATAAAAGGAGGACGAAGAAAAACCGAATCAAAGAAAGGCTGGCAACGCAACACAATATATCTGGACACAACACACAGCTCACAGTATAGTAGAGGCTTGGCTGAAAGAATAGGACCTTGTACTTGACTGCTGGGGGCCTTGGGGGCCTCGGAATCTTCACTTGGAACAATACAATGTAGATAATCCCTTCTCTATATGAACACCCTGGTTTGGACGTCACGACTCCACCAGAAACAAATGCAACAAGATTAGATGATCAAGAGGTCAACCAACAGCTCTTGACAGAGCGATCGCTTCGAATATATAACTAGATGCCTAGAAGGTAATTGAAATATACAACGTTATACATTCCAAGTTGTATACAGTATCCACTTGTAGATTACGTCTTGTCTTTTGAAAGTCAAATGACATGAGCCGTCATAATGGGCTGGTGCCAGAGTGCCGGAGCACTACTACTACGAACTGCCCACCTACATACTTGTCGTGTCTCTACCAACTTCCATTGCCTCCAATGTAGCATTGTATATGATTCCAGTTCACGGCCCCATGGCACGGCCTCTTGGCTTAAATCTGTTCCCGCAAGGTTGCGACCGCTGTGAGAGACTGGCAGCGTGAGAAACATGTCCGATGGCAGCGCCTCGTCCTCGTCTCCCCCGTCACTATCTCAACCCATTAACGACACCACTCCACGGCGGCTGTTGACACTGTGCAGCGTAGGGGTGGCCCGACCCTTCCAACGCAAGAGGTGGTCGCCATCACTCCTACGACTAAGTCCATGGACATGCGTCAAACTCGGCACGTTCCGAGACCTCTGCGAAGCACGAACAATACAATTCATCGCTTCCAATACGTCGATTCCCGTGCCCAAAGTGTACTGTTCATTCCAGAGAAGGGACAAGCGGGATGGAACCACAACCACATACATTGTAATGCAACGGATTCGCGGCCAGACCTTGGCGAGCGCGTGGCCGACACTGTCTGCCTCATCAAGGAATAAGATCTTGCTGCAGCTGAGACACTTTGTCCAGGTGATGCGAAACTTACCTTGGCCCAAACGCGAGTACAAGATATCAAATGTTGACGGAGGCTCGCTTTGGGACTGCAGGCTCGTGTCCGGCGTGGATCGATTTGGCCCGTTCAAAGACACGCTGGCCTTTCATCTCTTTCTTCGCAACGGCCTCGAAAAAGCGCCGCCAGAGCTCCCAGAGGTTGATGAGATGATTAAGCTACAAGCACGAGATTGGGGCCCGGTGGTCTTTACCCATGGCGACCTGAGCAGTTTGAACATCCTCGTCAGGGGCGATCGTATCGTCGGCATAGTCGATTGGGAGACCGCTGGCTGGTTCCCGCCATACTGGGAATACTCGACTGCGTGCCAGGTTAATCCTAGAAACACATTCTGGGCCGAGTGGATTGATCACTTCCTGGAACCGTGGCCCGACGCCCTTGAAATGGAAAGAGTGAGACAGCGATGGTGGGGAGTCATTTGACAACACGTGTGCGACGGCTTCCCTTTTACTGCTTGCGTTCGAGCAGGCAGGTCATATTTTGGTCAGGACCCCTTCTGCGTTGTGAAGATAAGAGGTGTGAAGTCAGTCTGAACAAACCGAAATATGTGCATGGCCGGTTTGCCGAACGACCTGGCCCGTTCCATTGTAAGACTCTGGGTTCCGAGCCACTTGTTGACCCTTTGAAGCGCGATCAACGCTTCCATGACCCATGAGAAGCAGTTCCAACTCTTGTTCGGTTCATCTCACAGGTAGGCGCTTGACGCAGAATCGAGCTTGGTTTAAGCGAGCACACACCATCTTGGACTTACACCGGGCCAACAGCATGTTTGTGGGCAGGTAGCAACGTTGAACTTCTTTTTGCTTCAATGGTCCATTGAACAGAACACCTGGTATGCAAACTGTCATCATCTAGCAGCTCCTGTAGCCAAGCGACAGCTAGGGAGGGAAAGTGCAGGTGAGCTGAGCTTTCGCACAGTAGTCGATGGTCTTCCGACCTTCAAGAAGGAATCGATAGATAGGCAAGGACCTCTTCTTTCCTTTCACACAACTCCTTGACTGCCACTGCCAGTGTCCTGCTCATAGAAATCATACTTCTTCGACCTGATTTTTTCTCGTCTCCCAAACAGGTCCATATTGAGCAAATCTACCTTACATATCCTTTAGCATCCGCCAGAGTCCAGTCTGCATGGTTACTGCGGAACACGGACAAACTCACACGGAGAGCCCCTGCCCCAATTCGGATTCGCAGCTCTGCCGGTAAAGGACGAAAGCAGGTGAGATGCTCCACGGGCAACATTTCGAGTCTCGATAGCCGCTGTATTGGCGAGCTGCACGCTTCACTCCGGGTTGCAGCGTGTTGTACAACCAGCCACTCCAGTACCCTGGAACCCATCGCCCGTCAGCTCGCTCCCCCTTCCTCTCGTTGCCGGCCAGGTTATGCGCTCGGTTTTACGGAAAGATTGTTTGGGCCGCTTCCATACCACAAGAGGGGTGGATAGTTTCAGTATGTGCCCACTGACAGTGAGTGCGAAAGAAGGTACACAATGTATCTTGAAGGTTCAAGTTGTGGCTTTCAGCTACCAGTAGCTAGCTACCTTAGCTACCTAGGTATGTATCATTCTCTGTACAACAGCACAAAAGACATTATCTCACTATATGAGAACACGAACGCCATGCCAAACTGAAAGCTTCCTTCCGCCGTGCCGGCTCAAAAGACAAAAGGAAAAAGGAAAAAAGAGAATGAAGAGAAAAAAGCGAAAATTGAGAAGAGAGACAAAAGATTCGTGGCAGCAAGGTATCGTGACACTGACTCTTTCTTTGGTCGATCAAACCCAGTGACAGACCAATCAACCAACCCATCCATGCATCAAACCACCTGTGTCACCAATTAATTGTTTGGTGGGCTATACTCGGAAGTTGTGTAGTCTTTCTCTCCTCCTCGTCCTCCTTTTGTGTTGAGGGATGAAAAAGCGAAACAGAGAATGAGGAGAGACGCCATTCAGGTTTTGAAACGGGGCAGAATTGTTTCTCTTTTTCCACTTTGCCAAACTATCCTGTACGACTGGAGTTGGATGATTTTCGTTGATGCACGCGCAACTAAGTCGCACTGATGCCGGCATCGGTATCGATGAATTAGGCCTCTGAGTCTTCGGCAGACTGGTCTTGATGCTCATGCTCATGCTCATGCTCAGGCTCGGGCTCATGCTTGTTCTTATTGTCCTGTGATGCCGTCGACGGCAATGCCGCTACGCTATTGTTGTCCAACAAAGATGCATCGTCATCAATGTCCTCTGTCAGATCCAGATCCGAATCCAGATTCGAGTTCAAATTCATGTTCGGACCTGTCCGTAGACTTTGGACGGGCGTCGGTGTGCGGGGAGACTGGAGACCACTAGCAGCTGTTGCCGGTCTGGCGACAGAAGGGGTTGATTCATTCTGTTGGCTGCCATCTTGGGACAGACCCTGTGATTGTGGCTGCGGCTGCGACGGACTCTGTATCTGTGACCCAGGGCTCTCGCGTTTCTTCTCCTGTTGTCGACTCGACAGAGATCGAGGCTGCGAGCTCCATGCTCTTAGAGGCCGAGGAGCTGCTTCCGAACTGAACTTTCGAGCTTGTTGTTGTACTGGGGATGGAGATGCGATTGCTGATGCTGCCGCCGGCGAAGGTACCGGTCTCATGCTAGGCGGTGGGACGATGGCTGGTAAGGACCAACTCGAGCTTGTCGGCCCACCACCACCCCTTTGGTTCGTGCTTGGAGGAGTCATGATGCCTGAGAGAAAACTCGCGGGGCTCCCGACATTGGACTTGGACGGCGTCTGTGTGTGACTGCTGCTGGTGCTGCCTGCTGTGGCGATATTAGATGCCGAGTCTGATATGCCTCCAATCGATGTTTCACGAGCTTTTCGCCAATTACCCCATGCCGCGGCTGCCGCTAGTGGAAGTGCCTTGGGAGATTGAGCATATGTCGACAGCGCGGACGACAATGAGGGAAAGGAAGTGGTCAAGGAGCCGGATCCAGAGCCCGCGGCTGTACTGCGTTCTCGAATCTGTTGTTCCATCTGCAGATTGGTCTTGAGCCGGATTGCGGCATCCTTGACCGAGTCTCGATCGAAATCTGGCTGCGAGGAGACAATGTTGATGATGTCTTCGAGGTCGTCAATGCGCACATTCAACAGCTCTCGAAGCCAACCGACTTCCGCCTCGCGCTCTTTGAGTTTTGTGGGCGCCTCCATGTCCACCGCGGCAAGATCGCCTTCGAGCTTTTCAATCTTTTGCTCTCGGTTCTGGAGTTGGTCTTGCAGGACCATGATGGATTCTCTAAGAGCTTGAGGAGAGATCTTCTCCGGCACATCGGATCCTCTTGCTAAAGAAATAGACGCGCTTGTTGCCCGTGGAGGCGGAGATGCAACGATGGAGGGAGCGGGAGTGGGGACATCGACCCCTTTCGCGGCGGCAGCTTCTGCCGCTGCCCTGGCCGCTGATTTCGTGATGGCCAGTCGTTCCTCGAGGTCAGCGATCTTGCTTTCCAGATGCTTGACTTTGTCGTTGCTCAAATTCAGCTTCTCGTTGAGATGATGCTCAAGCCGTGTCCGGTTGTCGAACGAGTTGTGCAGCTCCCTGGTGTGACGGTCGCGCAGGTCATTGAGCTTCTTTTCGTGGGCCTGATGTTGGTCTTCAAGCGCACTTTCTCGCTTTTCGTTGGCTTCACGGAGTGCTTCCTTGTGGGCCTCTATGGTCTCAGCCATCAGTGCGTCATGTTTGGCTTTTTGGTCTTCGATATCCAGCTCGGCGTGATCCAGGCGACTTTGCAGCCTGGAAATTTGCGCTTCCGAGTCTGTTCGGATACTGTGGAGTCGAGCGTTGGCACCGTCGAGTTGGGCCTGTAATTTGGCAGTAGCAGTGGCCAGCTCAGCGTCTTTGCTGCTGATTACATGAGCCAATTCACGGTCGAGGTTGAACACCTTTGTGTCCAAGGCTCGGTTCTCCTCCTGCAGTGACGCGACCAGCTGGTTCAACCGGGACACCTCGAGTTGTGACTGCTCTAGTGCAGGCTTGAGGTGTAAGCTGCTCTGGAGTTCATTTTCCAGCACGGCCTTGTCCTGTTCCACTTTGTCACGGCGCTTTCGCTCAAGTTCGAGCTCATTCTCAAGGGTCGCCAACCGGTTGTGCAGACGATGTTCCTTGTCCCTCCAGTCTGCCTGCTCGGCATGCAAGTCGTGGACGACTTGGATCATGTGGCCCTGCACACGCTCCAGCTTGTTGCGCAGGGTTCGTCGCGAGTCCGCTTGATCGTCCAGTTGCTGGCGGAGTTGACGCAATGTTTCCTGGAGTTCCTTGTTTTTCTCACGTTCGAACCGAACGTCCTCCCGCCATTGATCGCTCGAAACACGATACTCTTCGAGGGTGGTCTCCAGTGCCGCGTTCTTGAGATTGAGCGCATCCACTTCACCCTCGAGGTTCTTGTATGCTTCTTTCTCCTCGATAAACGCCTGTAGGGAATGTTGCGCCTCTTCCGATGACTCCCGATGCTGCGCGGCCTCCTCCTCGGCTATGCGCAGCCGCAAATTCAACTCCGTCACCTCTTCTTCGGCCTGTCTTCGTAGACGAGCTTCCTCGGCAGCATGTTCTTTGGATATCTTGAGCATGCTTTCAAGGCCATCGATCTGTGGCTTATACTTCGTATCATCCTGATCTTGTTGGACTCTGGATCCCCGTAGCCGAGGATGATGAGAGATGACATCTTCGACAATCGCCTTAAAGTCTAACTGGGTGTGATTTTGTTTCTCGGCTTGCTGAGCAGTGATCTGTCTCATCTCTTGCACCATCTGGTTGATCTCGGTCATGTCTATTGAAGGTTGCGGCGCGACCGGTGGCTGGTAGGCTGCCAAAGCTTCGGCGACGGCGGCGCGGATCTTATCTTGCCTGCGACCTCCTCTTCTAGCCGCAGGAGATTTGGCCCTGTAGGATGCAAAGCCTTCGAAAGCGTCGTAATGTTCCTCGTCTTCGTCTTCATCGTCGGCATCAGAGTCTTGGGGCTCAGTGGACATGCTCCGTCGACTACTCTTGGGCCTTGAGCTCGTGACCACAGAAGCCAGAGATTGTTGAATGACTTGGAGAGTCTTCTCTAGAGGACCCAAACGATCCTCGAGAAGGCCGCCGACCAAGTCTCTGACATGTCCATCGAAAAATTCGGAACGCAGCCGCAAGTTGGCGTCCTCGGTGGCTGGCAGGGTATCATCCCAGTCACTCACGTCATCCCGCCCGGAGTTCAGGTTGTGTACTCCAATTCCAAGGCCAAATGACGCATCATTATGTGACTGGTCAATTTCAGCTGTTCCAGCTTCTTGGTGCTTTCGAGAAATTGATTTTGAACTTAGACTTGGACTCGGCGCATCGCTGCGAAAGTTTCTATCCAGGCGCATGTCCACGAGAGGCGTTGATTGAAGTGGGGTTTCGCTTCGTTCAATGCCCAATTCCGGATGCACTTCAAATTGCTTCATGACAGCGTCGATTTCTTCAAATGACGGTACGGGTTCGTCCTGGGGACGCAGCCTTGGAGACTGACCGTTGTACTCATTCTTCTCCCGAGCCTGGGGTCCTGGATTTTCGGCTCCGGAGGACTGCGACGAACTCTCATGCTCAGCATCAGAGCCGGCGTTGTCCTCAACGCCACTGACCTCCTCGTATACCTCGACTATTTCTTCCACGTCAGACTCTGAAGATTTCTCTTCTTCTGCGTAGCTATAGGCGGCTTGAGGAGGGGAGGAAACGGTGGCTGTAACCTCAGGAGAAGACTGCTTGGAGTGCGTTGGTACCGCGTATTTCGAGGCTTCCAAGCCCTGGGGCTTCCGAGGGGTTGCAAAGGTTGACGACCCGTGTGGACTCGACGAGGAAGGTTTGAATTCGAAGGGCTGTGCTAGAGCCGACAGAGATGGTTTGGGCTTTTCACCTTGTGCTGTACTCGAAGCGACTTCAGCCTGAGCCTGTGACTCTTCGCCGCCATCCTTCGCCTTCTGTCCTTCGAAGTCTTTCTGCACTTCTTGCTTCAAGCCACCTGCCTTGTCCGCGTTGTTGGTTTCAATGTCCTCCTGTGATGTAGCTTGGCGATGAATGTCCAGTGGACGCGCTTCGTCAAATTTGACTGCATCTCGCTGATCCTTGAAAGTGAACCCTGATTCGCCGGCGGGCACATGCCCATCCTCCTTCTGAGGAACAGGTGTTTCGGCCTCGCTGCTCTGTGGCTTTTCCTCTGCGGGAATATAGCTCCAGCCATCCACAGGTTTCTGTGGAGTTTCCGATCTCGGTTCGTTTGCCTCGACGTGGTCAACAATGTCCGACAGGATTCTCGAGTGGTTGAAAGGGGCCGAATCAGCAAAGACAGGACTGGCATCTCCATCACTGCTTCGTCGTACTCGCTTTTGTCTTTCCGTAGGCGGCATAGGCCGCCCATCGTCTTCCTCTGCGTCGGTGTCGGTGCCTGATCTTCCGTAATCCCTCGTTTTTGGTGGAACGATCGGTACGGCCTTGGTTGCTCGTCGAGATACCTTTAATGTTGAATCGATGACAACCTTCCCAAATATGCTGTTCGGGACGTTTGAGGCCGCTCCCGTGGGATCAGTAACACTTCTTTTCACATTTACGATGGCCGGTCTGGTGGGGTTGAACTCCGGCGCCTTGACATTGAAGGTGGCGGAGCTGAATTGGAACGGCGTCTCTTTCACAGGCTTTTGGGACACCGAAGAAGGGGTGAATGGAGGCGCTTCCACATTAAGGTGCGACATTGAAACTCTGCTCCTCGCGGCAGGTTTTTGAATGGAGGGCAGCGGCGCAGTGGGAGGCAGACCGAACGGAGTGAAAGGGTCCCCTCCGAATGAGAAGTTGGTGCTCAAGAAGCCGGCCCGAGGATCGAATGGCTTTGCCTCCACGTTGAGCTTTGTTGTCTGGGGGCGATCCTGACCAGCTCTAGGTTCTGCTTTGGCGGCGTCGCTCAACGCTTGCCAATTGGCAAACGGATTTTTATCGTCCATGAGCATTGGAGTTGCAGCTATGCTAGGGTTGGTCTCGATCTCGGATTTCTCGTCTGTGATCGTTTCAGGCCGCCTGAGGATCGGAGGTTCGTCGTTTACGGACTCGTCCATGGCAGAGCCGTTCCTTGCAATTCCATCCAAGTGCCCAGTCACCCCAGATGAGTCAGCTTCATGCTCTGCTTCCTTAGCATACAGTGCAGCCTCAGCTTCATCAATTTCCCTCTGTAGCGCTAAGCTAAGATTTTGACGATGACTCTTTGGTGTAGGATGTGCGATCTCCAGAGGCGGCCTAGAATCTCCATTTCGCTCCTTCGTATGAGCCAAGCTCTCGACACGCGGAGGCAGTCTAGGGCTGGGTGTATGCCGATTAAGGCCCTGTGGGAGCGCATGCCCTTGTGATACCATGTAATTAGGCCGGCCTTGTTCCGGACCAAGCTTAGCCCCTGGACCGCGCATGTCCAAGCCTCCTGACTGGGGCACGGGCGACAAGACTTCCCCAACATTCGGGAGACGTAAGGGGTGGTTAGGCGAGAAGCTGTTCTGACGAGAGGACAGGGGCTGTATTTTTGGTTGAATGCCTGGAGGGAGTGAGCCAGGCTGTGAAAGATGAGGGTCGAATGAAGAGGGAATCCCACCACGAACGTTGGGAAGGGCAATCGACTGTTTGTAACCATGTAGAGGCTGCGGGCTGATGCCGGCTGATGATATCAGAGATGGAGAGAATGGATGAGCTCCCGCTTTCAGAGCATTGCTTCCAGAAGACGAGGGAGCAATAGGAGGCGAGTGGGCCAACCCTGGATAAGTTGAGGACACTTGACTCAAGGCGGGCGAAAAAGGTGACCTGGTCGGCGGCGGGGCTTCCGAATTGCTTGGACTGACACCTAATGCGCGCAGCTTTTCCTCCTTCAAATGATTTACCCAGGACTCCCATTCTGCTTGATCGGGAACATGGACTTGAAACTGGCGTGACTTGCGTTCGGCCTGCAGTTCTGTTGGATCCGGATAGATCGCGCGGCTCTGGCCACTGCTTTCGATCGGTGCACCTTCAGGGAAATCGGGGTCTGAGCCATCCACGCGATATCCGGCTGCAATCCAACCTTGTATTCGGTCTTTGATCTCTTGAGCCGTTAATAACGGTGGCAGACCCGCAGATTGTCGGTCGGTCAACGGTAACGCAATGATACAAGTCTTGCCCCTCCAGACCACTTTCTTTTTTGGCCGCTGATATGACTGCATTGAACCAGGTCGAGGCCGCGCCGCTGGAGCTGGACTGCCCGACAGTTTCTCCCCCTCTTCAACTGCTGACACATTTATAGCAACGGCCGGGGCAGGCTTCTCCTCCATTTCGACACTGCCACGTTCTTGCTCACCCATGCTGGTCTCCTGAGACGGAGACGGTGGTCGACGCCGATGTTCAGACCCTAACGGGGAAGTTCCCAAGTCATGGAACGTATCAGGGGTGATGGTCGCTAGGCTCTCAGTCATACGGTGCTTTTTCGAAGATCGGTCCACGCTTTCCAACCCCCAGGTGTCGAGGTACGCTTCACGGGTTGGGGTAGTGGTCGCACTTGTGTTGGAACCGCTTTCCTCAGATTCGCTCAACCAGTTCTGTCTCTCCGAAAGCGCGTTCCGGAGTCTTCTCGTCGTAGACAGACGCTTCCTGCGCTGGGTGTAATTTTCGTCTTCAACTGCGATGTACTCGTCGAGATGGCCCGTGGATCGAGTCCTGCCCAGTTTCTGTTTCGAAGCGTATGGAGATCCGGAGTCTACACCAAGAAATCGACCGCCAGAATGTGCAGTGTGAGGCGACCCTCGAGGACTTGGTGTAGCATACGGCGATCCCCAGGCCGCAGCGTAGTATGCACCGCTCCCTGCCCGCTGCCGTAGATACTCGGGAGACGTGACTGATTCGGACGGACAGCGCTCGCGACGTAGGGTTGGGAGAGGAGGGAGAACGAAAGGTGAGGTCCCGTGAGATTCGGAAGGAGAGGACGACTGATTCCGAGCTCTGACTTGGAGGGGGCTTGACGAAGCCGGCCCGGAATGGGAAGTTCTAGGTCTGTGTCGAGGGGCCGTAGGACCAGTCTGAAGGTCGATTGCCTCGTCGTTCATCAACGGTGATTGATGTAGGCCGGTAGCAACTGTAAGATGGCGGAGGTGAGGCACTCAATGCCCGCAGACTTCAGATTGACATGACAGACACGGCCCCAGAGACTAACCACACTGCCACGGAACACAGTGGTTGCGTTTGGGAAGAAAAGATGGATGTCAAAACTCAAGAGTCGGTTCAGCTTCGATGGCTGCCCGTGCTACTGCTGGGTGGGCAGATTGATTTGATTTGGTTCCACGTTTCGAGTCCAAGTTGTTGGTTGTTGGTGGTGGACCGAAATTGGGAAATCAGGCCGGGTTGGAATCGAGGCACCAGGCGATGCTTTGGGAGTGACGCGACACGCCAGGCTTCTTAGCAACTTCTTAGTCGCTTCGTAGCCGCTTCTGGCGCCGGCGCTGTCTGGGGCCCTGAACGGGGCGTGGCAGGCCGGCTGCTGCCACCGTCCAACGGGAGCTGCAAGGCTGCCCGGGATCAGCCTCTGCCAGCCAGGGGTTGACTTCTCTAACTTGAAAGTACCAACTTTGGCCTGTCCCGACTGACAGAATTCTCCGATCCAGGCCTGAACATGCCCTCCTACTGCTATTGGTACAGCCATGGTGCAGATATCTGTATTTGAACGCTGGTAGTTGTTGTACCTGTACTTCCCACCATCAAGCAAATGCTATATTGCTCAGTCCGTGAACACGTCAGCCCCGTTGGCCCTTTTGGCTGGACTTTCTCCTATTCAATCAATACCTAATTAGTATCATTCATTTCCTATGCCACATGCCCGCCATCAGCACTTCCGTCGTTAAGTCGTGAGAGCATCGAACCCTGCTCAGGTTGATGCCAGGATCTGCTAAGAGTCATAATATAACGGGGTCGCTTCAGAATGCCACAGTCTCGCCGAACCTCGAAAAATACTGGCATGTTGCATCCGTCGCTCTCGTCGCATCGAATCGTATGCTTCGATTGTCGTATTCCACATTCTTCTTGATTTCATGGAAACGGTTCGCTTCTGGCACCACATCCCCATAAGCCAGGCCTTCTTCCTCCAGCACCATGATTCTCCGCGCGAGCACGGCCATGATAGGGCCCTCCCAGACTCCCTCCTTGCCGCTTCTTCTTAATTGGGCAATCGCCCGCCGTCGAATATCCCAGTTTCGACACTTGCATGCGACAAAGAATAGAGGGTGGATAATCCCAAGTTCCATGGTGAAAGGGATGTGGTCAACATCTAGAGGGCCAGCTTCCGGCATGCCGAGGGCGGCGGTCATCTGTTCGACTTTAGACACCATATCCTCAAAATCATCTTCAAAGGCATCGAACGTGGTTTCCGGCCCAGAGTCTATGCATGTCTTGAGCATGATAACAGCCGTCTTGATTTGCAGTCGTAGTCCTAGTAGGCTTCGGCTGTCTGCGTCCGACAGTTGCGTGGCCTGGGACTGAAAGAACTCTTCTAGAGCCGGGGTCCACGAATCAAAAATGCCGATCGCGTCCTGTCGTTGAAGCTTCCATTGCATGGGTACCGAGTCTGCCGGCCAGTATCGGAACATGCGCAAATCGGACTTGACTAGCTGGTACACCGATACAAGGAGGTTATCGAGATGATTTCGTACTTGATCCAGACTGAGGTTGGTAGGTAGGACCAGCGGGACGGGGTCCACGTGAGTTGACAGGGGCCAGGCTTCGTCTTTGGAAAATGTGCATGCTTGAATATCATATCGTGCAAAGACGCGCAGCATCTCATCCATGTCGCTCTGGGGTGTCTCTTGAAAGATTGCTTTTGACGGCTGACCGGAGGAATACGGGGTCAGCGAGGAGCTGCCATCTTTGGAACGCTCCATCTCACGGATCAATGCTTTCATTCCGGTCTGGTAGTGGAAGACGGCAGTCATATTATCCCTCCGCAGGACCTCAAAGCATGCAAATAATATACTTGCAATAATGGCTAGCTTGGCGTTTGTCGGGGAGTACACGTTGATTCTCTGATGCAGCTGGTGGACTGCCTTACCATATAGCTTCAGGGCGTCCTGGTAGCTGTCCTCCTTGAGCAATCGGGGAGAATATTGGCCACAACGAATCTGATAATCCTCATGTAGCGTGCCCAGTGCAATGATGGCGTTGCGGATGACGGGTTCGTCTTGACCCACTCGAAGCACGAGCTTGGTCCAAAAGCCAGACTCCGACCCACCGGTGAACGCGGGGACCGTGCAATATTGGAATCGGTGAAAGATGCGACGTTCTTGAGTGGTTCCTTGGAAGGGTTTCGAGATGGAATTGGGTTGATATAGATGTTGGAAAGTCACACGAGGAGGCGCTTGTGGTGGCAATAACGAGGTTGATCTTGAGCTGGCCGTGGCATCCTGGGGAAGAAACTCGTACCCATCGCATCTGCGCCCAGTGGAGGTACATCGCTTGCCTGACACAACGACTTGTGAGCGCCAGTACGCAAGGCAAAGACATCAAGTGACGACCAACTTACAGCTGGGTTTTGCCTCATCACACTTGACGCGCCGTATCTGAAGAGGCAAATTGGGTCAGATATGCGGGTCAGAGACACAATGGTGAATGTTTCAGCTGTACAAGGAGGGCCCGAGCTGTGGCGGGCACCATAGGAAGTCGGGTCCGATACATTATGTATGGATGGGTGTAGATGCTGGTCCGTGGGGGGCACTCACCTTGCAGGTTATACAGCCAGTTCGTACTTTTGGTCTGCTAGCCCGCCTCCTACGGACCGCGACATGGTAGGAAGGGGAAGGTGCAGATCGTGCAACGATTGGTAGACGGGGATTAGAATTCGCGTTGGCATCAGCCAGATCTGTGCCAGGACGCGATGTGGACCTGGCCACATGAGATGGGCCAGCTGGCCGTGAGGGGAGGGAAAGAGCATATGCCCCGTTTGACGACCACATAGCGGGCAGACCTAGCAACAGTGGCAAGAAACTTGTGTCAAAAGTACGAGGAGAGGGGTGTCAAGAGTGGCCTGGATTCGTTGCAAGCGGTGAACAGGATCTGCTGTCGGCAAACTCGTACAATTGAAGTCCGAAGCGGTCCGCGCCTTGGAGGCGTGCGACATGCAGGTACTTCAGGTGAGCTTGGTGGGGAGGAACTTGAACCAGATGATGGTCGTGATATGGTCTTACGAAGAAGCAAAGCGTGGAAGTCAGTGCACGTATATACTGATGGAAAGGGAGTGCAATCCGTCTGGCGTCATGGTCGAAGTCTTTGAAACCTTTCTCTCAAGCATTGAGAAGCTCGGTAGCCTGCCAGGCTGCTTCAGACGTTTGCGAAATTCAGCTGTTTGTCCAGTAAAGGAAGGGCCTTGCAGGGCACAAGATATCAGTCAATAAGGTGAGGCAGATAGAGGTTCTGTTCTCGAATAGGCGTGGTAGATCGATCTCGTTATGCCCGGAGGAGCCTAGCAAGGCGTCTGTTTGGGCAATGCCCGTCGCCAACGCCGACGGCGCAGCGTGTAGAGCTTCGGCGGGACAGAGAGAAACCGAGGCAAAGGACCTGGTTCTCGTCGTTTCTCACCAAGGGAAAGGCATGTAAAGGCGAAGACGGCAAGGAACAACAATTTTGGGTTGCCGTAAGCCAGGAACACAAAAGGACGTGTTGAGGCTGTCAGATCTGACAGCGACAGACTGGATCCAATGTGGCTGATCGTGTGGGACGAAGAAGTGAAGTTGAGGGTCTGAAGTCTGTGCCCGCTGCCAAGTCAGCCGGAGATCCCGACCACGACACGGTCCGTCGGCGAAGCACGGGGCGTCCGATTGGCCCGCTCGTAAGATAGACTTGGGCTGTGCAGCATCTGAGCCAAACTTCTCTCCACTGCAGCACTGCAGTTGCAAATGCCAACATGACCAGGGTCACGAGTGAGCCTGGAGCGTATATGGTCTAAGACTACTAGGTACCTAGGGAGGGTTGCTGGCATAAGAAGCACAGCAGCGATCCAACATTACCTCGGCGCCCTGTACAATGTTGCTTGAGAAGTCCGCAGCCTGAGTGGAGCGTTGTAGCCGGCAGGGAAACCGCGGACAATAGTTGTTCCGTTCCGTGAAGTACGGGCACGTGCGAGGCTCGCAACGCGGTCACTGCAATAAAGTAACGTGCAAGTTTCGCATGTAAACAAGACCAAAGAGAAGTCAAGCATCAGAACAAACAACAAACATCCCCAAGCATGATAGGTACCTAGGTATATGTCCATACCACGATAAGCCGTCATAAAATGGTAAGTGCCCAGCTCTCCTGGAACGTACTTCAGGTTCCGTCGCTTTGTGTGGCGCTTCGCCCACTCACCCACCACCGCCTGGGGTGTGCCGGTTGGGCATATTCACACGTTGACGATGCATAGGCTTCTTCATTCCGGCGTCTCGCCAAAGACTTCGCTGCCTTACAGGCTTCTCTTCCTCCGAATTATCTCTTTCCAGAAAGCGACGACGCCCTCTCGGTTCCTGACGACCTCACACAACTTGTGGTGCTTGTCACGGGCGCAGAAGGCACCCCATATTCGCAAGGACTATGGCGGTTACATCTCAAGATACCGCACGACTATCCCAAGAGTCCTCCAAAGGCGACATTCAAAACCCGGATATATCACCCAAATGTGGAGGAGACGACCGGCGCAGTCTGCCTGGAAACATTGAAGCGAGACTGGGACCCCAAATTGACCCTCAAAGACATCCTGGTGACGATATCCTGTCTCCTTATCCAGCCAAACCCGGACTCGGCGCTCAATGCCGCCGCCGGGGCACTTATACAAGAAGATTACGAGGCATTCTCAACACAAGCGAAACTCATGACCAGAATCCATGCGCCTATTCCTTCGCATCTAACTAGCGCTGTGCAGGAAGCCAAGCGACGTGGTGAGGAGCACGATGCTGAAGAGGAGAGGATGAAGCGGTCAGCAGAGGCGGCGGACTCTGGTACAGAAGACAGAAAGATGGGCCAAAGTAGCAGGAAAGAGAGGGGCCTCCTTAGCAAAGCTGGGAAAGGAAAGCGCCCTCTTTCAGACTTGTCTCTACCCGTCGATGGAGACCAATATAATGGACAGGACAATGCGGCGCCCAACAATACGGAAAAGGCTTGCCCCATCTTTTTGGACGACAACACCGGACAGCGGCCACGAAAGTCGCCCAAGACAAAGCGTTCTGATGGTCCCAATACACAAAACACAACCCAGTTCCAGGTATCGAGTGATGAGGTCGGAAAAGAGAACAAAACCGCCCCTGTCAAGCCTGCGGCTCTTTCTTCTGCCGAAGCTGCTACTTCCAGGCCTACAGCACTGCGGAAGGTTTCGAACGTGGGCGCTAGAAGAAAAGCACAGCCACGTGTGGGAATTCGACGGTTATGATACCAAAGTCAGCGGGTCCATGCATTGGTTAATTATGGGTACTTTGATTCGAGCATTCTTTGAATCTTGTCTTTTCAACCACTAGTCTGAGCGTTCAAGCGAGAGAGAGTGATGACGAAGCAAAAGGGGAACGGCACGTACAGTATGGCATTGAATGGAAAGGCTGGCGTTGACATGGGGGAAGGGTTCCTGGTTAGAGGGCGTTTGCGCAACCTTGTCACTACTGTGTTATTCCCCCACTGCCGGGGACAGTCCATAGCAACCCGCAAAAACAACGACAGATGATTTCCATCCCGCCTGAGGACTTCCTGCCTCGCGACCGGCCTCGACCAGCAAACAATATAGCGACGTCGTCTTGTCCGGCGAGAACAAACAAGCATAAAGCACTAATGGTTGACCAGAACTGCCGGCTGGTATGGAGACCCCTGGATCTACGTTGCTCATGCAAGGGGTTGCGTGCTGGTGACTCTTCCATACTACGCCTCTGGTGACCGAGGGTGTATGTACCTCACCAGGTGTATACCCGGAGTACAGGCTGAGTGGCCAGTCCCTGGGGATCTCATGAAAAACAAGGGGCCCGGTCCAGCCACTGCATCGATTACTAGTATCAACCAACCAGCCCCCAGGATTTCCCAGCGCTAAACCGCAACCAGCCGCCAAACAAACAAAGCTAACCTCGTTAGGATGCTTCCGCCCCCTTCTTCCATCACCACCTGTACTAGTCAACACCGGCCGTCACTGCAGGGCGGCTGGGGCAGAGAGACTACAGAACAACCCAGACAACTGCTGTAGACTCGCCCAATGATAGCCACTGGCAGAGGGACGTATCATTGTGCATCCCAGGTTAACGTGTATCCCCGCCAACATTGTGGCTCCCCGTCTTTTATTGTCGAAAATAGCCACAGGCAGCATTTCGCAGAGCCCTTTCCATGCGCTTCCTGCAAGGCCGGAATGCAGTAGGCTGGTTGCGGCGCAAAAAAGGGGGGTGGGATGCATTCGCTTTAAATGTTGATCCCTGGCTTGAAGACAGCAACAAGCTATATATGTGAACAGTAGGTCAGTGCCCAGCTTTCTGAAACTTGACTCAGACCATCATCCGATCTTCGAGAACACAAGGACCTACCTATCTAGTACTACTCCATACAAACTACTACATTGACCACTTCAGCCCTAATCAGACGTCCTTTTCACCTCTCCTTGCAATACAAGACCATACTTCGCCTGCACGAGCATTGATTGCCCCCTTTGCACCACCACCTCTCAGACCGAGAAAAGGACATAGAAAGAATAACAGCGACACGAACCCATTCCATCCCTCCGTTCCCTGTTTTCAAAGTCCACCCCGCAAAAATGCATCCCACACTCTTCTCATCCATCACCACCATCCTCCTACTTCTGCAATCTCAATCCACATTCGCGGCTCCAGGACCCCAGCAGGGCCAAAGCGAAGACACAACCGCTACAGTGCCAGCCATCTCACAAATCCCCGATGGCCAGATTCAAGCAGCAGCCACAACTTCATCTGACGGCACTTCATCTTACGAGAACCCCTTCACCAGCTACACCAGCATGACCAATTCATTGGGCGTCGTCACAGGCATGCCGTCCGTGGTGACCAGCCAGCCATCAGTGGTCACGAGCCAGCCCGAGGTCGTCACCAGCCAACCTGTCTCGCCGACTTTGCCTAGTTATTCTGGCTTTGCGTATGGGAACAGTACCACCGGCACCACTACTCAATCCGCAACCGGATCAGCTTCTGCTTCCGGATCGAGCAATACTGTGCAAACCGAGTCCTCGTCATCGTCGCCCACAACTTTGGCCACTAGCAGCAAACCCGGCTCGAGCAGTGGTAGTGGTACCGCGAGTGCGAGCGCTACTATTGCCCAGGCCACGGGTGCTGCGGTGCCAGTGGTTGCGAATAAAGTCGGCGGCGTGGGGATTACCTTGTTTGTTCTTGGAATGGGGTTCTCGTTGCTGTAAACCGAGGTATGGATGTAAATTGATGAATGTGATGTGATCTGTGAGAACGAAAAAAATGCAAAGTAATTATTGAGTTTGGAGTATAATGGGCTTCAACTGGGAAAATGGGACAGACAAAATGGCACTGGGTATTGATCAGCGATTGGGAACGATATATTTTGGAAAGAAAATCGAACGAGACGGAGTAACATGGGGATGTATTTCGGTGTTGACAGGCGGAAGCGCTCCGGCTAATTGGACTCTGTCGGTCATAGTATTGTACTTGGATTGCATAGCTGGAGTTCTTTCGCATTGGATAGGACCGATCGAATTCGATATCTTCCGCCATAATCTATCGTCTCGTTTTTCTTCCTGCTTGAATCGGGTCCTCGCTGACCGTGTATGTAGCTCGGTCTCGACCGTGCTCGGTGTAGAACATTGCCCATGGCTGGCATTGCAGCCGTAGACCGTAGACCTTCGCATGACGATGGGGGCCTTTCTAGCAGCCGAGGCCAGGGCCAGAATTCGCAGCCATCAGGGCCGATATTGAGAACAGCATCTCGAGATGTGCGACAGATGTTGTGTTGTACATCCAATGATACTGCAGCGACCTGCGACAGCGACAGACATCCTGCTGAGGTTATGTCCCGAATGCCATCTGACAGCTACTGGAACCCTTCCCTTGTAGCAACTCCGACACCAGGGCACAAAAGTATGCTGTCCAATATTCAGCACTGAGTTCGCTTCCTTCGTGGCCGAACTGTTCATTTTCCCAGCGCGTCTCAGACGTCGAGGGCTCTATTCTCTGATCCCAACCCGCATAATAACATTCCCCGTAATTCTGTACACTCTTAACTTTTCGCAACCGACGCTCCCTGCTGACGAGCCCAGTCTGCGAACTCTCTCCGCTCCTTTCTAATATCCATAAAGCCCACTCTATCTTCAAGGCCCCGAAACGGATTGGGTTCGCCCTCTCTTTCAATCTTTCCGGCCCATTCATTCCAGCTGACGGGTTTTAAGGATTCAGAGCCAAGGATCAGACCCAAGCATGCAAGTGAAACTGATATGAGTGTCTCCAGTTTGATGTCTAGCGGCAGGGGTGCATTTTTGTGGTATTTCGTGGACAAGATTGAGAATTCGTGCGCCGAATATGCCCTGGATTGGGGGTGGCCTGTCAGTGACTTTGTCTGTGCAGTGGTTGCAGACAGACATGAACTTACGCATGGAAAAGCGACAAGAGCCCGACAAGGACTAGGAGACGTGAAAGGACCGACATGTTACTACCTTGTTGCTGTGTGTCGTGATGCTGCTTCAATACCCTGAAAGTCCACTGTACATGTTGTTGTACGTCTGCTGCTGAGGTGCTGCACCCGGTGATAATGACGGACAGAGCTGAAAGCGTCGCTGCTTTAACAGCGCGCGTGAACCTGGTATCGCCGTTTTAACCACCTATAATATCCACAACTTCAAGGGACTCGATTGGCATGAGATGGTGTGCCCGATGGAGAGACCATCAACAACTTCGGCCACATACCGATGCCAATGATAATGATAATATTCACAAATGGACTCCTTTCCCTTCTCCAGCCGCTATTCCTAACCCCTGTTAAAGGCTGTTCCGGGTGATAACTTCCCTCTCCTGAGTATATCGCTGCATCGGATATAGCCTCCTAAGCCGTGCTCAAAATGCTCGGGTCTATAGCAAGATTTACCAATGACTCCGGTAAGCCAAGCCTGGTGGCCCCTGATACCCAATACAGTACCTGCCTGGCAGATCCCCAGGTCATGAAGGCGAATGCTCTGGAACGTTAACGCTAATGCTGACCGAATTTACGCTTACAAGTCGGTTTGGAGAAGAGTCTGAAATTTGTACAATCCGTGTCGCAAATCGGAGAGAGCATTGCGGCCCCTTACTTCTTTGAAGCCGCCCACTGGACCCTCGCGAAAGAGCAGGTCGGTCTAGGTGAGTGAGCAGTTTGCCGCTCTCCCTCTTTTCCTTCGCTCTCAGCACTTGCGTTGCATTGGGCTGAGAAAACATGCCGAGCCGAGCTCAGTTTCATCGGAGGCATGGCGTACTAACTGGCTATCTGTCTTTTGGCAGCACGCCGATACTTTCGACTTTTCAAGTGGATCGACTGCTTCAATGCCGCTCAGGCAGAATATGCGCGCATCAACAACAAACCAGAAGTCAAGGCCGACGAAGTACATGCACAAAAATTGACAAGAACTAGCTCGGAAGACGATGTGCGGCAGCTGCTCTCTGTTTCCAAGTGGTCGTTCCTCGGCATTTACCTTTTTATGGAAATGTTCACGATCGTAAGTTCTTTTCTTTCTCTCGATCGGGCGGCTGAATCTTCTGTGTTCAAAGATATAAAGCAAAAGAGAGACTCATGACACTAACACAAAATCGCCTTGCCAGAGCAACGCCTTGTCCATCACATCTTATTCCTGGGGCCCAACGCTACAAATGGAATCGTTGAAGTTCTGGTTCTACTCCCTCGCCGTGTCCTTCGTGCTGGGCATCTACGACCTTTGGTTGATGTCCGCTGCCGAATCTGAATCTCAGCCTACTGATACCAGTACGACGGACTCTGGTTCCACCGAAAACGAAAAGGCGACAAAAGGAGCACAAGCACCGCAACACACAAAAGATGCGAGCGCTCAACTGTCTAGCAAGCGGCGAGCAATATACAAGCAAATCGTCCAGGATGGCTGCGACATGCTTATCCCCGCTTCGATCGTCGGATGGGTCCAGCTCGACCCTGTCACGGTCGGAGTCGCTGGATCAATCAGTGCTCTGTTGGGTGCATCTGATGCTTGGAACAGAGTTAATCAGTGATCAAGGAGAAGGAGCTAGCACTAGCTTCGCGGTCCAGTTGCATATGGGGGGCGGGATCGCGATCGCGATCGCCGCTCGGGCAGCATTGACGCTAGAGTGTTTCCAAGCCCGACCGGGGATGTGACGTGCTTCCATGTGGTCCACAAACTGCAGTTGCGTTCTGGGACATGGAGCCAATGTGATGGGGGAGGGGTGCTCATGCAAGGCTACCTTAGGTACCTACGGTACAGGTATCCGGGTGTGACTTGCAGTGAGTGGGTTTGATGGGTGTCACCGAGTCACTGATTGCAACCCAACCCCTGGTGCCCCCAATCTCATCCAAGCGGCAACGTGGCACTGGCAGCGATCTAGGACCGATCGATCTTCCTGGCTTGCAGCATGACCCTGCGTGCAGACAGTCTGATGTGACGGATCGTTTTCGGTTTCGGTTCCCACCCGAGGAGCCTGCCAGGGCGTCTCGACGGTCGTCTGCCTCTACACTGGCATCGAGAGGATCCTCCGTGCAGGTACAAGTAGGGCGGGACAGCTGCGCGCTATTCGTCCGAACGAGTTCCCTGAGTCCGGCTCAGCTCACCCGGGGCCCCTCTTCCCTGATGACCAAGGTTGTACAGATCAGATTGTTGACGGACCATTGGATAGGCGGGCGCATAATGCATTATTTGTTAGCAATCCACCGCTACCAGTGTGACTACCTATGAAGAGGTCATGTAAAGACATGTATGTCATGTTGCCGGAAGTTGTTCATCAGCAAACCCCGTTTCACTTCTGTCGACCACTACAGGGCAACATGCTGATTTCACGGCACAAGTTGAGACGATTGTTTAGTTCCAAGAGCCATCATAAGGAGCTATCCATTGCATTTTCTGTTCTTATTCTATGATACTAGGTGCTGTCTATATTCTCTCACAGTATCGTACTATATCATCATTATCATGGGTGGAAGTCTTTTTGTTCTCCGACCTACATTACGGTGCTTTGCCTTGGTTGGCGATGGCATGACCATCACCCAATTTCGTTGCTTTTTCGTCCTTTTCCTCTTGCTCGGCAGGCATGATCTCCATGCCTAGGCGATCAGAATCCTCCCCCAGCCCAAGAAGGGAAGTCCATGAACACTAAATCCCTAGCCAAGGACCTAGTTAGTTGCTCGCCTGAGACTCCTATTTTCAAGAGAGGATCCGCACTAGTTGGCGTCATTCAGTCATCAAGAGCCGCATAATAACTATAGTCCTGGTTCAGCAAAGGGAAAGCTTCCGGCTCCGGCTGACCGGCAGTACTATGCCAGACAGGGGAGGGCAGACTGGACAGACCACCATCCTTCTGTGGTGTGTCGGAGAAGACATGTTCGAAAGTCTTGGCCCACTGAACGCGGTTGTTGAGACCCTCCAGACCCCAGAGTTCCTGGAGGAAGTGCAGGAACGAGGTGTGGGTGTACTCCGAGTTGGAGGCGTACATGGTGCCGTCGTCGTGGATGAGGGTGTTGGGCGGGATCCAAGGGGAAATAGCAAAGGCGGGAACACGCACGCCAAGGCGGGTGAAGTCGTACGTGACGTTGTGGCCGTCCGAGGCGCCGGAAAACTTGAGACCGTCTTGCGGAGCGGGGATGTTTGTCGGTGGAGGCACGTGGTCAGCAAAGCCGCCGTGTTCGTCAAAGTTGATGATCAGCAGACTATTGTACATTAGCATTGAATTGATTCCAAAACAGAACAGGATAGGTAGTTGCGACTTACACATTATCCCAGTACGAAGAGTTTCGCAGAGCATCATACAAATGCTTGATCATGAGTTCACCGGCGGCCATGTTGCTGGTCGGGTGCATCGAGTCAACAGTACAACATTCCGGGTTGATGTAGGAGAACTGGGGCAGGTTGTTGTTTTTGAGGTCTTCATAGAACTGGTCGGCATGGACAAGACGGTCCATGGCGTTGTCCTGGACCCATTTGTAGATGTAGGCATCAATGATGTCGCTCTCGTAGTAGTTCTTCCAGCTGATGTTCTTGTTGCTGAGGGCCTCAAAGACAGAGGTGGCGCACGTCGTCCCCGTGACGTTGGCGAACCAGCCTGTAGCCTGGGTGTCCTTGTTGTCGACGTAGCCGCACGACGAGCCCGACGTGGCGAACATTCGGTTCGGGTTGGTAGGGCCGGGATGTTCGGCATAGTACGAGTCCCAGAAGGCATAGTTTTGGGCCAGGGTCGCGAGCGTGTTGGACTTGGCCGGGTCGTATGCTTTGATCACAAACGCGCTGTCTCCAGGCGTCGCGTTGTACTTGTCCGACTGGCGCTCGATGAAGCCCGACATGTCGGGGACATCGTCGTTGGTCGGGTCCCATTTGCGATAGATCTCGTAGCTCACGCCGGCGAAGTTGTGGTCCGGGTCCTTGAGAGGTACCTCCGCTTCATAGGGCGAGGCGCAAATCATGATAGGCTCGTCGTATATCGTCCAGTTGGGGTTGGTGAACTCGTTGCAGTAGTCGACCTTGCGCAGGTTGTTGATGTCCGGGTGGAAGTCCCAGTACCCGGCAATGTTGTCGAAGGAATGGTTCTCCATCATCAGATACACCACATGGGTGATCTTGGAGCTGAGGTCGGCCCATTTCGATGACTTGGAGTCAACGGGCGCGCCGATGGCTGAAGACACGAGCGCGAGCGCAGTGGCAAGAGAAATAAGACGTGCCATTTTTGTTTATCGGCTCGTGCGCTCCCTGGTCTTGATGGAAGAGACTGTCCTCGAGCTCGAGACTTACCATTGTTCCTCAACCATTAGCTCGGCTTTTTATGCTCTGCAACTGCGCCGTCGTCGGAGCGCGGTATTCCGCCACCATCCTACCTACCTGTATGTCCTCAGTTGAGGATTGTCCACCTCTCTTCAGCGTCGTTGTCCAATGACTCTTCCTAATCACCACCACGTTGTCTTGAGGTTGGTGATATCCAGAGCTATCGCCGACCTACCCGTTCTGTGACCCATAGCCGAACAACTATTTTCTTCCCGGAAGCGACGTTTGCAGAGCCGACTTGGCCGGCATGCAGACCGAAGAGCATTGCAGAACGAACTATTAGGTTCTGAGTTGTGTAGCTCGAGCTGTGGGTGCGCCGAGCTAAAGACAAGCGCGAACAAGAAAAAGATGGGGAGCTTAGCTACGTAGCTGAGCTTGAGCGGAAACCCGCAGATGCATGGAACAAGGATGGAATGTCGGCAGAAGACGGGCGGACAGGGACCAGGAAGGCATTTAGAGCAGCTATACAACACTAAAATATACTAAAGCTCTTAGCCTATGTTAGTCTTGCATAAGCTTACTTTTTGGGGCCCGGCCCCCACTGGAGGCAGGCTGGAGCTTCTTTTTGCTTGAGATGCTTGTTCCAACGGCCCATCGCTGAGACTCGGCCAATCACCGCCTATACAATTGCAGCTTACGGACAACGTGCACACCAAGGGCACCACCTAGGCATGAACCTGCATTTTCTGGCGGGTCGCTGCATGCGATCGTCACTGAGAGCTGCTGGGTTTCCGTCCCAATTCGGGCAGCCAGCCCTCCAGTCGCCGTATCTCTCTTTTTCTCGCCTTGTCGAAGCGACGCACGTTTCTCAATGACAGGCGAGAATTGGTGCCACGAGCAGGGTGTGACGGAGTTACTCCAGCTTCATGCCTCGTTCCTGTGTCCACCGACGCCATGGGTCCTCGAAGTCCGGTGGGATCATGCATGATGACCCGACAAGGGCTTCTCTCAGCTCGTTGACCTGTTCAAGGCAAGATTTTTTCAGGTTATGGCGATGATGAGCTCCACTGGACGGAATGGCAAGAGCATGTGCTCGAACTGTGATGTATAGGTCTGGGAAGAGAGAGCACGACCGACGTTCGAGCATCCCCCTCGAATTCCAAGTTCTTCTTCTTCCTCTTCCTCTTCATCATCATCAAAGTCACTCTTCCCTTGAGACCTGTTGACTGCTCCCACCAGACAGCCAAAACAAGCTTTGTCTTTTGTGCACTCTTTCCTTAGGCAGAACAGGTTTCGTTTATCCCAAGATCAAAATGTGGGATAGCTTCGAGGACGCCAACGCCATGGCCGCCATGGTCAACTTCTTCCGGCCGAACAAATACGCATCACTGCCCATCACCGATGCCGAGAAGGCAGCGGCACACGCACCGTCCAAGAACTCGCTGACCTCAATCGCCGAAGAGTCGGCCTCAGAGACGAGCAGTCAGCCGTCCGAAGACACGGCGTGCGATCAAAACGACCTGCAAAATGCTCTACTTGGAGGCGACAAGACCAGCAACAGCAACAACTCCATCAACGCCCGCATCGTGTCAGATGCCATCATCGGGCTCTCCGACGGACTTACCGTCCCATTTGCCCTGACCGCGGGTCTGTCCGCGCTCGGCAACACCAAAGTCGTGGTGTTCGGCGGCCTAGCGGAGCTGATTGCAGGCGCCATTTCCATGGGGCTGGGCGGCTACCTGGGCGCGAAGAGCGAGGAGGCAGCATACAAGGCCACCTACCGCTCGACGCAGAGCAACGTCCTAGAGAGCAGCAGTGATCTGTCGTCACAAATCACCAACATCTTCGCGCCTTACCATCTCCCGCCATCCACGCTCAAGGACTTTACGAATCAGCTCATCACCTCGAACAGTCCCGAGACGGTGGTTGATTTCCTCATGCGTTTCGAGGATGGTACCCCTGAACCTGCTGCCAGCCGGGCCGTAGTGTGTGCCCTTACCATTGCGACGGGCTACTTTGCAGGCGGCTTCGTGCCTCTGATCCCCTACTTCTTCGCACACAACGTGACCGAGGGTCTGATCTGGAGCATTGGGATCATGATCTTGGCTCTGTTTGCGTTTGGATATGTCAAGACTGCTTTGGTGGATGGTTGGTCTGGTTGGAGATGCGTGCGCGGCAACTTGGTGGGCGCCGGTCAGATGGTGCTGGTGGGTGGTGCCGCGGCTGGTTGTGCCATGGGCGTAGTGAGATTGTTCAACAACTTTATAGATCTGTGATGATGAACCGAGGGATTTGGGATTCTGTCTTTGATGGCGTAAAGGAGGGTTGAAATTGGAGTTTAGCGGATATAAAGTAGCCTGGGTACTGTGGAAATGTGAACGAGCTCTTTTTTGACGAAAATGAAGTCTTCTGCTTTCTTTCAATGATTGGGCACGTGAGCTTAGATATTGTACAACGGTTACCATACCACGGGGTCCAATAGCTAAAACCGCCGAAGTTGAACTTCAGCATGGCATCATCCCAAGACAATTACAATCAATTAACCCTGCGAGATCATGGATGAGTTGGTACTTACGGTACCTGGTAGTAATTCGTGGAGTGACCGAGGGCAGGCTAACCAAAACCGGAAATGGACGCGTGTGCTGCAGGACATCTAAATAATAAAAGGCACTTTACGAGCGGAATCTGAGAGGCAACAAGTTGTGAGGTTTGACCAGTCTTCATATTATTTTCCTATCACGTGGGTTTTTGTAACCCGCAGGCTGCTAACCAGCCAAGCTCAGCTACAGATATACTATGGGAACATTGCGGACCGAATAATCCATTCCCCTGACTGTGTACAGTGCAGATTTACTCGAAGAAAGCTCGGAAGAAGTCGACCAAGCCAGCACGTTTCCCCGGAGGAGCCTTTGTGGTATTATGAGGGACATCGACACCAGACGCCGGGTCATAGGGGTACGGGCTGCTGTAGTTGTAAGTCGGGGCCTGACCCTTGATAGTGTCAACAACAGACTTGAGGACACCCTTTCCGTTTGCGCATTTGGACGAGTTTGTAGGCACAGGCCAAGTTGGAATATACTTCTTCGTGGACAAGGGACCCGGGTAAGAGGCGTTGTAGAAGATAGCCTCGTCATTGAGATCGACAGCGGCGTTCTTGTAGCCGGTCTTGTTGGCGACGAGCTCGAAGACGTTGGCGCTGCAGTCCCAACGGCCCAGAGACGGCAATCCCCAGTTCTGCGAAACCGACGCAATGGTGGAGTAGTGGTTGTAGAAGGTTGCGTCGGTGGTTCCGCGTAGCTCCTTGGGCACGGCGCCGCCGATCAGGACGGAAAAGATCTTGTTCTGCACGCCGTAGGTCTCGTTCTCGTCAAAGGTCAGTAATACAAGAGTGTCGTTCATGAAGTAGTCGTCTTTCAGCAGAGGCTCGAGCCAGTTGCGCTCCCAGCGGCCCCCGAAGGTGATGTTGGTGTCGTGGGCATCGTTGGTCATGTTGGGCGTGATGAAGGCCCATTGCGGAAGCTTGTGGTTCTTGAGGTCGTTGTCGAAGTCGTCAAATGACTTGATCAGCTTGAGTCGTGTGTCGTTGTTGGTGACGGACTGGTATAGGATCAGGGGGTTGTGCTTGCGCACGTAGTCGTCGTGGAAGGTCTTTTGGTTCGAGTAGTTGTAGCCCTGGAACCCGGCGTACGGAATGTGTTCTTGGTACTCGGCCCATGTGATCCCCTTGGTTTCTAGCAAGTCGACTACCGTCTTGACGTCTTCGGGGATCGAGTGGAAGTCGTCGCTGTCCATGCCGAAGTTGTCACCGCCGGCCGCGGCGCAGTAGTTGGGCTCAGAGGGGTGGGTTGTTGCCCAGTAGTTGCTGAGTGTGATTCCTTGCTCAGCGAGCCATGCTTGGTTCGGGTCGCCGGCCGCCGTGGCAAAGTCGATGTTCTCCAGCCAGATCTGGTAGAATCGGCTGAATGCAAGGCCCTTGACATTGCTGGTGGGCGAAAGCGGTGTGGCTGATGCCGCGGCCGCTGAGATCTGGCTGGCGGACGGCTCGATGGTTGATACCGGTGGAGGAGAGGCATAGGATGTTGTTGGCGCACCATATGCCATTTGGCACACGGCCAGGAGGAGACCAGCAGTCTTCATCATCTTGAAAGAAATTATTGAGGGTTTGAAGGCTGGGGGGTTCCTCTACTATCCGGATGCCTCACTCTGTCTGGAGATAATCCCGGTCACTCCAGAGGACACACCGGCCTTTTATGGTTTGTGCCCCGAGACACAGCGGAGTGTGGTAATGTCCGGCACTCGCTCGCTCGTTTTTTCTCTTGCTGCGAAGATGGTCATGAGCGTGCCTGTTTCTTTGGACGAGATTTGTCGATTGAAGAACCTGTTTTCTGGATCCCATGTCATATTGAGCTAATGGATTTTTTGTCAATGGTCTTGCCTCTTGCTGCAGTGGTGCATTGGGATGTCGGCCCGACGTCACAGGGACAAGGGTCAAGCTTTCCCACAGCTGAAGCCGCATGGAGAAGCTAATGCAGCTGTGTGGGGATGCGGATCTGGACGCTAAAATTTAGTATGCGGGAGCTAAAATTTTAACTCGTCTAACTCAGCACTGGCCAAGTATCAGCCATTCAGGGTCAGTGTAATCGCACGTGTCAGAAACCGCAAGGCTGCTGCGAACCACCTTCCAACCTCGTCTGGTAATGTCCAGACTAGAGGGTCGGGTTTTCAATAGATCCTACCTGACTGGAGCTTCTGCGTAGAGGTTTGTGGCAAGGCAACTTTGTGGCCTCACTTGTATACATTTTGATCCACCAATGGACCATCGGGCTCTTCAAGTCCAGCTCGGAGACATGCCGTGTTCCGAGAAGAAATCCAGCTCAGTCGTCTTGTTGAGTAGTTCTCAGAGCGAGACCAGCTGAGGTCAGAGAGGTGAGCAAGCGGAGACTTCCGGAGTGAAGGTGCAATTGCAAAGGTGGCAAGGGACAGACGGTGTCGCCGAAGAGTCACGGGAATGAGTACCAGCTCGAAGCCAGAGGGACTGTCCCACAATGGAAACTCAAACTCCGGAAGCTCTTCTTGAATCGACATGGCAGCTGTGCAATGTCTTCGGAGACTTGCAATAATGATGGAGCCGACAAATCTGTCACCAGGCTCCAGGGAAACAGTTTGGAAGTCTAATGGTTAGTTCCACGACCTGCCTTGCTCCTTGCTCGTCATCGGCTTTTGAAAGCTCGTCTTGGTTTTTTCATGCGGGCTTCTCGCTGTCTGTGTCTGGCGGTGATGATGCATAACTGGACGGGAATGTCCATGAATTGAAGAAAGTTTTCATTTGGTGTAGAGCAGAAGAGGCAGTCGAAGACAGGTTACGCCTTTGTGAGGCGATGCCATCCAAGTTAACGCGATTCGAGAAAACGCCGAGTCCGCTTGGAGACTGTTCATGGCAAAAGCTCCAGCGACACCCCAGAGCTTCAGGCTCTGGCCATGCCCCGTCTCTCGAAGTTAGCACCAGCTGCTGGGTGAGTTGTCTTGGTTGAAGAATGTTAGCAGCCCGTCGGTGTAGAGATATGACTTGGCCTGGGCGCTTTGTGTGAAGCTCCCAAAGCAGATTAGTCAGGGGTCTACGAGGTACCTGTGTTAGTCAGCGGTGTCAAGCTCCACTGATTGGGTGACTGACACGGTGCCTGTGGCTCCTGCACTGACAGTGCGTCACGGTTCCGGTTTCACGACGGAGATCAAAATCACCCCAGATTTCGATTCTGATGCTGCGAAGTGCAATTCAATTCAATTCAGTCCAGTCCAGTCCAGTTCAGTTTGTTTGTCCCCGGATCCGTTTGTGTTGCAGGCGTCCGCCCTTCCTTTCAGTCGTGTTTGTCACCGCCATTCATTTCGCACTCCAAGTCATTCCTTCACTGAGTTCTCGTTCCGTGACCGTTTGTTTTCCTTCCCTCCCGAGGACGCATGTACAAAATACAGTAGCCTCCTTCCCAACTGTACCACCGTTCGACTGCCTCCTTTCTATTTACAGAAATACCCACCGTCAACATGCGATTCCAGACCATCTTCACTATTGCTCTCGCGGCAGCGCCTGTCGCAGTATCGGCTGGAGGAATCTTGGGGTTCGCCGTGGGAAACACCAACCCTGATGGGACTTGCAAGACGCAGGACGACTTCAAGGCCGATTTTGATGCGATCCAAGGAAATTCCCGAGCGCAGGTTGTTCGGACCTACTCGTCCTCCGACCAGTACGGCAACCCATGCAATACACCGTCCGAGATCTTGGCTGCCGCCAAAGAGACAAAGATAAAGGTCTTGCTAGGCATGTGGTGAGTTGGTTCACCTCCGGGTGCGGCGAAGCGCCTGTGATGGACCTATACTGACTGTCTGCATTCATATATAGGCCTGATGCAGGCGCATACGAAAAGGAAAAGGCAGCCATCGACAAGGCCAATCCCACTTCGTTCGGAGACACTCTGTTCGGCATCACCGTGGGCTCCGAGGGCATATACCGCGGTACTTACAACGTCGAGGAGCTCTTGGGTTGGATCCAACAGATGAAGCAGGCCTATCCTAAAGCTGCCATCGGGACCGCGGATAGCTGGAACTCTTGGGCCAACGGGACCATGGACTCCATAATCACTGGCGGCGTCGACTTGATGTAAGTCATGTCCCCTACTACGAACGAGCGTGAGGAGACTCTTCTCGTCCAAACGACTCAACACATGCTAACCTTACTTTGATTACCCGAAACATAGTCTCGCCAACGGGTTCGCTTACTGGCAGTACCAACCACTTTCGAATGCCACCAAGACATACTTTGACGACATGGCCCAAGCACTCAGCCACGTCCAGCACCTGACTGGCGGTCTGGACAAAATCCACTTCATGAATGGAGGTGAGTCATTGTTTGATTCTAACCAGCTGTCGAGCGAGGTCGTCCCTGACATTACTTGTGTCAAACAGAAACAGGTTGGCCTGGCACCGGCGGTACGGACGCAGGCGCCGCAAAGGCCGGCGACCAAAACATGAAGACGTACTGGAAATCCGCGGTCTGCGGTCTCCTCGACTGGGGCATCGATCTCTTCTGGTTCGAAGCATTCGACGAGCCCAACAAGGCCGACGCCATCGGCGACAATGGCCAAAAGGCCAGTGAAAAGTATTGGGGCGCTTTCACCTCGGGCCGAGCGCCAAAATTCGATATGTCCTGCTAGGTTGAACAGACTATCACATCCGTGGCTTGATGGCGGCCACAAAGCGGACGCCACTAAGGCTCCTTTTTAACTGAAAAGCATTTCTTCATGGGACAACGTCACTTCCTTGTCGTCGTTCTCCCCGGCACGGCGTTACGGAATGGGAGTGCAAGCGGGAGTCTAGGAGTCTGAATCGCTCCCTGCATACATTACGTACTGGGTTGAACTGTTGAACTTAAGGGGTTGTAGCTGGGCCGGATCTGATAGACCGCATCATAGTGCTCACATTGAAATAAGAAATGCGAGTCCGATGGTTCACATCAAAAGCTTCAAGTTGCTCCCTCCCTTAGGATTGGTAGATACCAGTACCAGTATTGGTACCGAGAACTTTTTGAAGATCCGACCAATTTCCGCTTTCCGGTGTCTCTTCTCTTTGTCCGCTTCTGCCGAATAGCACACCTACTGTACAACTGTACATGAACAAGAACACCTGCAATTAAGAGATTGCGACAGTGCTTTTTTCTTTCTTTGTAAATTATATATAGTGAAACTACCCACCCAGGTACATGACATGCATGCGCCGGCCTTGGATCTGAAGTCGTCAACTTGAGCGCCTAAGATGAAAAAAACGGCCAAGATTAAATATGGCACTGCCATACAGGACATTGTACATACAGCGCCGAGTCTGTCCCTTTAGTCCCTGCCTAGGTAGGTATGATAGGCGCAACGGCGCAAAATGACCACACAGCCACCACACAACCGCTTACTTGGCACATACACGACTGGTATCAGGATCCGGATCCTTATCCCCCCTTTTCGCTGCCAAATCGCATCTCGCTATTGCAACGACACTCCGAGTAATATTTATTAATCATCCCTCCTCCCCTCCTGGACCAAATCAACCTTCTTAACCGGATGCAACAACATTCCCGGCAAGCACATTCTGCCCTCTCCCGCCAATTCATCCTGTTCCCCACCATCATTATGGATCTTCATCCCGAGCCAACGATGCCACAACACCTCCGGGAACCCCGCATTATAATACCAAGTCGTACCGCGGAAATTATGTTCACGGTCCCCAAAGACACTAGTTCTCGCACCACCAGTGGCGCCATTGCGCCCCCCATTAAACACGGCCTGCAGGTAATTCGTCGGCCATTTGCGATCAATGTATTCCGGGTGCGGGGCATAGACTGCTTTCAGGCCATGGTGAAGGGCACAGCTGGCAGGCCACATTTCGCTGAACATGGTGTGTTTGTTGAACGCGGTTTCGCGGTGCATAACTGACAATAATCTCTTGCTGAGGCGACTGGCTGTGATGATGGCCGTGCGGCGTGGAGGGCGGCCTCGCGTGATGTTGTAGCCTGTCGTGTCATCTCGAAGAAGCCAGGTTGTGCCTTCGGGGTCGAAAAGTGGGTTGAATACTATCAGGTCGGCTTCTTCGCCTACGCCCCAGACGTATTTGTCCTTGTCGAACGAGGTCGGGGGTTTCGGGTCGTCTTCGAAGGCCACGTTGGGGTCGTCGAGTGGCCGTTCGGGGCCCCAGATTGGTTTGTCGCCTTGTTGTTTCATTCCTCCTCCTACTGCCACAGGAGATCCGCGGCCGCTCCCGCTACCGCTACCACCACCACCACCACCACCACTGTCCTGGCCTTGGCCTTGCTGCGATCCTTCATGCTCTGCTGCCGCCCGATTTAAACTGCTCCATAAATTGTTGGCGCTATTGGTCCCGTGCTCCGTTTGAATGCGCACCATTTGACTGAAATCTTCCCACGAGCCGTGTTCGGAAGGCACATAAAACCGGCCGTTGCGCTCCCAGAGCAGCTTGCGCGGTTGCGCCTTGGCCCATCTCGACACGCTGTCGAACAAATGGTACCAGTGGTGTGTGCTTCGGATGTCCATCTCCCAGTTCCAGAAGAAGTCGTATTCCGGGTGTCGGTGCGCAAAGTACTGCATTGGCATGAACGTGCTGCGATACACGCCGTGCACCGGCAGGTCACGCATCCACGTCTCTTCGAGTCCTCCATACATGAGGAGCATTTGCCGTTCTGACCATAGTGTCCCCATACCATGAAATTCTTCCGGCAGGGAATCGCGCAGGACTCTATCATAGGTCTCGTCGTCCGCCCAGATCGGGATGTCGTCGCTCTTGACCTGGATTAGGAAATGGACCACGTACTCTCCGCCCGTCAACATGGTCAACTCGGAAATGATTGATCTGATGTACATGACGTCTTCGATTGTATATGGATAATCCGACCATGTGCGGATCACGACGGCCGTCCGCGGTAGCTTCTCTGTCCCATTTTTCGGTGATGCAGCCTTCTCCTCTGCCACAGATGCGAATTCCGAAGGTGCTGCGAGTTCCGAAGGTTCTTCGAACTCTGAAGGTTCTGTCGATCCTGAAGATTTTGCAAATTCCAAATGTTCATCCCTTTTGGCCTTGGCGCCGATTTGCATTGAGCGGAGCCTCTCAGGGCGAGATTCTGGAAGCTCTTTGAAACGATGTTGATTTGCTGCCACACATCTCTGTTGAGCATCTGCCCATTGAACCTTCCGCCAATCCACCTCGGGGACCTCTTCCCAAACCAAATCGGCCCCTTCTCTTTCACCTTCTTGCTTCGCACCACTGCCGCCACGATTGATGCTGTAGCCCAGTCCATACGGGCCGAGTCGACCAAATCGATCATAACAAATGTCGCTCCTTAGACCAAGCAATTCGGCGGAGCCCATGACGGCATCAGGAAACCCTCTCGGAATACCTTCGTAGACTCTCACGGAGGGGATGGAAATGGTGTTCTTCGTATCCAAGAAGCAATCCACCTTTTGTCCATACTTTGCGACGTACTCCGGAGAGGTGTAATTGGGGTACGGATTGAATTTTATGCTGGCGGGCACAGCCCGTTTGGCCTTCGTATTCTCTTGATTTTCTTGTCTTTCTTCTTCCCTCTTTGCTTCTTCTTCATCCTTCACCTCGTCGGCAATATTAAAGCTGTCGTTGGGTAATTCGTCATCGTTCGCCGGGTATTCGGGGATATTCGAAGCCGCAGGGACTAATGCCCGGATGCCGCCATAGTATCTCTTGAGGAACGGAAAGCTCTCCCATGGCGGTGGCTTGGGTGTAATCTTTTGTTGCTCAATGGCAACTTTGACCTCCTTGTCCGCGTTCCAGCTTAATTGGACAAGCGAAAAGACGAATATGAGGAGGGTGGCGGCGACGCCCAAACACAGCCAGCGCATTATTGACCGCGGCATTCTTCCGAGATATGACGGCGAGGAGGATCGCTTGGAGGTGTAAGCGTTGTTAATCAACATCGGTTTGTAGGATGAAGAAGTATTTCGTGAGGATGCTACGGACGGATCTTCGTCGTTGTATGTTTCGTAACTGTGGTCATCTTCGCTGAGTCGTGTCCGCACAAAGGCTTCCTTTTCGATATCTGACTGTCCTCGACTTCGAATTCGTCCCATCGAGTTATCGGCGCCAATGCCTGTTGAGGCACGCCTTTGCCAACCCATTGTCACGAGGGCGGAGGCTGAACGAAGCCCCAGCACATCGTTGAATGTTGGCAGAGCGCGCAGGTACGTCTCATGCACGTACACACAAAGCACGAGAAAGAAAGAGATGGGATTGTTTGAGAACGGGCGATAACAAGCTCTTGCAGTATAATTGTGTACTAGTAGCAGGAGTAATAGACCGGAGGTAGGCTAAGTGGTCGGTGGCTTTCGGCGGGCAGAAAATTAGAGTTGGACGGTACCAAAATCACGACGAAATAGATTTTTGTGTCGTGCAAGGCTTGCTGAAGTCGAATACAGGGCTGGCAAGGACAGAATTCAGTCACGACAGGACAGGACATATGTACAGAGAGAAAACAAGATACCTTGGAAAGCAGACCGGCGCCTGCGCAACGCTGCTGAAAGGGAGGAGGTGGTGGAAGCCGCTCGTTGAGAGGCGTCGAGTCCCTGATCGCGCAGAACAACCAACAACCTTTGCGGCCACTCCACCGCCACCACCACGCCAGACAGGTTATCCACCAAATAAACAGGGGCTCGAGGCCCTCCACGTCCCCTTTGGCGGCCGCTGCCATACCTAGTAGCCAGGGCCCACAGCAGCATTGGTATATAATTTCCGTAGAGTTGGTGTGTATGCACTTTGAACTTATGGCGGTACTACTAAATGACACAATATATATCATTTAAAGTACTCGCCTATTCTTTACGATCCTTCCCTAAGCGATTATCTTCAAGTTCTCTCGTTAAACCCTAACCGAACTTGTGACCCTGTGGAAGGATTCGTGACACTTTTGTATAGCATCAGGCATTAAATACGTGAAATAGGCGGTGTAGTGGTAAATAAAATAACGCTAGGCGACTCATAGTATAGCTTTGTTTTAACGATCTTTTGAGGGGGCGATATTGTACCTAGGTTGTCACATCTGTTCCTCTGCTAACCATTCATAAGGTAGTGTCCCAAATTGGTCAACCACCTTATGACCATTACTTATTACCTAGGTACCTAGGTTGTTCAAGCATCTTATCTCGGCACTGGCGGCCAGCTACCAACCACTTGTTCTGACCGTATATAACAAATCATTGTGTTTCTCCCTTCAGTGTCTGACCCCATCACGCAAGTTTCACACCTGACTCCCATGCTGCTACCTACTAGACCTTTGCGTCAATAGTGTGGAACTACGATTCCACAATGCCAGACTCCACGATCGCAAGTTCACAAACACCGCGCAAGCTCACCCGCGCCACAGCTGCATGCGCTGTATGCAGGCAGAAAAAGGTCAAAGTATGTTGACCGCTCCCATGACCTACCACGCCTACCACCAACACTTGATCAGTGCTTTTTCAGGGAGGGCCAAACGGCCTGTTCGACTTGCCAGAAGGACAATTTGGAATGCATCATCTTGTCGGATGACCGGCGCAAAAAGTGAGAACACTGTTCCAACGTGAGCATCGGATTATTCTCATCGTGACAGTCCGCGATCTCAGGCCTACACTTATGTTCTCGAAGACCGCATTCGATATCTGGAGTCTTTCGTTCAACGAGTAGTGTATCAAAAGCCATCTCTGGAGCAGACGAGCACTGGCAGCCAGCACAAATCCTTCCCTATTCCGCACGAGCAAGCAGGGCCGCCGTTCCCACCAGCCGATGCCCTCTGGGAGAACCCCGTCGAGCGATCCAGGCAAAGCCGAGAATTCCCGCCCCTAGACCACCACCATGATGGCAATAGGACAAGCGATGCGGACGGCCCTGCTATGTCTACGAGCCTCTCACAGGAAGAGAAAGACCAGCTAGACGCCTACTGGTCGACATGTAACGCTGTTTTGCCTTTGGTGGTCCAGTCACTATTTGAAGCTGATCGAGCAGCACGCAGGTTGCGATATTACTCACGTACGCTTCAAGCCTGCATGATTGCGACAGGGGCCCTCTATGCTGCCGCCGATCCATCACGGCAACGTCATTTCCATAGGGTCGCCCGCAATTTCAGTATCGATGACTTCGCCCACGAATGCGTGGCAACCGTCCAAAGTTTCTTGTTGCTGGCGGACCTGGAATGCGCCATCGGTAATCTACAAAGGGCTAGGGCACATCATGGTAAGTGTAACTCATCTAGCCGTTTATACTCAAAATTCTCCTCCACTCGTACGAGGCAGTTGATCGATCGCCATTCCCACAATTGGTGCCAACAGTGTTTTCATTCGCTTCCCGCCAGCATGTTTACCCAACGAGACCTCGGCCCGCTAATGTCAAGCCGCTCGAGCAGTTGAAGCAGGGAAAATGTTGACTCGGATACTCGAGACAACGACCTCAGCCCAAGCCGACGAGGCTGTTTATCGCACAGTGATCTTCTACACAGTTACCTCACAGTACGTCAGTACGCTGGAACAATGCCGAGGCTTGGCTGATTCAAGCTAGGTTTTGGCATACCATTCCCAGCGCAACTCGTGTTCAACGCCGACCAGGATACCCAACATCGAATAATGACTCCGCGTTTCGAGAAGCTTTGGCTCATTGCGCACTTCTTTGTTCGGGCGCTCAGGCAAGACGCTCGGTTTGTGACAGTTGGATCGAATTTATTGGAATTGCCACGGCCGCAACGACCCTGGCACAGTCAAATTCCAGTACCGAATATGCGCCCGACCTCGAACGACTGGCCGGCGTGGACGCCGGCTGTCATCGTTGGTATTCTCGACTTTCGTGGGATTGGAGATGTCTATCTCAGAGCCGCCATCCACCTTCGGCCGAAGTGTTTGTCCTGCTGTAAGTGTGTACATCTGGGGGCGCTGATGTTGTCCACGAGCATGTCATCATGAGCGTCTCCGGAACATGAGTTATGCTAATTTTCACAGTATGTTTTACCACTCAACACTCATATGCTTGCATCGGAGAACTGCCGGCTACCACATGACCGTTGACAGAAGTACCGGCGGGTCGACTTGGTCCAAAGACATGTTGTCTTCCATCTCGCGAAATGCATGCTTGAAAAACTCCATCAGATTATCCGAAGTTATCACCGGATATGAACAGCATTATCAAGTAACCCACTTAGGTGTCCGGGCAGTCTACTTCGTTTTGGCGGCCTCAGCTGTTTTGGCGGATGAAATATATGCGGAAGGACTCAAGAGCGAACTTGAGATCGGACACCTCTCCGCCTTGTCAGATACCCTCACAGAGCTTTCAGGGAGCTTTCAGCTTGCCGAACGGCCTGCGAAGCTGCTCTCTAAGCTCGTCGGTATGGCACAATCAGGTTCTGGGCTGGACCCGGGTCCTGGTACGGATTTTCTGACTTATCTGATGGACTCGATTGGCGTGGATTGAGAAGTAAGGGTGCGAATTGAGCAGCTCGGGTAGCGAGATGGCCGTTCCCAAATCATTGGCAGTCGTCCTTTGCCGGTCTGCACCGGCTTTATGTAGGAATATGCTTCTCTGTCAAATTCCATGTCATGTGACCGTTGACGGCTTTTCGTCGCTGGACAGAGAAAGATCTACTGCACCAGCCACAAGATCAAGTATATACGAGTCTTCATCTTCGGTATGAGGCGTCTCCTCTGGCGACTGCGTCACCAGCTGCTCGAGATCAAGCCGAGCTCGTTTGGTGGCACGCACATGAGAACTTTCCTGGCTTGACGCCAGGGTTGCAACCCAACTCAGAAGCTGGTATGTGGGTTTGACACCGCAGAGACGTTCGGCCAAAGCGTTCAGTGATATCATGATCTCCGAACGCTGGCTTACGGTCAAGCAAGATGATTGCCCGCCGGTGGCATGCCAGTCTACCTCACAGACAGCAAGAGGCAAAGCGATCCAAGCGGTCCTGGTGATCGACGGAATCGTTAGCCAAGAGTGTTCAATGGTCGTGGTGCCAGACGAGGTACTCACACCGCAAGAGGGACGTGCTCGACTTTGCTTTCGGAGAAGATCTGATGGACCGTTTTGACCACCTTCGCAGACGCTTCCTTTACCTTGGTGGCGGCTAGGGTGCGGAAACGGACGCCGAGAGGACTTTCATGAAGGTTACATTTCAGGTATGGGCGGTAAAGAGCAGCGAAGAGTGAACTGTGTACTGTCAGTAATGCGAGCCACGGGCCGGGTGAGATGCATGCAGAATAAGGTGGACTTACAGGTTGACGAGCTGCGGGAAGCGCAACGGCACTCTGCTCATTTCTGCAGATTCCTTCACCATGGCAAATCCCAACTCCTGTTTGAATCTGGTTTTCCACTCCTTGAGCTGAGATTCATAGGCCGAACACTGCATCAACTCCTCCAACAGCAAGTCGTGGTTCGCGCTCGAGACATCACGCCATTCCCATTGGAACTTGCGGTTGGCGTGAAAAGTACCTATGCCACAAATCAGTGGAATAAGGTTGCACATCCAAATAAAAGCCGACATCATGACTCTCTTTGATTCAACACCCATGAATTGAGGACAGACGGCTTCGGCTCCGAAATCCGCGGTCGTGACTGGTCCCCAGCGAGACTCGATCTTGTGCAAGCGGTGTAGGCGCCGCAACCCGACGCTGACCAGGCGATCCCTGAGCACGCAGGACCACCAGATGATCTTCCGCCGAGAAAACATTGTTCCGCTGTCGAAGTCGGGATCCCCCAGTCTCGCTTGTCTGGCATGAAAGAAAGCCCGATGCACCCAGCGAGAGTTCACTTGGGTGTCGAGATCAAATGGACTCCAGTAACTGAGTAGTAGACAGGTGCACGTAAGCGTGGTCTGATTTGTATAGGTAGAACTGTTCTTGTACAGAGACTAGGGGAGCCCGATTAGTATCACAGGTTGTTCCCCCATCTTTAGCCCGTTCGGAAAAGGGGCGTACCTTGACGTGCTCCAGCAGCGCCTTCTGACCTGCAACGACGGTGGACGCCGAGCTCATCTCCAATGCTGAATTTCCCACGTGCTGTTCCATTGTGAGAAAGAAATGGCAACTTCAAGAGCCTGGGTGAGTCCAGCTTGTGAGGGAATAATACTAACCGCAAACGCGACGAACATCATTGCCAGGAAGAGCATCACATCAAACCTAGAAAATAAGTCCTCCTCTCGCTCGCATTCTCGATAAATCCGGGCGAATTCGAATTCGTCGACAATGGGACAGAGGGGGTGAACATGGCGAAAATACAACACCACGACCTCGTCCCGCAAAGCCCTTGGCAGTATTCGCCCCAATTCTTGGATCAGCGCTGGGGGAACGTCTGTAAGAATAGGGGGCTCTGATGGACCACGCTGATTTGTATAGAGATTGGGCAAGAACTCGTCGTAGGCGGAATCTAGTTGGTGATCGGCCCCACGAGCGAATTGATCCGATCCAGCAGAATCTTCCGACCTGGTTCTGCAAAGTGAAAGTGCCGTGCTCATATCAATCTCTGTAGATAAGTCGTCAGGGCTGCTGAGCGAACCTGGAGCTGCCACGAGACAGACGCACCGGGTTTCGAGAGCAAGGTCCTGCAGGCTCTTTCTGCCTCTGGATCTGACTCTAAACCTGACTCTTCTGAATCCTCCAAGGGAATCATGTCTGAAGCGATTGGAAAAGGTGACTGCCTCAGTCCGCTTTCTGGACCGTGGGTCTCGCGAAGCCGGTCAGCTGCGTTGGCGCAAAACCAGTCATCGTCAGGGACAGGGTCCCAATCGAACAAGCTATCTGGAAAGAGTTGATCTTGTCCAATGTCAGTCAATGCGCCAAACCCGGACGTCCAGCTTCGGGAGGTGGCCGATATGAGTGGGCAGAAGAAGAGAGTGTCCCTTACCAGACAACTGCGGAAGCGCTTCCATTGCAGGAATTAGTGGTTTGTCGCTGGTGATCCTGGTGGTCTGGACGGATCAGGATAGATAATCCCCGATGGACTTTTCACTTCCTTCGTGTGAACCGGGGGTGCTGTGAGGAGTGCACAAGTACCAACGGAGTAACTGTTGCTGCCTACTACCTTGGTAACCCTGTCGATAGTCACATGTGTGACACTTTTCGTTCGCGTCCGACAGCCAAATGGCCTTCATGAGCGCTCATAAATCATCATAGAATCAAGCATTCGCCTATCATTAGGTAGGTAGTCATGAGTGTTGCTACAGTACTACCTCCACTGCGCCTCCCGCGGGCCAACAACCTTCCCCCTCGACCGAGAGATGAATCTGGAGCTGTGTGCGGGGGAGGAAGGAGGCTTGGCTCCATAGATCGGACGCTCAGAGGATTGCCTACCCTAGCCTCCTCAGCCTAGGGAGCCTACCTTAGTGGGCCCTCGGGCCTCCTTAGGGAGGCTTACGCCCTGGAGAGCCTGCGCCTAAGGAGCCCACAAGCTTAGGTACAGTATAAACCCGGGGCCAGATTCATCAGTTGGGGGCCACCTGAGGTAGGTTGGGGGGAAAGAACACTAAATTGCGGACGATGATGATGAATTCATTTAGCGATCCAGCAGCCTAGAGGCGCAATGCGCTAATCTCCTAACTATGCTATTTGGGTCCTAGGCCCGAGGGGCTTCAGCTCTAGCGGCCTATGTCCCCGTCTGGGTTGCCAAACCGCTAAATTACTGTACATGTGATTGGGCTCAAGGATCAATTACGGGTGTACAGGCACATAGAGGGCCCCGGGGGGAAATGCGATCTTGCCCGCCTTCGCGCAAGTCTAAAATTCTAAGAGCCACAGACCCCCAATGACGGACATAGACTGACTTACCTAGGTACCATTAGCATAACTCCTGGGCCTACCTGGTTTGGGCACTGTCCTAACGAGTTCAAGAAATAGTATCATGCAAGAGGGCAAGAAGAATCATGGCCCGAGGACAGAATGCCACCGTGCTACGATATTGGGTGAAGGGTTGCCAGAGAGGTCGTAGCTGGTGCTGGACAAACTCCGCGTTTTGCTGGCCGTCCGGGGTCCCCACATTACAGTATACCTTCCACCCCGTGAACAACCAACGGAAAAGCATTAGCCGGAGGAATCTGTCGACCGAGGGACTCGGTCTCGGACATGCTGGAAGCTCTCTAACATGCTGGGCTTCCAGCATGTCCGATGTGTCTCGGTGCATCAAATGGTGATATAAACCGCTTGCAAGGACTTGATGAAACAACTTGAGAATGGGAACTCTCATCAGGACTTCGGACACGGCTGTAGCAGAATACTAGGCGCACTATCTATCACAAACATGGCGGCACTCAACAACAAAGCTCTTACCGGCGCAACAGGTCAAGGCAGGCTTGATGGCAAGGTCGCTTTGGTCACAGGCGGCAGCCTTGGGTTTGGAGCCGGTACTATCCCCTTTGTACATGCCTGAGATCTCGAGGCTCACATATAGCTCACAGCTATTATCAAGAAGTTCCAGACCGAAGGCGCCCGAGTGGTCGCAGTGGATATCAGTCCCACACTTACTCAAAGTGTGAGTGAGTCTTACCCTGACGGCAGCGTAGTAGCGGTGATTGGTGATGTGTCAAGGGTGGAAACATGGACCACGGCGCTCGACACCGCCTTGAGAAGGTTTGGCAAGCTTGACATCGTGGTCAATAATGCCGGCGTCATCTACGATAACACACCCAGTCATGAGGTCGAAGAAGCCGAATTCGACCGGCTGATGAGGATCAACGTCAAATCCTTGTTTTGGAGTTGCAAGATCATCGTGCCTTATCTCCAGGCCCGGGGAGAAGGTGGAAACTTTATCAATTTGTCAAGTACCGGTGCCTCACGACCACGGCCCGGGGTGACATGGTACTCGGCCAGCAAAGGTGCCGTCAGCATCATGACCAAGAGTCTGGGCGTGGAATACGCTCCTAACAAAATCCGATTCAATGCACTGCTCCCAGCATTGGGAGAAACAGCAATGTGAGTCGACCTGCATCCAAGGGTTTGGGGATACCTACGGCTTGCTAATCATCCGCATATCTATCTGTAGGCTACCTAAAGTCTTGGGCAAGGCAGACACCGCCGAGAACCGCGCACCCATCCTGGCTTCCATCCCCCTGGGCAGATTTACACAGGGAACCGATGTGGCCAACGCCGCATGCTTTCTTGCCAGCGACGAAGCCTGTTTCATCACTGGAGTCTGTATGGAGGTCGATGGCGGAAGATGTATATAGTTGGTTCGAGGCCAGAAATGTCTCGGTCCTCCGCGTCACAAGTCAGGATAGTTGTCAGAGGCAGAACGTGAGATTGTATATCTATCTACGTAGCTGCAAATCCACGGCTACAAAGGCGACAACACCGGATTTTTGAAATGTTTCTGGACCCAACTGGTCCGTAGGCGATGATGTGATCGGTACAAATCCTTTCTTGGAAGCCACAGCCACGATCCTTCATCGGACCTGTTCATTGACCAGGCTGTTCTGTAGAGGCATTGGCTTCGAGGACGGGAAGGAATTGTATATCATACTAGTAGTGAGCGCGCGATGAGCAACCAGGAAGCCTTAGGTGGCATTGCTGAACCATATCCTCGTCCGGCTCCTGTTTGCATGAAAACTACCTACATTCGAATGCTTTAAGCATCGTGCTTACCCCAAGATTGCAACTGGTATCGCCAGGTCTTCTATGATACTCAACTCTCTATTTGCGTACACTTGACGCCGGGCAAACTTGATATGGCAGTGTTGTAATTCTTGTATGGCGCAGTCGGCATCTAAGAAATGCATTACTCTGCTTCTGTTTCTCGTAAAGGCTTCTCCCGGGGCATTGCATCTAGTAACTGCCTGCCAACTCATAGCCTGCCCTTTGCCAGAACGTAGCCTCCATCAGTTGTTATTACGGCGCCATTGATATGCGCCGAGGCTCGAGATGACAGGAACACCACCAACCCAGCCACGTCTTCCGCAAGGCCAAGTCTCTTGTTTGGAGATTCGTGTGCCATTGTAGCCTGACCGCCTTCCAATTCCATCAAGCCCTTGGCCATTGTCGTAGGATAGAAGCCTGGTGCAATCGCATTGGTAATAACTCCGTTAGGACCTAAACCGACAGCAAGATTTTTGGCGAGATGGATTACAGCCGCTTTGGAGGCCGAGTATGCATACGTTGCATTCTCCCCTACCGTCCCGACACCCAGACCGGCAATGCTCGCCGTCACAATAACACGACTTGGATTGGTCGTTGTAGCCCTTGCCTTCAATAGAGGAGCGAATTTCTGGACAGTATAAAAGACACTCCTAACATTTAGGTCCATCACCTTCGAGAATGCTTCTTCGGGGTATGTCTCGAACGGAGCTCCCCACGACGTTCCAGCATTAGCGAAGAGGATATCGACGTGATCAGTGCTTCTCGCCACGTCGGCTGCCAGCCGTTCGATATCGGCGATCTTGGATGAATCCGCAGGCACCGAAACGGCGACCGCACCGGGACGTTTGTTGGGCAGCGCATTTAGGGCTGCTACTGCATCTGCACAGGCCTGAGCTTTGCGTGAGGTGATATAGACCTTGGAGCAGCCAGCCTGGAGAAGACTGGGATGCATGTTAATTGAGGTAGCTTAGGCTTGAGAGCGCCTACCCGGATGCCGCATTGAGGCCCAACCCCCTGCTCCCACCACTTACTACCGCCACCTTGCCCTCAAGACTAAAGATGCTATCGAACCTCTCCAGTTCGACATCTTGCTGAGCGCTCCCCATTTCGAAGTCCTGGCGCTCCAGGAGTGACGGGTTGGTAGTGACTCTTGCTCGGAAGGGAGAAGCAAAGGATTGGTTATGCGGCCAAACAGAAACACTACTGGAACGATTTTGAGGAGGATGTGCGGACTATCCGAGCCCATTCCTCACGAAAATGACGAGACCACAACATACTGTTAACCATATGGGAAGGCATCTCGACCGCCTCGGTTCGGGAGAAAATGTCCTGATCACAGCAGCCTTGTCGGAAATGCTGAAGTCCAGGTAGCCCACTATCCTGACTCCTGAATTTCGGCGCGTGGGGCCCCACGGGTACTCGCCGCCCACGCCGTCGGTCCACCAACTTGAAGTCAAGGTCTACCGCGGCATATCCTTCAAAATGCGTGTTCTACGTCGGATTTCCAGTCCCGAGCCGGTGTCCCACTGGAAGCGAGAAACCATCATGGCGAGCGATCAAATAAAAGATGAGTTGTTGAGTGCATGCTGAACTCTTTGCACCAATTCTATCATCTCTATCTCCGTCCAGGGCTACACATCTGCGAGCTGGAAAGTATGCCGCAAAAGTCGATTTTTTCCCTCTCTATCCCTCCCACAGACCTCCTCACGTATCTCTTCCCGCCCGATGCGACTCCTTCCGATCAGCCTCTCTACATTTCTGCTGATCAGCCTACCAGCCACTTCTTATCCCAAGCAGAGACGCTCGTATGGGTCAAACAACTCGCCCTCGGATTTCAGAAGCTTCTTGGGTTGACGGGTGACCGGAAAGAGTCGAACGTGGGCCCCACAATCATGATTCTCAGTCCGAACCATGTGTTTGTCCCCGTTGTGTATCTGGCTGCTATTGCAGCTGGAGGGATATTCTGTGGCTGTAGCGTCAGCTTTGGCGTCCGTGGTGAGTGTTGCACCTCTCTCTGGCAATGTGTTCCAGCTTCAATCTCAATATCAGAGCTGACTTGGCTTGCAGAAGTGACATACCAATTACAGAATGCCGCTGCCGAAGTTTTTCTTGTGCACCCCAAGTTCCTGGATGTTGCTCTTCAAGCTGCTCAAAATGCAGGTCTGTCTGGTGATAAGATTTTCCTACTCGACCAAGATCCACACCCACACGGTGGGAAACCCGATTTCCGTACCATTCTTGCCTCCAGAGAAGAGGCTCGACACTGGCAGTGGAAGAAATTGGACCAGGAACAAGCAAAGAATACCACTGCAGTCATCAACTACTCTTCAGGGTTCGTGTTGACATTCTGAAAACCCCGGTCATCTTCCTGAACACTGACCTGGATTACAGGACAACGGGCCTTCCGAAGGGCGTCCGCATCAGTCATACAAATTTGGTAGCGAATGTATCCCAGTCAATATTCATGCGGGATCTGGAACAGCCATACAGTCCATCCAACCGTCCACGGGAACGCTGGTTAGGATTTTTGCCTCTCTCTCACGCTTACGGCCAGCTATGGACGATTTTGGCTGCCATGAAGACACAGTCATCGGTCTATATCATGGGACAGTTCCAATACGTCAGGTTTCTGCAACACATCCAGACTCACAAAATCACGCACTTGCAGACCGCTCCGCCGGTCTTGGTGATGCTTGCCAAAAGGCCCGAAACAGAACAGTACGACATCAGTTCGTTACGCAACATTCTATCAGGAGCAGCGCCTCTCAGTCGAGAATTACAAAACGAGGTCACCTCCAAGTTAAACGGGGGAAACGTGGTCCAGACTTGGGGCATGACCGAGGTGACCTGCTCAGCTCTCCACATACCGGGCGGAAGGGACGATCGCAGTGGCAGTGTAGGCTACATTGATCCCAACTGCGAGATCAAGTTGCTGGACGATGCTGGGGTGGAGGTGGGCGTCGGCGAAAGAGGCGAGATCCACATTCGTGGGCCCAATGTTTGCCAGGGCTATTGGAGGAACGAAAAGGCCACTCGCGAACTATTCGACCAGGACGGGTTCATGCAGACAGGCGACATTGCCGTCAGGAATGAGGAGGGCCTCTATTGGATTGTGGACCGGAAAAAAGAGTTGATCAAGGTCAAGGGCTTGCAAGTGGCGCCTGCTGAGCTTGAAGCAGCGCTTTTAGAGCATGACGGCGTCGCCGACGCAGCGGTTGTTGGCGTCAAAATTGGGCCGCATGGAGACGAGGCGCCCAGAGCATATGTGGTGCTGAAAGAAAGAGTCAAGGGAAGCCTCACGCCAACCATTCTTGCACAGTGGCTGGACACGAGAGTGGCAAAGCATAAACGCCTGACTGGAGGGGTAGTCTTCGTCGATGAAGTGCCCAAGAGCCCGACCGGAAAGATCTTGCGAAAGGTGATAAGAGAGTGGGCAGCAAAGGAAGCACAGGTCTCGTCGAGTACCACAGCAAAGTTGTGAAAGGCCTTCAAGGAGGACAAAAACGATATGCTAAGAAATCTATCGGCACAGCCTAGGCCCCCATATAGATTAGATACCTTGTCTCGAATCGTCAAGACTAAGCAAACAACCTACTTACCAGGGCCCAGGTCCTCTTTGCCCGCTCACTAACGAGCGATCTGGCGATGACTGGGATCTTGTCAGCCGTGCTGAGAGTCTCGTGGGGAGACTGAGCAACCGACATCTCCTGGTGTGGTTTGAGGTTGACAGAGTAGATGGATAGAGGCCTTTCAGGCATCCAATTGACTGGATGTTAATGTCAGAAGCGTCGTGGAACAGGACCAGGCTTTCTTGGGGGAAGCGGCGAATCAGCGATGGCATTCGAGCTGCCACAGCACCGCGATGTCGATGCCCGGCGCCGAGGCTGTATACAGTGGGTGCCAATTGACCTACTAGTAGGTGGAGAATCTGGGGTCAAGATCCGAGCAGACCAGAAACTGAGACGGGGAGGCTCGGGGGCGGGGCCCGCAGGGTAGCAGAATCGACCAATCGGAAATCCCTTGCAAGTGTTTTCTATAGGCATGGCGTACCTCGGTGGTGTCTATGGGACAAACTCCCCCCACGCAACCTCAATCGCGGGTGTTTACAACCTTTTTCCGGTTCTCTACCATGAAATATGAAATACAAGTACAAGCCGAGGCTTGTCTCCGAGGGATTCTGGGGAACTTTCCGAGGGACTCTGGGGAATGTGCAAAATCCGGGGATTAACCCCAGCCGCCAAATGATAACAGGTTAGCGGCATGAAGTCGGCCATGATGTATAAGAAAGAGCAAAAAGGCTCCCTGTTACGACACCGCCGCATCATTGAGATTTGACTCTCTCTCTGTTGCTCCGAGCTTCTTGACAGACCTTGAACACACCAACCACAAAGATGTCCGGAATTCAGAACGCCATCGACAGCGGTGCCGTGGTGGGCAATGTCTCCAACATCTGCCCGCAAGGGACGCGATTGTACTTGCTCGAGGTTGGCTGGCTTGAGGCCGACGACGCCTTCATGGTGCGCGGAGCCAATACAAGCACAAAGAGTACCGAGAACCGCAGTTTCGTCAACAAACGTCGCAAATTGCCCATGTACTGCGTGTTGATCAAACATCCGCACGAAGGACTGATCCTCTGGGAGACTGGTAGTGGATATGACTACCCTACGATCTGGGGACCGGCTATTGCCGACGTTTTCTCGCGGGTGGAATACAAGCCCGAGCACGAGCTCAAAGCCGCCGTCGAGGCCACGGGCCACAAGCTCGAGGATATCAAGAAGATCATCATCGGGCATCTACACCTCGACCATGCGGGCGGGCTCGACCAGTTTTTCGACCGCAAGGACGTCGAGATCTGGGTCCATGACAAGGAGTTGAAGTCTGCATTCTGGTCCATCGCCACCGGGGCCGATGACCAAGTCTATCTGAAGCATTACATGAAGTATGAACAAAAACTTGTCCCTTATTCACTCCAAGAGTCTCGCGCCTAATGTGGATGGGTGACCCTCTAGGCTTGATCTGAATTGGAAAGTCTTCGACGAACAGAAGCTGGACTTCTGTCAGGGCATCACGCTCCATCATTTGCCGGGCCACACTGACGGTAAAGATTGCGACCCCAGCTCCTCCTGCAAACCGGTTGGCCACTCTTGAATGTCGGAGCTGATTTATCGTTACCTACCTGGGGCCAGGTCTCATCGGGATTCAGATCAATCTTCCGGACAGTGGAACCTTCTTCTTTATCAGTGACCATTGCCACGTCATGGAGAATGTAAGTGAAGCCTTCCCTCGAAACAGAGATTGGCGTGGGCCCAGATCTAACACGGCTGTGACCCAGTGGCGGGATGGTATACCACAGGGTTGGCTGGCTCGTGATCACCCTTCCTGGTTCAAAAGTACACAGCGTCTGAAGCACCTCGAGAGAACCACAAAGGGCCGCGTCATTCCCGGTCATGATGCCGAGACTTTCCTGGAACTACAGGCTGAGACCAATGTCAAGGGCTATCTCACCTGAGACTTCGGTGGTCTTTGGCCATGTAATTGCGATGAAACTGGCTCGCGCACACACGTTGAAGATTTGGGCTCTAGGCTCTGGATGCTATTTGTTTCGTGGCCTCAAGTCAGCTCATGTTGTTAAGTTTATAGTCGCCGTCTCCACGCATTTCAGTGTCAAGTCCAATCCAGTCGATGCGGTTTCTGTGATGGCCGTGTGTAGACATTTGCATCCAGCACATCGACTGCGAATCAATGTTGGTGCTTGCGTAACACAATCAAGTACCACAAGCCGTTGATCGGCCGTGACAGCTTGTGAGGTGAATTGATGGGGTAGATGGAGCTGGTGGTGCCTTGGGTATAGATCATCGACAAGAGTGTCACGGGCATGCAGGTGGCCGAAATGAGTTTCCAGCACAGAGTCAACAGTGATATTGGGAGATCTAATGGGTCGAAGGTAGGTATCCACCTTGGATGTCAGGTAAGTGGAGCCTCGAGTACTGGTAGGGCAGAATTCATAAGCCTCGACCAGCCTCGGTCCGGAAAATGAAGTCCGGCCTCCGGGCCTAGCAACTTGGGCTGGCGTTATGGGTTCTCCAGACCTCTTCTCCACCTTTGCGTTCCTGTTCACCCCGGGGCTTTTTGCTTGGCATAGCTCGAAAATCTCCAGATGCCTAGAGAGAGAGTTTCTTCTGGCTTATTGGAAAGGAGCACTGCCAGTGGCACTGGCACTACACAAGGACGTACAGTGCCAAATCTATACTTGAGTAATATTAAGACTTATAGAATATTTAGAAGTAGAAGATAAGAATAAATTTCTTATAAAAGTAGTTCAAAGTTAATAGTAGAGAAGAGAGAAAGGGAGAGAGATAGAAACTTAGACGTCTTCCGAGTTCAAAATAATCACTAATTCTATATACCAAGAGCGAGTATTCTAAAGTAGACTAGTGCGTGGAATCCGTAACTACTAGTAACCACTAGATATTAGTATACACTACACTAAAACTGGATATGTACTAACTCTATAGAAATTATACACTAATGCCGCTGCAACCCCCCGTGGCCAACGGACAGACCAAGTCGCCCACTTGCGCCACTGTCAACAAAACCCTCCGATCGCGGCTGCGACAGCATCCACTCTGGCAACGGGTTTGGAGCCACAGTGGGAATCACGGTGGAAATCAGGGGCAGCATGGCCTGCAAGACGCGTGTACTCGGTCCAGATAAAAGAGCGGGTATAAGAAGCATCGTAAACATGGGATCGTCTGTTATGCCAGCCTTGAGATACATTGTACACTTTCAGGCATCTCTGTCCAACCATCACAATCCTCTCTGTGTTTAGGAATCGTTTCCACTTGCTGGCAGTCCTTCCACTCCTCTGCCCAGATCCTCTTTCAGCACCGTGCCTCCGATCTCCAGCTTCTGGCAGTCCTGCAGCACAAATATCATTCTCGCCCACTCGGTCTCGCTGGTATTCTTCCATGCGTGCATCGTGGCCCTCTGGACCGCAACGTCTCCTCTCCGCATAGGCTTTGTTTCTCCGCTGTCCAGCACCAAGTCGATGTCTCCTTCCAGCACGATGCCATAGTCAAGGCTCTGGGTACGATGCATAATGCACTCGAATCCGGGTGCGAAGTCTACCACTCGGCAGACGGTGCCGTGAGGATTGACTAGCCCCAGTTTGCCGCTCTCCATGACTTGGTCATGAAGCTTGAGGTCCTTGTCGTCGTTAAGGTTTGCCGGGAATTCGGATGTGGTGTAGACCACGTTGAACGCCATGAGTTTGTTGTCGTAGACACTCCAGTTTCCCGGTCGAGATTCTTTCACGATCGCTTTTCCAGTGGCAGGATCGTGTCCGGTTATGTGAGTTGTCAGGCCAGGGAGGGAAGTAGCCAGCTGGTTCGGATTGGGAGAACGGGTGGAAGTGGAAGCCATTCTGCTTGTCTAGAAGTTTGGCTCTCTGTACGAGTGTGCTATGTCTTGGTAAGCAGGATTGTCAGAGTGATAAACAAGTCAAGTCGGCCCTTTGCTCTGTTCGCTCTCGTCGTGTCTTCGAGGTCAGAAGGCAGGGATCGACACTAGAGGGCAAGTTCTACTCGGGTATTAGTAGGCAAGCCTGGCGCTGAAGTCTGAGTGAAGCTGAGATGAACTTGACCAGAAACTGCGGCTTCGTTGGTCTACCCCGCTTCCCATCCCGGAGGAGGCTACACAGTGGTGAAGAGAAGACCTTGAGTCCAGCCTGCGGTCGATGTAACTCTCTAGCCACTAATAGAACTACAAGGGCGGTTGCTATCATCTCTCCGGCATTGTTCTTGCACGTCTGTGATCTGAGCGGTATGGAAATATGCATATGTCTAAGAGGTGGGTGTCCTTTCGAGTATCATGCTGGGAGTCACATCCTCTCTGCTAGCCATACGCCAGCCCTCTGGTCCCAGAGCACAGTACGAATGTCTCGTCCGTCAAGTATATTTTTCACCTCCCTCAGCGCCGGTAGTCATGGCTGCAAGAGCAAGATTCATCTTGTCGTGCATCCCGATCGCGGACCCTGCAGACGACCGTATCGGATGGTTGCTAGCATCGGCCAGCAGCCAGTGAGGCTCCGTTTCAGTGATAGCGACAAGGGAGTCGCAACATGGACGGCGTTGAGTGAAAACAGACGGAGGTCAGAGCAAGCGAGGTGTTAACAACCGGTCTCAAGAGCTGAGCAGGGAACTCGCGGAAACGTGCTGCGGGCGTAGAAGAATGTCCGAAGCACCCTGCACCATAGGAGTCTTGTGTAGCTTGTCATCAGGAGTTCGGCGAAGAAATGACAGTCACAGGTCGGAAGCTCATTTGAACAGCATGGCTTACATCGCTGGCTAGATTCAATCAAAGGTCGCAATCCAAGTCGAAAAGCACCGTAGTTGAGGTGGTGAAGAGTTGTGAGATTTGAACCTGGCCTCACACTTTGGTGTTCCTTTGCGGCGTCCGGCGATTTTGCGAACCCGAGGTTGGACGTGTCCCGGTTTCGGCGTTTCTTTCTGCCGATGCATCCATTTTCATTTCCAGCTTCCGACCTCGACTTCAATTGACATTGGATTTAGGTGCATCATTGTTGACTAGAACCCGGTCTCTTCTCCCCTGCATTCTTGTTTCCGGTTGCCCAAAGCATTCTGGCGCTCTCGACTGTTGTTGCGACGCCCACCGGCTTTATCTAGTCCACGAAGCAGCTTCGGCTAGCGCCCGCCAGTTATATGAGCGATCCCAAGGAGAGCAAGGAAGATCAGAGGCATTTGCCACAAGGGTCTGGGACAAAAACATCCAATCTACAAGGTGAGCATTGCCTTATGTTCTTCAGCAAACCTTCTGAAGTCCATTACTGCCACTATTCTCCGTCCTGCCACCAAGATCCATCCCGCATCCTTCATTTGCCGGCCAGTCAAAGCCAGTCACGGATATCAACATCAACACAAGACTAACACGATCCTGACACCACCAGTCCATCGGGTAAAGAAGCCCCAAGTCAAATTTAACAAACCACGACCTCGAATCAGCTCCAATTCTGCCGGCTCCAACATGTCGAAACTCTCCGAGCCACTTAAACAACTGATCAACGCGGCCCACGCGGTGCCAGGCACGCTGAAAGCACCGCCCAACATCCGATCAACATATTCGCGAATTGCATCAAGCGCCAAAGAGCGCGGCGTCGGCATCCCAGCATGGGTAACCATATCCACGGCGGCGACCATGACGATGAACTCCCCGGGATCACTCGTGGAACTATTCAACTTGACGCAGACGCTCCCATCCGCACCATCTGCACCGCAAACTGCCGGTCTGATGCGAGAAGTCGGGTTGAAATGCATCTCGTTCAACGGCATCCCACGCACCATCAACTGTCTAGGCGCCTTCCGCGAAGGACTGCCGCGGGAAGTATATGACTCGATCCCCGCCCCGCCGTCGCGTCAGATCAATTCCAAAAACGCCGACCAGGTCGTGGCCCGTGGCCGCGCGCTCTGGAATTCTATTTATCACCCGTTCGAAGATAAGCTGTACGACAAGTTGGGCCAGAGCCATCCGAATCTGCCTGTGCACATCCTCGCCGCCCACTACGGTACCCTTCTGTCCGACCCTGAGCCGGATTCGGAGGCTTCTGCCTCGCTCATCAAGGTTGGGCGTGTGTTGACTTCGATCGTTGGCATTTCCTGCTTGCGTGCCCAAACGGGTGTGGGACCACAGGTCACCAGCCACGTTTTTGGGTTAAGAAAGGCGTTCCAGGATGGCAGTGCCGAGAAGGACGTTGAAGGCGGAGACTGGCTTGCTACTGATGAGGGGAACCAGTGGATCCTGCATGTTGTCGACGAGATTGTCCAGGCTCTGAGTCAAGGCCGAGGCTCGACTTTTGCTCCAGGGATTGGAGGCGATTTGAAGGCCAAGTTGTGAAAACTTGACGGCAAAGAATTATATATGCCCTTGCTGGGGGTCATGTCTGTGAGGTACTGTACCCTACTTGGGAGTGAAACTAAAATGCATAAACTTAAACAGAAAGGAAAAAAGGGCGGTCGGGCAGCCAATGACAACTGCCTGGATTGGTGCTCTGCGCCGCTCGGAGTAGAGTATAGTATTGCGTGATCTAGACTGTTGTGGACGATCTTGAGTACGGATCGTTGTTGGCAAGGCGACTGCGCCGAGATATCAAAAGGGTATGGTTCGTGACCAACTACACCGGGCGGACATTTCACACATAGAGCAGGAAGATATTCGGTATATATGGTCATCCACGCGTACCAGAACGTACATCATCTTTGGACGCCATTCAATTTGATCCCTATTTCGCCTTCCCCTAGGGAGGGCAAGCATAGGTATCTACTAGTCCGGGGATATATGGTAATCCGAGACCCAGCCCCACGATGCAGAATCCCTCCAAGCTTCCATTTCCCCGCAAATACCACTGTATATACGTAGGTACTTGGTATATCTTGTTTCGTCAGAGTTTTCTTTCTATCTCTATCCTGAACCCTTATATTTCTTTGCACATTCTATATCCCCCTGGCATTTGAGCTGGTCCATTCCACCCCAGTCCATCCCAATCAATCCTTAGGTAGGTAACTATCCATCTACTCCATCGAACCAACATTCTCCGCCACAGCAAAGCTAGCATCCGTCTTCTTTTTCACCTCCTCAATCGTAAGACCCGGCGCCAACTCAGTCAGCGTCAAAGTCCCCTTCTTGCGATCGACTTGAAACACACACAAGTCCGTAATAATCGTACTCACGCACCTGGCGCCCGTAAGCGGGAGGGCGCAATTCTCCACAATCTTACTCTTCCCATACTTGTCGACATGGTCCGTCGCAACGACGATCTTCGTGTGATCCGGATTACTCACGAGGTCCATGGCGCCACCCATTCCCTTGAACACCTTCCCGGGAATCATATAGTTCGCCAAATCACCCGCGGCACTGACTTGTAAGGCACCGAGGATAGAAACATCGATGTGCCCGCCGCGAATCATGCCGAACGACTCGGCGGAATCAAAAGTCGATGCGCCAGGAACGAGAGTCACTGTTTCTTTGCCGGCGTTCACGATGTCTGGGTCGACCTCATCTTCGGTCGGGTAGGGCCCCATTCCCAGAATGCCGTTTTCGGATTGGATCCACACCCTTACGTCGGGAGGGAGGAAGGATGGTGCGAGGGTCGGCATCCCGACGCCTAGGTTGACGTACATGCCGTGTTTGAGTTCTTTGGCTGCGCGGCGGGCGATGCGATTGCGGCGAGTTAATTTGTCCGAGACAGTGGAATCCGACGGTGAAGATGAAGATGACGAGGTGTCTGTGTCCGAGTTGGTGGTTGGTCGAGTCTTTTTCAGCTCTACCTTCTTGGGAACCGTCGCCGGAACGATGCGGTCGACGTAGATGCCTGGCAGGTGTACGTCGTTGGGGTCGATTGAGCCGAGCGGCACAATGTTTTCGGCCTCGACGATCGTGAGTCGGGCCGCTTTGGCCATGAGGACACCGAAGGCTTTGGTTGTGTATCTAGAACAGAACAACAAATCAAGTTGTTAGCGGGCTGCCGGTGGTACAAGACATGAAAGGACTGCGGCTACTTACCTAAACACACAATTACCGGCTTCGTCGACCTTCCACGCTCGAAGGATGGCCACGTCGCCCGTCAGCGCTGTCTCCATCACATATGTCCGACCGTTGAAGATGCGCGTTTCTCGCGGGTGGCCCGACTCAATCACATTGGCCTTTTTTGTTTCTGGGTCGGCCGGGCCTAGGCGGGTTGGAATCTCGCCTGTCTGAATGAGGGTGTCTATGAACGCACAGTTAGTCGAGACTGACCAATAATGCAGTTCAACAGTGGCGGTTTTTGCTTTCGAGCCACTCTGTACTTCGTTGGCAGAAGGTAAGTGTCTACTTACGAACTCCAGTCGGCGTATAAAAGGCCGGAATCCCCGCTCCTCCAGCCCTGATCCGCTCGGCCAATGTTCCCTGGGGACACAGCTCGATTGCAATGTTGCCCGTCAGATACTTTTGCTCCAGGGCTTTATTGTTGCCCAGATACGACAAAATACATCGTGTCAGTTGGCCCGAATGAGTCAAGGGCGCAAGCCCGCCGTCCGCGCCCGCTCCGGCATTATTCGATACCGCGGTCAGGTTGTTGAGCGATTCAATGCCCCGTTTGTGGATGGCCGTGATGATTGTTTCTGGTTTCACACAACACAATCAGATTGTCTCCTGTTCATCAACTGGCTCTCATGACTGTCTGCCGTCCTCTCGCTGAGTGCCAGTCATGAGGCTTTTGTGGTGGTTGTGGTGGTATACTTACCAGCCGTCCCACATAGTCCAAACCCGGCACTGAAAATGGTCGATCCAGACTTCAAATCTGCAACAGCCTCGTCGGCGTCTTTGAAGAGCTTGGATCTGGTCCGATCGATCGGCGGCGGCGACTGCTGCTGCTGCTGTTGTGATCTAAGAACTTCTCGCCATAGCGGCCGTGCCGACGAGAAATATCGATATTTTTGACTGTGTTGTGCGGTCGATACAAGCTTCCGCGCAATCCGGGGTCTGGGTCTCAGACAAGAAGATGCGATGGTCCTCGAGCTGCTGGCTGTGATGTCTGTCACGCAGAACAGCAATGTCCGCTGCCTCGCTGCCAGTGCCGCCATGGTTGATCTTATGGAGTCAGGCGAAGTAGGGTATTATAAACACTGGAGTCAGCCCCTACCTAACTTTGTCTGGGAAATGGAAATCCACCCCCGGATTTCTGGATTTTATATACATTTTTTTCGGGGACAAAGAACAGTCATTATGACCATCGACCAACCAAAACTACGCGTACTGTCATGCTAGTGGTACCATAACTAGCCAGACTTACCGTTTGATACTAACCAACCCGATCGAGGACAAGACGCCGCTCCGAAAATGAGGCTCGGCTTTGTATACCATCGGAAGGAGGGAGCCGATATCGTCAAATCAAGTCCCGTGCATTTCCGGTGACATGTCCGCTAGTACAATGTTGTAGACAAGACATGCCCGCTAGGCGCTTGAGGCTTTGGCAGTCGCCCACGTGACATTCTCAGTGAGGTCTTTTTGTATCGGTGTTTTTTCTGTTGCCGGCTCTCCTTCTCAGCGGCCCACGAAATTGTGCTCCTTGACGGTAGCGACGATGCAGACACAAGCAGTGTAACTAGGATGATTTTGAGCAAAACCCGGGTTCTGTGGTCGAGAGTATTATCGCCGGCCATGGACCATGGACGGCGCCCAAGGGTCCAGAATAACTCCGGACCAAGTTGCCAGTAGCAAGCGATAAATTAGCGCATCGTGGGGGAAGGGTCCAGACAATAATGGATAAATAGACAATGACTGTTGTTTACTACTGTACGAACCCTTGATCGGGGACAACACCGCCGGCTCAGGTCTTTCCTCAATCATTCTTTCTTCCCAATGCAGTGCAACGGTCGTCTACTCCTCGTTCCGTTTCATGTAGATCGAGTTCATTGGTTACAGCTGACATTACATGAACCAGGTGACAGGGTCCCAGTGATCCCCGGTTCCACATGGGGCCGAACTTTCTCCTTGGTCCAAGGTACTCTATCCTCAAAGCTGCGGGAATTGATCGGATTTTCACGACCTGTGATAAAAGAGAAGAGCATGTGACCTATATTGCTGCAGGACAGCCTTCTGGTCATAAAAAGTTGGGTATATAGTAGATCCCGTATGGCTGTGGCGACGTACCCCAGCTTTCGGCAATCCGTGTACCACGACTCGAAGGAAGAAAGGGCGCGGTTCGTCCTATGATAGATTATTTCGCTGGCAAGCTAGATCCCTTGCGACCTGTTTCCCTTTTCTGGGGTATGGCTGGATAGCGGCTGCGGACTGCTTTCGTACTAGTCAATGTGCGGACGCCACAAAGCGGGGAGCTTCCACCAGGTCTCTGGGGAAGTGTTGTGAGGAGTAGGAGGATCATCATGAGTGGGTGGTCCCAGCACGGGCCTGAAGATCTTCAACTCCTGGCTGGGCCATGGTGCGGCAAAGCCACTCGAGACTTGTCCTCACTTTCCTGCCCTGGCTTGAGAAACGGGCTCTCACCTGCTGGCTGTGTACTCTGTTGGGAAGGAGGATGCCGGTCCCTGAATATGAGTTCGAGTGTCGGAAAGCTCGTCCATTTTCATATGCCGGTGTTTGCAGGACCTCTCCTGCTGGAAATAATACCACGCACGAGCAAAATGTTGCCGAGAAGCGGGAGCACATTGCTGGGGCTGACGAAGGGTGTCAAAGGGCTAAGAGTTTCCATCACGTATCGGCTGTATCGACGGAATGAGACTGGCATATCGTTAATAGTGTTGGCGGACTCTTTTCCTCGGCCACCTGCGCCTTGAATGCCTCCAGTCTCATTCGAGGCTCAACTCTGCCTGGCTCCGATTGGGGTTAATCGCAATGGCAGACACAACTGCCAGAGTCGCGTGCTGACTGATTGCAGCCCAAAGGAGAGCTCCAGATCCAGACTTGTGTGAAGAGTTGCAGAAACTGGTTGATTTGGCCCGGAAGTCGCTCTGCTTGTCATAAGTAGCAGGGGCACACCGTGAGACATGAAGCGAGGTGTGACAATCCAGCCTGGCAAATTTTCAAGTAACGTTTGGCCAGTCCAACCAGTCCAGAAACATTGTCTCATCGAGCTGGAACAAATCCTGTGAAGCACTGGCGTTGTTGATGGCTTCAAGGATCTGGTCGTCCGTCATATCGAATACATATGATGATGCCTGGGCCCCGTCCGAAGCCTGGATCGGGTCGTTTCGCGTAGTGTTGTATTCGACATTCGCATCCTGTTGTGGAGGACGCTCAAAAGAACCCGTTTTATACGCCTGGTTCTCTTCATCCAGATGTAATGCGGTACTTTGCAGCATTCGACGGATGTGCCTTGCAAATAAGACGGACAGACCCTTTCTATGTGCTGGTGTACTTCCAATCCTTTCCAGGACCTGTGTCGTTTCTTCAATGAGTGCGCGAGCATTGGGCGCCAGTATTGCTCGATTTCCCGATGTTGTCGTCCCCAAGGCAAGTGCAAAAGTGGCCGCAAAGGAGACCATGATGACGGTGTTGTTCGGCATCGACTTGAGTCTGTTCTCACCTTGTACGGCCGCCCGCATCACGTTAATGGCGGAAGCTAGACCCGCCGCTCGGAAGAACTGCTTCACATCGTTGGAGGCCGTGGGGTGGTTGACGACATTGCAATAGGTCGATAGCTTGGTATGAGATACCAATATTTCGACATATGGTGGTAATTGGCCATCACCCTGCGTGATCTGACGAGACCATACAGCATACCATTGCTCAAAAAAGCGGTCAATCTTATCTTTTAGAAATTTGACCGCTGTATAGCCACCACTCGTGCCTTGACTTCCATCACAGAACTCGCGGACGCTGGTAATGAGGCCAACCAAGTCTCGTCGTAGAACAGCTGCTGAGATGACGCTACCGTCCCATCGATCGGCGATGTCGGAGATATGCCACGTATCACAACTTTCTACCAAGGGTCCGATAGGTACAGCATACGGTCGTCCTCTGGCCAGGCAGATACCTCGATCGAGGACGAACAAAGCCAACCAGACTCGTTCCCTGGTTCTGAGAAGCCTTCGTCCCCATGTCGAAGACGGATCGATATTCGGAAAGCCATCAAGTTGAAGAGCTCGGGCCGCATCAATGCATTCGGCTTTCGCCACTCGATCCAGGAAACCCGGAGGGCGGATTGTGGTAGATGGCACGACGATCTTGTTCAGTGAGAGATCCAGAGCCAACGTTAATGCCATAGATAAGTAGGCGCAGGTCTCATCGTCAGCCCAATGCTTTGATGGAGTCATCCAGGGAATGTTGACCATGAAAGCCAAAACAATCTCGACGGATCTCTTCCTGTTGGAGATGACCAGGCAGGCCAGCATGTTTCTATGATTGGATAATCGTTTGGACAAAGCTTCTGTCCTGGGAAGAAAGACAGCAGATGCAGCCAGTATAGAGGTGAAAAGAAACGCCGACCTGGAGCGCACGAAGCTCGCAGTGTGCAGCACCGGATCGAGACCCCAGCGGGTGTGCGAGAGCTTCTCATGAAAATAGCCAAACAGCGAATCGGCCTCTTCCATAGTCACCAACCCCAGTTCAATAGGATCGAGATCGGGCGAGTTATCCAAGTTGGACATTGGCGATGCAAAGAACTGTTGTAGCTCGGCGTCGCTTACATGGCTATCACCTGGTCCTGGCGCGGGAGGGGCACCGGCGGGTGACGTTGCCAAAGTTGTAGCAGGAGACTGAACAGGCAAAACTGAGGCCATTGCAAGTAGCTGTAAAGGGTTTTCGGCATTGTTGAGCGCAAGTTCATCCGGTTTCTCGCCAACTTCGGCCGGGGAGACCTCATGGCCGCTGTCGATCGTTGCATTCTTCTCAGCATTCGACAAACGGGCGCGTGATTCGGAGAAAGCACGGCCATGTGTCGTGCTCGACGGTGTTGGACTGGAGGCCCTTCTGACGGAGGGGCTCGCTTGAGAAGCCGAAATCAATTGTCGAAGGTCTGTCTCCAGATCCAGACTTAGTCCTGTGGATCCATCTTTGGACCGCTTCAAGGCTTGCTCGACCTGATAGATCGCCTTCTCCAGACCACTTCTCTTACTGTTCACTACTATTTAGCAAAGCAAGTGCTGAACGTGCATTGGCCCGACTCACTTTTTGACACCCTTGTACCTCCCAACATGGTATTCTGGGGTCACGCACTGTAGGCCAGCCAATTGGCATTTGCGGCATAACGCAGCACCGGCATCGCGGGTACATTTCACCTTACTCCGGCGACATTCTAGACAAGCTGCTTGTTTCGTCGGGGTCGAAGACGACGCAGCATCCGAGTTACCTGAGGCGCTAGAATTCATGCCTCGATGTAGACATCATTCCAGACGGTGACTAGGGGTTCAATTAATGTCCGACGGAACCCTTCAACGAAAGCTCCCGATGTGATGTAAGGGGAAGGTTGTGGACCGGGACTGACGAGTAAAAAGGCCGTGTGGCTCGCCTTACTGTAGCATCTCTGAACCAGGCTGATAGACCAGGTCTGATAGAACGTACTGTGAGATGGAGATGGGAACTTCGGAGCTGAATAAATGCCCGAAGACGTTGAGCGGAGGCTGGACTGTTGATCACGTGAAAGACGTTGGAGCATTATGTCACGTGACAGTCTTCTTTGGTAGGTGCCACGTCCTCAGCCTGACGACGCATCTCCTCAAGCTTCAGCCTTGCGCAGTTTGCTTCATGGATACTACGGACGTGGCCAGGCATCGCCTGATTCATGATTGAGGCCTGCAAGGCCTGCGGCAAGGCTGGTGATATTTGCTTGAACCATGAGGCTGAGGCATAAGCAAACAAGGAAGGTTTCCCGACCAGCGAATCCCAAGAACTGGAAGCCCGGGTTGCAGTGGCTGGGGCATCTCCATCTGCGGCTACTTGCTACCTACTGTGCAAGATCAGCGTTGGCAAGGATCGGAAATCCACCGCACCGTGGTACTGGGAAAACAGTCTCTTCATAGTAGATTGTTGAAAATGCACGCGGTCGCGCCAATAATGCCTGATGGTGCCGGGATACAGCGCATCGAGGTCATGAATCATGCAGATGAATCGATCCGGCAAGATGCAGGCGTCAAAGGAGGGGTGTCCAATCGCCCTCAGGTTCTCAGCCCCGGCAACGAACCCTGCACTCAGTCACCGCCAACTTTCGGATAGAGGATTTCTCTCGGTACCCGGGTAGTAAACAGCAACAATGGTGCAAGTTGTCTTTCGCTTGTGGCCAAATCGACCTTTTCAAAGCTGCCTATGTTTCCCAGCCATTTTGAAAATTATTGACGCGGTGGTGCTAATCTCATTCACAGTCTACTGGTGAAATCGTGGTGGCAGGAGGAGGAGGTTGGGATTCTTGGTCGGCCACTGCAAAAGCCCTTGTCCTCCGGCTCAACCCTGAATTCTATTCTCACTGCTTCCTGTCTTTCTTGCTGTACATTTCTGCAGTCTACTTGGTAGAGAGAAAGTATACTTCTACACAATCGCATTGTTGTTGCTTGTCCGTCGTTGCAGGCAGAGAAATCCCTCGATAATTCACTTCAAAAGTACTCCCACCGCTATTCATGCGAACATAACGCACAGACTACCATCGCATTGACCGGCAGCTGAGGCCACCATAACATCTGTGCTTCGAAAATGCGGCTCCACGAGATGCCTTCTTCTCTGTCCTGGCTCGTCGCAGCGATCCTGCTCAGCGAACCCGTCTCCGCATCCTTCCTCCCCGACCTGCTCCACAGCTTCGAAGATCTCCAGAATGTGCAAAAGAGATGCGAGAGTCCTTGCGGATACTATGGACTCCTGTGCTGCGGAGCTGGCGAAGTTTGCTATACTGATGCCAACAACCAAGCCCAGTGTGGTGCTGGGCCGACCACTACCGCCGCAGCCGTCGGCGGAAGCGGACAATGGCAATATTATACTACAACCTACGTGGAGACGGATCTCAAAACGGTGACCCAGACATTCAGCTCATATATCCCCGCCAGTACGAAGAGCTGTTCCTACTCCCTCGGCGAAACTGCTTGCGGAAATGTCTGTTGCTTATCAGGTCAATACTGCCAGTCTTCCGGAGTCTGCGTGGCCGTCGGAGGAGGTAGCTCAGGCTATTATAGCAGCCTCTACACGGTAACTACAGTCGTCACGAATACCGCCAGCGCACCTCTTCGGCCCACAAGCAACACCTTGGTCACCGTCACTTCCCAGGTCGGTAGTGCCACCACCACGCAACCCTTTGTGACTCCGGTTGGCACCGGCGGAAGCATCATCACTGGCTCGACGTCTACCTCAAGTGGAGGACTGAGCGGAGGTGCCATCGCAGGCATAGTGATTGGCGTTATTGCAGGCATCATCCTCTTGCTCTTGCTCTGCGCCTGCCTATGCTTCAAGGGGTTGATCGATGGATTGTTGGCCATCTTCGGTTTGGGTCCGCGACGAAAACGGCGGACTGTAGAGGAAGAAGTCTATGTGGAACGGCATCATCGAAGCGGGCGAGGAGGGAGAACAGGTGGAAGAACATGGTTTGGCCAGAGACCAGCAAGAACCGAAGTGGTGGAGGAGAAGAGGTCCAGCGGAATAGGCAAGGCCGGATGGGTGGCTGCGACCCTTGGTGGCCTTGCTTTATTCTTGGGGTTGAAGAGACGAAGGGATCGGAGGGACGACAAAAGCAGCTCCGGTTACGGCAGCTCGTACTACTACTCGGATTACACCGTCTCAAGTGAGTACTCCCAGTTTGACGCGTGAAGGAATGCAATACTGACTCTGTCACAGGTAGCGAAAGCTCATCAGACCGAAGAACGAGGCGGAGTAGCAGATCAAGGTCGAGACGATGAAATAATTCATGCTTTGAGTTGTGATGTTCTTTTAGCGGGGCATTTTGAGGGGCGTGCATTTTGGACTGGCGAACATCGACCTGCATCGGGTGGCTCCCTGTGGGCAGGGCAGAGACCATCGTCAAGGACTTTACTTGGACATAATGAAACTGAAAGCGGAAGAACAATGTACAGATTTTGAGACGTCTAGTATTTGTCTATGGCAGCAAAGATCGGCTTTGATGGGGTGTAGTTGTAGTCAAGTCGAAATGAGATCTGAATGCTAAGCTGGCTGAATAAGCGGGTACTACAATGTTTAGCCAAAGCCTATTCACCCTATTCACTCCATTAAGTTCATCCTATTCACTCTATTCACGTGATCATCATTCGTAGCCGCTGTAGTCACAATTCTTTATAAGAGGACCCTCTGGCGCTCCGTATTGGGCGCAGCCGTGTTCTGCAGTCTTCCGAATCCGTGCCTCAGTCTGCCAAGCCGCTTCTCATTCTGGACGCCCAGTGCCGACACCAGGCTCTGTGCAGTCACTCGGTCGGTCAGGAATTCAATCTTCATTCCGCAGCACTATACAACTACCTAGGTATCACCCTTGGCCACTACCGTCTCATCACTCCAGCAGGGACCCGAATCTCGAAAACTCCCCGCTTTGGTCCTCCTGCAGTTCCTTTGTTTCTTCACTCCCTGGTCGAGTCTTGCCTCCCGTTACTCGATCACCAACCCATCGCATTGTCCTCGATCCCACTACAACGACCTTGAGTCAACGGCCTCGCGTCATACTGCATCCCACACCTACTTTTCCGCTTCCTTCGAACGTTGACCCGAGAATGATTTGGATCTGACTTGCACCCGAACCGGCAACCGAACACCATGCTTCAAACTCAGCATCTTTATTCGCACCAGCAGCAATACAGCCAGCATGACCAGGGTGCCTGGCAACACGGCGGTCTACAGCAAAACCACCAACCGCTGAATCATGGCCAGCAGCAGGCACAGGCTGCTGCCGCAGCTGCCGCGGCCGCACAACAGCAACACTACAACCGTCTCGCTCTCAACCAAAACCATAACTCGTCGCACGCGCAGGGCGCGAATCGCCAGTCCTCCGGTGACAATGCGCAGAATCCGATAGTTTCCTCTTTGACAACCATGAATGAACAGGGTTCACCCGGCATGGAACAACAGCTTTCAGAAGAGAACCGCAAGGTGTTACAATGGGTGGCGGAGCTGATGGACCCGAACCGAAGAGAAGGTGCTCTGATGGAATTGAGCAAGAAGCGAGAGCAAGTCCCGGAACTCGCCTTGATTCTTTGGCACAGCTTCGGAGTCATGACCAGCTTGCTTCAAGAAATTATCTCGGTCTACCCTCTGCTGAACCCGAGCCAGCTCACTGCCGCGGCTAGCAACCGCGTGTGCAATGCACTTGCTCTACTTCAGTGCGTCGCAAGTCACAATGAGACCCGTGGTCTATTTCTTCATGGTGAGTGGCACTCCAAAAGATCGGTAGGATGTCGAGTGCTGACACGTGAACCAGCCCATATTCCGTTGTTTCTCTATCCATTCTTGAACACCACATCCAAGTCGAGACCTTTTGAGTATCTGCGGCTCACTTCCTTGGGCGTTATTGGCGCTCTGGTCAAAAACGAACCGTCGTCGAGTGGCTCAATGAATCCGGCCGGCACGCCAGGAGCACCAGGCAACACCAGCAATTCTTCTCCCACGATCAACTTCCTTCTCACTACGGAGATTATCCCCCTGTGTCTGCGCATCATGGAGACGGGCAGCGAGTTGTCCAAAACAGTTGCCATTTTCATCGTCCAGAAAATCCTTCTTGACGACACAGGGCTGGGTTATATCTGTGCTACCTATGAGAGGTTCTATGCCGTCGGGACCGTTCTGAGCAATATGGTCATTGGTTTGGTCGAAACCCAGACTGTCCGTCTCCTGAAACACGTCGTCCGATGTTTCCTCAGGTAGGTCGATTCCAAGCTGCTAATTAAGACATCGGGACTAACTTTCAAAGGTTGAGCGACAACAATCGAGCACGTCAAGCACTTCGCCAATGCCTGCCAGAACCATTACGAGATGCCACCTTCTCGAACGTCCTTCGTGATGATGCAGCAACCAAACGATGCCTCGCTCAACTGCTCATCAATCTGAGCGACACGGTCACCGACACGCAGAACGATCAGTTTGAATGATTTCACGAAGGTCGGCCGCGGTGCGAGGCTGATGCTTATTTGCTGTGCCAACATACAGGATGACAAATGATACCCTCCATCAGAATGACGAATTTTTTCCCAGCATTGCGACCGGCGATTGACGACACCGAGGATATTAACATGAAACAGGGGACTTTGGAGTACTGGAAGGCTCTTATCCAATTTTTGCTTTTGGTGACAGGACCTTCGAACTGGAGTTAGCTTAGATATTACACCTCTCAGTGCGCCCCGAGGTCTCGACAGTTTCTGCTTTGCCGGACCGATACTCGGAGCATATCTGAGCAAGCAGAATGTAACAGGATCCGGCGGCATTCTTGGTGACGGTGAAGGATGGATTGCTGAATTGGGGCAGAGCACAAAAGAAAAAAGTCTTTTTCACAACATTGGGGGTTTCTTGGAGCTGCTATTTTCACTTGTTTAGGGGACGGGGTGATTCAAGCAAACTCTGCAATATCACGACTTTGGCACGAGCGCGGCAGGGAGGATGATGGTCGCGAGGAGTTTTTCTGGCATAGACATGCTGTCGCGCGAATTTACCCCATTGATGGGTGGCCGGCTACTGATGAGATGTCTTTTGGAGGAGTCAAAGGCAGTGCGGCTCTCAATCTGCTCTTTGTTCTTAGCAGTTGGGCGTTGGACCCTGCCCTGTTTTACAGCACCATATCAGACAGATATTGTATATTATCAATTTGATGACACAGCTTAGACATGACTATCATAGTTTCGCGATTGTTGAAAATCTATTATTAGCAGCCGCGTAAGGTATATTGTGTATTATTGTACTATGCTGTCTGAAGAGTATGGGTTAGAGAACTGCCGCGTGTCACCGGCGGTGGAGGCCATTATAATGGTGTGTTCAAAGCGGCTTTGATAAGGTAGGTTGTTAAATCCGAGGTATCTCGATCAAGAATGATTCTGTGATCTTCGATTCACTCTTCACCCTCAGCACTTCGTCACCACCCTTTTGGATGATGGCAAGACTTCGTTCTATTCAGGACACTACTACAGTTGTTACCCCAACTTGAAATAAGTCCTACGTACGTACACAGTCCTGGGGTCTTTCTGCCCCTTCCTTCCGTATATAGAAGGACGAATATTCTACTGGAACACAACAACCGGCCTATATATTATTGTCCTGTCTTTGTTTTGTACGAAACATCGTGACCACACAAGACAAAGATCCCGTCAAGAAGTCTAGGACTTGTGCCATTAACGTGTAGGGAGAGAAAGAGAGCACCGCCTTCTGTTGGAGGGGATACTCATACTCCAACAACGACACCAGCGCCTTCAATAGCCACTGAATCTCACAGCCTTCTTGCCTCTCAACGATTCATTCGTTGTCAACATGTCACGCTCGACCAACAACCCGACCATCCTCTCCAAACCTGTTGGCCCAATAGGCTACGGACTGCTAGGGCTTACATGGCGGCCCGATCCTCAACCTGCAAACGAGAGCTTCAAAGCCATGTCTACGGCATTGGCCCAGGGCGCCAACTTCTGGAACGGAGGCGAGATCTACGGCACGCCCGAACGCAATTCATGCCACTTGCTAAACGAATACTTTACACAAAACCCACAAGATGCCGACAAAGTGGTCCTCAGCATCAAGGGTGGTTGTCTTCCGGGCACGATCATCCCAGACGGCTCGGCCAAGAACGTACGACGCAGCGTGGAAGAGTGCTTGCGAGTTCTGGATGGGAAGAAAAGCATCGACATTTTCGAATGTGCGCGCCTTGACCCCAAGACACCTTTGGAAGTCACCATCGGGGCGCTCGCCGAGCTGGTGAAAGAAGGCAAAATCGGTGGCATTGGTCTGTCCGAAGTCAAGGCGTCGACCATTGAAAAGGCCCATGCCATCCATCCCATCGCTGCCGTCGAGGTCGAAGTGTCTCTCTGGACACCGGATATCTTGAGCAACGGTGTCGCTGTGACCTGTGCGAAGCTGGGTATCCCCATTGTGGCATACAGCCCGCTCAGCCGTGGCGCCTTGACCGGCACGATTCGCAGAAATGCCGATATTCCAGAGGGCGATTTCCGCAGGTTTCTGCCGCGGTTCCAGGACGACGTTCTCGAGTATAATACGAGGATTGTCGATGAACTGCAACGCCTGGCGGACAAAAGGGGTGTTACTAGGGCTCAGATTGCTATTGCTTGGGTCAGGTCTCTGAGTGGTCGTACGATAACGACGGAGGATGGGGAGAAGGTGACGCTGGGTGAGATTATTCCCATCCCTGGTGCTTCGAAGCCGGAGAGGATTGTGGAGAATTGTAAGGCGGTTGAGATTGAGTTGTCTGATGAGGAAATGGATGAGATTGCTGAGATCCTTAAGAAGAACCCTGTCAAGGGGGAGAGGTATACTGCTGAGGGCATGACGGTGGTTAATCAGTGAAAAAGGAGCAGGAGATATGCGAATGCACGCGGCAGGTAGAGGAGGGAATGTAGTCAGTGTCTGTCCGAGATGTCTCTAGCAGGGGGAATCAGTGAGAGAATGGAAGGTAGTTGTAGGTAAATGTCAGCCTCATGACGGTCTACGACTTGGATTTCCAGATAGCACCGTCCTCTCTCGCCCTTCTGTACACAGCTTGAGCGAGATGACTTTCAGCGTTGGTACTACTAGCCGTAAATGCGTGCTGGCCTGCGGCGACCGTGCAACTCGGAGTATGAACCGCCCTCAAATCTCTCGTCGCTCCTGCAGGCTTTCCTTCGACATCTGCCATATTTCCTTCAACTTCGGCGCTGTCTGCACCTAGTTTTTTTTTTTTTTTTTTTTTTTTTTTTTTTTTTTGTATCTTGTCAACAACAGTCTTGTCCTCTGAGAAGTCGAAGGCTCAGCTAGCGAGTATGAAGCCACAAGAGCCATCTGCACCAGGTATCCCCGGGAACCGGCGTTGCAATCGGCGCTTCGAGCTGGTCCATCAGCGTTGACTATAGTCCATAACAGCATAGGACGGCAGACACGCATTGGCAGGCGGACTGGCGCCACCAGCATGATCAAGGACAAAACACAATGTACCTTTCCAGACGATGCTCATGTGGATTAGGAGCATGGTCTCGAGACCCAAGTGCGCAGGTGGAGAGACACGACGAAAGGTAGGCGCAGGAGGGGACGAAGACCGCACGTCTAATATCTATGAAACACGGTCAAATAATGGTGCCGCCCAGAGAACCAACTCGTTACCTAGGCACCTACGAGACATGGCAGGGGACATGGGAGTGGGAGCACGATTCCATTCCACACAGCTCTGGGGATCGAGAGCTCTCAAAGGTCCGAATCTGAAGGCACGAGAGACCACCGAATCTCTTTAGCACTCATACTTGTCCGCCGACGCATATTGCCAACAACAGAACGGCCTTCCTCGACGTGCTCGAGCAGGGAGGGAGACTGTCGCCCCCGTGACGACGCGCTTTGCCACCACGGAGCGGGAAGAGGTCAAGCACTCAAGCTCCCTTGTTTGGAAATCCACGCAGGACCACAGTCAATTTCACACCGGCGGGGACGTCGAGCGATCAGTTGTGCAGGTTTTCGAGCAGTCTATGGAGAGGTAAATGTCGCAGACATGTAGCAATACTGGCTCATCTCAGCTGATACTTACATTCAAGGCATGGCAGCGTGACCAATGCTAATGAGGTGGAACAGAGCCGCTGCGGGAGGGAGACCGCTCCAACGTTCGCTTCAAGCCCGGAGCTATTCTGGACTTCATGCACTCTGGTGCTGCAGGCACAGGTTAGACCCTGTGGGAGCTGATCAATTTGACTGATCGGAAGAGTCAACGGCAAGAATTGCTGCTGGATCGTCCTAGAATAGCTGATCAGCTTGCTGACCTCGCCGATTCATATTGAAAGTCTCCTTCAAGTGCGGCCTTGCTCTCGGTCGGTCTGGAGCGCCTACCCTGGCCTTGCTTCTCCCAGACACGGCAGGTAGCCGTAAAATCGCCACGAATGCCTCAGCTGACTTCGATCACGGTTGGCGGGCCGGCAATTTCATTCAACTCGCCCCGAGTCCAGATGACAGGGGACAATTGGATCGACACAGAGAGCATACATGAATCAATGAGAAAGACGAAAGAGAAACAGACTATCACTGTTTGTTGTCCCGATGCAATCTATCGCTTACAAACATGCATCCACATTGTTACCGACGGACAACGCGATGGATCAGTCTCCTGTACAGCACCTCGCGAGCCTGCAGCTCGACAGGGTGCAGAGACCATAGGAGACGCGAGAAGTTTCGCTAATCATCCGTTAGGGAACGTGGACTGGCACTCACTGATGTCGGCTTCGGTCCTTAACGAAGAAGACTGGGTCTGGGTACTTCCGGGAAGACCTGTTGCCAGAATCGGATGGTCACAATACCCTTGACAAGCGAATGGTATAGGAGCAGCAGCCAGCGTACAACCCAGCGGAGTACATCCGCCGAACAGTTTCATGGCCGTCCTCACCAGAAATGTCCTCCGACAAACAAGGTCCGGAGGTATTAAGACGCCACATTCACCTCGCCACTGCCCCATGTGAGCCAGGTGAGCCCGATCACATGGTCATGCATGATCTGGACGTATACTTCTGAGGTCCTCTTGCAGTTACGGCAAGCGTGCGTCGATACACACCGATGCCGCAGAAATTGCCCGAGCGACTCATATCGAGGTCGTGACCAAGAATAAGACTCACCAAAACCAGATGACATATCGCATCTTCTCTAATTGGCGCCAAAGTGTATATCGTGATCATTCCGGAATTTCGCAAGGCTGGTTGTCCCTAGTGGTAACAGACTTTCCCCACAGAAGTGTGAGACTGTCGCGACCTCAAGAGATATATTGCCGAAAATCAACCAGAACGTTAATGTGAGGCCCAAGCTGCCAGGTAAAGCTTGATCGGAACCACGGCTCAGATCGCGGAGTTGAGTGTCAAGTGGGCTGCGTCCAGCACAGCTTCAGACCTCGCCATATGGACTCGAACGCGCGACGCCGGGGGGAAGCTAGGGCAAGCCATGAACAAAGTCCAACCCGAGGTTAACCCTTGTGGAGGTTTCAAAGCTTCATACCACAATCATGTCTTCAAGGACATTGTTAGTCGACGTGCCAAGCGCCTGGACGGACGGCTCGATTGCTGAGGCTTGTTAGGTGTCCCATACAGACGCACAACCGGCCAGCCATTAGAGTGGAGAAAATGCGAATAACAAGACTCGATCTCTATGGCACCGGCCCGCTTGAACCTCGGAACATGATTCAGGCTGGGGAAGGGTGTTCTTCACAGTAACCCCTTGCATATCTGGTTCCGCGCGCTACTACTAGCATTCGAAAGGAAGGACTCCCTGATTTTACTTAGTCGAATGACCGGGGACTAACCAGGTGTTGACGACTTTGATCCTTGTACGAGACGACATGCACTATAGGACGTGCCTTTCCCCTTTCTGATTTCGTGGGGATGGGTGGGCATGGAAGCATGTCAGGGCAATGGCCCCGACGCCAAAAGCCAGCACTACGACGTTACTACTACCCTAGCCGTGACTTGCTGGCAACTTGAACACCATACCAGAAGTCATGGCGTCTCGCTTGATCCTCGGCTTTTTTTCCAATGCTGCGCCTTCACATTCGGGAAGTCTGATGAGAGGGGCGTGAAAGGTGTGGTGTTTCTATCTGGGGATACCTCTCTCCGCAGTCTGGGCAGCTGGACGAAGCTGTCTCTACGAGGATCAACATGTGGTGAACCAGTGCATGCAGGCCGCTTTATTTATCCAACCTTGCAAGCACATTCTGGGTCTTGAGGACTAGGAGCATTGATTGCCAATCACCGCCTGAAGCACCCCTGCCGCATTCTCCGCTGCACACCATGTGGTTAGCCTGGAGCCATCCCAACCCCGGAGTGGAGGTGGCCGGGGCAGTTGACATGCAAAAGTTGATTCTCAGCCTTCTAGGCTCGTTCCAGTGCAGTAGCCATCACCTGCCTACTCTCCGGTGCACGCCCCCTTGGTTGGATTTCCCTCCCTCCATCTTCGGCTTCACATCGGGTGGCTTCTGATTGCGCGCTAGCTCCCCTCTGATCACGACTATAGTATACACAGACCAGACTAAGCTAGGAACGGCGGTTGAAGTCAGGCATGAAGGTCCGCATGTCTGGCCCCCAGGCTCGAGACATTAAAGGCTCGAGGGGTCTCCATGTTTTCACGATGCTCTTCATCTCGACCCAACATCAACTCTGCCTGTCTCTTCCGAACGGAGCGAGAGAGAAACCACCGCAGCCATGTCAAACTCGGAGAAGGTTGTCGATCCTCCGCAAAGGGGTTCTCCCCATCGTCTTGAGCCAGTCCAATCGATTGACAAGACCAAGGATGTAAGTTATGGGGCCATAGGGCTTCCAAAGTGCTCGCCTTGACTTAGACCTGCTAGCTAACATTCTACTCTATCTAGGTCGTGGAAGTGAGAGAGGTCAAAGGCAGTGAGGCCTACAATGAAGCCTTGCTCAAAGAGCCGGTACCGCTCACACATCCGCGCACATTGATGCTTTTTGGTGCCCTCATGATCGGGTTCTTCTGCCAAACCATGAACGGTTACGACACCATGTTGTTCGGGGGTCTGCTTAACAACAAGGAATACTTCCTGGCCCATTTCCACGGCGAGAACAAGGGCATTTGGGCTGGACTGATCACCTCCATGTATCAGATTGGAGGAGTCTGCGCTCTGCCATTTGTCGGTCCTTGCATCGATCAATGGGGCCGTCGTTGGGGCATGTTCATTGGCAGTCTGCTCATTGTTGTGGGCACCATCGTTCAAGGATTGACGTCGGCCAATGCCTCCGAAGGCCAAATGATGGGAGGCCGATTTGTGCTCGGTTTCGGTGTCTCCATCGCCGCCGCTGCCGGCCCCATTTGGATCGTCGAGACGGCTCATCCCAAACACAGGGGTGTCATCACTGGTCTTTGCAACACCACCTGGCTGGCCGGTTCGATTTTGTCTTCCGGTGCGACTCGTGGTGGCCTCAATGTCAAAGGGAATGCCTCGTGGCTCATCCCTGTCTGGTTGCAGATGGTCTTCCCTGGCCTCATCTGCATCTTCTGCCTCGCTCTTCCCGAGAGCCCGCGATGGTTGTACACACGTGGAAAGAGGGAGTCGGCGATCAGCACCCTCACCAAATGGCATGGGTTTGGCAACCGTGAATCCGCCTGGGTGCGACTTCAAGTGGCCGAGTACGAAGAATTCCTCGAGTTGGACGGTTCGGTGAGTGATGCAACTACCCATGACCATGGCTATACTTATCTAGAGCTAACACGTTCTTCGCCAGGACAAACGTTGGTGGGATTATCGTGGCCTCTTCAACAAGAGGTCCAGCCTTTACCGAGTGGGCGTAGCGTGTTGGTTCTCGGCCTTTACCCAATGTGAGTCTCATGATATACTCTTTCTGTGGTCCATAACTAATGGACAACTGCCAAACAGGGTCCGGCAACTCCGTGCTGTCGTATTTCATGTCTGCAGTCTTGGATACTGCTGGCGTCAACGACTCCATCGGCAAGGCCAACGTCAGTTTGGGGTACAGCGTGTTCCAGTTCGTGTTCGCCGTGCTGGGCGCCCACTTTGTGGAACGCATCGGTCGTCGCAAGATGATGATGGCCGGCTTCTTCGGCGTATCCATTGTCTGGATCTGCATGACCGCCTCGGCCGGTACGCTGGCCAGCTCGCTTGTGTCCGGCAGCGTCGACGGCGGCGATGCGGTATTCAGCAACCACGCGGCCGGCCACGCCGTGCTCGCCTTCATTTTCATCTATGGGGCCGTGTACTCGTTCAACCTCACGCCCCTGCAGTCGCTGTACCCGGTGGAATGTATCTCGTTTGAGATCCGTGCCAAGGGCATGGCGTTCCAGTCCTTCTTCGTCAACGCTGCAGGCCTGATCAACCAGTTCGCCTGGCCCATTGCCCTCAAGAAGATCGAGTGGAAGACATACATCATCTTCATTGTCTGGACGGCCATCCAGGGTGTCTTGTCGTATTTCTTCTTTCCGGAAACAAGGAAGCGAACGGTACGTATTGCAACGCAGCTGAATCTCCGAGAAATTGATAGTAAATACTAACTCAAATTGTTACAGCTCGAGGAACTCGATCAGATCTTCGAGGCCAAGAACCCCGTCAAATATTCGATCAGGAAAAAGACCGTCGCTGTCACTGAGGACCGGACCCTTGTTTCTGTTGACAAGGACGCCAAGGTCTAAGGGTTCGTTCGAAAAGAACCTGACAAGAGAAGTTAGGAACAAGGCTGTCTCATTTGTCGAGGAGATTTTCGTGACTGCAGAACATCAGCTGCGTCTCCTTGATACCAATGTCACTGCCACTGCCACTGAGGTGTGGCTACGCCTTGTCATTCACAGTGGGTAGGCTGATGTGATTGACGGTCGGCCGGTATCATGATGCGTCGAGACACAAAAAGGGGAGGGGCGGCATGAATTAACAGCACGATCTTCAAGTTGTGCTCGATGTTGCTTGTTGAGGTACTAGTAGTTCAATTGCAAGTATACTTTTAACTTTATCTGTCCATTCATTTAATTGGTCAACTCTATTCTGTAAACCAGCACAGATTCTCCCATAACCAAGTCTGCCCGACCGTGTTCATCATGCTGAAATCGGGGCTGTCGAGAATCCCTATGGTAGTGCCCCCGTCACCATCGGTATTCGCATCCAAGTCCGGATGTGTTTCGGCCCCCACGATATCACCACCAGTATGGTGGCTGTGGTTGTGGTTGTGAATCGTAGTGATATTGTCGTTGTTGACATGGTTGTGACGAATATATCCGGGATCAGTATCGACGGCATTGTATCCACCGTCACCGTCATTGTCTCGGTCCGACGGTGTATGGGTGTTGTTCCATGCTTGTGTTTGGATTTGGCCATATGCCCTTGTCGAAGAGGACGGTGCCGCCGACGCTGAAGGAATGTTTGGTGTCGTTGGTGTCGTTGAATGATATTGATGATGATTGTGTTGATTATGGTGGAGACGATGCATCCTCGTACCGGCAGTAGCGGTGCTAGAAGGATCCGGTGTAGTGGTGGCGGCGCTGGCACTGGTGATTGCAGAAGCAGGGAACATGGCTTGTTGTAGCGTGATAATACCGTTATTAAAGTCCATGGTCTCGAACCCGGTAAAATCGAATCCGGCACTGTCGTCGTCATACTCACTGCTGATGGGATACGCCGACGATGACAATGGCAAGGTCTGCTGCTGGCCTTGGCCGGGGTAGAAGAAAGTTGTGTCGGGAGTTGGACCAGAAGAACGTTGTTCGTAAATGCCGGAGGTGGTCGTCGTTGAAGGTGGAGGGGGCATTGTGGTACTGTTGCTGTTGCTGTTGCGGCTGCCGCTCAAATGCGTGGATCTTCTTTCTCGTCCATCCTCGCTCGACATGAGAGGTTGTGGGTGATCGGGGGTTCGGTCAAGATGAAGATTCCGCTGCTGACTGGCCATCATATGACCGTCATCACCAGCAGGCATTGTCCCAATACCATCAACATCCTCATTAGTAGTAAGAGCATTAGTACTATGATTATTTTCAACAGAAGCAGCAGCCAATCCAGGCCCCGGGCCGGAAGCAGCCGCCCCTGAACCTGAGAGCATGGCCTTGATCTCCTTCTCGCCAATCAAATGCACCAAGTCTTTTAGGATCTTGGTGGTCTGGGCCGACAGTAGGGCTTTACCGGACAAAAAACGTGACAGAGCCATGATGCGCGCCACGGCCTGTTTGGCCATCTGGGCCTGGGCGGACAGCGGGCGGGCCAGCGCCACAACGCACAGGACCATGCCTGCCGTGAACAGATTGATGCCTAGAAAGGCACACGCGTGGCTCTCGCGCGCAGTGGCCAGACATTGTTGGTATCGGCCCAATTTGGACGAACGGATTGCAGAGTCCCAGCAGGCGTCGCGACTTGACATTAGAATTTGATGGACGTCGGGAGTATCCGAATCGAGTTTCGTGTTTGCATCTGTATCCGTAGCAGCGCTGGTGGTGTTTGTGTCGATAGCGGTGGGATATTCTGGGTCATGATGGCTGCGGGCCGGTTTTTCCGACGTCTTGAATTTTCGCAAGTCCTGCGACAGAAGTGGTCGATGGAGCAGGATCTGGACATTATCATACGCAATTTGCAACGCCAGAGCCTGCAGCATGAACGGACGGGTGTTGGCGGTGACTGGCTCGGCGGGATTGCGGAACAAATCCTCCAGCTTCAATTCTGGAGGCAGACTGTTGAACCAGGATACCAGCTCCTCGTTGATGCGGGAGACCTTGATGGCCAGCTCCGATACGTCGCTGCTGCGGTGGAAATACAGGTCAGAAATGATAGGCGACGAAATCTGGTATAGCTTGAATTTGTACTTCGAGTACGAGAACGTCGTCACCGGTTCCACAGTCCCGTCCGGCATCGTGGCAGTCGAGCGGAAGCGGGGATGCTGGACAGTGGTATCGCCAATATTTTCGGGAATCTTGACGTCGATATCGTTGAGAGGGATCCCACAGGGTCGACCGAATATGGTGGATGCAAAACTAGAAAAACAAACAACTGTCAGTTTACCACTTATCCCTCGAGGTCGATTTGTTGAAGGATATCTATCATACCGGTCAAAGACGAACAACGCCCAAAACGTCCGTCTACGTTCCTCTTTGGCTATCTCCGATAACCAGCGCCACGAGGACTCTTTGTGGAGCGACATGAGCTGGGCACAGCTGATTCCAGCCCCGAGAATGACAAAGGCGAGATTCGGCCGCCCATGGTACATGTAGTAGGAGCCTAGGAGAACACAGACCTGCACCGACTCTATCTCGGCAGAGTCGTAGAGTGTGTGAAGGCTGTCTTCGACTCTTTTGAGCGACAATCTCTGGAAGGTGTCCAAGTTGAACGAGGGGAATCTTGCGCGCACGTCCTCTTCTGACGCATAATGCGCCCCGAGCGAAAGCAGCAGCAGTATAAATATGGCCTGGTTGGACCGAGATTTCGGAGACCTCCTGTTCGCCATGAACGCTTCGTAGCTGGCGCGGAGCGTGGGTTCGTGGAACACCATCATGAACCAATGGACGGCACCCATGTAGACGTTCAACAGATAATCCGTGACTCTCTTGGAAGGCAGTTCGAAGCCGAATAGTTCTTCTACCGTGATTTCATCCCGTGCGATACCCGGAGATGGCTGTGACCGCCCAACGCCTCCTGGTAGGGCAGAGGTCGAGCTTTCCAGCACTGTTTCCGGGCTGAAGTTGTCGATGATCTGGATAGGACGTTTAGTCAACCACACTCAGAGCGAATAAGCCATGCTTACTTCTTGCGTAAGTCCCGCGGAAGAGATCCTCTCTTTGTACCCGTCAGGATCTGTGCTGGAGACCAGGTCGACGCTGACAGCGGTCTTGTGCCGCGAAGGTGACACCGACGGCCCTTCGAGCGTCGATCTGCTATCGAAATCGTCCGCATGGCCAAAGCATGGTACAGAAGAGTCGCACGTTGGCCCATCGGACTGCGAAGGCTCTTGATCCGTTTGGCCGGCGAGTGGTTTACTCTCATCCAGCGAAATGCGTTTCCTTTTTCTGCAGGTCAGTGAGCATGGATTCGCCTCTGACAGCCCGTTGGTGGTCAAACGGAAACAAGATAAGGACAACAGACCTTTGACGGAATTCGGATACGCAAGGCACTTCGGCCCTTAGACACAAAGAACACGGTCGTTCCTGATCGCACTAACCCGGGGGGGTATTCATCAACTCTGGACTGCCACAATAGCGCGAGATGAGCAGGACTCACCTTCAATTTCTGCCTCCGACATCTCTGGCAGGCTGACTGGACTCGCGAGCGACGTTTTGCTCGAGGGACGTCAGGGACGTGTTGGATCCATTGTTTGTCCATTCCGGCGCGGCCTTCGACGGACTTATGCGGTAGGACATCGTATGCTGTGAGACTGAGATGGTGATGCTATTGGACAGCCGTCGAGACATGACAGGCGTGGTCCAGCAAGATTTCTCGAATCAACCCGATGGAAAGATCGTATTCGTAGAATTCTCTTGACTCAAGACCATAGATTCACAACCCTGATTACGGGGGGATGTTGAGTGTGCACTGAACACTGGCGGGGCATTCGCCCTTTGACAGCTCAGACACTGAGGCTGGACTCGGAGTTGAGGTCCAGGTCCCGCGTGGAGAATCCGCTGACACGGGGTTCGCAAACTTCGTATATCGGCGTTTTCCCCGACCTTTCCCGACAAGCATTCGGAAAGTGAGCGGGCATCCACCGAACACGATGGACCGTTGTACAACATGTATGATATAATATTGTCTCTCTCTTCGATGTTGGCAAGATGCCCAAGGTAGTGACCTGGCCAGATTGTCGTCGACGGTGTCTCTTCGTCTCCAGTCATCAAAATCTGGCATAATAATGCATTATCGGAACGAGAAAGAAATTGCGTTGAGCAGTATGATGGAGGAGGCTTCCTTCGACATCCGTACCTGCGACTTCTGGGGATCTCATGACACGAACCAACGAACAAATGTCTTTGATCAAGATTGAAGACACGAAGCAAGCAGGCCAAAAGGAACCGGAAACTCCCTATATCCTGGCCCCCTCCAGAAGTGCGCCTGGTTCCCTTGTACACAAGGACAACACACCACATCAGTCGTAATAGTGTCTTATAGTGATACGATCGTACTACATAGTAATACAAGCTGCTACCTAGATACTAGTAGCTCTATGGTACATACCTAATCATGCCAACCCCGACCAGACGTCCGACATCCTCATAAGTGGTATCCAACAGCATCCATTTCACGGTACTGCTCCCATCCGTGGTCGAGCAGAAGCACGCTCACCGTACGTATTAGTCGTCGTGGCTGTAGTAATGGCATTGTCGATCCTGTCATCCCCACCGTACAAACCCTCCATGAAGGGGTCCAGGTCTCTGAGATGGTCTGGATCTCCCTCAAACACATCGACATGCATCGGCCCGCCCTCTTCACGGCCCCGGCTCCAACCATATACGACCAACGGATTGTCCAGCACTCGGACGATCTGCTCGCCTCGCAGCAGGCAACCACGGTCGCCTAATTGCGAGAGGAGCGTATGATAGGCCTTCGCAATGGCCAAGTGGCTATCGTCTTTGATGATGGCCTTGTTCGCCCATATAATGACGGCCATCAGTGTCACAAAATGAATGAATGGGAGGAGGACTAATATGGTTCCCGCGTATTCCCAAGTGACATGCAGAATCTGCGCATCGACCGGTTGCTCGCCGTCCGAGACGTTTTTTCGTGCCCTTCCTTCCACGTCCATGATGGCAATGGCTCCCATGGTGAAAGATGCGATGGAGCTGGCCATATCTACCTCCCGGGGGATGTAGTTGAAGCGGTAGGAGGAGGAGTTGGTGTACATTGTCGACAGCGCTTGCCCATCTAGCACGGGAGGATTGTCGCTCCACCCGATTGCGCCCGCAAGCATTCTCGCGACAACATCTGACACGGAATAATTCGAAGAGAGTTTGCGGTTTCGATCTTTCACCTGCGTAACGGTGTTGTTGCATTGGAAGAAACGTGCTTCGGGTATCGAACGCTCGTTGTCGTCGACTACGTTGCTGGGTAGCGTTTGAGCCTGAAACGATCGGATATCGACACACCTTGTGCTGGGACAGATCGAGGGCGACGAGTTCAACATGGACATGAACAGAAGACCCGCGGGGCCGGGCGGGGCAGGAAGCGACTGATTGACGTCTTTGTAGCCGTCATTGTAAATTACGTATGACAGATTGCCATACTGACCCTCGACTACCTTATAAGCATTGCAGTAAGCAGTTGCGTTGATGTATCGGGTTGAGACAATGCTGGCCCCTGTTGACTTGTTCGCGTTGAAGTCCTTGAAGAAGTAGGAGGTATGTCCGAGGTATGACGAAAAATAAGCCAAGCCGCGTTCGGGTATGTAGATCCCACCCGGGGGCAAGTTGGGTAACGGGAGGGCTGTCGCCATCTCGCCTCTGACGCCCCATTGTTGGACAGCGCTGAGGTCCATCATATAATTGCCCGAGTCAAGCGCATTCAGATTCAGTATACTGACCGGCCCTTTTCTTGTGAGGACAAAATTCTGCGATGTGTCGAGATTATAGTTCAGGCCGATTATGCCGACAAGGATCGCTATGGCCAGGTGGACGAGGAGCCAGAACAGGCACAAGATCTGAGTTTTGGATGGGAGGTAGTTGGATCTGTTGTTTCGGGCTTTCCAGAGCAGTTTGACCACGTTCATGAGACTGCCACATCCCATGATCAGGTCGAAGGTCAGCAGAGGTCGATAGCACACCGCCAGCAATCGCCAACGCATCAGTTTGGCATAACTGCGCAACGATGCGGCCAGATTTACACCAAGCAGCAACGTGTTGCCTGTGGTCAGGGCGTTGAAGATCTTGCGCTGTTGGACGTCGATGGTGAGCTTTCTAGAATAGGCATAAAGAATGCCGAAATATGAGGCGCATAGAATAAGCGTGTTGACCCATTCGCCAATCGTCAATCGCAGGAGACGACTCCGCTGCTTGCTGTGACGGTATTCTGTCGTTGTGCTGTGAATGGAAGTGTCCTTTTCTGACACTTCATGCCACGAAGGCCGTATGGAGGTCTGAAAGCGTCGCCTGAATGAGCTGAGGGGTGAATGCTGCCGGGTATCCTGTAGTTGATCAACAAGACGGGTGGTCGTGGCTTCGATCCATGTCAATCTTAGAAATTCGGCCGAGCCCGCTCTCACATACCTAGAATTGGCTGCTCCATAGACCGAGGAGTCTCGACCCGTATCGTACCAGCAGAAGATTGAGTCTCTACTGACGGTCGGCCGTGCAGAGATGGAGTAGCCTCTGCCAAAGCAGGGCGATGCGGCTCTGTGGATGGCAGCTCTCCCTGTACACAGCGGCCAGCAGCCTCATTCTCTTCATTGGGGACTCTCGTATAGTTTAACGGTGAGCCTGAAGCCATTGTAGGTTTGGTCTGCGAGTCCGACGCGCTGCTCTTTTCTTCGGACAAAAAAGGCTTCCTTATAGAGGAGCTGCAGCTCCTATGAGCAGCTCAAACATTGTTCAAACGCCGCCCATCAATTGTTGAGTTCTATGTCCAGGCTAGGACCAACACCCCAGAGACGGGAAGCATGGGGGCCATATGCTCCTCGACCTCGACTTAGGCAGGGAGACCTGGCCATTCAGCTGACAACTAATCCCTGCTTTGGGTAAACGCCCGAGTATTAAGACTCGGAAGGCAGATACCTGGGTAGTCAAGTCTGTTAAATTCAACTGTACCTTGATCACACCACAGACTGTTTCAAAGACGACTGCCAGACTGGAGGCCTAAGCTCGGTTGTCGTCTATCACGCCGTCTGCGGTCGGCTATCTTACCACGGGTACTTCAGACCGCCCAAACAACAGGGTCGACAACGAAACATAGCTTGGATTGCCAGGAGCGGTTGGCAAAGGCAGCTTGAATAAATGCGTGCTAGCCTGGCCGGGGAACGGTTGAGACAGTGTACGTTCCGGTTATCGCGAGGGGCATGCTCACCGAGGTTGTATAGCGGCATGCCAGAAACACGAGTCTCAACATGAACCAGACTCGAGGTTATTACCGTCTCATTGCCGCCCTCAAGGATTGTAGAGAAGACCATTCGCTCATCATGTCATGTCATAGTAAGAGGGTGGAACATGTTTGTTGTGTCTAATGTAAGGGCAGGGAGTTGGCGCACAATGAGGCCAGGCCAGGGCCATCCCGTTTTTGTTGCCGCCCAATGGGCGATCACACGTCTAGAAGTGGTACCTCCAATGGTAGTACCACACAACACCAGGCCATGCGCATAATCCATGCGGCTCTATCGCATCAGCCTATCTGGACATTGCTGACCGCGCTACTGGCATTGCAAATGGAAACCGGATATCCGATCCCAATTTACTGCATCCGACACGAGTTCAAGAGTAACCGGCCGCGAATCGCACAAGGAAGCGGCTGACGATCTCCAATGGTACGAGCATATCCAGGGATGTCCGGTGCCACGTCGTCCCTCCCATAGTCCAAGGCCTTGGTGGAGAAGCGCCGAGGGAGTGAAAGCATATCGATTGTTTACTCCAGCGACCTGGCCGATGGAAATCGCCGAAATCGGTTTTCAAAACCCTAGTCTGAGGATTTGGTCTGAAAGGCCAACAGGCATACTAGAACAACCTCGCTGTAGGCGCGGCTCGAGGAGTCGTTTTCACGAACTCAACCTCGAACACATGTTCAGCCCCGAAAGAGAAGTTGTTCTGCTGGTCTGGCCCGTAGGCAGGACCCCCATACATGCAGGTAGGAGTTACCCGTCTAGTGCCAGTCAAGTTGCAGATGACTTTTCTGACATGTGAGCAATGGTAACCCCGAATCGAAGGCCAGCTGTGGGTGTTGTGTATTGTGTTGCCGCGCGAGTTCACAGAGTATCAGGCTGAATCTTGAACTTATTGCTCATGCTGAGGCTGATGCTTATTCATAGATCAGAGTCGATCGGTGCGGCCGCTTCGGTATTCACTTGTTTGCCTGGCCCGCTGCTTCGCCCGGATTGTCGACTTCATTGCTGTTGGCAGTCTTGTCGAAGTTCAGGCCTAGGTTGGTCCATTCATCTTTTGCCATGAGTCCTTTCTCCATTCGGCAGTTCAAGTAGTCCCTTGCCATCACCCTGCACTCTTCGTTGTTCTTCCCTGGGGGATTCTGCCTTCTCAGGCATCGTAAGTAGGACGAGATCAGATGTTTGCACTCGGCATCGTGGTCAAGCGGAAAAGATCCGCGTTCGGGAGGGGTGGGTTTGATGTTGACGGCGCCGCCGCCAGGAGCACCGAAGCCTGACATTGCAAAGGTCTTGGGGACGGTCGCTTGCTATGGACCTGTTATAGGGACACGGCTGAAGGACTGCTAGTAACGGTCGAGGATGTAGCTGTGTTTGTAGCTGGTGGGCTGACAAGCAAAAGGCAAGGAAATGAATGGATCAACCCGGATAACAACTTGAACCTTATGTTATAAAAGCGCAGACTCCGAGTCGGGATCCACGGCAAAGAGACATCACGTGATGTGAATAGGAATGAGTTCCGACGTGACAACTACTCGGACAGTACTGCTAGCAACGGGAGAAAACTACGCTATGGACAGTTGACGTCTTAACGGCGCTGAGCAGACCCGTCATCAGCATCATTAACGGTTGTTGTTTGTATTACGTTTGCATTTGTTCGCTACCTATAGTGGACATATGAAGTGTTCCCAGCGATGTCAATCCGATGGTTTAAACCAATCGACCGACTCCCTCACGTTTGTTTACTGCACGATTCGCATTAAGAATCGACGGTGTGATCACCCAACTATTCAACAGTCAGCATATAGGAACATCCAGAGACGGCAAGAAGCAGAGGCAGATTGGAATAGGCTTATGTCAGTTCTCCAAGGTGATGTATATTCGACATGGAAATTCAGTAAGAACACAGCGAATACATTGAGATCATCAGAAAAGCAGACGGGAAAAGCCAATATGCTCACCTTCAAGTTGCAAGGATCACTCTACAGTCCGTAAGTCCATGTTCCTCACCTGCACAGAAACCATCAGTAAGAGGCCACAATATGTTCGCTCAAAAGTGCAGTATGCAGAATAAAGCATCTATCTCAGGCTGTCAGTCAACATGTCAGCCAAGGATACCTTGAGAAAGATCACTTTCACCAGCACATACCTCATTAAATCAGAATTTTCAGTGTAATGCGTTCATGCCCAGGCGTTCGCCCAGTTCAAACAGTGTGAATATTGTTCATCATTTGATGCTTGCAAGGGGGTGTTGTATGGGAAGACTCAGTCGTTACCTATGAGCGGAACTGTTAGTATGTTCCGTCTTTCACAACCGACATGTATTGCCATTTTGAAGCCATCAATCAGCTGACGAGTTCTCAACAAGTGCTACAGTTCCGGCACATCCACAGAATTTGTACGTTCTGCTTTTTACGGATGTGACGGACTGCGCACACAGTCTGTCCGCCCGTTCGTTCAAATCTTCGTCATGGAAGGCAAGAGGGAGCGGCATGGCAGGAGTCAAGTACCTATAGCAAGATTGCAGTTAGCACCGAGATATCCAAAAGAATGGATGAAAAGAGGTGAGAATATCGCCAGTCAGACAAGGCTGAAACTTGTAAACAGGACAGATTCCACATGGTGATTAAGTCTGAGGAATGCCTTTCGTGTCGTTTGGTCATCACAGAAGGGAAGGGTAGAGTGGTGGCTTTCGGGTACCTTTTGAAATGAATACAGTTCGATTCGTCGAGAGAGATGGCATTCATCCATGATATCTACTTTGAGGATGTTAGCACGTTCCACAGGAAAGATGGCAGAACAGTTTGCGCAATCGGCAACAATCAGCGTAATTCTAGAGTAATTTTGATCCTCAGAGAACAGGAGTTCTAGGAGTTGGATTGTGAATGTTCATCATTTGAGGGAGCGCACGCAATGCAGGGACAGCCTTACCTCAAAACCGGCAGAAGATAGCATGGCCCAAAGAACTTGGGCGTGAAAAGTGTTGGAATTCAAACGAGCCGAAGTGAAAGAGAATGGTAAATTTGGAGTTCAAGTTGACGCAAGGAAATTTTGTCTGCAGTTGAACTTCACTGGCACGGGCTGCCTTGGCATGTTGCTGCTTTTGAACTGTGCTCTTCAACCGTCACTTGCTGCTATTACACACTGGGCTACAACCAGGCACCTGGTGCCAGGAGGACACCAGCCTTACTACCATCTACAATGTAGAGAAGGCTACATTCAGGCCGGACAACGACAAGTGGCAGCATCGAGCATAGTAGTACTCCTAATCATTAATTTGTCTGTCCGCAAGGAATGGCTGGTGCCAGCCTGGTGCAATTTCGCCGTTCAATTATCGTACAAAGGCAAATATGTCCCGCTAAGTAAGGTGGTAGTGGACGAGCTTTTCTTGGTATTGGGCGGTGCTCGGCGAGCAACATAGTATGGTGCTCCTCTGAGCAAGAGAGGCGCGGTATCAATTGCCTGAGAGACAGGGCCATGCGTTATGCCGGTCGATGCTCTGAGCACACTAGCCGCCCACACCCTCGTCAACGCAACATAATCTTCATGAATAACCCTTCATCGAAATCTGGCCTTTGCTCATACGACGCCCACAGTTCTCCCTCTGTCGGTTCCGGCTTGTAGACCGTTCATCTGCATAGCTTCTCCGTTTGGTGCTTCTGTTGCTGTCCCATCACGCTGATCAGGTAGGCCGGGTCCGGTCATGTGCTGTTGGTACGAGGCTTCCAGGTCATGTTGATGTGCCGCCCTTGCTGATTCCCATCCTTCGTCTCCGACATAATTGGGACGGCCGACTCCCACCCAAAAAGCGCGACCGCGACTCCTGGCACCCCAAGCCCACCCGCTCCCTCCACGAATAGGCAAATGGTACCATCGAAAGCCGAACCAGGCCATGAAGATACCGATGAGTGAGCCGGAGAGTATGTCGAGGCCGTGGTGTCTGTAATCAAACCATCGTGATACCGAGATAAAGGCCGCAACGCCAACCGGCACAAACGCCAGGATCAACAGATATATCGGCGGCGCAGCGGCTTCATTGCGGATTGGGGCTGGACGCCGAGTATTCGAGGCATTCGACAATGTGGAGGATTCCTTAGATGCCTGGTAGTTCTGGACAAGCTCGATTTCTTCGTCAAAGGTCGAGATATACCTGCGGCTGTACGAGGTAGATGTCTGAGGCAGAAATGGAATATGCACGGCAAACTTGGCGCAGAGGAAGAAGGTGAGATAGAGCAGACCGGCCCAGCTGAAGCTCGAGTGGCCTGAGGGCCAGCTAGCAAAGGCATTGCGCATACGGCTCTTGTCCGTGTTCCGACAGATGCGCGAGTCCACCACAATCGGGACAGCCGAGCTGAGCGAGGCACCAAGTCCGCCGATCTGGTACTTTCGAATCGCTTCGGGGCTGGTGTCTGGGTCGCATACAGCAAGCATGAATGGTCGCGGTTTTCCCGTCAGATCCTTCAGACCTTCTGTAATCATAAACGCTCCTGCAAGTGCCAGTCCAAGGCCCATCCACGCAGTGTTCCATTCCCATATCTTCCGACGCCATGTCAGTGCTTTGGGCGTGAATCTGTTGGCCGTCGGGCCAGGGACGAAGAGCAATGAGACGATTGCTGTGATGACGCCAGGCGCGACGAGGCCGACAATGACCAGCACCCCTGTGGAAACGGTGTCTTTATGGTAAGGATACGATATGCTGGGGTCTTGTAACGAGAAGGCGTGTCTGTTTCCATCGATCTGGCTGAAGCCGCCGCCAACAGCCGCCGTGCATCTGCAAGGGCGGGTTAGTTTTTGCCTGTCCAACACTGCTAGAGACTCGGAGCAATAGGCATCCAAGGGCCAGACGTACAATATGAGAATCCAGTCAAAGATGTAGGAAGCGACAAGTCGCTTGGAAACATGCCTGACGCCTCCAGCGAGGCTGTTTACCGTCTTTGCGCCGGCGAGCATCTCTGGAAGGTGAGCACGCGACACAGGCTTACCGAGTGAAAGTAGCCGAGGGGGCCGTGGGACTAGAACTCGTTTATCTAGGTGCTGCGGCCGACATATTCTGGGCCAAGAAGCCAAGGGTGTCGCAGCAGTTCGGACAAGGTTTGGGAAACCTACAAGGGATGTTGTATGGAGTCATGATTTGGTCTTGGGGACATTCTTGAGGTGGCAGTGCGCAAAGGCTCCCCGGAAGTTAGTCCCAAATAATACATACTACTAGCACTTCTGCACTACGATCGCGATGATCTTCCGGTTCATCCTGCCACTGCATGGCGTCATCACCGTCCGGGACTCGGATCTTTTGGATGAACGACTACTACCTAGGTAGAAACCTTACTAGTAGTACTTCCACTAGGATGACAATTATACACAGATAAAACTAAGAACAGAGATGTGCATAAAAGCACAAGCACCCACGACCTATTTCCGTGGCAGCTTCAGCAGTGGTTTGCGAACATCGAGAGATCTCCATTATGAATATGAACTAAGTGACAAGCAATACATCGCAATTCATGTTCGAGAGTGCAATTCCAAAGACCGCCGACGCCTAGTCCATGCTGTCGGGGTCCATATCTGTCTACCAACAATACAATCCCCTGCTCGGTGATATTCTTTGATTGGCAAGGGATGGAGAAGAGGAGATGTGAAAACGAAGGGGGTATCAAAGCTGAACTGGGTTAATCGATCATCCGTCTGCAAAGCTCACCCCCAAGCTGAATGGCAAAAGGAAAAAATAAGCAACCCCCGTAAAGGACCGATCAATTCGAAAAACTCCCCGCCCTCATGTACTTTCTCGATGTTCGTCGGCGTATGAACGTGCAATCAATCGGTCGTCCGAACCTGTTCGACGACTGCGACATCTCCAGGGCGGCATGTCGCTCGGAGCCCGGCGCCCATTGTGTATCAGTAGCAGGGGTAGCGCTGGTCAGACTTAGCCACCAGGCCCAGCTTCTCATCAAGTCATCTCCATGAATTCGTCTTCTTCCTTGAAACTCATTCCGGAGTGACCGGCACTGTGCCAGAATTGAGGTTGTCCAGGACCATTGCTGCCGCTATTAGTGCCACTGCCTCCACTGTGAAAGCCTGGGCTAAGCTCAAAATTGCTCTGCGGGCTCATACTTGAGTTGATCGGGAGCCGTTCGCCAGCAAGGTTGGTATGGCGTGGCACACGGAGCCCGCTGCCATCCGTTCTAGAGTAGGAAAAGGTGCTGGAATCGTTCTTTTCCATCGCCTCCATCACTTCCGACCGCATGCGTTTCTCGTCTTCGGTGACCTGGAACGGCCACTGTCCGCCTATGGACGTGATGTACTGAGCCAACTCGTCTTCTTGTTGGTATTTTTGATATAGAGCCCACATAAGATCACGCGTCCAGCTGACGGCACCATTCAGGATATCGCCCTTGTTGGGACCTTTCTCCTTCTCCTCAATGGGCAGTCCGATGGTGATATTGCCGGCCGTGCTGGCTGCACGTCGACCAGCAGCACCGGCAAGCAACGAGGTGGCGGCATTGGTGGCATTTGGTGGACTCATACTTGTAGCACCCATGGACGGTGACATGGGTCCGCTGTTCTGGAGCTGCTTTTTGACCTTGTCATCTTCTAGGCGATGTTGTGGCACCAAGTGAGAAAGATCCTGAATCCGCTCGTTGATATTGTCTCTTCGACGGCGTTCGACTGCGTTGTGTGAAGCACGTCTTCTCCGCTTCTTCGCTTCTACAGTCTCCGCATTGCTGAGTCCATTCTCAACCTTGGCCGGCAGAGATGCATGTTGGGCTGTACCAAGTGTTTCCGAAATGCCAGCATGATGGAGACCAGTACCAGGCGATGACAATGGCGAGTCCAGGTACGAGTGGAGGCTTCCGGGCGTACTATCATACTGGCCAGACATGGTCTTGGAATGTCTGCTCTGAACATTGGGCGCTCTGATCGGTCGACCATTAGCGAGACTCCCAGACTCCGGCGTCCCAATGTGCAGACCTGCCATAGCTGCAGTACGTGGAGTCAAGGGGGTTCTCTGATCAGATGATTTACGATGCGCTGACTGGATGCTCGGACGCTTCGCAAATTGGGAACCTTGCACAGGTGACATATGCTGTGGCAGCGACCCCATTGGGCGGAATTGGTTGTAGTCGAATGTGCCCAAGAAGGGGCTTTGAATCGGAGGTCCATCTGGAGTGCTGGAATACATGTTGGATAAATGGTTCTGTTGGTTGACAGGAATGGAAGCTGAGCCTCTGCTCATCCCGGCGTTGGCTTGTGTCATGGTTGAAAAGTCTTCCATCATTCCTTGGTTGCTGTGCCCGAAATCAAGGCTCTCTAACAACTCATTGTCATCGTAGCCTGCGTTGCCCATGCTGAAACTGGACGACATGTTGCCTCCGGCAAAATTGTTGTAGTGAATTCCACCCATACCAGCGTTCTGCATGGACAGTTCAGAGGGGTCTACGCTTGTCGCAGCTTGAGGTTGGTTGAATTGACTGCCGTAGTTCTGCGAGTTTCCAAAACCGCCACCAGACATGAATCGGCCCGAATTGTTGCCGTATTCATCGGGTTCCGTCTTGATATATGGCATGGCGCCGGATGCGTTGGTCATGGCTTGCAGATATAGGAAATGGGGACGAGGTAGGTCCAATGTTCGTGGTTTGTGGATATTGTGAATGGCACGCGGGCACCGTTATTTTCTCGATAAACAAGTGCTTGTCAAACAGCCGTGGCCATTAGAAAGGTACTTCAAAGTAGGGTGCTCGTAGTAATTTCGGCGGATCTTGAGCAGACCTCAAACCGGCCTGCGAGAAGATGATTGAATAACTTTGACTTTATCAATCTCCGATGTGGGTGACAACCTAGGCGGTGAAGTCCTCCGAGTGACAGTGAGGCTTGACTGCAGAGTACTTTGTCAGAGGCAATGCGCTCTTTTGTCCAATCTTATTCTGTCCGGTCGCACTCCGGAGTACAGGCCCCGGTACAAAATCGCGGCCGTTAAAAGGCGCGATATAAGCAATTCCCAGTGACAAGTTCCAATGGAGTCGAAATATAGTGATCAAGATGAGAGTTGTGTGTGAGTACCGTTTGAGTCTGATGTGCGACTGGTGGGTTTTGGTTCGGGTTGCAGAATTCGTAATCGCGCTCTACGGTTTATACAAAGCGTAGAGGGACGAAGGCCAGGACCGGTGATACACAGTGACTGGAGTGCGTAGATGGAAGTCGTCCGTGAGATAGATGGTAACGACGCAGGCTGTCTAATGCGAGCAGAGATGTGCGCGTAACTGGGTGTGGAAGAGATCGGGCACGGTAGTGTAGTCAGCGCAGTCTATCGAGGCGCAAGGGCGGAACGTCGGAGGCGAAGTTGAAGGTCGTCCTTGTTGCTGTTCCGATTGAGGATATAACTTGAAGGACACTGTGCTCGGGAGTCTTTAAGACTCGAATGGCGATGATAGCTGCGTGTGAGTGATGGCAAGCTGAGGGAGTGAAGTCCAGTGAAGTCGCCGTCCGGAGTGCGAAGTGCGAAGTTGAAGTGGCCGAGTCAAGTCAACAACTTGGAGACTGCAGTGCGGCGGCCGATGTTGCCGTGAGTGAGAGTCGGTGACGGTGACGCAGAGACGCCGCCGCCTCTAAATTGCTGCCAGCGACGCTTAGGCGGCTCCTAAAGCTGCCAGTAATAGGCGCAATAGGCGTGCTAAGGCGTAGTAGGCAGGAGTAGCAGCAGCAGGTTTGGACAGTTTGGCCCCTTGCTTCGGGGCGTGGCCAATCGATGGGCTTATCGACAGGGTCCTTGGCACTGGAGGGGCTCGGGCTTCCTGCGCTGCGCTCCAGCTGGCAGCTTGGACTGTCAGTCACGGTGTGGTCTTGGACTTCGAGTCGGTCAATGCGAGCAGCGCAGCATCTGCTGGTCTGGTCGTTCAGGTCAATACTGTCAACAAGTTCTGGTCCACCAATGATGGATGCTGCCGCTGCACGATACTCGGCGATAGAGTATGTCGATTGATATGAGCCTCTGAAGGGGACTCGGTGAAGGTCAAACACTCAGAAGGAGATCTTCGGAAGTGCTCGTGGCGGGGGATGGCCGCTACTGATCGTGGGGTCACAGACACTTGCAGGCAGATGCAATGCGCCGATGGCCTCAACCACGACAACGCACGACAACGCAAGGACGAAACGGATGTTGATGGGCTCGCTACGTCCGGGGCAGTCTATCGGCAGTCCTTATATATATCATGCAAGGCTATCAACCATAGCCCCGAGCTCCCACTTTCAGCTGTTCAACTTGTGTGCATCTACTACTATTCCCTCTTTCCCTACGGCGCAGCCACATGAGGCGGCGTGGCCCAACCCCCAATCAGTGTGGTATGTGAGCAAGGCTTGGACCCTGGAGAGGGCGGCAAGAACGGCAGGGGTACCGTGGACAGGGGTGCCAGTGCGGGTCCTGCTCTGGCAATGCAGTGCCCGGAAAAAGGTATGCAAAGTGCCCAAATTCAAGGCGAAAAGGCGAAGTGCGAACTGAAGTGCTGCTGCATGAGTCTTGTTCAGCTTGTCATTATTATTATGAACCCACTGCTGTCTCGGGTACTTGAGTGTGGGATGGTCATGTTGCTCTGGCACGGTCATGTCTCGCCCAAATCGCAAAGCCCGAATACACCCTCATTCTCTGCCCCACCTCCACTGGCGTCGAGCATGACTTGTATATCGATGTAGTCATTATCCCCAAAGTCAAATCACCGATGTTGGATGCTAGGGTCAAGTGGTCTTACAAGATCATTCGCGAAGCCGTATCTCGCTTCTCTCCAAGCCACGGTCATCACTTCGGCCTTGCGAGGCAGTAGTTTTCGTGGCGAGAATCGTGCGATTTCCAGCAAAGGGCCACGAAACTGTGCGCGACCACTAGACCAAGGACTTCGTCACATATTGTCCCCCTCATTGTTCCGGATATGGTTCCCGTCCCATACAGTACCAGTAGCTGTTAGGTTGAATGTTCTGCATCCCGTTATCAAAATGCTGTGCGACTTGGATTGAGATTCCGCCGGACGCAGACTGATTGTCAGTACGTTCTTTTGTTCAGTTGCAAAGATATTTATTGGAAACTCTGAGATGCTCTGCATCCAGGCTCATGCAATGCAGTGCGACGGGAGCTCTGCGCGGGCCGTGGCAGGACTTGGATAAACTGGTCAGGGCCGGATGGTTCGTACCGAAGGCTGATGGCTGTTGGCTGCTGGCTTGCAGCCGGACATCCACTACATGCACCAACTGCTAGCGAGAAGTCAGCAATGGGCGAAGGACTAGTATTCTCATCCTCGAATCGATGAATCAAGTCCCGACTCGAACGCAGTCGACCATGGCATGCTGGGGTGGGAGCAGGTGTCAGTTGTAGCCAGGATTGGTCGTGCTGTATGCAAGTGATAGTTACATGAGGGAGTACCAGAACGCGGTGTGATTGGGGGACGCTGGTGTTGGTCTGGGGGAGCCAATGAATTAGCGCCAACGCTGACAGCTTTCGAGTTTGGATCTACGGTCGGCTGGCTGCGCAAGGCCTCAGCTTTCCTTCCACTACCTGCTTGCACTCTTCGATGCAGCCTGTTCTTTTGACGGCCTCGATCACTGGCAGCTTGAACATTGATTGTGTTTCAATCCCTACACTGCGATGATTGACCTACCCTTGCACTAGACTCTGCACTATCCTTCGGTTTTCGGCCGCTTCGGTGAACCCTGCGGAGTACTAGTTCAAGCCGACAACTTGAAGCCTGCAGGCAGCCGCTCCCTACACCTACCGTTTCCACTGTGAAGCAGGCTCAGTCTACCTCTCCTCCCCCACAGACGTTCAATCACCACGCCCGTTTGTTCTTTCAGCGCAAGGTGCACATGCTCTGTCTTCTTAGCGTCCTTATTGCGCAGCATCAGCGTCGATTTCCACAGATCCAGTCACAAGCGAGACCCTTCAACTAAGGAGCCGTACCCCGGATTTGGTGCAATCGCCACTCTTCCGGCTCCCCAGTTACTGTCAGACACAGTGTTCAGAAGGTTCCAAGAAGGCTGAAGGTTGTTTCCAGCATCGCTTATTGGGAAAGTGGGCAAAGTCTTGTCTTGTGGAGTGTCACGCCCACCACAACTCGGGGTCATCGGGAAGAGACAAACAACAAGAAGGGGGTGGAGTGATCAGCCAGAATGACTACGTCTGCTTTTCGAGATTCAATGAACTCTCTAGGATGGTCTCGACGAGACCCGGACATAGCGGCCAATACTTCGTCCTCGACGCCCATTCTATCTAGACTGTCATCCTTCAATCCGTTTGGGCAGAGAGGATATGTCCAATTACCCACGCACGAGGCGCCTGGGGCGCCATTGCCTGCGCCAACCCGGAGAGAAGAGGAAGAAGGCTGGTTCGCATGTAAGTCGGATATTCGCATTGCTCTGCATAGCGAGTGCCTTTACAATGCAACGTCTCGTCAGGGATACTGACTTCAGTGCCTTCACAGTAAGCCGATGGGATCGCCTCCTCATATTTGGAGGATGTAACGTGGCCGCTTTGGCCTGTTTCGTTATCTGTTTTGCGTTGTTTCCAGTTCTATCGCTGAAGCCGCGAAAGTTTGCGATTTTGTGAGTGTTTTCTACTTTTTTGGCCCTCCATGTTTGAGCTTCACACCACCAGCTTTGGCAGTCCTCGTGCATGTGACCGCGTGCAACCCCGTGATGATGTCAGCTATTCTATCTTGAGACTCATGGCCCATCCTGGGGATGACCCTTGGCAGACCATCCTTGCTCGCGGTCTCTTTGGCATTCAAACTTGGAATCGTGCATGTGGCTTTTTTGGAAGGAGGTGTGTGTGTGGCTGACGCGTTCTCGACAGGTGGTCCGTTGGTTCGATGCTGTTTCTGGCCTCGTGGGCTTTCATGATGGGACCATATCAATATGCACAACACTTGATCTCAGGGCCCAGGTTACCCTTCACGGCAGCCTACTTCGGGTCTATTGTCATGACCATCTACTTTGCGGTTGGGGTACGTAACAAACATGGTCTCCTACCACTGCACAAGAGACCCCGGCTGACAATCCCGTAGCTTCATTCCACCATCCTCACGCTCCTCTCTTCCATCGTACAACTCGTGGCGTTGGCGTGGTATTTGGTTAGCTATTTCCCCATGGGCAGCACAGGATTGCGTTTTGCAGCCAGAGTTGGGGGAGGCCGGGTAGCGGCTTGGATGAACGACTAACCCTGCAGCTGTGTGCAACGCGCCACCGCTCCTCTCGGCGTGGGATAGTATACTGCGAGCACATCAACACCGGTTAGCCCGGCCGCATTGTGTCTCACTTGCAATGCAAGTGATTGCCGTTTTCGCGCCTGTGGTATTGATGAATCATCTCTTCGTGCAGCATTCCGTCGTCTAGCATTTGCGGGCGTCACTCGGTGCGCCTCCGCACTTCCCTCTCGCCGCTGCCAACTCCTCTTACTGCGTCCGTGATCAGATCCCGCAGCTCTCTCTGTCCTTCTTCGGTATGAAAATTGTCTCGGCTGGCCAGCTCTTCGATCCTCCTCCTGAATTCGGGGTCCGGTTCCTGGTCGAGATTGTTGGCCGTCGGGTCTGGCGCCGTATCTATGTTTATGCTCACGTTAGGCGGTAGAGGCGGCGGGTGCTGGCCGCCGTTGGTAACAGGCCCAGCGCGGTTAGCACCGGGGCTGGAGGAGTGTTCGCGCAGATATGCGGCCACATCAGGGTACTCCTGCTCTGCCTCGAACTTCTCGACTGCAGTCATGCCCTCGTCGTTTTGCGCGCCTAGATCGACGTGCAATTCCTCGACCAGACATTTGGCTACTTCCACCGTCTCTGCAACAAACAAGCATGTTTCTCCGTCTTCGTCTCTGAGATTTACGTCGACGTGGAATTCATTGACAAGGGAACGTAGAAGATCCACATGACTATAGGAAGCGGCAGCGTGCAGAAGAGAATAGCCATGGGCATCTTGTGCAGAGGCGAGATCTGGCTTGGCCCGGAGGAGGGGCAGTAGGCGTGGATCTGGATCAGGCGTGACCGCAGCCAGGAGGAAAGGATTGAGATCCGACATGGTCGAACGAAGATGCTGTGCGATTATAACTTTTCTCGTATTTTGGTTCGGCTCAAACCCTCACTTGACAGGTTTCGTGCCAGATGAAGAGTCCCCGAGCGAGCGGTGCAGAGAACTCGAAGCGCCGAAAAACATGTGCCTGTGCAATGTTGCTGGTGCCGGGAAAGAAAAATGGCCGGCTAAGGTCTGGCGCAGCTTATGTCATCTGAACCTAATGACTCGAACTCCTGCACTGTGACTGGGTGGCGGAACGTCATTTTTATAGAAGAATAATATCTTAGCAGCAACTTGAAGGCTACGTAGTAGTACAAGCCAAATGATCTAGATTCATTCTCTGCTGTCTTATCAATACTTCGGGCGATCCTCATTGCAGTATTTGTATCTTCTCATTTAAGTCTCCAATTCGCTCACCATTTCACCGATAGAAGAGTTGTATCTTCACACCGCAGTCACGGGAGAGACTATTTCAAGTTCACGGCGTCCTGGAGTCACGGGTGCGCCTTCCTCTTCAACGGCTTCTGCAAGGCCATTACACAATAAATATCCCGCGAATTTCAGGTTCGTTTAAAATCTTCACTTCAGCACCACACTCTCAACCACCTGCTTCGGTCACTGTTCGTAAACCCTTGTTCGGCGCTCCCCAAGCCTTCGCGTTTCCTCTTGCCAGCCGGATTCCTGGGCTCATCCGAGGACCGCCTTGTACGATGGCGGCGCAGGATCCTCAGCAAGTGGCTGAGCTTTGCAAAGCCCTGGAAGCAGCAAAAGGTAAAGGCCGGGGCGGAAAGAAGGGCGGCTTTTCATGCAAGAAAACGACCTTCGCAGTCGAAGGGACCAAGGGAATTTCTGTTGATTCATGGCGGTTCCAGGATTGGGACTACAAGCGGGACGACCTTCCAACGTACGCTCGGGGACTGTTCACGACCAAGAGGTCCGATGGAACGCCCGAAATCGTCGTACGTGGCTACGACAAGTTCTTCAATGTCGATGAGGTACCGAGCACGAAATGGGAGAACATCGAGCGAGACACCATGGGTCCGTATGAGCTCAGTGTCAAGGAAAATGGCTGCATCATTTTCATGGCCGGCCTGGAAGACGGAACTCTCCTAGTGTGCAGCAAGCATTCAACCGGCGCCCGTACAGATATAGCTGAGAGTCATGCTATGGTGGGAGAAAAGTGGATTAAGAGACACCTGGAAAGCGTGGGCAAGACGACTCGCGATCTAGCAAAGGCCCTAAGAGCAATGAATGCGACGGCGGTTGGCGAGCTATGTGACGACGAGTTTGAAGAACATGTCCTGGAGTATCCTCCGGACCGGGCAGGGCTGTACCTGCACGGCATCAACTTCAACCTCCCAGAGTTTGTCACCTTATCCGGACCCGAAGTGCACGAGTTTGCCGACAAGTGGGGCTTTAAGAAGGCACAATACGTTATGATTCAGACGATTGATGAGGTTAAGGACTTCCTGCACAAATGTGCAGAGACAGGGTCGTGGGCAGGCCGAGATACAGAAGGGTTTGTGGTCAGATGCAAGAAGAGAAGTAATTACCGTGCTTATGCAGCCGACTGGTTCTTCAAGTACAAGTTTGAGGAGCCATATCTGATGTATCGACAATGGCGTGAGGCCACGAAAGCACTCATTGCAGGCAAGACACCAAAAATCAAGAAGCACAAGAAGATCACCGAGGAATATCTCCTTTACGTGCGCCGCCAATTGGCCAAAGATCCGGCAATAGGCAAAGCTTACACCCAGAACCACGGGATCATCAAGATGAGAGATGGCTTTCTTGCAGAAAAGGGTCAAAAGGGTTCCGATATTATCGCACAAGAGCGGGCACAAGGCGACGGAGGAGCTGAGAATGGAGATGTGTCCAATATCGTTCTCGTGCCGATCGCGACTATTGGGTGTGGAAAGACCACCGTTGCAACTGCCCTGGTAAAGCTCTTTGGCTTTGGCCATGTCCAGAATGACAATATTGAGGGACAGAGAGGTCGACCTCAACGCTTCGCGGATGCCATCACTCAAGCTCTTGCATCTCACAAGGTGGTTATCGCAGATCGAAACAACCATCAGAAACGTGAACGCCAACAGCTCATTGACGATGTCAGCAAGGTGATTCCCAATGCTCGGTTCGTAGCTTTGCATTACGTGCACGAACCGAAGGGCCAGATGCTGGACGAGATCCGTCGTGTTACCCGCGAGCGAGTGCTTGAACGTGGGGACAACCACCAGACCATCCGGGCTGGCAGCAAGAGCTCTGGTGAGATCATCGAGATCATGGAAGGATTCTTGCACCGTTTCCAAGGGTGTGACACCAGCAGCCCGCCAGACTCGGACTTTGAGGAGGTCATCAACCTAGATGTTTGTGCTTCATCTCTGGAGAACCTCGAGACAGTCATCACCCACCTCTACAATGCGTACCCGGGACTGCTACCGGCGGACATGCCCGGAGAGCAAGACATGAAAGAGGCAATTGAGTATGCTCTGAAACACGAGGTCAAGACCAAACACGACTTGTCATTCGGCAAAGGACAGACTGCGAAGAACCAGAAGCAGGCAAAACCGGCACAAAACAAGGCCCTAGAAAAAGTGCTGACCCCAGAACAGTTGATCGGCAAATTGGAATACTTCAGTGTGTCAGTTTCTACCGCTGAGATCAACTCCATTCTCTCGTCCATGTTTGACCAAGCCAGTCCGGAAGAAGCGCGCTTATACCGGGTGCTGAAACAGTCACGGCGTATTCAGGGTGAATTCCACGTGACGTTGATCCATCGAGCATCAGCACAAGAACATTCTGATCTATGGCAACGGTACACTGAGGAATACCGAAAAGCGATTGCCACGGCGGATCTCAAAGATAAGAACACGTTAGCGCCTAGTCTGGGCCCGGCGCGAGTCAAGCTGGAGAGACTGGTTTGGGACGAACGGATTATGGCGTTTGTGGTACGAATCTATCCAGCCGCCGGCGGACCTGTCTGGCAGAGTGCAAATCCGATCACCCACATCACCGTCGGCACCGCACGGCAGGATATCAAGCCGGTCGAAAGCAACGAACTTCTAGCTCGGTGGGAGGCAGGAGATGAAAGCGGAGGTGCCATTCATGACAAGGAAGTGCCTGGAGGGGTTATACTCGACGGCAATGTCAAGCCGGTGTTTCAACGCGGCTTTCTAGGTGGGAAGTAGTCTAGGATATGGAAGCGTATCTTCTTATCCCGATCGCAATACATAGCTTGATGGCGGCCAATAGCACATGGGAAATATCAATTGATGAAGGGCGACGGCAAGTGCGGCGCTGGAGTTGGGAGCAGAAACAAGGTGAAGCATTTGTGATTGGTGGGCTTCTGAAGATGGTTGCTGTGGCAGCAGGAGCGGAAGAAGGAGCAAGAGCGACCTAAACAAACGCCAGGCGTGCGGCGTGCAGCCAATAGCAACGTGTATGAGATACCTCATTGCAGTCCAGTGTCACGTTCCGTGGTACTAGAGTGGCATGGACGTATTGCAGCAGCGTTGGCTGCCAGTGTGGTTCTATCTGGCACTGCAGTCTGTTACAGATACACGTACCTGCCTTACCAATGGCACCGTAGCACCAGCAACGGTGTACCAAATACATTGTACTTCACATCAGGTACCACAACTATAGCACTCTACAGAAGCCACATTGGGCTACGACCTACATCTCTACCACGGTCCAAACCTCTTGTGTCTTCTCCCTCTGTATCTCTTCGTAACGGACTTCGTTCTTATCTTGGCCCTGGTTACGTCGTGTTTCAATCCGGCAGCATCAGTCTACCGCATCCGCATCGAGTTGGTTACAGGCGCCATAGTATTTACTGGACGCAATAGTGCAGCTGCCACATCTTACCTAAAGCATTGAAATCTGCCCTGGGTTGCCAGTGCTACCGCATCCACGCCGACGTGAGTGGATTTGTTACGATCGAAAGGGCAAGTCGGCGGAGACGGCAGTGTGACCGAACTGCCAGTGCGCGCGACTCGCGGTGACTTGAAGGGGACGGGCTGCAACTGGATTGATCTGGGAAATCTGGTCGCCAAGGAAAAACAAAGACGCTCCACTGACGGCGCGTTGCTGGGCGGGATCATTGGACAACTTGAACCAACCAGTGGCAGACGTGAAGGCTGCGTTCTGCACTCTGCAGCCTGCGCCCGGCACCGTAGTACTGCGCTGCACTGATCGGTCCTGGTGCCAGGGCTGCGACGCAGGCTGCTCTTCTCTTCTCCCGCATAACACCAACCATCACAACTCAGCACCACCACGTCTTCCACCTCTTCCACCACCTCTTGCTTCCGCACCCGCTGCGACTTTGGCTTGCGAGCTGAGACTCAATTGTTCAGCTTCGCTTCCTCTTCGAGAAGGTATCACATCGCATTCCAAGCATCTTCGAGTCGACCAGAGTTGTCTGCACGCCGGGTGCCCGCTTTCACGTCCTCCCGCGTTTTTACGTGCAGCCCTCTGGATTAACTGCACCTAACAACGCGCCCTAGCAACCTTCGTGTTTGTCACCCAATTCTCGCGCAACACAGCTCCTTCAGCCACTTCGACAACATCACAACTTGAGGACTTGTTCGAGGACATACTCTCCCGATCGTACGCAATATTGTATCTTCAACGTTGTTCCACGTCTAGAACACGTCCAGAGAGCTCGTGCGTCATTCCCCAATCATAATCGAATTCCACTGGAAATCATGCTAACCTTGCCTGGCACCACAGCTCTCTGACTTCTTTCTTCTGCACCAACATCTTCGTTCTTCATCGTGACCACCCTAGTCAACAGTCAAACCGCCACGACGGCGTCTGCTTTTCAAGATGCCTGTCGTAAGTGACCCTCCCTGTCCAGTTCCATACATCTTCACGCGTCTTTGTCCACATGTACTAATGACTTGCAGTCAAATACTCGGCAACGATTAGCTAACACTAAGAACGATGAAAACACTCTCCAATCCACAATCTTGACACGTTCCAAAGCTGCCGTTCTCTCGGGTGCTCAGGATGCCTCGCTAGCGAAGAAGCCACTCCAAACAAAGAAGTCCACCACCAGTACATTGAATGGAACTCAGAGAAGACGTGCCCTGGGAGATGTGACCAACGCGGCGAAAGGAGCTGAGGCTGTCCAAGCGGGAAAGAAGGCCGTTGGGAGCAAAACTGGTCTCCAATCCAAAGTCGCACCGCCGGCGGCTGGAGGTGTGCAGAAGCTGTCGAGGACCAACTCATCGAGGGCAGCCTTGGGTGTGAAGGACAACAACGCGAAGCCAAAGGCTGGTTCGGAAACGAAGAAACCTGGAAGTGGCTCGGGTGTGTTGGGCAATGCTCAGAAGAGACGAACTCAGACCTCGACCTCCACTGTGCCATCATCCAAGGATGCCACGCCCGATGTTGACGAGCCGCCGCGAAAGAAGTCATGCGTCGAGGAAGTTGTCGAAGTTGTCGAAGAGGTTCAGGTTGAAGAGGAGTCGTACGATATCATCGAAGAGCTCGACGCCGAAGACCGTGACGACCCGTCCATGTGTGCCGAGTATGTCCGCGAAATCTTCGACTACTACTTTGCTCTGGAAGAAGTCACCCAACCCAACCCCCACTACATGGATCACCAAGACGACCTGGAATGGAAGATGCGAGGCATTCTCGTCGACTGGTTGATCGAGGTCCATACACGATTCCGATTGTTGCCCGAGACATTGTTCCTGGCTGTCAACATTGTCGATAGGTTCTTGTCGCAGAAAGTTGTGCCACTGGACAAGCTCCAGCTCGTGGGCATCACCGCCATGTTCATCGCCTCCAAGTACGAAGAGGTCTTGTCTCCCCATGTCGGCAACTTTGTCCATGTCGCCGACGACGGCTTTACGGTTGAAGAAGTCCTCAGTGCCGAACGATACACCCTGGCTACTCTGAAGTACGATCTAAGCTATCCCAACCCGATGAACTTTTTGAGACGTATCTCGAAGGCCGACAACTACGACATCCAAACCCGCACTCTTGGAAAGTACCTGATGGAGATCAGTCTGGTCGATCATCGCTTCCTGGAATACAAGCAGAGCCATATTGCTGCCGCTGCCATGTATCTTGCTCGCATGATATTCGAACGCGGTGGATGGGTACGTATTGACAATCTCTGCTTGCTATGACGAAACTGACTGACTCATGACAGAACGCGACTCTCGCCAAGTTCTCCGGCTATACCGAGGAAGAGATCTTGCCTGTGTTTGATCTTATGGTCAGCTATCTCGAAGCACCAGTCGCCCACGAGGCTCTGTTTAAGAAATACGCAAGCAAGAAGTTTCTCAAAGGTCAGTACTGTCACATGTTTTGATAGAGCAATAGCTAATCGGTGCACAGCATCAATCATGGCTAGAAAGTGGGCCAAAGACTTTGGTGCCAGCCGTCGAAATGGTGCTGCGTCAGTTTCCGACGTGAAGGTCGTACAATAGAGCGTCGTTGGTTCGTTCCCGTGTCATTTCGTGGGACACATCGGGACGATTATCGGATTTCCTGGAAAGCTTGTACAACATGGTTCTTGCTTAGCCGTCCTTCCAGCAACGCCGCGATTTATGGTCGAAAACCATTACCCTTCATGACTGAAAACGATACCCCAACTCAATTAGCATCAGCATTATTACCACACATTGATACACTCGTCAGCCACTCTTCGACGGCGCCACTCAGCAATCATACGAGCATCATTTGCGTCACCGTCACCCTTACTGTCAGCGTCACTTTGCGCATTACAGATTGATCTACTCGGCCCAGGAGTGGGATTTCAGTCCTCCTCTGGGCACCTGAAATTGTTTGTCTTGGCTCAATCACTGCAACGGCGTTGATGAAGGGTGGCTGAAGTCATGCCAACTCGTCTGATATCGAGTGGCATACCAAAGTGCTACTACCGGAACGGCGAACATGGGCGTCATGTGGGGTTCCGGAACCGGGCGAAAGTTGTTTGTTTATATCTTTTCTGTTTGTGTCACGCGATGGTTGTTTGAAGTTGCATTGTCCTTGCGCTGCCCTGAATGGTTCTCGAAGCAGGTGATGTGAGTGAGGAAGTGTCCAGGGAGAGGGTGGTTGAGTGAAGACAACCAAAGACACGTGCACACACACTCACATCTTGTGCTTATCGACGTTCAGGGCGAAAACATAGAGGGCAGATGATGAATGGGCTCTTTGGATTGCGAGCGACGATGGGTATCAATGGCATGGCCGGGACAGACGACCATCATCATCATCATGATATCCTAGTGCAGGCAGGTTTTACATACCTTGGAGACTCATTCATTCTTGTTTGAACTACGTTATGCTGTACAGCACACAGTAATTCAAGTTGCCATGATTATGATCATTGTTGCTATTCCTTGGAGAGAGCCAGGACTTTCTGGGTGGGCGATTGCTTGCTTTTGTTCCGGTTCCTGGTACTAGCAGTAGGTACCTAGCCAGGGGTGCGTGTGAGTACAGGAGTCCAGGCTGTTCTGAACAATAGATTTCATTAATTGGACTTGCCTTGCCTTGCCTTGCCTTGCTTTGATCCGATCTGATCTGATCTGATTTTTTATTTTTTTTTTTTATTTTGCTTGATGGTATTCTGCCTTGTCGGTGCATTGTCTCTTCTGAAGATGATATGGCAAAGATGATATCTGTAATGCCATGTCATGTCAAACATGTCTGTGTTTATTTCTCTGTCCGTCCTGCGCCTTTTTTTTGTTGTACTACGGGAGCCTGCTACTGTTCTCTGGAACTGTGAGTGTGTGGACACGGATTTTTGTTTGTTCAGCCTTGCTTTTTTCATTGAATGTCTATCTGTATTTTTCGAGTTTAGATGTCTTTCTATCTCCTTGCCGTTTGACGGCATGCCGATACCTGGCTTGTTTCTACCCTGTGGTCAAGCCATTTGCGTGCCGAGGAGGGTGAACATTATGGTGTCGTGTGGTGTTTTTGTGTCGTCGACCCCATGGGGACTGACTGATCGATGCCCAAGCATCGAATTGAATCGTCAAGAGGGGATGGAGAAATGGACAGAAGAGATCCTTCGCCGAGTCGGAGAAAGAAGGGCGGTCCCAGGTAGAGTACTGTAAACGGCGGCAGACTCTGTCTTGTCTCGAATACAAGGTACCTATGGTATGGTTGGTGTCGGTGCCCGCTTCTCAGACCTTCCACGTCCCGTTCTTTCCACCCCCACTCCGGCCGTCTCGATCAGCAACACCAATGCCGGTGTCATTTCCTGCATCATTGCCAAACGTCATCTCCCACTCCTCCCTCACACACCGTCTCATACTCTGCACCAACACCTCCGCATCCTCATAGTCCAGATCCTCGCGCTGGCCCCGTCCAAACAAGATAGCCGCCCGCTGCCGACCTTCCGGCTGCCGACTCGGAGGATATTTGTTGCCTCCGCTCCGTTGCTGTTGCTGTCGTTGTAGGTCAGGATAAACATAATTAAATGGCGGCCTCGGTACAATATGGAAATGAACGTGCGGAACGACCTGTGCGGCTCCGGGACCATTGTTCTGCACGATATTGTAATCGGCGTCTGCGTGTGGAATGTCCGGCATCACGGCCCGCATGACAGCCCGGGCAAGCAATGGTAGTACGCTGCCTATTTCGGCCATTTCTTGGGGTGACAAATTGCCGACTTTGATGCGGTGGTTGCGCGGGGCCACGAGGACGTGTCCGCGGGTTAGGGGCATGATGTCTAGAAAGGCGATGGCGTGCTCGGAGGAGAAGAGGACGAATGAAGGGGGGTCGAGTTTGTCGGGGGATAGGAGGGTTTGAAATGATGATGTTTGCGATACTGGGGTGGATGGAGGATAGGCTGCTTTCAAGGGTGATATAGGTGGGTATGTTTTTGCAATCATGCAAAAGGGACAGTCCGGTGAGAAGTCGTGGGTTTCGGGTTGAGCGGAGCCGGCATTGGGTGAGTGGGTTGTCTCGCGGACTAGGAAGGGGAAGGGGTGTTGGTTTGGATTCATGGTTGGAGTTGGGTGGCTGTTGCTGGTTCCCGTATGAATGTGTAAAAGGTAGAAGATACCCAGGTAACGGGGGAAGAGGGGGTGGTTATGTATCTGTATCTGTAGATGTAGATGTCGATGTAAAGATGTGGTGTGTGTTTTAAATCGTTGTGCAAGGAGGAGATAAGAACCAAGGCAGGAATGGTGGTGATGCCCAGACGCCTAGGTGCTTTGTGGGACAACCAAGGCAATGATTTACTGCAGTGTGGCGAGATACAGTAAATTGGTATAGTAGGTACATAGGTAGTATGTGTACGTTGTAGGTACACCATCACTCCTGTCGTTTTATGTCGTGGAGATGAATGAATCTGTGGAGAACTAGAAAGACGGGGAATTAAAGGCCACAAAGAAGACAAGGCTGACGGATGCCAAGCCGATTTCGGCTACCCGCGTCCGAGGTCAAACATCAAACATGAACACTGCATCAGATAGATACTGGTTGGCATGGTGCTTCCAAATATCCTGGTTGGGTACCTAGGCAAAGAAAGTCAACCGGTGTCGAAATCGAAATCCCTGTAGCAGAACTCGGACATATATTTTGCAAAGGCCAGCCTTGTTGACAGTAGCAGGACAGCCTGATACGACTCATAGTACGCCCAGCCTTGTTTGTCCTTCCCGCCGTACCCGAGACGCTGGCTGTTCCACGTTGGTATTATACATTCTCTTAGACATACCGCGTAGTCAGCCACCAAGCTACAAAATGTCCTTCTCTTTGGGTAATGCAGTCACAGGCAGCCTACAACAATAGCACACTACAACGTTGTACACACCCTCCTCCGCCGTTGTCGTTGCATCAAACTCCCGCTCTACTTACCGTATACGGCGCTCTGACTGCCCTATGTGGATTAGATCCATTCAATTAAAGTTATTCCTTTCCACCCCGACAAAAATAATATTTCGGCCCAAATCAGGCCAGGCGAGAACAGAACCGTCTTCAAGTTTTGTATGAATAGAAGCCAGTACAAAGTTGCAGATATATAGACACATCTACAAACGACCCAAACCCTGGGTCGGTCTCAACTCGCCGTGGCAGCAAACGTCTCTCTTTCTCTGGGGATCACTACTACCACATACATGCGTTGATTGATTGTAATGCATCGATGAACGCTGAACAGTAACCACTTACTGGTTTATATTACACCTGGGCCCTACCCCGGACCTGGGAGGAACACGTTATCTCGATTGAGATGGATACGAAAATGGACACAGACTACCTGATCCGCCTCGCGCAGGCTCACGAGTCCTTCCGCCGACCGGAGCTCGAGGCCCTGTCGTCGTTGGCGAATCTCCCCTGCAAAATCGTCGAGTATGCCGAAAACTCGCCGTTTTGTATTGTGCGATTCGACTTTCCTTCAACCTCTTCATCCCCCTTATTACCATTATCACAAACACCACCATCACCATCATCGGCACCGTCGGCACCGTCACTACCCTCAGCCTCCGCAAAACCAACAAAAACAACATCGGCAAGTCTAGACGACAGTGTCCCGTCTTCAATTCAAAACGGTACAACAGCACATGACCACGACCACCACTCTAAACACACGACCAACAATGTCCGTACAGCAATCGACCAAAGAGTCCGCGCCTTCGAAGCCCGCTCCATCCTCTCCAAGGGCATCTACGAGATCTGGGGCCAAGGAACCAACTACGACGAACTGCACCGCGACGTGGCCAAGCGAAGCCGCCATCTCTGGGAATTGTACAAACACCACTCGTTCAAATTTGTCATTGACTGCTACGGAAGTTCGCAGGACGCAGAGCAGCAACGACGCATCATCAACAGTTTTAGTTATTTGGGACTAGAGGGCGATATTAAGATGAAGAATCCGGATGTTGAATTTTGCGTCATGGAGGAGTGGTTGCCTTTAGACCATACCACCGACCAACCCACCGACCAACCCACCGACCAAACCACCACCTCCCCTACCGACCAGAGTCAAACAGAGACCACCACCACCACCACCATCACCACCACTACTACCACCAATAATAACACCGAACGACTCATCGACCGCGTGGCACGCACGACTCGAAGACGAGTTCTCCTGACTCGCAAAATCGGCACCTCCCAACGGTGGCTGAGAGAGAAGCACGACCTCAAGAAACGGCCGTACATCTCCACCACATCAATGGATGCGGAACTCGCCCTCGTGACTGCCAATATAGCCCTGGCGAGTCCCGGCAAGATCTTCCTCGACCCCTTCGTGGGCACGGGTGGGTTCATGGTCGCTGCGGCGGAACTCGGCGCCTGGGTGTTAGGCTCAGACATCGATGGTCGAAGTTATCGTGGCAAAGGCACGGGTTTGGATAAAGGTGTCGGAGCCAATTTCAAAAAGTACGGCTTGACACATCTTTTTGGAGATTGTATCAGTTCCGATCTGACTAATACGCCGTTCCGAAAGTCTTCCTCAAGAAGTCAATCACAATCCCAGCAGCAGCAGCCAACAAAAAATAATGGTGGTGGTGGCAGGTGGTTGGACGGCATCGTATGCGACCCTCCCTATGGCGTACGGGAGGGCTTGAAGGTGCTTGGAGCGAGGCCGAGAAAATCTGTGGTAGCTGCTGCAGCAGCAGCAGAAAACGGGGCTGAAGTAACCTCCTCTGATGCCAGTGCGGCGCCAAAGGAGATATTTGTTGATGGTGTACCCGCGCATAAATTGCCCGGATACGTCGCGCCAAAGAAGCCGTATTCCTTTTCCAAAATGCTCGACGACATTCTGGATTTTGCTGCGGACACCTTGGTCGACGGTGGCCGGCTTGCTTTCTGGATGCCGAGCGTCAACGAGAACGAGGCCGGCGAGGAAGAAGTGACGGTGATACCGCAACATCCGCTTTTGGAATTGAAGCACGAATGCGTGCAGAGGTTCAACCGGTGGAGTCGGAGGTTGCTCGTTTATGAAAGACGGCCAGATTCCGTGGGGCTACCTTGCCGTCAGGAAAAAGTTGTCGATGTGAACGGCACTGGCACCAGCACCGGTCACACGGCCGATGAGCTCAACCCTTTCCGCCGGCGATATTTCCAGCCGTTTATGGTGGATAGAAGTTGAACAGCCGGTAGTTAGCCAGCACAATTTGACTCTGCCGCAATTCTCGGCCCCCAGGCATCCATGAGAGGTCATTCCAATCCAGTAGTAGTCGGGTCCGCCAGTCCTTATAACTCAAGCCGTAACCTTCAATTTCTCCACGCCAGCACCAACTCCAGCAACACCCTCATCACCCTCATCTTCCACACCATCATCATCAACTTTCCCAACCAACCCCCTCTCCCACAACTGCCGTCCCGTCAACTTCTGTCCCTCCCCTCTCCCACCACTAGGTCCTCTTCCTTTCCGCTGTTCCATCTCCTCCTCCTCTTTCTGTTTCTTTTCCTTCTCCTCCATTTCCTTGCGAAACTTTTCTCTCCACTCCAAAAACCTCTCTCTCGTAACCATGGTCCCATGAAACTTGCGATTTTCCTGCTCCTCCCTCTCCCGCACTTCAAGTTCCCTTGCCTCTTCAGCCTGTCGTATCCGATCGGAAATCAAGACTTCCGCGGCCTCCTTGAGGGTCGTCACAAGAGTGAATACCATCGCCATCCCCAAGGAGTCTTCAATCGTCGGCTGTAATGCGTCCAGGAGCTGGGATTTGTCCACTGAGATGTCAAGTTGTGGGTGTTTCGGTGCGTTGGGAGGGGATGTGATGTCTAGATGGGGTGCGACGTCGGGGTAGGATTCCGGATAGGTTACGTTGAGGATGATTGTTGGAGGTTGAGTAGGAGAGGACTCGTCATCGTGGTTGTCGCTCGGGACGTCGAGGGGGATGGTGATTCGGAATGAGTTCTCTGAGATGTCTAGACCATGACGGAAAACGGAACTGGATGTTAGTGAAATGCAACAACCGGACAAAAAGACGTTAATGAAACGGGAACAGAAAGAGAAAGAGAATGAGAGGAAACAAGGTGTAGAAAAGAGTAGGAGTGGGAGTAAACTAGACGAACCGGTAATCTCGTCGGGGAAGATGGAGTCTAGGACTTCGCGCTCTTCTTTTTGTTCTTCGAGGCCCATGGTGCCGGTGGTTGATGTGAGGTTAGGGTTGAGGTAGAGGTGGTCCTGTCAAGTCACTGTCGCGTAGGGTTGTTGATGGGTCACAGTACTCGGAAGATAGAGTCTGTCTGTCCTGTCTCTAGATATACGCGGGTCTGTGGGATCAAAGAACAAAAGAGGCGGGAGAGGACGTAACAATTGCTCTGCTGGTGGTGATGCTGGTCGTTGCAGTAGTTGTAACTTTGTCTGGTAGTAATATGTGGTGTGGTGCGATACTAGTATTGTTCTAATGCAGTGGTAGTGGGGTTAAAAGCGGCGGGATCCTGGCCGTGGACAAGACAAGCTCAGCCCGAATTTCGCTGGGCTCTCTCAATTGACGTCGCTACAACATATTACTACCGTGTCCCTCTCTGTTCGGATACTGCCATTCAGATACTATATAGGCTTGTCTTCCTACAATGCAAAAACACGCATCAGCTCTCTCTTCTGGCATCGATACCTATTCACCGAATAACTCCGACTGAAGCCGCGGATCAACTGGACAATTCATTGAACAAACGTAGTTTCATACGACGAAGGGGGGACGAAGCCTATTATTAGGATGGACATAGACAAAAGTACGATTCTCGGGTATCATATATCCATTGCTTATTTCGGGCGGGAAGAGGACTCCCATTCTCTCCCAATCCCACCTCCCGAGCTGTCCAAGGACACCGTCGGCATCAAGATGAACAAACCAACAAAAACAATTCGCCAACCCCGCCGTGTATATGGGGTATCTCTTGCAAAGTGCGCTCAAAACAGGATTCAAGTTCTGGCAAACATTATAGAGACAATTCGTGTTCGTTGTCACTCTTCCCCAACGTCTCCACCAAGTGATAAACCCCCTATTGCTGGGGGAACAAAACGCTCAAAAGCCAAGTACGCTGCCGCCAGCCAACGCCAACGCTCTGCAAGACGGAATGAAACAAATGTGCCGCCCTTCGGTCTCTTCGTTTTTCGTAGACGTCATCGTGCCAAAAAAGTCGTTGTTGATTAAAAGAGTTTGTTGCTGATAGCCAAAAAGTATTACATGGTCTGTTGATAATATGGGTCGAAGCTTTCGGCGGCCTGCGCCAATGTATCAAGGTCGGAAAACCCTCGGACAAGGGGTGGCGGCATCAAACCATTGTTATCAAGGTCATTGCCATTGGGTTTGTTCGGAGAAATTTGAGGTAAGCCAGTGTTATTGGCCAAAAGCACATCATCGGTCAATGATGGGTAGAGAGAGTTGGGAGACACGCCGTCCTGCATGTTCTGGATGGGCATCATCATTTGTTGTGGTTCGGGATAGAAATTGTTCTGTTCGGCGTCGAGAGGCGTCTCAATAGCCGTCGGAGCCAGGGAGGTCGATTCAGAGAGAGGCGACTGAATCAGGCTCGACCGTCGACTCGTGTTGGAAGCCATGGTCTCGGCAGTTTTGGTCTGTTTGTTCTTTTGTGCTTCTTTGGTGATGGCAGCCTTGCTCCGGCGTGCCGAATCCCCACTGTTGTTGCCTGGTGAAGAGTTCTTATGCGTACGTTCATGCTGCTTCATGTTGTCCTTGCGCGTGAAAGCCTTGTTGCAGATGGGGCAATGCACGCCCTTTTCTCCCGTATGCTTCTTTCCATGGCGAGCCGCATGTCCCGAGGTGGTGAATGTTGCCTGACAGTTGTGTGACTGCGCGTATGGACAAGGATATTTGTTCTTCTTTGCAGGAGGAGCACCAGAGTTCGCGGTTGGAGAAGTCTTGTTTTGCACATTTGGGATAGCCGTGTTGACGGAAGGCAGTACAGACCCATTGACTGACGAGGTCGGAGGGATTTGGGTGGGTGCAGAGTGAATGGGTCCAGGCACAAGCGGATATTGATTTGGTGCACCGAGATGCATCTGTTTGGCCGAAAACTGATCTGGCATGTTGGCAGAGATCATCAACTGTTGCTCCAAAAATGGAGTGATGGTGCTAGGAGAAGGGTAGGGGCCGACCATGTCTTGCCGAAGCAAGGGATCATATGGCAGGACATTGTTGTCCATGTAGTTGTATGACGGAGTATTCGGAGAAGGAGAGTCCATGCTCGAGCTGGAGGATTTGGACGAGGAGGACGACTGGCGAAGGAGAGGAGGAGAGCCGACCGAGGAAAAGGACGAGGTCCGGCTGTACTGTGCCTGGCGCAGAAGACTCGGCCTCTCCCCCCTCTGTTGTCGAGGAGAACTCGAGGGAGAAGAGCTGGAGGCGGCTGACGATGACGGAGCCGGAGATGACTGTCGAGGAGGGATGTAGAATGAAGGACAGTCGTTATCGTTCAAGATGGAGAAGATACGTGCTCCTCTAGGTTGTGTCTGAACATCCATTGTTTGACGCATCCACCTCGCGCCAGCGGACAGGCTGCTGGACCAAACAATAGTAGAGTGATGAGTGGGAGGATATAACTACGGAATCATCAAGCAAATCTGCTGGACGTTCCGGGAGAGCTGAAGCAGCTTGGATTGAATATGTTGGACGGTTGAAAGGCGGCGTTGATGTAGAGCTTCAACAAGAGAGCAAGTCCAGCGTACGAGGTTGTTTGTGGCCGGCGCGGTCAATGGTAGACACCAAGACCAACTGGCAAGACGATGAGGCGGGTCGGCGACGAGTAATGGTAAGCCTGGTTTTGGGGTATTGGCTATTTGGGTATACAGCGAGAGAGGATAGACAGGGACAGAAGTGATCAGCGGACGGAGGAGCTTTGTAGCCAGAGGACCCTTGAACAGGTGTTTGGAGGATTCGGAAAAAGAGAGAATCAGGACTCAGGATTGAGGAACGGTCAATGGAGGAGAGGGAAGGGGTCCTTTTGAGGCACAGCAGGAAGTCGAGTGGCCCTTTTTCCTTCGCGGCAGCTGGGTGGTGCGTAGGTGGAGGCAGAGGGCCAGCAGATCGGGGGATCGATGGATGGAAATGTTCAGAATGGCATTTGACGCGGGAGCAGGCGCGTGCGCAGGCCGGGACGGTATGGAAGGGCTTAGGACGCTCCCTTAGGCTCCCTGGCGGTACTGTGGCTGCTTGAAGCAAGAAAAAGATGGGTATCCTCCACGCGGCTTGTCAGGCGGGTTTCTCTGCTCGTCGTCCGCCAGGGAGAGCACTGGTGAGGCTAAAAGGGGACAGCAGTGGCTCTGAATGGTGGAGAGGGGAACAAGACGGTGTGTCATGGAAGATTAGGCAGGCCCGCAGTTCCAGCTGCTTGGACGACACTTCAAACGCAATCGACGATCGAGGATTGAAGCCGACGAGCCACAGGGATTTGCAGGGCAGGGCAGGGCAGGGCAGGGCAGCTCCAGGGGCCAGACACCGCCAGAGCCAGAGCCAGTGCCAGTGGCTTGAGCAGAGTCGGCCACGGCGCTGCGCTACTCGTATCCATGCGCCGACGGGCCCTGGACCACGAGTCGTGGCTGTTTGAGCTGCACACACTTCCAGTTAAGCTGGAATACAGCCTGCTAAAAAATCATTGTTCCTAACAACGGACGCCTTGCAGACCTGCAGGCTGTCCTTGTGTCTGACCGCCCTGACAGAGTCCTGGGGGTCAGACCCTGCGGTTGACCCGAGCAGTCCGCGCAGCACAAGTATTCCACGCCGGATATCTTTTCCAGGAACAATCCTGAGTACATACAGTACTGCTTGCCCGGGTAGGTAGGTGTATCTTGGATTGCCATAGGAGACAGGCAATGCATCCGGACCAATAGTTCTATCTAGACGAAAACCAAGATCTCTCTCACACCGAGATCTCGATTGTCTATCCGGAGCGTGTATACAGAACCACCTAAAAAATTGATGACCAGACAACTGCTCTCAGGGATCGAGATCAACAGGGACTCGCCGGCTTCAGCAAAAACATGAGTTGCGCCCAGAGGTGCTACTTGGGTACCCGTACCAGACCGGATCGACCGATACACCACCAAATCGCGATCTGGGCGCCTGTAGGTGACCCTTGGGTTACGGCTGCGACCCTCTTTTTTGCCCTGGCCCGCGTGTAATGACAGGGCCAGACACGCTGTTTTAGGTTTTGCAGAGGGATGGGTCAGGAGTCTGTCGTATTTAATTACCGCTGGGGTCCCATTGTCGATAACGGGGCTGCGGGGGGCTGTGCTGAGTCAGGGACAGGACAGGGACAGCCACAGACACCACTGCTAACGGCGGTGCTCGCAACTGCTCTTCAATATTGTGTTGGCACGATCAGATCTTGTTCAATATCCAAAGCAGAGATTACAGCCATCTAAATCCTACAAAATCTATCACAGTCGGCCGCCTGTCAACAACTTCCCTCGCAGCAAATACACGGAGAAGACATCCTGGCGCGCCTCGACCGACGTCACCGGGCCTTGCTCTCCACCTGACATCACTCTACGGCAGATCAGGCTCCAAAATCCGATCCAGGCCCAAACGCTCGATCGAGGTCCAGAATGGATTCTTGGGCAGAAGCTCACAGTCAGGTTTTGGCTCCCCACAAGTGGGCGCTGCATCACGATCCCACGGCTGACGGGCGCTCCCTGTGTTTCTTGACTTGCCGCTACAGGCGCTGCTAAATGACGGGCTAACAGCTGCAGCCGCGAACTGGTCCCTGACTGGAAGTTCCCACCGCTGCGTCTATCGGCCATGGCATTCCGCGTTCTGTTGTCGCACCACTTTCACCACTCCCCTCGAAACAAAAACCAAGGCCGCTACTAGCCGCAACGACCACTACAACTGCTAGTACCTATCGTGCACTATACACCTCTGTTGAGTGTAGCCTCGCTTCCATGGCTCCAACCATTGATTGCCATGGCAGTGCAAGTCTCACTTTTTCCTCCGCATCTGTTTTTCCGTGTACTTCCGGCACTCTTCCGCCAGTAGAATTCCTTCTTACAGTTACCCAGATTAGCCTGGTGTAAACATAGACGTCCTGGACAGACTGTGGACTACAATGCTGTATTTCCCCTGCGACGACTTCAGAGTGTGGCCTGATGGTCTGAGCTGCAGCTTGACTTGAACCGAGCACGAACTGTGCGACGACAGCACGACATCGCAGCGCTGACTTACCGATCACGACGATTGTGAAAGTAGGAGTCAGCTAGGTGGGAGTAGTTGGCCCTTTCTTACACAGGCCAAACTGTAGTGGTCAAGGGGGTTTTGTGCTTTGCCGACGTGCATTCGGCGAGTCTGGATACCGCACTGATCATAAGGCGGACACCACCCGCAACGGTCATGGTGAACCTTGTTGGTTGTTTACTCGCGGCGGGCATTGCACGACAGAAAAACAATCTTAGTGACATGATTGTCCCTGAATATCGAGGGACATGCTTTCTTGCCCCTGATGCATTCCGGATCTCCTTGCTCGCCGAAATTCCACGTGTGGGGGACAGGGCTTTCAGGGTCTTGTCTTGCAGCTGAACCAACCCGGATATTCTAACAGCGGCGGCAGATCAACTTAAAGTGTGGCGATTGAAGCGCAGGGCATCAGCCTCGCGTTCGCTAATACTTACCTGTACCTGAGCTATTTGGACCCTTCAAATTGCCAGCCCATACTATGAGAACCCGTCCAGCTGTAACTGATAGACATACCTTAGGTAGGTACTAGGGTTGAGCGAAATGCCGTTATCAAGACCTTTAAGAACGGCGCCTACCTGGTGCAAGTTGACTGCAGACCGATGCCGACTTCCATGTCCATTATACGACGTCTTCGCTTGTCGATCCCGGTACTCTGCCATATTGGCCAGCGAAAAAGGTTCAAACAGTTTCAGGGAAGCCTGAATACCTTGTGGCCAAGCGCTCGGGCTGAACGTCCGAGTCCTACTCCTAGGATTGCTGGAAACAGCACTCTGGGAGCAAGGCAGTGCCGATACTTGCAAGCTCTTGATCCGCACAAGGCGTAGGGTTGTCATGCTCACGCCTCATTCAAGTTTCACCACGCAGCTAGAACCAGGCATCCCTGTTCTCAGATTGCAGAAGCAAGCAGATGAGACTCCATACCGGTGTGAGAACTAGAACTGGAATTGGAACTTGTGTGCAGACATCAGCCACTACTTGCAAGGATGTGCATGGCCACACTTTGTACGCGGCAAGCAGCTGCCGCTGAGGGGTCTGTTGGGTGCCTCAGCCACCGCCGCCTTGTCTGCAATACTAGTAATGGCTGACAACTGCAGTGCTGCCATACATGTACCGTTCGTTGTAGGGCTCGAGTTTGCCTCGTCATGCAACGTGCCCTGCGCTCTGCTGCAGTGCTGCGCCGTGTTCCATCTCACCGCTATCACGGCAGTCTTGCAACGTCTCTCGTCTCGACTTCTTGATATTTCTCCTCACTTCAGGTCGCTATCATTGAAGAGGTCGTCGACGAGGTTGCCTAGGTAGTTGCCCTTACGTCCATTTCAGTACATATATCGACAAGGCGCTGTTGCTGCCTGCCGCCGCCGGTAGTGAGAGAGTTCGCAACCAATCTTACTGCAGGTTGATCACAACGAAGCATTACGTAGCCGCCCACCAAGTCTTGCGCTTTGCTGGCACTGCCCGGTATTTTCCTCTCCGGTCAACCAGCCACCGCCATATTGACCACCACTACTGCAAAACCTCGCATTCACTCTACTGCTGCATCTTGTTGCAGGCCACCCACCAAAAGGCGTCCTTGCAGACTGCCAAGCTGTCTAATCGTCGCTCACTCAACGTCGTTACAAGAATCATCGTCGACCTTTCAAGCCTTCAACCGTCTTCACCCATACAACAATTGCTTTAAAGTCAGGCTGTTCGCCGCATTGCGACCGCTACGACCCGACCCTTCCGTGGCTCCAGTTTCCGCTGGGCTACGTATCGCTTCATAGCATCACTTTGACTCGACCTGACTTGCCCCTCCGTCGACAACGATGTCCTATTACGACGACGATCGGTCTCGCCGTCCGAGGAGCACTCGCGAACGATCAAGAAGAGATGATTATTACGATGGCACTGTCTACGACCAGGATGTTCGAGATACTCGCATTGTGAAACGGCGGGATGATAGTTCATCTTCGGTCGAGGAAGTCAGCCGAGACTTCGCTCCGGGTGATCGCGGCGCTGCTCTCTATCGGGAAACGACCGTGCGCAGAAGCGGCCACCGCCCCATCCGTGCACGATCAACCGATGACCGTTGGTATGATGATCGCTTCGACGACCGTTCGTACACTTCTCGCAGACGACGCGGCGACGATGACGACGATACCTATGTGAGCAAGCGCACCAGTCGGAAATATGATGATCGACGTAAGTCGCCTGTGTCGTTCTATATTGAACCCTTCTAACCTCATCACAGGCCGCTCGAGACGCCGCGACTCTGACTCGGACTATTCCTCGCGCAGCCGCAGCCGCACCCCTCCCAGAAGAGAGCGCAGGAAATCGACCACGGAAGAGGTCTTGGGCTCTCTCGGCTTGGGAGGTGTTGCTGCAGCCGTGCTCGGCAAGAATCGCGACCGAGCAAGGTCCAGATCCGTCTCTAGCGATCGGGTCTCTCGTCGCCGGAGCCGCAGTCGAGCCGGTAGCCGAAGGTCGTCGTCAGACAGATCCGGTCGCCGGAACAAGAGCAAAGTCAGAAGTGAGCAGGTCTCGCAAGCGATCAAGGCCGCTGTTCTTGCCGGCGCCAGTGAAGCGTTTCGCGCTCGAAAAGAACCTGGCGGCTGGGGGGGCGAAAAGGGCAAACGAGTCCTGACTGCCGCACTTGCTGCTGGAGGCGTGGACGGCTTGATTTCGGACAAGAGAGATCCTGACCATCATGCTAAACGCGACATTGTCGGATCTGCTATCGCCGGTTTGGCTGCCAACCGTGTCATCAACGGGCCTCGGTCGAAATCTCGCGGTCGGACTGGTAGCCCTGACAGTCGTCGTGGGCGCAGTCAATCCCGAGGTGGACTGGGTGACCTGGCTGCCGGCGGTGTTGTGGCAGCTACGGCGAAGAAGGTCTACGATCATGTCAGGTCTCGGTCGCGTGGCCGTGCTCGATCTCGAGACTCCTCCTATGACAGCGGAGACAGCCCAAGCCCTCCACGTCGCAAACGAAGCCAGAGCGTTTCGGGTCTGGCGGCCAAAGGCCTAGCAGCCTTGGGATTCAAAGACACGGCTGACAAGGTCGACCCGGAGCGTCGGCGATCTCGCTCGCGCACTAGGCGCTATTCTGATGACGATGATTACTATGATGGTGGCCGCAACGGAGGATATGGATACGGATACAGTGATTCCAGAGATGTAAGCACCTTTCAACCCCAGCATAATGGTCATTTCCCAAGCGGGTCCCGTTCCATGAGTCTACCCAGAGGGTCGGTTCCTGGCTACGAACTTGATTATGGACCACGTCATACCGGTGATCCCGAAACAGACTCGGATTCTGACCTCGGCTCCAGTTCCGACGATGAGAAGCAGCAAAAGAAAAGTCGCAAGAAAGCTTTGCTTACCGGGGGTCTTGCGACCGTGGCCACCATCCACGCTGCGCACAATGTCTGGGAGAGCATGGAAAAGAGAGAAGCTCGGAGGAAAGCCCTGCGGGAAGGCGAGATCAGTCCGGAAAAGGCGAGGGTTGAAAAGAACAAGGCAAGATTGCAGGACGCGGCCAGTATCGGTATCGCCGCCCTCGGTCTCAAGGGGGCCTATGGCGAATGGAAGGAAGTCCTGGAACATCACAAGCAAATGCAGGAAGATAAGGAGAAAAAGGCCCGGCATCGAGCCAAACGAGAGGCCAGAAGACGCAAACTAGCCATGCTCGCGGCTCAACAACATCATGCTGATGGCGGTGTGTTTTCCGGCAGCATGCCGAATCTACCCACGGCAACCTATGATCCCTATCGACCACACTCTATCGACCCGTATGGCGGGTACCATGCCACCGGTCCGCCATACACTGGTGGCCCTTACAGCCATGAGCCACCGATTCACTATTCAGATGACAATCCTTATACTGCGGTGTCACATCAACCGCAGTATGTTCCCGCAAATTATGTCCCGTCGCCGCCACCGCCTCCTCCGATGGGAGGTCCGCAACCACCTCCACCTCCTCCAAATGGTGTTCCAAGGACAGACACGCATTGATGATGATGCTGTAATGAAAGGTCATGAATGAAAATCTGCTCTGCTTTCAACGACAATTGCAATCCTACCAGACTCCCACGAACGATCTTTTTGAGGCACTCGAACCTTGAATGTTTATAACGACCCGACACGGCCGAACATTTTGAAGTTGTGACGAACTTTGGCCAGATGTGAATCGAATTATGACAAACAAACAATTTGATTTTCTAAACTGCGCCCCCTGCCCATTGCTTTTGTTTTTGTTTCCGTCTCTTTTCGGCGCCACTTGAGTTCAATCCCATCTACACCAATAAGACAGTTGGGATATTGGAGGCGGATGGGCCACGAAATGACATGACATGACTTGATGATTTAGTTTGACAGGCTACAGTGTGCCTGCCTCCCATCTGGAGCTTCAGATAGACGTACGTTCGTTTGATATATCACAGTCGTGGCGAAGAGGAAGAAAACGAATGCATGAATTAAATGAAATCGACGATGATTGGAGCTTCCGCGTTGTATCAGTAAGACGTATGTGTTTTCTTTCTAGGTTAGGGGTTTAGTTTCGAAATCAGGACAGACAAAGTTCTCTCTTGGCCTTGGATTCAAATCATTTATTGTTGGTTCTACGTCATCGTACAGATTGTTCATCATTCAGCCCCAAGTGGGCAAAAGTCGCCCGAGTGAGGGCAGTTCAGGCCATATTCACCAGCTCGACCGGATTAAATATGACTCGAGTAGATGATTTACCTTACAATGGATGCCATCGGTAAACCACTCAAATTCACAACTCATCAACGAGCAATCAGTCAGTAGCCATCATCATCGTCATCATCGCGACGATAATCATGTCTCTCCCTTCCATCCGTCAACAACAGTTCCCTCCGCCAACTAATCCGTCTCTGATGATGATGTCCATCGCCCTCGCGTCGATGTCCTCCATGATCGTACGCAGATTCCCTATATCTGCGGTCATCATCATCATCGTCATCATCATCGAGCCACCTCGATACAGCAGTCTCTCTGTTGACACGGGGGGCTCTTCCGCCTGTGTTTCTGCGCCGACGGGCATCTGCATCGCCGCCGGTTCTGACGGTTCGGTATTCGATCGGAATTCGTCTTTCCTCGTGGCGGTCGTCGTGGCGATCGTCTCTGTCGCGATGTCTGGTGGAGTCGTGGTGTCGATCTCGGTCACGATGATGGTCATGGTCGCGGTCACGGTCGTGGTGGTGGGAACGATGAGAACGATGAGAATGGCGACGATGATGATGGTCATGATGGGACCGATGATGATGGTCATCATCTGGGTCGACTCGAGTCCGAGATTCAACGGAGTAGGAGTAGTTGTTGGCCCCTTCAACGTACGCGAGTCGGGGGATACGGAGAGGCTGGGAGCTGCGGTTGTCCGGGTTTAAAACCTCGCAGAGGCTGGACCGGTTGGATCGGGGGGAGTAGTATGTGGTGCGGCGGATGTGAGTTGTATAGTAGCCGTCGTCGTCGTCGTCGTCGTCGTCGTCGCTGTCGTTGGTGGCGTCGAAGCTGTATTTGTATCTGCGGGTATATTTATTGATAGGAGTATGGGTAGGGGCATCAGTGTGGTGGTTGTTGAAAAGGGTGATAGATGGCGATGAGTCTGCATAATGACTGGTACTACCACCATCACCATCACCATCACCAGCAGCAGCAGCAGCAGCAGCAGCAGCAGCAGCAGCAGTAAACGTTGAAGGTGGCAATGGCAATGGTGCTAAAGATGCAAGGCCGGATGTGGTCGTGATAGGATGGACATAGGCATAGCTATATCCATACGCGGTCCGTGGTGTATGCTCGTCGCCGTTGCCGTCTCCCGGTACCTAACCAGAAGATGGGAACTGCTCAGGATCCCACATATACAGACCGCAAGGGTAATAGGTGTTGGTGGAAACAGTGGTTTGTGTAACGGAAGGTTGACAGTCTGGTCCTGCACCTGGATTCACGGTAGATGTTGGGCCATCGTCCTTGTCATCATTCGCACCGTCAGTGCCAGTGCCAGTGCCAGTGCCTGTGCCTGTGCCACCAGCAGGACTACCATCAGCGCTGGCTTTATCCTCGTCGCCATTGCCATTGTCACTGCCGTTTCCGTCACCCTCCTCCCTTACAGCTGGAGGAGGCTCCGGGACAAAAATACCGGCATATGGTCCGAATGGTCTACCATATGACCGAGGCACTTCCTAAATGCCCCTGCCTGGTCCACTTGGGTCGAGGTCTCGCGTGGGATCGTAGACTCTCATCGGTCGGTATCCTCTCGAATCGGGCCGGTCGTAGTATGTATCTCCAGGGCGGAGACCGCGCGTTGGGCTTGTGCTTCGCATTCTCATTGCGTTTTTGCCGATGTCGTTGTCGTGAAGGTAATATGTCCAGCCCTCGTCATCGGTATAGGTGATACGCCGTCTAGGGCGGTGCCCGTTGCGGCTAAAAGGATCAAAGTTCTCCATGTATACGACCGATCCGTCCGATCTCACTCGACGAGGATCCTGTGGCTCGTAAGCGAGGAAGCGTCGGAGTGCTGGGGATGGACCGTCGCCGTCGAGCACACGTTCAAGGATTTCGCCTTCCCGTGACCACGGGATATGTTCGCGATGGGCCGTGCCGCGTCTTCCAGAACCGTTTCTTCCCCTTGTCGGTTGCGATCGAGTTCGGTTGACGTAGACTCTTCCGCCAGAGCCTGATGGGTCGGGATAGTAGTATGTTGTTTCGATTCTCACGTCTCCAGGATCAATCTGCCTTGATGGGCGGTTACCCATTCGATTTTGTGCCTGTCCTCGTAAGAGTCTGGTTCTTCGTCAATGCTGACTGGGTTGGGTGCTGATATCTCAACTGTGGGCGATATGGAAGAGAGAGGTGGCACCGTAGGAGGTAGGAGTGAGGTTTATATAGCTTACTGGACAAGGCCTTCGTTGGCTGACGCTCACAGCTTCGTTTGTGGTGAAGTATGAGTCTTGAGGGCGAACGAACTAACATGCGTGTTGGTCATCTTCGAACGAGAGAAGCAGAGACAGTCAGCTGTGTTACTGTCCAGAGTGAGTGTTAGGTCTGCCAGTCATTGCAGTAACTCTTTCTCGATGATCTTTGACTTTTGCATTTTGGATAGAAGACGCTGTATCTCATTGTGATGCATTCTTCACGAACCATGAACCGGCTTCGTCAAAGCGCAGAATGGATTCGGACAGGCACTTCGAGAGTCTTTCAATATCCTGCGACCTTGACGTGGAAACGGCCATCTTTAATATCTAGGTGACTGTAGAGGGACCTACCTTGCACGCTCACTCCGTACATCATGTCAAAAGAGGTCCGTCGAGTCGGTGTATGACTCTTGGCCTCCAGCTCCGTTGCTGAGGAATAACAAACCTGTCCCTGTTCGCCGGGATGCCGGGATCGCGGAGTGGGCCATTGATGGAGCGACAACTCAGGCAAAGGAAAACTCCGGGGAGATGGGAGTCAAGGGGCTCTCTGAGACACTACCAACCTTGCAGTACCAGCACACTGGGGTCAAGAGTCCTCCGAAGAGCCAAGTCTGGGGTTCCTGAGCGTGGTTTGGTCGTTTCAGCAAGGGCACTGAGGTCAAGAACACCTCTCCGGAAGAACGTTGATGCGCGCCGGATTGGCTGCCTGCGTTCGACCGCGTTCACGCGTAAAAGGTCCAAGTTGGTGTGTGAACCCAGCAACGAAGTAACTGCCCTTGCTCACAAGAATCCATGCCACTTACTCTTCCTTGCATGGCTCGATTCCCTGTTAGTAAGACTCTTAAGAGGCTGGTTTAGGACATTTCAAGACGTCTGACGAGACCATCCTGAAGGAGTCTCCCGAGTCAGTAGAGAGGTGATGTGCCTCAGTCCTCTTGAGCACAGATTTCCCTTTTGTTGCCTCACTGATGTTGAGCGTTATACCCATATACTCATTGCAGCCATCATCGACGAATAGCTTTGCTGGAACACTCGAGGAGTCCCGTGGCACACTCTCACAAACGCCTGTTTGTTTGAGCGATCCATATCCGGGTGCATTAGCCAGTACAGAGGCCTGCATCACAAGCCCAAAGTCCGGGATATCAAGCCTTGGTCTTGATTGATGCCCGACTGCTAACCAGGATCGAGTCTCGTCAAGCTCTGCAGCTCCTGTACAGTGAGGCGGACTTTTACCGTCCATTTGCTGCCTTACCAAATCTGACCAATAGGCGCCGAACACGGAGCGGACATGCTCTCATGCAACGAGAGGTCTTGCGTTGACCATCTGTACAAGACACCATTGAGCGGTTCATGAGCTATATCGCGCCATTTAGGAGACGCTTGCAATGCAGTGCATCGTCTTGTGCAATTACAAGGTAGGGACACGAACATGTGGGTATGTTCTTGTGCAATTACAAAATAGGGACACGAACATGTGGGTATGTCGCTTGATCAGTCGGTTCGCCGGCAGTACCGAGCTCAGGCCCTGCTCGACGACATCTTATCATATGCGGCCAGATGGTTCGTTCAACCATCTGTGTATGGCTCCTCTACATCGTTTTCCGCACGCTATAGCGTCCAGAGCATCCTCTCAAGGGTAGATGGTCTGCTCATGCAGCCGAACGATATCTGTACAGCCTGCCCCCGCCTTTCCTGATTCTGATAAGGGATGCAATGTGAATGTGGAACGGTCAACCCGGGGGATGATTTGCTTCCTTGCTACAGAAAAGCAGAAGTCCAGCCCCATGCCACTGACACCTCCTAAGCTTTTCGTTGAATCTGTCCAGAAGTCTGGGCCCCAGTCCACTGCCCGGACCGTATCTGTCACCTGCCATTCACTGTCGAGCCTACTCATCACCGTCACTATAACATTTCTCGTCATCATCAGGGAGTCATTCATAGGGTGCCCCCCTGAGTTGTGGTTCAACTGACTAACTCCTCAAAAGCCGCGCCCGCTGGACACCAACATGGAATCTCTAAGCACTGAGGACAAGATGCACAGATCTCCGATATTGCACGGGATGCAAGCCGCTCTCGACGATGCTGGTATTGCAGACGACGAGAGGCATGACATACCACAACTATCAGATCTTGACGACACGGTCGACGAAAATCTTCGAAATACAGCCCAGCTATTCCTTCAAGTCCATCGTACGGAAATTGCAGCGCGGGATGCTGAGATATCCAGGCTCAAGATGGAACTCACACGCGTCCGTGAAGGATTGAAGGGGCTGAAGGAGCAGACACAAAAGAGTACTGGTGTCGGTAACCCGAGTCAACAATCAACGGGCGAATCTGCAGACTTGCCCGAAGACTACGTCTACGTACAAGCAGCGGACGCCACCGTTGCCGAACCAGGTTGGCAGACCGAAAGTTTAGTCACAGTGCGGCTGGACAATATCCTGACCAAACTCGACAACGATGGGGTCAGTCACGCGTTAGTACTTGCTTCCTTACTGGGACTACTGGGTTGCTGCGAGTTACTGACGTGTCTTTGGATGCGAACAGGCAGCAGAAGATCCAAGATATATGGGACTCTTGCTTGCAAGTTGTCCAAAGCGTAATGAACCAGAGCCTGAGTGACGAGGTACAATTCTGCCTACCGACACCACCTCCATATTCTTTGCAAGAAACCTTACTAATGTCAGCCAGATGCTCGTCCAATGGAACGTGGTGCATTGGCTCGAATTCAAAGATCGGATCCCAAACATTGCCTCCGTTCCCCTCGAACCCTCCAACAGCCCTCGTGCCAGACAGACTCGGACAATGCTGGTCATGGCACTTCTGGGAAAGTCACTCGAGGAGTACATCTTCAGTCCCACCTACCTCTTCGAAGACGATGACGAGCTACGTCTTCTCCTGTTCAAAATGACCAACACGAGGATGAAGACTCTGTGGAGAAGAATGCTCCTGTGGATGTCGGATGAAGGCGATCGAAAAGAGACGGTCAAGTCATCACGAGTGCAAAGCGCCGTTGAGGAGACGATGGAACCGCTTCAAAAGCTTCTCGATGCGGAAACGTTCATCCAACTGACATCAGAACTCCAAGAAGTTGTCTCCAAAGCCGCAGAAGCTTGGGAACCACTACAACGATGCCAGCAGCACTTTGAAGTCAGCACCAACCTCACTACTCGCGCAGCAGGCTGGGAGTGGAGCTCTATTCATTTCAAGAGTGACCATGCCGGTTTAGGCATGGATCTTGTACCCGTCGATTCGGGGGCGTTTAGTTTGGATGGGCAAGAGGTGTTGATGGTGTTGTTTCCACGCGTCTGTGCCATCGATAGGTCCCAGAACCCTGCTTTCACGCCCGTCTTCCGTGGAATTGTGCTGCAAAAGTCGGAATTGCAAGAACTAGAAATGGTAGTCGAGACTGGATTGCCGGATTCAAGAGCAGCTGGACTTGATCCTGGAACAAGCCCTGCTACAAATCCCGAGACTGAATTGAACCAGCAACAACAAAAAGAAGCCGGCTCACCAGCTTTGACGGCTACGGAATCAGTAATCGCATCAATAAAGGCCACTACTGCCGCGGCGGTCTCTGTCGTTGCTCCAAGTCTCTCAAAAGAGCAGGAAAAGAAGGAAGGAGACGGAGATGGCACAGGTGAAGAAGGCCATCCGGATCAGCATGAGGCCGGTACGGATGCCACGGAGACTGAGGATCATGTCACAAAAAGCAACGAGGTCGAGGGAGAGCCCCATATAGTACCCGAATTGGAGGAAATGAACGAGGACAGGCACGAAGACGGAGAGAACAACAAAGACAAAAAGGACAAAGACGAAGATGAAGATGAAGAAGATGATAGTGGTGATGCCGAGGACGAAGAGGAGGACGATGCCGACTCTGACGACGGCGCAAGCGAGGACGGGACTGGAACAGAGACGGAAACTGAAACGGAAAGTGATCAGAGTGAAGCGGACGTCGATAAAACTGCTCAAGAAGACCGTCAGGCTCATGATCACGTGAACTCTGCTGTCGACGAGGGTAAAGTCGAAGTCGTGCAACCATAACCTAGCTGAGCTCTGCAACCGCGTTGCCAGACGGGGAGATTCATTTGTGAAATCAGTTATCTGCAGGCATCCCTTTCCTGCTGTTCAACTCAGCCTTGACAGGGGGTCGAGCCTCGGGGTCAAAGATACGGGAGCAGAGACGTCGTCGAGATACGATATGAGGTTGAGGTTGAGGTTCCGGCGCAAAGCGGTCTAGCTGGTATGCTTGATTCTTGAAATGGTCGACTTTGCTTCTATTATTTCCTTTGGAGCCTAGCACTGGCCTGGCAAGTACCCAGAGTTCGAAATCTATTGTACCTAGGTACCCATGTACAGGTACTACTAGTATTAGTACTATGCAGACCGAGTCATTGTTGGGGCCCAAGTACTAGTATGGTCCCTAGGCGCGGCAGCTGCCGTCTCCCGCTGAATGCCGCTTAAGCTTTAGGCATGTTAAGCTTAAAAGAACACTTTAATCTTCCGTCGGTTCTACCTGGTACTGTAGTAAGCACGGACCTTTGTCTCCGCGCTGCGATCAAAACCAAAACCCAAGTCAATGACGACCCTCTTCGTTTCAAGAGTACAGTACCTACTTACCAGGTACTTTCTCTTATCCCGCTAAAGACCTACGGTACCTCAGCTAAGGCAATATCCGTCTCCTAGCTATATTATACCGACCCACAGTTTCTGTCTATCTGCCCATCCTCTACCTCAAAAGATGCCGATGCAGATACATCCGCTACAATCATGCGCCTCGCCCACCTCCACATCCCGCACTTGATTCCATACACCCATTCGCTCCGGCTGCAGAACGCCCTAGTCGAACGACAATTCGCATATAAAGATTGGCTCCGGGGGACAGACAAGAAAGAAGACGACGGAACACACACGCAGACACAATCACAACCACAAACACCATTTGACGCGGCGCAGTTGAACCACGACGACCATTCCAATCCAAATCCAACACCACCACCTCCCGACCCGACCCTCCTAACATTCTCGACCTTCCCAACATACACAGTCGGTCGGCGACACTTACTCACCAACCCGATCTCCGGGGCTCAACAGGCCTTCCTGACCTCCCACGAACGCGCTACATTCCACGCCTCCCCGCGCGGCGGTTTGTTAACGTACCATGCCCCAGGCCAATTGACAGCATACATTATAGCAGACTTACGACGGCACGGAATCACTGCGCGCTGTTGGGTGAGGTTGTTGGAAGATAGTGTGATTCGCACATGTGCGGCCTGGGGAGTGGACACACAACGGACGGATGACCCGGGGGTATGGATTAAAAAGAGACTCGACAACAGAGAAACGCCAACATCTGAATCAGATCCCTCAAACGCTGACGCTGATCGCAAAATCTGCGCCATTGGCGTCCAAGTCTCGCGCGGCATCACATCGCACGGCATCGGACTCAATGTCTTTGATGCCCCATTACCCAGCAATCCGGTCTACGACTTCTCCCCGGACCAGACCAGATCAAAATCCTACGACCCCGTCACCCGCGGGTATTTGTCCTGGGGATTCAGTCGGATAGTGGCGTGCGGTCTGGAGGGTAAGAGCGTGACTTGGTTGACGAGGGAACTGGGGGAACTGCCAAAAACAAGAGCCTGCAAAGATCAAGACGGAACCACCCATGTCTTATCGCCGACTAACCAGCAGCCGCCAGAAATCCCACTTGAATCCGTGGCTTCCGTCTTCGCCCGCGAGCTTTGCCACGGCTTGAACGCCATGCGCGGACAAGGCAAAGAGACCGTCGATGATATCTACAAAATTCAAGAGGTGGATGTTCTTGGGCTCTGAAACGTCGTCGGATTGACTGATTCCCTACCTTCCCACACCTCCTTGCCGGAACTCAACTGGAGTGGCGCAAGCAAGCAAGCAACCAACCGAATTCCTCGCTATCATTTACTCATCAGACGCGAAACGAACGAGATACCTGGGTCCTGCACCCTTCCGAATGCCACTCAGACATCCTCCCCTCGTCCTCGAATGGAATCCGATCCAATCCAATCATCAGCCGCGGACCACTCTGCGGTCTCTGACGCTGTTCAGAAATGGAACCAAGGCAGGGGGAATATATTCCGCGACTTTTGGGTCAAGTCAAAGCTTGCGAGATTAAAAGTCCACAGCCGAGTCGATCCCTGGTAACAAGGTGAGTTTGGGCCATGACAACAATCACCTACTGGTGCAGTACAGTATATACTCCAGGGAGAAAGAGATCTCTGCAAGTGAAATGCTTTGTCCACCTCTATGCATATGCGTGGCCATGTCTCTCAACGGCCGTGTCAGCTTGGGAACTGCTTGGTCTAATCAATGTCGGGCTGTACGACCAACTTCGATTGCAATGCATCAACACCAATAAATAGAGCCAAAATTGGGGTCGATATACGGATGGTCACTTATTACATTCTCCCATTGCACACGGTGGTATATCAGCAATGCAGCGAGAGAGATTAATATACTCAATAGTCATGAGTAAACTTTCATTAATTTGACAGTAATTGTTCATTCGTGACTCCAGGCTATGAATTGAAGAAACCCCTTTTGTCTGCCACACCCCTGCCTTAACTCTATCATGTCCATTACAGCACCGGGGCCACTTGTTGGAAGTAGTGCAAGGAAAATCCATCCCATGGTTCGGTAATGACTGGTTCATTTCATGTGAAGCGCTTGCCTCATCGTGGTCACGTAATTCGGCTTAGTATGCAGCAAGTCGGTGCATCCAATTTCCTTCGGGGAGCTCACACAAGACTGAGGAATGGCGATGCCAGTGGCCAGCAGGCCAGCGCACCCGCGCCCAGAATTGCCAGGACTCCCTAAGAGGCATGGCCAATGTCTACCACCGCTTGTGCCTGGTGCAACGCCGGCAGGCTGTCATTGGCATCAACTTGCAGTGCATCCAGTTCCAGAACAGAACGTTCTCGCGTTTTGTCGTGCTTATTTGATCTTGTTTGGCTCTATCTCGCCATCATTCGCGTTTGTGGTACTGTTCTTCCGCCTTCCATATCAGAGGCTGAAAGTCAGGGTTCAGGAAATTGGCGGGACTCTGTGTGGAACTGAAACCCACCTGTTAGCTGGAGAAGCTGGTGAGAAGGAATGCACGAAATTTCAGTCCCAGGACGAAACTTACCTTCCGAACGAGCCTGGATCCAGAGGGAGGCTTTCGTGCCGTTCGCTGTTGTAGATATGACACATCTCATTGTACCTGATCTGAGGCTCTGAGCTTCGATGAGGTAGGGTTGCCCCACCTGTAGTACTAGAGCTAGGGGTGTTCGATGAAGGAGATTGAGGGGATATTGCCGTGGGCGACAGCTGCGGCTGTGACGGCGTCATTGGAGGTTGGTGCGCTTGGCTCATCGAATGCGATCTGCCCGTGGTTGACAATGATGCTTGCCCTAGGGGGACACCCTGGGAAACAGGTGGAAAATATGATTGTTGCGTGGCGATTGGATTTGTGAACAACTGCAAGTCAGGGCGCTGGTATTGCAAGCCGAATGCACCACTTGCAGAACCAACCTGTGGATCGACTTGAGGGTCTGCCTGAATTTGAGAAGACATGTTGGGAAACATGGTCATATACAGGTCCACTGCCTCTGCATCGCCCTTGAAAAGTTCATTGCCAAGTGGTGCAACGTATTGAGGGGCGTCGGTTTGTACGAACACCTGCAGGGGCTTATTGTCGTCTTTGTAGATGATGTCGTAATGACCAGGGCGATAGATCAAGCGGATGGTGGGCCAGTTTTGCGAATTCAGAACAAACTGATGTGGTGTAACCTCATTGCCAGTACTCCGGTCCAGGTACGAAACCTCCAGAGCGATGTACGCCGGAGCAATGACCGCATCAGTCAAAGCTTGCAGGCCGATATGGTCAATTTCTTGATTTGCCGGGTCGATTCTGGTCAGGCAGTATTGGGGAACTGGCATCTCGAGAAAAGCTTCGTAGCGTTCGGATTGAACCCGCATAAACGAGCTTGTCATCATCTTGAAGTGATAGACAATCGAATCGGATTGGCCGCTGTCATTCATGACATCCAAGAGGACGCGGTCGTCCTTGTCGCCTCGCTCGATTGCGGCCTTGATTGCGGCAAAAAGATCCCATGTGTACTCAAACATATCGACCATGATGTCGTAGTCAACGCCCACCGCTCGCATTGTCTGCTCAAAACTTTGTAAACGGACCAACTCCTGATCCAGGAGGCCCACGTCGCGCGAATTGAGGAGGATTTCGAAATAACCAAAGACCGCACCTGGACAGATCGTCAGTAGCCGGGATGATGGGGCGTGGATAAGGAAACGTACCGCGCCATCCACATTGCCCATCGCCTTTGATAGGACGATATGAGGAATGACTGACAGCCAGAGCCTGGAGATGTTAACGACTGATGAATCGTCGGTAGGACGACACATACCGTAGTCTTGGCGACATATGCAGGGTCGGCTTGAGCATACTCCTTGACCAGTTCGGAAAGCGGTTTCTTTTCTCCGATCAATGGTCCCTACAACAAATCAGCCAAGTAGTCTATATTGATGGCCGGTCGTCATACAGGAAGCTCTGCTTGATACTGGTCTGATAATCGCTGGAACCGTTCCATTTCGTCAGCATCCGGAGTCGCCATGGTGGAAGTTGACTGGTTGGTGGCCGGAGGGGTGAAATAACTTTGATGACAGAAACTAATGTTCGTAGGAGTTGGCAGATGGTCGTAGGGAGGAGGATAGTGCGGGTGTCGTCTCGAGTTTCTCCAGTACTGAAGTTGGCGAGGCGGGTATGGACTGTAATGACTGTAAAGTGGACGTGAATATGAGTATGAGCCAAAGGTCATCGCCCGATGATAATGAAAAGCTCAATGAGTTCAATGTCGTCCGCTGCAGGGTTTCCAGACTTTGAAGGCTAAGTGATTGTTAGTTGAGTTGATTTTCATGCTTTCAGGGCCTTGAGACCGTAGAAGGAAACGAGACAAGGCAGCTTTATTCAGCTGCTCGACGTGTTCTTGTTCTTTTTGGTATTACGGACAAGTGGATAGATAATCTTGTTGCCCGTGCTCGCCAGCACAAGCGAGCTGCAACGGATGATTATCACCGCGCGGCAGATGGAGCTTCCCACAACGCAGGCTCGAGACGGCAAGATCTGCGCAGAAAGCAAGCTGAATTGAACGTCGTATACACACTGTGGTAGGAAATCGAACGTGATTTATTTGACGAGAGCGGTAGGGCGGTATCCCACGTCTGGGGTGCTGGGCCAGTACAATGTAAGCTCGTCACCCCGGTCTCGGGTTGGTGGCGGGCGGGTGACGATGACCGCTTATGACTGGTCGGCTGGAGATGGTGGAGGTAACCTGACCGACCAGAAGATGATCGTTCAACACCAGCCAGATAGCATTGGTCGAAGCCAATCGGTTACAGCTTGTAGCATGGTATTGGGCCGACGGCGGGCGATCGCACAACGTGGACGGAAAAATCAGACTGAGGCCAAGTATGGCGGTGGAAGCGAGGTCAAGGATTGCGGAAGGGTGACTGATGAAAGCCAGAGAGAGAGAGGAGAGTGGCTCGGAGCCGGAAACGGATGGAGACAATTGAGCCTGATTACTAGTAATAGTAGGAGTGATTTGAGGGGTGATTTGGCGGGAAGTACTGGCGGTGGATGGCGGAGAGAAGTGAAGAGAGATTAACTCAACTTGAAGTAGAGGTGTTGCAGTTGAAGACGTGTAGTGAGTAGTATGGTGAGTGCCCGAGGACCATAGCGGCATCGTACCATGGTGCAGTGCCATACTCTACTGCAGTGCCTGTGTAGTTCCTGTAGTTGCATGCAATAATATGCGCTGCCAACCTGGAACCCAGTGGAGCTTGCAACCTGCAACCTGCGCCCGATGCCCTGCGCCCTGAGCCTGCGCCCGCAGGCCGAAGATGCAGTGCCAGTAGTGCCAGTGCCAGTGCCAGTGCAGTGCCTGAGGCCTCCCTGGCCGGTGGTCCACTGCCACTAAGTACTGCCGCTGCAACTCGCAACTCCGATCAGGCTTCAATTCATCAGACTTCTAGTGGCAGCACTCAAACACTGACTGCGGTCTTCACGAGTCATTGATTCATCCACTCAATATCATCAAAGTTCTGGCTCTCAAGCCATTTCTTCCTAAGGTACCTCATGAAATGCAAGCGTATCGCCTGAAACGGCGGCCCTCCTCACTCTACTGCTGCCTTCCGGCCTGTCCACTGGCACTGTACTGCGTCGTTTTACGTCAACGAGCCCTGTCACTTAGCTCTCGACCTCTGACCGCGTTGTTATCCTTTCCTCCAGTACCCTTACATGCCGATTAGCCTACAAACCCTGTCACTTGCCCTCCCGCCCTGAGATATCGGCCCCTAGCCGTGAAATTGTGCAGGGCACTTTGCCGGGAAATGGAAGACGCACTTCCGCGCATCCAATCATTATCGGATTGCCTTCTCCGATCTTTAGTGAACAAGAGACCCATCTGCTGTGTAACGTATGTGGACTATACGGATCTTGTCGTTGCCTGAAGGCTGAGATGGACAAGACTCTTGACCGCTAGCAGCATCCACGTCTGTCTTTCCTAGGTACGCAGTTCGGACAACGAGATAGCGTTGCCTTTCGCCGATGGTCACGCTTTTGGCAGGGCGATATCTCGGTCATCATAAGAAGGTCACCCACTGGCACTTGCTGCTGCTGCGTAAGGGCTGTTGCTGGAATGGCCAGGTTATCTCCTCCATATGGTACGACCCGGAACATGCCTTACTTCTGCAGCGAAGCCGGACGGCTGACCTGGGGTTCGGGGGGTTCGCAGAAGGCACCTAAGGACACCGCTGGTCGACCCCCTGGCCTGGTCACCCACTACATGGGCCCTGTATCAGGTAATGCCTGACCACTGGTCCTTAAGGGCCTGTGTGGACCCTCCATTGCAGGCATACATCAGATTTGGCACCACCGCCAATCCTAGTCACTAAAGAGCGCTATCGTCGGTGATGTACTTATTCGACTTACGCGAATCCAGCAACCTTGCGAATTCTTACACGAGAGCCAGGGATGCCCCTCAGAAACAAAACGCGCATCTTATTTTGTCCTGGGTTCGATGAGTTACTGTTCCATTCTGTGTCCTCAGAGTTGCATTTCTACAGCCAAACCAGTCTCGCTTAAGACGGTGGCGGACGGAGATGCATCCTCAATCCTACGAAACCTATATTGCACACATACTCCTGCAAATGCAGTTCCTCCAGACGTGTGGAAGTGACGGCGCTAAAGATTGGCACACTACGGCCTCTCGCTGCAGTGCAGCAAGCCACGCCTCCAGATGATGTTACCCGCGGCAGCGGCTGCTTGCAGGGAATATCACCAGAAGGGAACTGGGGTTCCAGGGGTTTGGGAAGAATAACCGGGAGATCTCGACTACACCTGAGCGAAACTTGGGAGAAAGAGCGAAAGTCCTTCTTGAACGATTGACGCCAATTACGAAAGGGGTAAGATCAGAGGCACCGCGCTCCCGCCGGCGTCGTGTCTGCATCCGATCCCCCAGGGCGCTGGTCAGCCTAGACCGTGTCAACCCTCGGTGGAGCGACCGTATGGCAAGGCTGGAAAATCTGCATTGGCGACGCAAGAGCGAGCTATCATACCTGCTGACAGGGCCGGAACACACAACCACCCAGCCGTGTGTTTGCTTTCTGCCCCTAGAATGCATCCAACGCCAGCGCAGTCCTGCACTGCTATCTGCTGCAGCGGTAGCGAAGCCAGGGCCAGCTGGCAATCTCTGCTGCAGGGCAAGCCGCGGAGAAGATGGGCAAGCACCGAGAGACGTCCGAAGCGACGCCTCTCAAGTTGTCCAAGACTGGTGCGAGGTTCTGATGGAGCGATCAGTCGAGGCAATGAGTGGCTTCCCTATCCTGGCTACCGGTCGCGCCTCCTATCGATGGACGCTCCGTGATCGCCCATCATACTGCAGCTACCTCGGTCTGTCCCCGCTGACAACCGCCCGCATTGTAGAGGAACCTGCTGCTCGGTTGCCAGCTACTTGCTCCGTGGCATTCCGCTTCCACGTCAGGATCCTTTGTCTCGGGTCCAGCTGGGTCCTCGCCCGCCAGCGTGCCGCAGCTTGCAATCCACCCCCATGTTTTACTGGTTGGTTTGGAGAAGATTGACATGATAATCAATTTTGGACCCCTTCTGCTGCTCCAAGGTCAATCGATCATGCACTACTGGGACATTTGAGAAGGCGCCTAGCAGAGTAAGTGTTTGTTCATTTCCTACTGGCGCTCGCTCAATGATGCATCAACAAGACATGGTTCGAAGCCATTGAGACAGTCCTGCGTCCCGTTCTGGCCTGCTATTATTATGCCGACACGAGTATCTTGCCACCACCTCGAGCATGGTGACCCCTTCGGCCAGGGCCCCTCCTGGGGATAGCGTTGCCGCCGTCAAAACCCACTGGATAGTTTAGCATTCCCGCGAACCCCCCTCCACCTTGGCTGTCTTCGAACTTGAATCCCTCCCCTTCATTCAGCACGGCTGACCACAAGTTCTCGGCCGCCGAAGCCCAGTCACCCAGCCGGGAGAGATGGTCAGGGGCATTGGGTGTGGATTCGACCACCACCGTGCCATTTTCTTGGTTGATTTTGGCCTTGAGCTTCTTGTCGATGATTAGGACGCCGAGAATGTCTTGAACCTCGCTGACGGGAATCTTGATGTGTTTTGAGATGAAGCTAAGCGTGAAGCGGGTGTAGGGAGCAATCAGCTTGGAGACGGCCTTGGTACGCATATTCCGACTGACTTCGTCAATGTTCTCTGCAATAAAGGGGTCTGCCAGGAGATCTTGATTTTCTTTTAGTATCGATTCGTACTGGTGGATGTCATCACGTTGATAGGCATCCACGAGGTCTGTCATGGCGGAGATGCGAGGATCGTTCCGGTAGGGTTTTGTTTCTTGCGAGTCGAAAGGGTTGATGGTGGATTTCATCAGCATGGTGGTCAGGACGAGATACTTGAGGACCTGGATTCTTTGCATCGAGCCGGCCTCGTCGTAGTTTTTGAAAGATTCGAAAAAGTCGCTCTGGGCCTCTTTCCAGTTCTCCTCGCTCATGTGCATCTTACCCCCACATTCGCGGATGATGCCCTGTACCTTTGGATGTGGCACGGCGGAGCGAACCGTGAGAGCTTTTTGGTAGAGAGATTTGAGGCGTTTGTTGTTTTTGAGTTCGGCATACATTTGGATTTCGAGGGCATACGCCTCTAGCGAGTATGTCCCTTTGCCTGGGTCGTCGGAGCCATCCTCTTTCTGACAAGCTTTGTGGATCTCGCGCACTTTGTTGGTAAGACTGGTGTAGTCCTTCTTGTCGAGATACAGTTTTGCCAATTTGAGGTTTGTCTTGAGTGCCAATCTCTCGTTATTCGTGCTCTGGAACGTCTGCAGAGTCAACGAATAAAACTCCTCCATGCATTTGTAGGCAGTCTGCTCAGTGGCCACCTTTTCAATGTAGTCGAGCATGTTGTTGATTGATTTCTCCGAATAGTTTCTCGTCACGGCCGACTTGACGTACGTCAGCAGTTCCTTGTAGTGTTTGACGGCATCCTCGTAGCGGCCCAGCGCGAACTCGAGTTTGATCGCTTGTTTCAGACCCTTGAAGCCCCAGTCGCCTTTTTCGGATTCGAGTTCGGGAACGCCCAGGAATTCTTGAACGGCTTCTTCTGGGTTGTCTGCTTTTAGTTGTTTGGCGTTGTAGTATTTGTTCTCGATGTCGACGTCACCGCTTTCGTTTTCGTCGTCGTCTTCGTATTCAAAGTCGTATCTGTGAAGGATTGAGTTAGTGGGAGGGGTTCACAGTTGGAGAGTTTGATGGTTTCTGGTGGAGGTTTGGAAGGGTAAGGCTCGGATTTGACTTACTGCTCCTGATCGGAGTCTTGCATGAAATCGTCGTCGTCAGACATTTTGGTTGTGTCGCGGACTCGGGTTCACGGGGTATGCAGAGTTGGGAGAAGATGGATGGACAAGTCAGAGACCGGCTGCGGCGTCAGAGAAGGAGAAGGAGAAAAGGTCTAGCCGTTCATCAAACGCCAAAGTAACATGAGTTTGGTCATGCAGAGTAGAAAATAGACGGCTGCTCAAGAAGCCGCGACAGAACTGAATGAAATGGACGTGTCGATTCCACAACTTGAACTTGAACTCACAGACGTTGTAGTGATGAGGCAGATGGTGTGGGGGACGGATGGTTGCGCAGCCTGCTGTGCGGAGAGTACTACTGCTACTAGTACTATAGCAGTATAGTGTGACGATAGAGCGCACTGGCTGTCACGTGCAATGACACTTGCTGAATATTACTAGTAGTAGGGTACTACTTCAACTTTTAACTATTACCAGAGCGTGTTGTGCCAATCTGAAGCATCCTTGTGCTACGGAAGCAAAAGGTAAGTTTTGTTATCATACGGTGAGACCATTGAATTACTAGTATAAAAGGGACGGTTGATTAGACTGATCATGCGGTCGGTCTCCTCATCTCCAGCCTAAACCTTTTCACGACCTGCACCTTGTTCTGGTTGCGCCCGCTTCAGGCTCCTCCACTCCATACACAGACTGCAGAGAAATGCGGCACCACACAACGGAACCGCTGCGATGAAGACGGCTTGCAGAGAATCATTGTACAACTTAATAAGCGCTGGAAGATCCGCTGGAGGAACGATGTCTCTGAACCGAGTCGCACCCAACTCAAAGACGGCACGGATGTTGACTCCCGGGATGCTGCCAGCGTTGTTCTCTTTCAAAAGATGATCCTGTAGCAACGTGTTGCCCACTGAAACAAAGATGGCACCGCCCAGCGACTGAGAAGCCACAACCGCGGCGGTGCCGATCGGAACCTCTTCGAGTGGCAGGACAGCCTGGACGGCACTGAAGCCCTGTTGTATGGCCATACCTAGGCCCGCCGAAATCAAAAACTCAAAGCCGATCCAGCGAGATGACGGTGTTGATTCGTCCAGAGTGGCCAGAAACCCGGAGCCGATGGTTCCAATAGCACAGCCCAAGATGGCGGGCGGGGCGAAGCGACCGTTCTTGGAGACGAAAATGCCCGCCAACAGAGAGAATACGGCATTTGCGACCATGTATGGGATCATGTTGACACCGGAATGGATGGCAGAAGCCCCTTTGATCGCCTGAAACCAGATCGGTAGGTAGTACGAATGGACGAGCAGGGCTCCATAGATCAAGAAAGCCGCGCCGCAGCTGGCCGCGACTGTTCTCTGTCGTGCAATGCGTGGAGGGATCAGAGCCGCGTCGCCCCGGTAGAACATCCATGCGATGAAAATCAGGGTAGTCACCCCGAACCCGCAGAGAAGGCCGATGCAACGTGCACTGGACCAGGAATATCGTTGCTCCGAGAATTGAAGAGCCAGGAACAGCATCGTGGTCGCGGCCAACAGGATTATGTTGCCAATAAGGTCGAGTTGAAGTACCCTTTGTACAAAAGGGGGACGCGAGGACCCGTGTGTCGGGGCCCGGTGCTTGAAACAGAAGAAGACAGTGATGAATGTCACGGCACCGATGGGAAGATTGATCCAGACTGTCAAGGTCAGTTTGAGGTCTTGCTAATCTGGAAAGTCGGGATCGGAACTTACAACACCACCTCCAGCCAATGGTGTCGGTGAACGCGCCTCCCAACAATGGGCCACATAATGCGCCGATACCGTAAAGGATTCCAACTGCTGCGAAAAGCACCGGCCGATGTTGGAGTCGGACTGAATGAGTGCCAACCACAAATGCTCCTGTCAGCAATCCCGCGCTCCCAAAGCCCTGGATGGCCCGTCCAACGATCAAGACTTCGGACGACGGACACAGAGCTGCCACGAGGCTGCCGGCTTCGAAGACAGACAGTGCAATCAAAAACGATGACTTGGTCTCGAATGACATGTATATCCTGCCGTAAAGAGGTTGGAAAGCAGATGCTGTCAGGAGGTATGCACTTCCATACCAGCCAATGTCCTCATATGAGTGAAATCTGGCTGTGATGTCTGGAATAGCCTGGAGCGAGGTTAGTACTTTCTGTCTTTTGAAGCCGGGAAGGATCACGTACAGTGGTAATGATATTTCTGTCCAAGGATATGATGAACACTGATAGACAAATACCTATCACAATCGAAGCCAAGGCAAGCGGCCCTGGATATTGTGTTGGATCATCCGCTGGTGTAGGACCGGCAGCTTCGCCAAGCCCTTTCTTCGTCTCGAGCGGCCTGACAGCAGGGTGCGACTCGAAGCCGGAGAATTCGGAGACGGTGGACAATCTTCTCACCGGCTCGATCAGAGTGTTGCGGGTGTTGTCGAAGTGAACAGCTTTGGACTTGGAGTCCGCCGTTTGGTTCTGTTGCTGTCGGACCCATACTCCCCGTCTGGAGGGCACATACGAGGTTTCCGGAAAATTGGCCGCTGGAACCGAGGAGACCGCCGACCTCGTCGAAGCCTTGTCTGAAGACTGTCGTTGGAAGAAAGATGAGTTGTTCTCTGAAGGACATGTCACTTGGCCATAAGCCGGTGGTGGAATTGAAGGTAACGTTGCATCGCTGAAGAATGACGAATCCGACATTCCACGCGCATGCGAAGGTATCGGCTGTCGTCCTCGAGCGAGGTCACTTCCTACGCCAGCCACAGGCGACTCCTGGTCGACATCGTCAACGTCATCCTCGCTCTGCACTGATACTCGCTGCCGTTCAGAGCTGCTCTGGGCATGCAAGCTTCTGCTTCTGCTTCTGGAGGTCACGCTCTGAGTATGAAGGCTCCTGCTTCGGCTCCTGGAGGCCACCCGCCGCGCCGGCCCTGAGGAAATGATGTCTTGAACGATTCCATTGAGCCAGGTATCATTGCTCACCTGCTGATACGCCGGAGCAAAGCTAGCCATGATGGGACAGAATTAGCGGCGATTGATAGTCTGCTCAAGTTGAGGGCAAGGCGACCTCCCCAGACTTGACTCCGATAAGGGCAGAGGTTGCTTTGCTTTCGCTCACCAGGGCTTTTGGACTGTGCACTCCGAAGTTGAAGCTGGGGAGTGTACCCCGACCTGATCAGTGAGCCAGCAAACCCCTCCAAAAGGACAGGACCAAAAGTCAAGGCTATATCACGGAGCACTGCTACGAGAGACTTGTTGCAAACGTATGTACTGTTTATAATATGAATTCTAAGACGAAGGACTATGAAAGAGTTGCGCTCGGTTGCGCGAGTAAGTAGTCAGTAACCGAGGCGTGCTAAGCCTTCGTCGTGATCACGTACTAGTTACGTATTATTAGGCGTTACGTGGTACTATAGCGGCACGTAACGGCGCTTTAGTATATTAATCCGTAATATTACCTCCCCTTAAATCTATTACTTAGCTCTCTAAGTTTATATTATTTAGAGATTACTAACTAACGTAAGAACTAAGTTAAAAGAGATATTTTAATATCGATATTCGCTTATATTCTAGCCTTTCGACGTTACTTAGAAGTTAGGATAGTAGCTATTAACTATAGAGTATAGAGTAATATTCTCTTAACGACTTTATTAGTAAACCTACTAGGAAGGCCGGTATCGAGATATCTAGGGCGTCGTACTCGTAACGTAGAATAGGTCGGTTATTCGCGTTAAGGTCTCTTTTATTTTAGACTCTTCTTCGGTTTTAGTAATACTTTCTATAAGAAGAAGTCGTACTTATCTAGAGATCCTAGTTTCTTTAGGTAACGTTAGTAGAAGTATTATACGATTTTATTATAGCTAGGTAAGACTTCCTTCTAATCGTAGTAATAAGGTATAGAATATATTATAGATTCTTATATTATCTAGTAATTTAAGTCTATACGCTCTTAGATTAACGACTTATAATATCTTAAAAGAACCTAGGTTCTTTGCGTCTAGTTTCTTTAAGGGGCGGTTTATCTTTAGATTACGTACGTTTAACTAGACTATATTACTAACTTTATATATTAGGGCTACTTAACGAGATATATTCGCGGATTTCTTATATCTTACCTAAGCGTAAGTTATCTCGTTCCGAAGAGTTTCGTATATCGTCTTTATCTATTTAGTAAACTTATTCGCTCGTTTAGTATTAGAAACTACGAATATTACGACTTATTTTTTAATAGTAGATTTAATATCGAGTCTCGAGTAGAAACCGTAGTTAATAAAGAAGGGTAATACCTTCGTTATAGACGATATATATATATATATTAGCGGTAAATTCGGCTAGTAGTAGCTAGTCGATCTAGTCGTCTTATATATAGTTATAGTAATAGCGTAAGTACTACTCTATAATTTAGTTTAAGTTCTCGGATTATCTATTAGTTTTAGGGTAAAAGACGCTAAATAATTATTTCCGAATCTTTAATCTTTCGTATAAGTATATCTAGAATACTAATATAAATTAGGATTCTCTATCTAAGGTTATAGTATTAGGAAGGCTATATCGAGAGAAGACGTATCGTAGGAATAACCGAGCTACTATAGTAGCGTCTATTTCTCGATAAGGTATATAATATCTCTATTTACTAAGTCTATCGGTTACTACTATAATATTAAAGTAGAAGATACGGTCTATAGTACTTTAACTCGAAGGTAAGTTTACTACGAAATTAACTACGATTTCCGTCTATAGCCTAGCTAGTATAGGAAGTTATAATAGAGTCCTAGAGTATTTCTATCTCGATATCTTCGATAATCGGTAAGTATAGTAGTTACGAACGTAACGTTAGCTATCCTCTACTATTTCGAGCTAGAAGTAGTTCCGGGATAGTAGCGTATACGTCTTAGCTTTTCCTAGATACTTAGAGCCCGAAGTATTATAGTAGACTTAGATTAGCCGTATACGTATATCCGTAGTTTTATTTTTAGATACCTAGAGGCGATTTCTATACTATACTTAACTATCTCTTAAGGTATAGTCGGTTAAGAAGATATAACGAGCGGTAAGATCCGTCTTAATTTTCTAGGGAAGTTTAATAGACGAATTCTTTAATATTTTTATTATAGCTATTAGAATAGAATTATTATCGTTATAATAGAGTTATCGTACTAGTTTAGGTAATATTAGTTTATCGATAGGTACTAGTTTATCTTTAAGAGTTATAAGTTCGACTAGATATATAGCTAAAGTTAGTTATATCGAGTTTAACTATCTAATTCCTTTACCTAGGTTATAGAGCTTAAGAACCGTTTATACTTAGTACTTTACGCGATCGTCCTAATTATATTAGAGTTTATATCCGGAGCGTCGTATTAGGCTATCGGGTTTAGTACCTAAGCGGCTAGGGCGATACTTAATTATAAAGTAGAACTCTAATAGAAATTCGCTCTAGTAAGCTTATCGACGATTTAATTATTTAGTCGTTATAAAGTATTCTAGGGATCGATAGTTAGAGAGAACTCTTATAGAACGTACCGAATTAGTACTAGCGAGTTCTAGTCTCTATTCTTCGAACGCCTTAATAATAGCTAATAATTCCTTATCGTAAATTTTATAATTATACTCTACTAGGGTTATCTTCTTCGAAAAGAATACTACGAAGTATAGTTCTCTCTTAGTATTCTTTTAAGAGAGAACTTTAGTAACTACTATATCTAATACGTCGACTTTAATCTATATCTCTACTTTCGGGTTAAAGAGTACTAAGATAGAAGAGGATATAAATTAGCGTTTAAGTATTTTAAAGACTTACTAGTAATCTATATTCTAGGTAAACTTCTTATCTTTCTTAGTAAGGCGAGTAAGCGGTAAGGCGATCTTTCCGAAGTTCTTAATAAATATTCTATAGAAGTTAGCGAATTCTAAAAACGCTCGAATATCTTTAATATTACGTAATATAGTCTATTTAAGGACTATTCTAACTTTATCGAGATCTATCCGTAACTCTTATATCGAGATAATTATTCCTAGATATTTTACTTTCGGAACGTAAAACTCCGTCTTATTAATATCTACGTATAACTCGTATTTCCTTAAGCGTATTAGGATCTCTTTAATATAGCGTCTATAGTCGTTTAGGTTATCGCTAAAGATAAGAACGTCGTCTAAGTAAGTAGTATAAAAGTTATCTAGAATATCTTATAGGGCTAAGTTAATATAGTCTTAGAAGAAGGATAGCGCATTATATAACCCGAATAGTATTACTAAGTATTCGAATTACCCGAACCGTATAGTAAAGGCTATCTTTTATTTATTTTCGTATTTAATCCGTATTCTATTAAACGCTATAATAATATCGAACTTAATAAAATAGCGTACTCGATAGAGTCGATCTAGGGTTTCTCGAATATAAGGAATAGAATATCTATTTTTAATAGTAATAGTATTTAAGGCTCGATAGTCTATATAAAAGTGTAGACTACCGCTAGATTTACGAATAAGAATAACGAAGAAAGTAATAGAAGAAGAGGATTATCGGATAAATCCTTTAGCTAAATACTCGTTAATATATTTCTTAGTAGTAGTAAGCTCTTTCTAAGTTATTCCGTAGATCTTTTTATAAGAAAGTTAGTCCTTCTTAGAAACTATTAGTCGTATTTTATAATCTATACTAGGCTAATATAGAGATAACGTATCGAAAGATAGTCTAGAGAATACGTTAAGGAATTCGTAGTATTTAGGAGAAACTCTCTAGCGTAAGTCGACATATTCCTTATCTTTTATAAATTTCTTAAAGTCTATAGAATTAATAGTATAGTATAATATTAGAGGTTCGTCGATTAGTATATCGGTTCGAAGATCTTCGTCGAATATAAATATATCTATAAATAGGAATATTATAGTATTATAAACTCCCTCTTTCTAGATTAGGTTATAAAATTCGAAGAGCGATACGACGGTAATATTAATACCGTCTATAGTTATTTAAGATAGTCGATATTTCGGGCCGATAGTACTAAATACGATAGTAGATTATCGATAAGAGAGGTATCTTCTATCGTAATATTCTAGTAAGAAGATAATAGATTAAGTCTTAAAGTCTAGACTTATATTATATCGAGTTATCTATAAGATATCTAGTATTAGTAAATAGTTTAGTTTTAGAACGACGTAGTAATAGATTCTTTCGAAATATTATTCGATAACTATTTCTAATTTAGCGTAATAAGAAATTATCGACTTCCTTCCGTTAGCTATAAATAGTACTTTTAGTTTTAGGAGTAGATATATACTAAAGATAAGACTATATTTCTCTAGGAACTTTTTATCGATAAATATAGAACTAGCCCTAGTATCTAATAAAGCCTAATACTTAGTTATCTAGAGATTATTTAGAATATCGGGGAAATAGTCGATATATTCTAGTTTCGCTAGAATAGGGTTACCGAGTATATATTCTACTATTAGGTAGTCGGTTTCTTTTAATAGTTTTATTAATAATAAGATAAGTATATACTTATCTTACTCTAGTAGTAGTCGTCCTAAGTCGTACGAGTAGATATAGGCTGCGCAGTGGCGCGGGTCAACCCGACCCTACCCGCGTTAGGGCTACCCTAAGGGTTAGGCCGGGTAGGCACTCCGTAACCTAACGGGTGCCGCGGGCGGGTTCCTGAAATTTAAGCTCTACTCGTAGTACCTATTTAGGCTAGATAGCCTATTCGGGTAGGTAGTTTAATAGAAAAATATCGATAATATTATAGCTTAATATATATAGAAAAGTAATAGCTTATACGCTAACTAGAAAACGTACTAGTATAAGAGGAACCTATTCTATAGATAGAATTAATATAGTAATTATTATTATACTCTAGTTACTACCTTCTCGAAATAGTACGAAAATATAAATATAAGCTATTATAGGGAAATACGATTAAAGGCATAATCGTAAGAGTACTATTTAGTACTTATTAATCTTATAGGGTACTTCTAAATACTTTATAAATACTATAGATAGATAATTAAGAAGCGTATAATAGCTTAACCTTCTATTTATATAGAGGTAGGTAGCTACTTAGTCTTAGGCTCTTACGATTCTACGTACATTATATAATTAGATAAGGATAGATAAGTTATATACTCGTACTTTCGGTAACCGTATATTTAGAAGATATCGAGTCGGTATAGTATAATTATAGATCTTCTCGATAGTTATACTCCTCTTAGAATAGCGTATACTATACTTATACTTAGGCTTCTTATCGTAATTATCCGCTATATAATAGTTATTATAGTAATCTATTCTTTAAAGACTCGAAGAGGTACGAGAGGTTTAAAAGTATA